TGACAATATAAGTTAAACCTAAGTAAAATGAAGTAAAACTAAGTATTTAACTTTAAGTAATTTTTATACTTGGGAAATACTCAAGTAATTCATTTTTAAGAGTGAAATTACATCATTTCCGTGAGATTCGATGGGATATGGAGGGACTCGATGAGACTCCATGGGGCAAAGTTAACAAGGTCTCTTGGGACATTGTGGGACTCAATATGGCATAGTGGGACTTGATGGGGCGAGTGGGATTCTGCACCATTGGAATATGTTGGCCTTAGGACCAAACTCGCGTAATGTCACATATCAAATAAGTAATGTCAACAAACCCAGTGCCACGGAATTGATCACTGTCTTTGAGAGAATGTAAGGCACTATTATTTCCTTTGGCGTCAGGTTTCTACAACTAAACAATTTATGACACATATAATATTTATACACCCCCTCCATAAGGTTGGCAAGCAGTGGCGTAGCCAGGATTTGATGACCGGGGGTTCTATTTTTATGTAATTCACAAATCCCCCTTCATTAGGGTTCCTAAAATAATGCAATTTGTACAATTACACCCCCTCCAAAAGTTTAGCAATCCTAACTAACCCATTGGATTATGTATTAAAAGCATCTTAAAGTTTGAATTCTTATTTGTAAAGAAAAAACTATTTTGGGAGGGGGAACATAATTAATTTTAATACCTTCATTAAGTTAAGTAGACAATTGAATTTGAATTTTATTTAACAAAAACGATGTCTTTATTTACGTTAAGCAAAGTCTGAAAATAATAGGCTTTATCAAGAAACCTCTTCCATTGAAAGAACACAGGACGTATACTCCGAAAGATCGTTCTTCTACGATAACTTTTCACAACGTTTAAACGGCTTTTTAAACTGTCCGGGATAGTCGTATTACTGATGAAAATATCTATTATTCAAATAAGTGGGTCTCGGTATATGCTTTGTTTTAAAAAGTTAAAAATATTTCTTTGGACGTCCCCGGAGCCCAGTGGTAAGTCCCCCGGAGAAGATCAACTGCAATTGATAATAAAAACGTTTTGGTGGATATAAATCATATATAAATACAAGCGACTGTTCGAATATAAAACGTATTTTGTTAAGTTTAGACGGCTTGATAACAAATTAGGCCTTCATTATCTGAAGATTAATACCATATGATTTTTCAATGTTTCTTTATTGTGTAATTTATTCGCTAAACATATCATGACATTAACATGAAAATGGAGTGCAGTTAAACTGGAACGATAACAATTTGAATTCTACACCATCTCTTAGATGAGTGGAGTGTATCTGAAAAAACAAATCATTTTTACAATGATTGATTTTTCTTTGGAAAAGTGGTTGGTAAATAAATAGTGAACAAATTAAAGAATGAATAAATTGAACAAATGCCTGTGCTTATAAATGATATACGCTTTTAAATAATTCATTTCACAACGTTTTTAATTATTTAACGCAATTACCCAAATGCGAGTAGGTAGTTACCAGTTTCACCACCAGGTGGCTGATTCGGGCCAATTAACATGGCAGGTATATAAGAAAGTTCCCTTAAACTTGAATATTATCAATTCAAGTGGCTCAATTTTCATATAACCCTTATGTGCCTGATACTTATACTAATGAAAATATGTCCAGTAAAGCAAAATATTATCTGTTCACTAAAAGAAAAGATATTTCATTTTTTGTGATTTTATAGCACGGGGTCTATGGGGAATCTCCCCGAGCTAGAAGTCACATTTTCAAAGAAAATTAATTTTTCAAAGTTGATAAACACTTTTTAAAACCACATTTCTAGATGTAATTTTACATGTAGATTTCAAATATGATATTACTTTGACTGAATTTTTAATGACGTAAATCAAGATTATTTCTACTCGCATCTGGGTTATTGGTTTCGGGGACTTGCCAGCCTAAGGGACGTCCAAAGAAATATTTTAAATTTTAATTGAAATAAAACAAAACAGAGTTGTACACATTTGAAAGAACATGTGTTTCATCAATATTACGACTATTCCAGATATGTATTCGTCAATGTTGTAAGGAATCATTCGGAGTATGGGACGTCTTAGCATTGTTTTCAATAACTTTCAATAACTTTGTATTGGACCAGAACTGGCTTAAAACAAAATTCCTACAAAGGACTGATTTACATATATGTAGCCATTGCCCAAGATGGGTTATTTTGTCCGAGAAGAAGCAGCTTTTAAGTTAATTGTGCGAAATTATTGTTATTCCTAAATGTAAAATCTCATGCTCTGGGGACTTCCCAAAATCTCATCTCGTGCCTAAGGTTGCCAACCGTTTTGAGGGAAGTGTAACTTCAGTATGACATGTTTTTAACAAAATAAAGGTTTCGTGTTCACCAAAACAAACATCAATTCATTTACTGCTCATATATGTAGTTTTCAAATAGCACAGTGATTTAATGTTTCTGGTTATAACGCATTTTCCGCAAAATGATATTTTGGGAAATCCTGACCGGGGGTTCGTTCGAACCCACCGAACCCCCGCTGCCTACGGCTATGTTAAGGTCTGTCAATGTTTGAACCTTGATTTTGTTCCTTATTGCTTTATTCCAAAAGCTTGATGTCTTGTTTAAAATTGCCAAACAGCATGACAAGCTTTAATAAGTGATTCAAAGGGGGACTTACAGTTACAAAACTTATGATGGGGAGTGTAATATAACATATTATCATCATAATTCATTCTTAACATACCATAACTACATGAACAACATTAGGATAGAATTGCATCTGAAATACAATTTTGAAAAATGTTTAAAGTACACATACATGTATTTCCTATTGCTGACCACACATACCGTAAACGGTTTTATGGGGTATGGCAATGATAAGCTGTAAAAAATATAAAATGGTAGATAATGAATATGTTTAGCATATCATGATGTCACATATAGTGTTAAGATTTATTTAGAATAACACTTTTTGCTATAATGATACACATTTTCTATTTGACCCTAGCAAAAAGTTCAACAACTGAAGTGTTATGTGCCACGCCCCCTTTCTTGAATTTTTAGGGGAAGGTAAAGAGAAAAATCAGAAAAATAGATACTTGTACTGTTTATTGAAACTTATTCAAGAAATATTTGCTAACATCATCAGTGAAGTTTTAAATCAGGTTTTATACACCATTGGCCCTTACTGTTTTTTAAACGACTGATTAACTATCGACTGATTAAGAAATTTTGAAGAGAAATTAAGTACTTTTAGGGACAAATTATCCCATATCTCTACCAAATTTTGTTGGATAAGACCCAAACTTTCAGGAATTCTTCATACATGCCTTATTGATATACTTACAATGTTTCATTACAATTGCAACATCCTGAAATGAGATATTAAATAGTTTCAAGCATATGGTCAAACTCCGACTCGAAAATGATAAAATTTGCTGACTCAGCACTTTTGAGCCTGCTTTGCAAGGGTTCACAAACTTTTTTTACATGCCTTGGGGTCCCCTACAAGAATCTAAAGTCAAATTGAATCTAGGTGTTTTGGACACAAATCGCCTTGGCCGTAGCACTATGGAGCATATCACTATATAAAATTTGAACCAAATTCATCGACTGGTATTTGAGTTATCAAAGATTATGTTTTCCAAAAATTGGTGGCCATTTAGAAATTCAGCTGCCCTCTTAAAATTTCGTCTTGAGCGGAGCTCCTAGCCTTTGTCCATATGTAGCAGCATATAAAATTTGAACCAAATCTTTCCACAGGTATTTGAGTTATCAAAGATTATGTTTTTTTCAAAAAATTGCGGCCATTTTAAAATTCTGGAGCCATCTTGAAAATTTCTTCTTGAGCAGAGCTCCTTTGTCCCTAGGTAGCAGCATATAACCAAATCCATCCACTGGTATTTGATTTATTAAAGAGTACATTTTTATGAAAAAAGACGGGCGGACATTTTGAAATTCAGTTGTCACCCTTGGGACCAGAAAATTTCCTCTCGATCCTAGGCATCAGCATAGAAAATTTGAACCAAATCCATTCACTGATATTTGAGTTATCAAAGAGAACATTTGGCACCCATTTTGAAATTTGACCGCCATCTTGAAAATTCCTAGGAAATAGCCTTATTCCCTTGCTCTTAGGCATCAGTATATAAAATTTGAACCAAATCCGCCAACTAGTATTTGAGTTATCAAAGATTATTTTTATACGAAAAACGGCGGCCGTTTTAAATTGAGTGGCCATATTGAAAATTCCTTCTCAAGGCCTTATAAAAATTTAATAAAATTTATCAGCCGGTAATTGAGTTATCGCCCCTGGACACACGAATGGAGGACTGCTTTTCTATATCACCTCGAACTTCCTTCGGAGGGGTAATAAGTGATAATAGCATGCACAAATGCATAGAAATCATCGTCACTTCAATTCCGTAGGAAAAATTAAGAAAATCGGTTGAAAAATAGTGGTTCAGCGAAAAATGCATTTTAAAATTTTAGTTCTCCTAGAAACCAATGGTACAGTAATATTTAAAACATGATATCTTTTTAATCTAGTTGGCAATCAAAATTGGTTTATTTTGAAAGTTTAACTTATCTAGAAAAGACTGACATAGAAAAAGAGAACTTTTTTCAAAAAACGTTTGCATCCTAAATGACATCACGATGATGTCACCTAGGATGCAGGTTTATCTAATATACAAAAACATTCAAGTGACACATTAGATAAAACATTTTATTATTGGATTAGTATGTCCGTTGTTCAATCTTCGCAATGGTGTTAGCTTTAAAGAAGTATGATTTACACTGTATAGTCGAATATTTGTAATTAAAAATTTCAACTTTTATTTAAAAAATGGAGGGAAATTTGAATATTTAAAAAATAATGACAATTTTTTACCCCGATTTTTTTTCAAAAATCGTTAAACATATCTTTTAAAATCATGAAAAATAGGCCTAGTAAATGAGTGATGAAACATATTTTCAAACTTAACATTGGGCCTTTAAGGCATTTTCTGATCAATTCAATGAACAACCCACAGAGAAGTATAGTGTTTACAGTGTATGTACGTTATCTCAAAGAGAGGAAAGGTAAATAAAAGAAGCAGAGCAATATGGGTTCCTCAACAATGATGATATTTTGGATGAAAATATGTATATTTTTGTGTATACACATAGGTGAGACGACAGTATCAGCGAGGTATCGATATCCTGATAAACCAGATATTAACTTTACAATGGAGAAAAATCATACGTGTCCACATGGGTGCTCCATATGTAGTGATATGAGATACATCTGCACGACCCTGTACGTTACCAGTGTGCCACAGACATTCCCAGCTTCTATCCAGTACCTACAACTCACTGATATACCAACTGTGCTGGATATTCAGAATGACACATTCAAACGATATACAAATCTGAAGTATTTGGATATCAGTGGCAATAACATCAAGTCAATCCCAGAGGAGTCACTAGGAGGACTGGAAAAATTGGAATATTTAAAGATACGTCAATCTGGGACTATTATATATAATTATTACACTAAAATGTCCCGTTCATTAAAAGACATGGGCCAAAAGGCATTTTGTGACTTGAAAACTCTCAAATATCTTGAGATGAGAGGAAATAATCGAATGGGCTTGAACAGAATGATATATAGCCTTAGAGCACTAACGGTCGCATGTCCAAATTGTTCGACGGACTACTTAGATTTATCATACACGAACGATGTTGGTTTTAAACATGCACAGATTCAAAGCTACATGCTGAAAAGGTCAAAAATGATTTTCTTCAAAAGGTTGAACGTGAAGGTTTTGAAACTTGATGGAAATCACATCAGCTCAATAGAACATGGCTTTGGTACTCTTTTAAGTTCGCTAGAGTATGTCTCTCTGAGGGCCAATTACCTCAGTATAAGCTTTTGGCACGATGGGAATATATTCTATGCCGCCAATCTATTACTAATGTATAACTTGAAAGTAATGAATATTGGTGGCAATGCGCATCTGCCAATGAAGGCTACCAACCCGATACACATACTGAGAACTAGAAACTGTCAATCGCTTCCTATAGGTATTGAAGAATTATACATTGACAATTCAGTTCTTGCCAAAACATTTCCATTTTGGGACAGTGGTGTATGTTTTTCTTTTCCAAACAACCTTAAAGTCATCGATTTTTCAGACTCAATTATTGGTGGACTTGGAGCTCCAGCGATCGGATTGACCAACATCACAGATGTGAACCTTCAGAACTCAAGAATAGAATTTACAGATCCAGAAACATTCAACTGCAGAAACTTGCCAAAACTTAAAACTCTCCTTCTGGGTAATGTGGACATGCGACCTATTTACAGGAAACTAAATGAAACTGTATCAACATTTCGAAATTGTTCAAAAGTGACATCTATTGATTTAGAAAACACAAATAACGCAGATCCACAAGTGAATACATTCACTGACATGGAGAATGTGCGATATATAAACCTGAGTAACAATGGCATTGTTTCTTTGGATATCGATTTACATAATAACCTGGCTCTGAAACTGTTGAACGCATCGTCAAACCTTATGAGTCAGCTTTCCAAATCGATGATGTCACAATTGGATCGTATTGCTATGGCCAAACAGGATCAATCCAGACTTGTGGTAGACTTGAATTTCAATCCTTTGCTTTGTGGGTGCAGTCAATTAGAGTTCATAAAATGGATGAAAACAACCCAAGTGCAGTTCCATGAGTATAAATCATATCGCTGCCTGAGAGACTCCAAATATCACCTCCTACACAAGCTAAACATTGATGAAACAACATTCATTTGTAAGAGGCCTGTTATAGTGTCTATTTCGACGTCAATAGGTGTCATGATCGTGCTGGTCACTATGTGCTGTTTAATCTACACTAAACGACATCGTCTGGAGTATCTATGTCTACTAAGTAGACAGATGACAAGGAGAATCATACACACCAAGAAACAATCGGATGACTACAGGTTATTCAACTATCACGGCTTCTTGTCATATAGCAGCAATGATGATATTTCAATCATTGTTCAAATACAGGAAAAAATGGAGAACGAATTTGGTCTCTCTCTTGTTATTCATCAGCGTGACTTTATCCCTGGTGAACTCATTAATACAAACATCATACACTTCATTGAAGCTAGCCGCAAAGTGATCATACTAATGTCGAACAATTACTTAGAAAGCAGATGGAGTAATTTTGAGTTTGAGCTGTCGAAGAATAAACGTTTGGATGCCACCTATGACACCATGGTAATGATCCTATTGCACGATTTGAAGGATCTAAACAAGGATAAAATATCTTCCAGTTTGAAGAGCTACCTTGGTCAGAAGACGTATCTTCAATGGCCGAAAGATTCTTCCCAGAACCCAGCATTCTGGTTGAGGCTAAAAGAGGCTCTAGATTTTGGCGAAGTACAAAATGACACTCCTGTCGGTGGTGCAAATCATGTTGATTCTCCACAAGGCCAAGTGATTGAGAATCGGGTTGAGAGAAATCCTGCGACAGAGATAGCCCAATTTGATGATACTGTTGACGATGACATGCAACCATTGCTACAGTTATAATCATGGAAGACGACAATTTTGAAATATTGACAAACATGCTATTATATTATAAAATGTACCTAACAACAATAGACATTATCGGAGGGAAATGTCTGTTCAATATTCAATAATTTCAGAACGGTGTATTGTGTGTAGTCTGAAGGTCATCTTTACATTCCTGCAAAAATCATCTGATTATGCTATAGTGAAATATCTTTTAATTTAGCGGTGTGAAATACATTATGGTATTTTTGATCACATTAATCAGTCTGAATACTAGTACTAGGATTCCTATACTTAGTAAATGTAAATAGTCTACATAAGTATAGCAAATATCACATAATGTATAAGCATATAACAAATTGCTAAACAGTGCTTCAACATGGACAAACTATACAACAATGCTAGGAGTAACAAATAACATCAAAAAGATTTGTTCCGAACTTAATTTATCTCAATAAATTTGAAACACTAGACTATATCAAACTGGCTTCAGCCAAAGCAAGACTTTCCATCCACATACAAAATTAACAAAAAGGGATACTAGACTACTTTACAAGATTAATTGCAACCATTATACCAGTATATCACTTTCAAAGTGAACCCACAACTGAAATTTAATTCAAGTGACGTGTCAACCTTACATTATCACAATGTTCACTGAAAGCACAATAAAGGAGTGGCAAAAGGGTAAAATGAGGTAAAAAGCAAACAAAAAGACACTTTAACACACAGTTCCGATGGGGGAGCTAAGGTTGCCAAACTTTTCGAGGGGAGTGTAGGTGTTTAAAACCAAACACAAGAACCTAATTAATATTATAATTACGTTTTTTAAAGATCTGGTGTAAAATCGTCACACAAATTACTGGAATATATCGCCATTTGTAGAAGTAGCATTTGTCTTGTTCTCATCTGACATAATAAACAATTCCTTTGTATAAAGTTCTTGGTATTTTATTCATTATTCATTTATGCAAATCATCATAACAAAGAGTTGCAATTTATGATACTAGTGTTATTTGATTTAACATAGCATTTCAAACACCAAACCTTTTATTTTCAAAATTCAACCGGAATAAATAAAACAATCATCTTCCATGAAGTCCTTGAGACCCGCTAAATACCTCTCCTCCTCAAGGAGAAATAGATATGTGTGAACTGGGGTAAAGACTTGAAGCAAGACTAATAAAACATAATTCCACAGCTTGAGCTATCTAAATGTATTTCAATTTAGAGGCTATCACAACTTATTACCCATATAACCCTTCTTCTTGAGTTAAAGTTAATTATGTGCATATTTGCTATTTCATTGATAAAAGAAATATCATCCTACATCAACCAAACATTCTTTTTAACTCATATATTGCCAAATTGCTGGAGTGATTCTTTTAAAATAAATAAAGCTTCTTTATACCTAAGAGGAATATATCCTCTCCTTTTAAGATTTCAGAAAATCTTCAATAATTATCAATAATTATTATAGTCTTGTCTGGTTTCAGATAGTCCAACAAATAGTTAATGTCCTAAATATAATGCCAATATGGCAGTAAATCCCAGTGGTTCCCAAAGTATTTTACATCAGTTTCAGGCCTTAGATTTTGGATCAATGATCTGCAAATACACAGGATTAATAGTACAATACACAAGATTTAGCCCGATTTCTTTCCTACAAGAGAAATTCAAAACTATACATCAACTTTTTGTCATTTTCAGTAATGCTCTGAAATGATGAACAATACTAAGTACTAGTATATAAAACTGTCTTAAATAAAATTTATGATATTTACAGGGTGGGCCAAAAAAAACCAATACCCAACTTCAAATCAGGATAAAAATAGTTACATTCAATATGGTACATTGACTTACATATCATTTTAAAGGTTATACAATTTCAAACAATTTGGTATATAACACTATGTCATGAAATCAATAGTAAAGTTTTATTATACTTATTTGGGAGGCCGGGTCGCTATTTAAGGTCTCCAGATTTAAGGGAGAAAATAGTAAATCTGCGGAATTATGTTAATTTTTTATTTATAGAATATCATTCTTTTGTTAGGTGAATACATGCTTGGATACTGATATTTGCATCATTGTGTGACTAAATTTATTGTTTATGAATTTCAGTGTTGTTTAATAACATTTTACACTTTATTTATTTAAACAATTTTCACAATTGCTCAATATACCCCCACCCCCTCCCCTATGCATCAACAATAAGCTTCAAGTGGTAGCGCAATCTATCAATAGCCTTATTTAGAGATTTCTGTTGCAATTCATTTCAGCACTTTAGGATTCTGTTTCAGCACATCAAAGCTGTTTATTGGATGCTTTTGATTGTACCATTTCCTCGAGATGGCTCCATGTATCGTAATCAAACAAATTACATGTAGCATCGGGGCTGTTGGGTGGCCAAGCATCGAGATCAATCAAACTGACACCTTGTTTGCAAAGGAATGCCAATGTCTCTTGAGATCTATGATACGGGGCAATGTCTTGTTGGAAAATAAAATCCTCGTCACATATACGTTTAATGTCTTTTAACAGACCCCCTTTGAGTACTTATTGATAATAAACAACACTAAAATTCATAAACAATAAGTTTAGTCACACAATATGCAAATATACAAGCATTTATTCACCTAACAAAATGATATTCTATAAATAAAAAATTAACATTGTTCAGCAGATTTACTATTTTCTCCCTAAAATCTGGATACCTTAAATACTGACCCGGCCTCCCAAATAAGCATAATAAAACGTTAATATTGATTTCATGACATAGTGTTATATACCAAATTGTTCGAAAATGGATAACCTTTAAAATGATATATAAATCAGTGTATCATATTGAACATAGCTATTTTCAGTCTGATTTAAATTTGGGTATTGGTTTTTTATGGCCCACCCTGTATAAAGTAACTTACACTAAACTAACTTACACTAGACATTTTTATGCTATATTATATAACTATTTTATTCTATACTAACAATACATTTACTGATATACATGTTTAACAGTGAAGAACATGTCAAAATTATACCCTGATATCATTATGAAAAGTGGTATGATCTGCATCACATTTTTGTAAGAAAAAATAGAAGTACTGTAGTTTATGAAGTGAATATGGTATATGCCGATAAACTGTACATTAAGTAAGCACAGTACATGAAATAATCTGTTGTAAGATCAATACATGAAGTTAGTACAGTACATGTAGTACAAGTAGTTACAGTCCATATTGTAAGTACATGAAGTACACTAAACGTTCAGTACATGAAATCAGCACAGTACAAGTAGTACTTATTACAGTACATGATGTAAGTACAGTACATGTTTGTAAGAATAGTACATGAAAACAAACCCTGGTATCATTCTATTCTAGTCAGTTTATCTATGGGCTTTTCTTGATTTTTCATGGTTTATCCCGAGCGTTTATCCCGTTGAGAAAAATCTTTATCTATGTACACTTTTTCAGTGAAACTTCTCAGAACATAACTTCTGATACATACCTCTGTGACCAGTCCAGCAGCTATAGTTGAGCCAGCATACCTAAGCATGAACCTGCCCAGATCCTTGTATTCCTTATACAGCTCTATACATATAGGCCGACTAACTTCTATCTCGACTAGAGCACTCATATTCTTGGATAAACACCTAAGATAACCAAAGGAAGATGATAAGATTAAAACAAGAACAATTTTTTTAATTTTCATCTCAATTTATGGAATTAGTAATAATATTATAACATCACGCCATTATGTTATGCCTATTTTTTTAACATCCTAGTATTCAAGTGTTAACAAAGCACCATATTATATATTACAAACTCAAATACTTCATTGTGCACTCATAACCTAATCAAAACTTTAAGACGAATACTGCATAACATTTAATTGTCAGTTTCTCTATATCTCGACTGGAACTTAGTTCTATGGGGTAATAATAGCGTTTAGATAAGAGCAATACAGTGTCTTACTTACTTAGGTTTTTTCTTCACCACCTCACCAGTGCTCTTATGTAGCTGGCTAATTATTTTACGTATGTGTGCAGGTTCAGTCACAGCCTGGCAGTGGAAAACCACCTGGAAATTGAAGGTAGAGTCACATATAGAATGCAAAGTTGACAAAATGTCTCTTATTCACTGTCTTTTTGTCTCATATCAATCCCTCTATAATACCCATATTCTAATAGAAAAATCCAGATTTTACACCTAGTTCAAGGAAATACAGATACTTTCATATTTCTCCTCAAAATATAAATTTCCATTTCAGCCATATTCCAGTTCCTTCACAAATTAAACATTTCTTCATCTTAATCTTTAATACAAAACTATTTGGTAAGATATCATAGACCTTTTATGAGATATCATAGAAAGGGGACATGCTAAACAAACTTGCACAAAGCCTAATCTTAGAACTATTTATACATATATTTCAATTCACTTACAGGAAATCCTTTAGTGATTGGCACATCAATGTTGAATATAACCACCCTTGCCTTTAATCTGCTAGTAACCTTGATTGGGTCATTGTATGCACATATTATTGTACCTGAAACAGGGTATTTAAAGAGATGATAATCAAGGGGGTTGAGGCTTGAGTGATATGCAAAAGCCATAGGCTGCATTTTTGAACTGCCCATGGTGGAAGTCAGTTGCATAATATTCAATAATTTCCCTCCCCCCTATGTATCACGAAAAAGAACGATAAGCCCCTACGGTGCAAATACCATGGCCCCACGTTTTTTAACAAAAACAGCTCATTCCAGCGCACTTACACAGCTAATTCGATTGCAATAAACTGTGATGTCTTTCAAAAGAATTATGTGAGTGTAAGTGCTCTTGGATGAGCTATTTTTGTTGAAAACACACGAGCATATAATTTGCACTGAATGACTTATTGTTCTTTTTAGTGATACCTGGGGTGAAAAATTTAAATATTACACAATTCACTAGCACCGTGGGCATACAAAAATACAGCCTTAATGTTGAAACTTCAAATTGAAACTATACCAGTAATTATTAAACTAATACAATTGGTACACATTGACCTTAGATAGGTTGCTCACCAACATTAATGTTGACCATATCTATTCCAGTGAGAGTGATTGTAGCATGGTCTCCTGCAAACACGCAGGCCTCTGCTGCATCATTTATCATCACACCTAAAATACATGGTTCTTGCAGGTTATAGGGATTTGCATTTTTATGCTCATATAACTGTATATACATGGAGGGAAAACAATTCATTGTAACTAAATAAAATTCACTGTAATAAAGTCATTAACATGCAAAATGTAACAACCTGCCATTTGTTGTAAATGCCAACCACTGATACATATGTCAAACACCAACCACTGGCCACAAAAAAAGTTGGAGACTATAACCTCTGGTGGCATAAAAAGTTAAAAACTGAAGGTTGCAATTTCAATAAAACTTGTGACAGGATTCAATTCTTCATGATGAAACTGAATTTGCTAATCAAAGGAGTTAAGAAGGCATTTTTGGTGGTTAAGAGTAGTTACTGAATTTTATTTCTTACTTTTAACATTAGCTGGGTCACCCCCGGGCATTGCAATGACACGGTCTCCAGGTTGTGCTGTACCAGACTCTAGACGCCCGGACACAGATATGCCAGCGCCTGTCCCCTTGAACACATCACTTACACACAAGCGGAATGACTTCTCTATTGGCCTTTCAGGCGATTTAAACTTATCTAAAATTGTGTTAATTGCATATTTTAAAGAAATGTTATGGGAATGAAAAAAAACAACAAAAAATTGATTTGGTAACTGAAAAAAAATAATAAAATAATACAATAAGACTCTTTTTACGCAAATTCTGGTGTAGGGATTTGACCAAAATGTTGACTCTCAATAAAAGTGCATTATACATATAGGCTTCTATATTACTGTGTTCTAAACATGTACATTCAATGTCCTACAACTTAACAGCATTATTATGAAAATACTGACCTATCTGTGCTAACAATGTAGCCCCCTGGTACCATTCAGTCAGTTTGGGATCAGTCGCAGGTTTTGCAAGATTTTCTCCACTCAAACCACTACATGGTATATATGTAACATCACTCTCCTTGAATCCAGCTTGTTTCAAGAATGTGCCAAGTTTTTTCACAATTTCATCAAAGCGTATCTTTGACCATTCAACAGTGTCCATCTTGTTAATGGCAACAGCTAGCTGGGAAACCCCTATAGAACATAAGGGTGAATATGTTTGAGCTTATATGTACAATTTAAAGTATTACACAGTACACACTGATCAAATTCACTTTATATTCTCAGCCATATAAAATCAAGATGGTCCAAATGGAAAGTAATAAATATAAAGCAGTAGGTACATGTAAATTATTTTCAGGAAAAGTTGACATTGTATATAGTAATAAATATATTCACCTACCTAGTGACCTTACTAGAAGGGCATGTTCCCTGGTCTGCCCACCAGTTTCAAAGCCAGTCTCAAATTCACCTCTAGTTGAGTTAACAACTAGAATTGCAACATCAGCCTGGGCAGCACCTAAATAATAAATGTGCATTCATTTAATATCAAAGTTAAGCATGACTTGTAATTGTAAAAGCCTTGTATGATTAACATACCATTGCTAGTATATTTACAATACTGTCTTGCTGCTTTAAAATTAGGGATACGGTTGGTGAAATTAAATGTTCAAAATGTGTTATGATGCATTAAAGACAATTATACCAGACTTATAGAGGGAAAGATTAGGATATCTTTGTATCTTACCCCATTGTGTTCTAATTATTGGGCAAATAACAAATACAATCTACATTTACCTGTTATCATATTGGGTATGAAGTCTTTATGGCCAGGAGCATCTAGGAGGGTCACCCGTTTACTGTCTGTTTCAAATGTAGTCTGGGCAACATCCATTGTTACACCTCTGGCTCTGATGATAGACATGTATGTTTAAGTTATCAATTAACATGCATGACTTTGTACATGTAAAACTCTTGTAGTGATTTTGTGCTCAATCTAATTTGTGAATAGGGTTTTCATTATTCCAGTTTAATACATTTAAATCTATACAATACATAGACTACCAAAGTTAAAAACATTATTGGCACTTGGTCTCAAATAAGGACATTAGCTCCATGCCTATGATCTTGATAGATTCTGTGTTAAATACATCAATGACTGGACCAATATCATGACAAATATCCATTCTTTATATATCACATTTTCAAAACAAATGATGTTTGTATCTAGTATATATATCAAAGACCGAATCATTCAATAACAATTACCTCTCTTCCTCAGTTTCATCCAGGACCCAAGCATACGCAAAGGATGCCTTCCCTATCTTTTTAGCCTCCTGTTCATATTTATGCATAGTGCGTTTGTTTACACAGTCTAGCTGGTATAAAACATGGCCCATCAAGGTACTCTTACCAGCATCAACATGCCCTGGGATAATAAAAAATTAGATTTTATAATATCAGGATTAATATAAATGATTAGAGAGAAAGGCTAATATTTTAAGAAATGGCTAATGTTACAAGAAATGACTATATCAAGTATTACAAGAAATAGCTATTACTATTAGAAATAACTAAATATTAAAATAAATAGAGAATACATACTTTTATTTGTTTTTAAAATTGATTAAAATAATGACAAACATTAATAAATTACATAAATAAAGTAAAAGTGTGTTACCCGGAACTTAAAATAATGTTGAGGAGCTGATAATAATTAGGATGGTAGATATTATATTCACTCATAGCTAGGCAAGGTGTGTCCGATTCCAGCCAATCCGAACATAGTATTCACATATAATGAACAGGGTGTGAAATATCAATAACGCTTTTGTTGTGTACAGTTGCTAAGTACTCAGGGACCCAAGTTCTGAGAAACAGCTAGAAAGTGAAAATGGATATTGGAAAGTATTACGCGAGATTTTTTCAGTTCTTGCTGGAAAATAAGTTACTTTTATGATGTGGGTCGATATCTAGAGTTTGAGACTTGCGAAAATAAGATATCTTCATCTTTATACCCCCCGCCCTATACTTTTAGGGGGGTCAGAAGAAAATAGACGTTAATTCATAACTTTGGAAGTATATGAGATACAAACTTAATTTTTTCCCCAAAATTTATGAAATAACATCAGTAATGAAGAAAAAAATATTTTGAATGAAAAAAAGCTAATTTGCATAATTTAACCCTTAAACTGCCATAAAAACTAGTAAATGACGAAATGATGTTATATCACATTTACTGTTATTGCCTTCATATGAAGTTATAACTTATGAAATAATTCCTAAAAATGCATCTATATATGTATAATAAATGTGCAAAATATTAGAAGTGTATCTTACATAAAGACTGTGAAAATAATTCTCCCCCTATCCAGATTTTTGAGGGGAGGGGGTCAAATAAAAATGGACTTTAATTCATAATTTTAAAAGTATATGAGGTACAAACTTAATTTTTTCACCAAAGTTTATGTAATAACATCAGTAATTCAGAAAAAAATATAAGCTAATTAATAAGCTAATTTGCATAATTTAACCCTTATACAGTCATAAAAACTGTTAAATGACGATGCGATAAAATACGACATTTACTCTAATTGGCCTCTCATGAAGTTTTAACAAATAAAGTAATTCCTAAAAATGCATCTATATATGTATAACAGATGTGCAAAATATTAAAAGTGTATCTTACATAACGACGCTGACAAAAAAATTGTCCCCCTACCCAGATATTTGAGGGTGGTCAAATGGAAATGGACTTTAATTCATAACTTTGGAAGTATATGAGGTACAAACTTAATTCTTTCACCAAAATTTATGTTATAACGTCAGTAATTCGGAAAAAATATCTTGATATGAAAATAAGCTAATTTGCATAATTTAACCCTTATACAGTCATAAAAAACGTTAAATGACAAAGTGATGAAATACGAAATTTACTTTAATTGACTTCTATGAAGTTATAACTTGTGAAATAATTCCTAGAAATACATTTACAACGGGTATGCACAATATAAAAAGGGTATTGTATATAATGAGTGTGAAAAAATCTCACACCCTACCCTAATATTTTAGGGCTGGGGGAAGTTAAAAGAAAATAATAAACTTTGATTCATAACTTTGAAATCGTATAAGAAAGAGCTTATACATGTATTTCTTCGCCAGAATATTGAGAAATCACATGAAGAATGAAACAAATATTACATGGAAACAATATTATACTAGTAGTAGTAGTAAATTTATTAATTAAAGTCTAACACACTAAAGATGTTACATTAAGATACATACATGAAATAAAACAATTCCTGGTTGATGCCGACCTATTAGAGACCATCGCATGTAACTATTTCACGCCTTTTGACTAACATATTTATCATACATTTTCCAAGTGTCCTTTGAACAGTTTTTTTCATTCATTATTATACAATATTTTCCTAGACTTGTATACATGTAAAAGTCAATATGGATATCAGTCATTTAGGCAAAAAGACTTAATCGTTCATTTTCAAACATATGACATTCTACTTTAAAGTGAGTTTCTGTCTCCATTGACTGTCCACATGGGCACGATCTCTGGTCTAGGGGAGTTGCGTTATTTTTGTTTATATTTCAATACAAAAACAAACTATCATTGGATGTATTACACTTGTTTGCAGCATCCAAAATGATATTAGAGCATTGCCACTAACTATGGATGCATTTTTGGTTTATAACAATTATACATTTCAATGAATGCTGACAAACCACTTTTTGAGATTCCAGAGCCAGGGAATGGATTTAGATGTCAAGTGGTTCATATTACTCTTGAGACCATTAAAATGACCAAAAACCGAAACTTGATATAACAAAAATCCCAAAGTCATTTTGCACATGCAAACGATACAAGGACAAAGCAATATGTTAAACCACTTGCTCATGTGCCACTGCAGGTACAGAATGTTTTGCTGCATGTTCATGCGGCTCAAAGGAAAGTGAGTGTGGAAGGGAATAAGTGGATTAACCCAAACATATATGATGACATTTTCACTGCATCAAGTATCTACAACCTAGAATATGACACCAGTCCCCACAGTGACTCTGAATATGGTTCAATAAACTTTAGAATTGTTATGGTTACCTTTTTAAGGGTTATTCTGAAACATTGCAAGTTCAATTAAACTCAATTTATTCATACATTTAATCATTATGTGTACACATATTATTAATAATAGGTGGCACCACAGGTGATGCTTAAATACCCGTACATATAGTAGTTAAATCATGAAGTATATCATTATGTTGTCAACGAATCAAACCGGAATGTAATCACAAAAGTTAGATTATAATAAATAAAGGTATGGGGGATCCATGTTGCTCGTTTCATTTGAAGCCAAGAAGGTGCCATATGCCATGGGGAAATTTTATGAATGTGTAGCTTCATTAATTATTATTTAAAGATACCAGGCTACCGCATTGACGCAAATAATCGTTAAAAGTGTGATTCTTATAAAATATTAGTTATTATTGTACCTTCCCCAAGGTTGGTATGGTCAGAATTATTATTTTAAATCTTAAGTACAGGGTGGTCCAAAAAAAATTGGAACATTTGTTAATTGAACACAAAATCTTTATTTTTTCTCTAAAATGCATCAAAACTTCACCGAGAAGAGTTCAGTCATTTTTCTATCTGATGTAAAGTTCATAGTTGCATACAACAAAGTTAATGCATTGAACTAGTAAATGTCTGATATGACCCCTCTTCTCCTAAATTACAAGTTGAAGCCTGGGGCTCAGATTTGTAAATATTCAATTAGTTTGCTGTCAATTTGTTTTGTCGAAGCAATCTTGACTAAAAAATTCAGTTTGATCAACCTTCCTATTTGTTTGCCTTGGAAGATCAAATCTAGTGACATATTCAACATTTTTTACCCAAATTGATAGGTATCAAGCATATTTTGATGGCTATTGTTGGTTGTATTACTGATTGAATATTCTCAAGAAAGAGGCCAGTTCAGTCTGATTTGACTGGTTAATGAAACCCTCTTCCTTTATTGTTCTGATATGAATAATATTCATTGGATATATCAATATGTCTATCAATATCACAGAGGAGTCTCCCAGAACACAAATGGTATATTATACTGTATATGTGCTTAGCGTTGGTTTTTAATAAAACTTTGTGAATAACTGATCCATTTTGCCTTTACTGTAAAATTGGGAACAATGCTTTTGTCACTTGAGTAGCTGTGAGGGCTATGCAATTGCTCACCTCTGACATGTTCCTTTTTCGCTACTCTTAAATGAAAATGATCATTTTGGGTATTGTTTAAGTTGGTATAAACACAATATTTTTCTGGTAAACCCCAGATGTTAAACCTCTTGTCAACTGATTTCATAATATGTTGATAGCAATCAACATGTCCATTAAAGCTTTTAAATAAAGAATACTTGAAAAAAGCGGCGAAATTGACACATGTATATTTAAGAAAAGGGGGTATTATCCAACATTGACTAGTTTAATGCAATAATTTTGTGGTTTTCACCTATAAACTTTACATCAGATAAATAAGTGACTGAACCATGATCAGTAAAAGTTTGGTGCATTTTAGATGAAAAATAAAGGTTTTGCGTTCAATAAACAAATGTTCCAATTTTTTTTGGACCACCCTGTAGTTTGGAGCAGCCCCCAGGTTGGCCCATGTACCTCCCTTGAGAGCCTACCCTTCTTACTGAAGAAACAAGAAATGATATAGTCAACTAATGATTAATAAGCTAAGAGAATATGCTTCTTCAGTTTTGATTTAAGAAAAGAAATGGAATTTGACTTTTTTATTTCTTCTGAGAGATTGTTCCATATGGAGTAACCACTAAAGGCTATTGTTTTTTGCCATAATTTTCAATTTTGCTTTAGGAAGGGTGAAGTTTGATTTGCCTCTAGTATTATATCTATGAAAATCTCCATGGGCATTGAAATAGTTGGGAAAAATAGCTTCATAATTGTTGATATCATTTTTCCATTTAAATGCTAGTATTAAGTAAGGATATATTGTCAAAGTCCTTACTTCATGTGAAGTCAATTTCAGTATAGAACCACTTTGCCTTATAATGATTCTCATGACTGTTTGAAGCTTAAATTATGCAAATTAGTTGAAATATAGTATTGTCCCCATGTAATATTCGTTTCATTATTGATGTGATTTCTCAATTTTCAGCGAAGAAATATAAGCTCTTTCTTAAATTATTTCAAAGTTATGAGTTAAAGTCTATTATTTTCTTTAACCCCCCCCCCCCCCCCCGAGCCCTCAAAATTATTAAGGTAGGGTGTAAGATTCTTTTCACACTCATTATATAAAATAACCTCTTTATATTGTGCATAACTGTTGTAAATTTTTTCTCGAAGTTATAACTTCATAAGAAGTCAATTAAAGTAAATGCCATATTTTATCACTTCGTCATTTAACGGTTTTTATTACTTTATAAGGGTTAAATTATGCAAATTAGCTTATTTGCATATCAAAAAATATTTTTTCTGAATTACTGATGATATAACATAAATATTGGTGAAAAATTAAGTTTGTACCTCATATACTTCCAAAGTTATGAATTCTTATGAAGTCCATTTTCATTTTGACCCCCCCCTCAAATATCTGGGTAGGGGGAGAATTTTTTTCACAGTCGTTATGTAAGATACACTTTTAATATTTTGCACATCTGTTATACAAAATGGAACTATATGAATTATTTCATAAATTATAACTTCATGAGAGGTCGATTAAAATAAATGTCGTATTTTAACCGTTTTGTCATTTAACGGTTTTTATGACTGTATAAGGGCTAAATTATGCAAATTAGCTTATTTGCATATCAAAAATGTTTTTTCTTAGTTACTGATGTTATTACATAAATTTTGGTGAACAAATAGGTTTATACCTCATATACTTCCAAAGTTATAAATTAAAGTCCATTTTCAGTTGACCCCCCTGAAATATCTGGGTAGGGGGAGAAATTTTTTCACAATCTATATATAAGTTGCACTTTTAATATTTTTCACATCTATTATACATATATAGATGCATTTTTAGGAATTATTTCATCAGGTAAAACTTCATATGAAGGTAATTACAGTAAATGTCGTATATTATAATTTTGTCATTTAATAGTTTTTATGGCGGTTTAAGGGTTAAATTATGCAAATTAGCTTATTTTTGTTCAAAATATTTTTTTCTCCATTACTGATATTATTTTGTAAATTTTGGTGAAAAAATTAAGTTTGTATCTTATATACTTCTAAAGTTATGAATTAAAGTTTATTTTCTTTTGACCCCCTCCCTTCAATTTTAGGGTAAGGGGAGAAATATTTTTCACAGTCGTTATGTAAGATACACTTTTAATATTTTGCACATCTAATATACATATATAGATGCATTTTTAGGAATTATTTCATAAGTTATAACTTCATATGAAGGCAATTACAGTAAAAGTTGTTTATTATCATTCTGTTATTTAATAGTTTTTATGGCGGTTTAAGGGTTAAATTATGCAAATTAGCTTATTTTCGTTTGATATATTTTTTTCTGCATTACTGATGTTATTCTATAAATTATGGTGAAAAAATTAAGTTTGTATCTCATTTACTTCCAAAGTTATGAATTAAAGTTTATTTTCTTCTGACCCCCCTGAAATTATAGGGTGGGGGGTATAAAGATGAGGATATCTTATTTTCGCAAGCCTCAAATTCTAGATATCACCCCACATCATAAAATAAATATATTTTGCAACAAGAAAATGGAAAAATCTCGCGTAATACTCTCCAATATTCAAAAACAAAAATATTCAGGCTGGGTCCCTGAGTAAAGTGACTGAGATTGAGTTTTCCAATACTTGACCCTTGCAAAAGGTTTCATTGAAAATATGTTCTTTTGATGATTTTGTATCTTTTAGGTGATTTTATAGAAAACATTTTGCAATGTGTGAAAAGAATTTAAGCCCAAGAATCAATGCATTAAGGCTGCTTCATTCCACTCAGATGCTGTTTCCTAACTTTTTAAAGATTTGGAAACATCTTTGTGGAATGGTTCAACACACAATGCACTGAGTCCAAGGCTTAAATCCTTAAATATTTAATGACTTACCAATAACTACCAAGTTGAGTAAATCTTTTCCATCTTTTCTTTTTTCATACTCCAGTTTAGTATTCACTTTATTTTTCTTGGCTGATCTGAAACATGAAAGGAGGTTAAACAATCTTGAGTTAAAATACTGAAACAAGATTTGAGAATGCCGTTCACTGTGGAGTAATATTAAGGAGCTGTCCCCAAGTGTACCTATAAGCACTTCAAAATTTATTGATAAGGGTAAAATGAATTCCAGAATTATCTTTATACAATATGAATCTTTATTCAATAAAGTTTGTAAATGTAAATGTTCCACTCACTTGGAAGAACTTTTGGGGATAGCAGCTGTACTGTTTGGGTCCAGACTGTCCTTTTTGGGTGTTATACTAAAAAAGTCATCTGTCTCTACTTCAATTGCACTTAATCTATCATTAGTTACGGCCTCATCTGACTGAGTCTGTTTCACATCAAAATCATTATTTACTGCAAACTTTGTACTAAGGCTGGACAACCTAGGTTCCGATTTACTTGAATGAATTATTTTTGGGCCTGTTTTTGTCCTTGCTGTGTCCTTATCAACATTAAATCCTTTGGTTTTGTTAGTGTTATTTCCTGTGAATTTCATCCTTGTAGCTTGTTGTGTAGCATTTTGCTTGGGAGGTTCTGTTGTATTTCTTACTGGTTCATTCTTAGAGCGTGCACCTCCAGGGTTAGCCGAGGAGCTTGGGGGTTTAGGAGGTGACCCTAGTGTGAATGCTGGTTTTGATACACCACTGCCAAATTTTTGTTGACCTGTGGATAAAGTGAAATCAGATTTTTTCAGATATTATACATTTTGTTACAGTCAGTGCATCTGAAATGTGCTCAATTGAAATTCACAATTTACACAATCTTCTTACAGTTATAACAAGAAATCAATGAGAGTTAACCATATCATTGTTACACAGAGTTTATCAATCAAAATACACAAAAGCAAAAATTTGAAATTCATTATACATTTGTCATGCTTCGTATTCTTTGATTTGTCAAAGTCACATGATATAAGCTATGAGATGCATAACTTAGCTAACTGATGATAGATGAAGAGGAACAACAGGTTATATTAGTAATATGAATTGATCAGTTGTAATGTTGATGTACATGAATACTACTCTAAGAGTAAACAAGACAAATACTATACAATAACAAATATCTGTACATAAGATTCATCAATCTCAACATATGTTACCTGTCCGAGAATATGCTGCAGACTGTCTTTGCTTGACTAAGTCATCAGGGGAGGGAGTAAAAAATAAAAATGGAACAATTTCATGCAGAGGTTTTTTCATAGCAGTAGGTTTTTCTTTGCTTTGAAGCATATACGAAAACCTTTTAAAATTAATAATTTGTGCATTGTGATTGTCAGCTTCATTTCCTGTATATTTACAGCACAATATCCGGCCAAAGAAAGATGGCTTGTTGCAAATTAATTCTTGAGCAATTTGGGTATCACTGAAAGGAGTTGAATCTTCAAAGTTCGATTCCATATTCTCCTTATCACTTTCAGTTCTGAGCCTTGTTGTCTTCATCTTTGAGATAGAGAACTTCTTGAGCGGGTCTTGAGCAGCTGAGTCAGGTTTTGTTTTGGTCCTGTTGTTGGCAGTGACCACTTTGATAAATGAAACACTGCCTTTGTTCCCTTGTTGTGATGATCCTAACACTTTTTTACCACGGCTTGTCTCCATGTCGTGCTTTAAGACAGATGATTGTTGTTTCTCTTTATGCTCTTTAGCTAACTGTGATAATGATGGATTTGATGAATGTTGCTTCGCTAAATCAGACAACGACACACCAGAACTGAAATTAGTTGGGCTTGAAGAGTGTTGTTTGGCTAAATCAGACAATGATATACCAGAACTGAAATGAGGTGGGCTTGCAGAGTGTTGCTTGGCTAAATCAGACAGCGACACACCAGAACTGAAATGAGTTGGGCTTGAAGAGTGTTGCTTGGCCAGATCAGACAATGATACGCCAGAACTGAAATGAGGTGGGCTTGCAGACTGTTGCTTGGCTAAATCAGACAGCGACACACCAGAACTGAAATGAGTTGGGCTTGAAGAGTGGTGCTTGGCTAAATCAGACAGCGACACACCAGAACTGAAATGAGTTGGGCTTGAAGAGTGTTGCTTGGCTAAATCAGACAATGATACACCAGAACTGAAATGGGGTGGACTTGCAGACTGTTGCTTGGCTAAATCAGACAGCGACACACCAGAACTGAAATGAGTTGGGCTTGAAGAGTGGTGCTTGGCTAAATCAGACAGCGACACACCAGAACTGAAATGAGTTGGGCTTGAAGAGTGTTGCTTGGCTAAATCAGACAATGATACACCAGAACTGAAATGGGGTGGACTTGCAGAATGTTGCTTGGCTAAATCAGATAATGACAGGCCAGAAGATGGTAATGGATTGGAAGAGTGTTGCTTTGCTATGGCAGACAATGAGAGCCCCTGTCCAGGAGAACCAGCATGTTTTCCTGCTAGCATGGACAGACTTGGATTTTGTACCGTTGATGTCTGAGAAACTGAATCTGGTGAAGGAGTTTGATGTTGTTTTGCTAATGCTGACAATGACATACCAGACCTCGGTATATCTTCACCTTGCTTCGACTTTTCAGCAGCAAATTGGTCTTTCCCTTTGGATTCTCCATATTTTCCTTTTTGTATTTCACCAGTGTTAAGTTCACTTGTTTCCTGATTTGCGCTTTTTGTATGAGCTTCTGTCAACTGACCAAGTGACATAATTGGGGATGCTCCTGTATTTTTTTTAATTTGATAACTTGATAATTTACTTTGAGTGGATACAGTGGACTTATCTAAACCAGGGGATGATACTTCATTATGACAAATAGCTTTAAATCCAGGTGGAGGTTTAACATTAGATATAATGGGATTAACAGGTAATTGGGGATCAACTCTCCCTTTCTCTAAAGTAAAGGACATAGAGTCACATTCTTCATCTTACCTTACCATTGCCAAGTTAAAGACAATAATATATCCCAAGTAGAAGATGGCCACAATATGTAAGCAGTATTAAAAATATGTCCAGTATATCAAGTAATCACCCAGAACACAGATTCAGCACATGAAAGAAAAAGAAGAAATGGCATTGATTTAATAGTGGATTATTTACCCATCACCTGATGCTTATAAAATATTGCAACATATCTATTTCACTTAGGGAGCATGTCGAAAGTTCAATGTAGCACAAAAAGCTATAAATCATCAGTTAAGTCCCAGACACCCCCCCCCCCTACCTCTGTTTACTATTAATGGAAATTGTTGAACAACAAACAACAATTGTTTGACACAAAATATATCATCATGTACCTAGTTGACTAGAATTTCATATTCATTAGATGTGGTTTTATATATTGGCTTTGACATGACAGTGAAAAAGTATGGACGCATGCAAAGAGAACTGTGGGACGAAAAATTGCTGATGCAATTCCCCGGGGATCAATGACGGAGAAGCTTTATTTTTTGTTTCAGACACCCCTCCCCCCTAACTGATAATATATAGCTTATTTGGTGACATTGATCTTTCAACTTGCTCCTTTAAACACATTTATTTATATATTTTATATATATACACTAATTCTAATGGTAAACTTGAGAATGAAAACGTAACAAAATAATAAGTTTTTAAGACAAGATCATAGAGAGCATGTCAAACATTGTGATGACTAGAAGCTCATTACAATGCAACATGTATTAAGCAACATGTCTCACCTGTTCTCCTTGATTCTCTTGGTGGTCGCTGCTCCTTAGGAGCTTCTAAAAAATAATAACATTAAGTTATAATCCAAGATGTATTGTGATAATAGATTGTATAGCCCATTATGTAGAATTGCTCTAGAATTACACTCTCCCCCTTCAAACAAGATCAGACCTTTGAATTTATTTCATGTGGCTCATAGATCTAATCCAAAGTAACAGTCATCAATACTTCAAATGTAAATACATGCACATTTACCTTTTTGTAATAGGAGGTGGTCTAACGCCTTCTCAAAGTTGAACTGATGTTGCAAGATTGCTTCAATGAGAACATGCTCTGGAGTAGAGTCACCAAGTACATTACGAATCTCCTCTAGACACGAGTTGAGCCGAGCTGTCAATTCATAAAACATGTATTTATTAATTAATTAAAGGAGCCAATACATACACAGTACAATATGTAATCCCATTCTCAGTTGTTAAAATACAGAAATGTTTGAGATCGCTTCAGAATTTACTACAAAGTTTATGGCCATTTAAGATAGAAGTTGTATTGCCAATTTGAAAAATAATAATGACCATGTCCACTTACCTTCATCAATATCACTAAGTTTTGGTCTCTGGTAGTTACGAGAATCATTCAAAGGTTGTGTCTCCTCATCACTCAGGTCCTCTTGTAGCTCCTCAGGTATGGAGGATTCTTTGTGCATAAATGATGACAAGGCATGTGTGCCACCATCACGGTTGAACATGAACTGAGAGGCTGTAATAAATAATCCATCAATTATGAAGGGTTAAAATTTGAGGATATGTGCCCTAATGTGAATTCTTAAAATGATTTACTTATCATCTTTCTGTAAAATTTCTTTCCATATATGTAACATATATTACCAGTTGCAGGGGATGCACATATCTCACTGTCATCAAAGGAATGACCATAGACATCATCGTAACCATCATACTCTGAAAAAAGAAAAATTTAACAATTTTATTAATTAGTGTTAAAGCAGTCCATTAGACTAGAGTATCAGTAATGGAATAAAAATGCTTAAAATTGTCTGTTCTTCAAGAAATCACGGGCTTTTGAGAAATGCAATGCAAAACTTTGTATGTTCAAATTTTCAATAATGGTTTTATCGGATATTCTATTGAAGCCCCTAATATTTACACATATAGGAAGTTTGATTCAGGATACATGGTATATGCACCCTGGGATATGCATATTTAACATGCATCTTATAAAAGGATTAATTACATAACTACAAGTTATCAAGGGTAATTCACAAGAGGAGAACAATATTTGTTCTAACAAAAATCCTTCTGAGGAGTCTCGAGGCAGAGAGTATTTCAACTCTATTTATATCATTAATGATATCTGCATGTACGCTGTAGCTGGACTTTGATCTTAAATAAGAGGAGGCTTCACTCTATGGCCACCCTCCGATCATAGGGCTTCAAGAGCTAGAATTTCTCTCTCTTTAATCCCTGCGATTCAGTCAGTATTTCCCCGATAAAAACTCCCAATCTGAAACATTGTCACATCACCAAGACAGCCAATCGAATTATTGCTGACATACCTTCCTGCTCAGGCGAGCTTTTATGTGACGGCAATTCAAACCAAATTCTTTCAAAGTCGTCTCATAAGGTATTTATGCTTTCTTTTAGCAATCACAATAAACTATCTGTACAAATGACATGTGCACAAAATCCTCGACCATCCAAATTGATGCTCCATCGCCCATTGACCAAATTAGGCGATAATATCCTCATCCTGTGTGTGCAACACAATTATGACATACCCATTCTAGTAAGAAGACTGATTTGTAAAGGAAAATGTTGTTGATAATCTAGAGCAATATAATCTCCAGTATGGATGAATATATAGAAACTTATCCCGTTCCCGGACTATGGTCCTGTACGGAGCCCATACATTTGCCTGTACGATTACAACATGGGAGAATTTTTTACTGATCTTACACTTCAGATACCTACTTCAATAGATTCCTTGGTAATTTAGCATTCTTTTCGTGTAGTTGAATCCACAATTGTCTGGGTTTATCGGCAGAACGAAGACATTTTCGTTTTTGATCGCAATATTTGCGTGTAACATTTAACCTTTTTCAACCGTCAAATTCCTCCATATTGGTACTTCCGGGCTACATCCGGGACAGCAAAACGGGGGATTCCCCGTTTAAATCCAACCGCCATTTTGAAAAGTGATGGAATCTCTCTCGATGAAAAAGAGAAAATGTTCTCGTTCTACCGATATACCCAGACAATCGGCGGTTCCAATATATTAGAAGTTACATCTTGAGTTCTATAATGCATTGAGGTAGGTATCTTAAGTGTAAGGGGCGTAGATAATTCTCCCAAGTTGTAATCGTACAGGCAAATGAATGCGATCAGTGCAGGACTATAGTCCGGGAACGGGATAAATAGAAACCGATGTTTTTCGACTGGGTGATTTTGCCGGGCATTTTTTCACAAAAAAAAGACAAACAATTCGGCATAAACCCAAAATTGAAGAATATCACTGAATACTCAATACTTACCGTCCTCGTAGTTCATAGTGCGTACATTCCTGTGTCTCGCCATGGTGGCGCACGCTTTAAAAGTTACTTAAATCTAATAAAAATTGGTATTATTGTAACGAAATCTGGATGAATTTTGATTTCTGTCATCCATTTTGTAATGGTGGATCTAACGCGAGGTATTTTTCTGAAGTTTAGTTTTTGCATTTGCGCAAATATTAAAATAAACATATGTGTTGAGGTTACTCTACTAAAGCAATTTAAAATAAAGAATATTAACTAAATCTACATTTTAAATGCTATTTGAAGATATGAATTAGAGGGAAATTGAATTTAATTTGTGCGAAAAAATGAATTCCCGGGAAAATTTAATAATTTCCGTTTCCGGTCATGGTGAGTTCTTAAAATAATGTTTTGTTTTCTATTTTATAGTCTTCATAGTGCAACAGTTTAGGTCTCTATCTATGTTAACGAGAACCTAAATAATTTTGTTCGATATGATGGAGCTGACAATTATATTGATCTAAGATATTGACAAAAATTACAAAAACAAAAACTAATCGTGCTATTATCGCCCAGTTGCCTGCTACCGTCAGATGGTAGGACTCCACCATTGATTTGCTGATTTACTATCTGCAACACTGGACCGAATGACTGTGTATCATCCTTGACCCGTTTTCCACCAAACTTTGCAAAACCATCACCTTATAGATAAGCTTCAAAAATCAAGTTGTCTTGGCTACCGCGATCTCATGGTAACCATAGCAACCATGCAAATTCCTTAAAAAATTGGGGTAAAAAAAGCACCAAACCTACCAAAAAAGCACTTATTTTTCAAATATTTCCTGACATAGAATTTTTTTAAAACTTAAATATCATCTAGAGCCATCCAAGACAACAAACATATCAAAAATTGAGGGTAGGTTTATCACTTCAATTTTTTGCTAGGGATGGGGAAAGGAAATCTACAAAAAATGACCCATTTTCGCTTTCAATTCACCAATTATCGCCCAAATTCACATGTTTTTCTAAGGTCAAGGTCACGATACTAAACTTAGAATAACTACAGTGTACGTACCTTTCTGACATTCTCTGATAGCTCTGCTTCACCATGAAACAAACACAATTGGTCTGGATCAGCCATTTCCATCATGTAATAGATGTGAAACCTGAACTATGTCTTAAATGGATGAGAAACTTTATGCCAAGCAGTAAAAATGCCATTTTCGCACTACTTTTGGCGTAATAATACCAGATTTAGTACTTTGAATCTAAAAATTAAGCAATCAAAATACCATATAGCAACAATATATGTAAAAACAGAAACATTTGTTCAACATTTGTATATTCTGATTTGTTTTGTTGCCCTGTCAACCCTCACGCATTAGGCGTGATCTGAGACTAACATAAAATTGTTTTATGTTAGTCTCAGGCGTGATTGTCACGCATTTGCTGGAAAAATAGAAATCATGCATCAATTTAGAGTGTATGATCAAATATCACGCAAATCACGCATTTTGTTGAAATTTTTAAAAATCTTTTTTTTTTGTGAAATGCTGATACGGTAAAAAAGCGAACGGCGAAAAAAGGCGAACGCATTCCGTTCGGTCTTTGCACGCGATTGTCGTTTATGTCACGCATTTGGTACAAAATATGTGTATATATCACGCATTTGTTTCGAAAATATTCACACCTATGAAGGAAGGTGTTCAACATTTCGAAGTCACTCATGTTAGATGGTCCCAAGTTGACAGCCCTGGTTTTGTAGTTTGGCAATCATATGTGTGGCCTCTTATAATATTTTGATGCTTCTCTGCCAGGGTTTGTAGAAAAAAACGGGTACCAGGTAGTAAATCCTCCATGCTGGGTTCAAACTTGGAACCCGGTACCCGGTCGAAAAAACAGGGTACCCAAAAAACGAAAAATTCGAATATATAACGTGTAGCCATGAGGGGGTTCGATAGTGCGATCGCACCCCCCCCCCCCATAACCAATGAAAATATGACCATGATGATAGAGGAAGAAAAGAGCCTTAAAATGGTTTTTATTTGAAGCTTCTAGCTCAATTTTGAAGGAAGATACATACATTTTTGTAAATTTAAAACAACTCTTACAAGTTTTCTAATGATCTAATTATGTTATATTCGTTTTTTTCGTTTTTTGAGTACCCGTTTTTTTCGACCGGGTACCAAGTTTGAACCCAGCATGGAGGATTTACTACCCAGTATCCGGTACCCGGTTTTTTCTACAAACCCTTCTCTGCCATTTTGAAAAAAAACATGGCTACAGCCTTCCTCCACATTATAACTAACTATTTGAAATATACAAAAGTGAGGCCTTGTACATATGTTTCTATTTTTCAGATACTGTTGTAAGATGGTCATTTGATTTCTTATTTTTTAAATTCAAAGGACTCTATAGAATTTTGAAACGGACTACATTTTCATAGTATTTTTCGAAATCTAAATTATTTCTACCACATCATGTTCATAATGATTTTTATATATTGCATACTGGGTCTTGATCAGAATGAACCTCATACAACATCACATTTCTGGAAGGTCTACCATTGACACCGAACTTTTCCAAACAAGCCCAATTTTTAGAAATAAAACAATAATCTCTGAGTTTTTTCAGAATTGCCAATTCAGTTTTGTAACACTGATTTTTCTCCTGTTTTTAATAATCCCTATTTTCTCCTGGTTTTTACCAGTATTTAGAAAAAAATCCTTATGCCGTAGAATTGTTGATTCAGTTTTTGTACCCACGATATTTCGCCTGATTTTTTTAAAAACCCTGATTTCTTCCTAATGTTTTACAGAAATCCCAATTTTTCCTGAATTACCAGTAAGAATTATCAGATTTTTCCAAGAAACCTAAATTTAAGAGAAAAATAACTTCTTTCACTTTACAGATATGTTTGATGGCTAAGAATACTGATAATTCTTGTTTCAGTTAATTCTACACAGTTAGTGTACCTGCTATCCAAGATCTCGAAAGTTCAAGTACATGTAATCTCAGAGGGTTTGCACTGGCGGATCCAGAAGCTAACAAGGGGGGGGGTTCCACATTTCAAATCATTAAAAAAAATTCTGCGCTTGTGTGGAAGCAATTTTTGGGCCCCATAATCCAAAAATTGGGCCCACATTTTGAAAATTTAAGGCCTATAAATCTTTTATATTTTCAGAACATGTCTAGGTCCATAACATTTGTTACTGGAAACATAAAGAAGCTTGAAGAAGTGAGACAAATTCTTGGGACATCTTTCCCTTATAAGGTATGAATCAGACATACACATATACATCTTTTCATAGTATGAATTCTTCAAAGAACAGAACAACAGATATTTCAGATATTTGAGATGTATGTATGTTTTTGACTCACTGATACAGTATCAAGGTTCTTACCACATTGGTTAGAGATTTGTAGGATACTGTAGCCTTATCTAATGGAGTTGAGTTATGTTAGCAGATATTGAATATAGATGAACTATGATTATGAATTTTCAAAACTTTACTATTGTTGAACCTTAGACCAGAATTGATGGGAAAACCTCAACCAAACAAAGAATGTAATCTATATTTGAGACTGTAATCATTAGTAATTGGAGAAAAACTGAAGAATCATTGTACACTGTACAGTATGTCTATATTGGGGCGGCCATGCCTTGAAACATAGGCAAAGGCTGATAGGAATAATTTTAAAATAAAGATGGCATGGTAATCGATCTGTGTTTATTTATAAATATTCTCAGAGAAAAAGATAATACTGGATTCTGTTAGTGTGCCATCTTTATATCGGTCCAGAACCTATGCCTTGAAAAGTTGTGATACATGAAACAATGGAATGCAAAAAATGTTCTTAAAATATTATTGAGAGAACAATGGGCTTTCAATTAGAGTTGAAAGCCCACGAGAGAACTCAGGGTACTATTATATTATAAAGAAAATTAAAGTGTGAAAAGAAAATGAAGTAAATACATTACATACATTGAATGCATATTTAATAGAATTTAAATTGTTTTTCTATCAGGTGATCAATGAGAAGATAGATCTACCAGAATACCAGGGAGAACCTGATGATGTCTCCATTGCTAAATGTAAATCCGCTGCAGAGATTGTAAAAGGACCAGTGGTAGTAGAAGACACATGCCTGTGTTTCAATGCACTGGGAGGTCTACCTGGTCCATACATCAAGTGGTTTCTTGATAAATTGAAACCTAAAGGTAAGAGTATATTGTAAATAGCACTATACTGTACATTGGATAGCATTATAAAGTATGCATCATCAGATACATGACCTTATTTAGATTCCTTGAAGAAGCATTGTTGTTTGTACAAGTTTGGTATCCCTTATGTTTTTACATTTGGAGTTCTAATTAATGTTTATTTACCTATCATACCAACTGTTAGATGTTAAAAATGTTAAAGAATCAAGACATCTCATTATCATTCTTCTTTGTGCTTTCTTTCATATCATCTGTTTAAGAAAAACTCCTCCATTTAATAAGATATTACATGTTTAGAAAACCTGTCTTAGTGAACACCCCTTCTCAGCACATACTCATGTCTTCTGCATAAAATCTCCTCTCTGCAGTGAACACCTACCTATAATGAACACATTTTTGTGACCCCATAGGTGTTCACTGTACACTGGTTTTACAGTTTTATGAATTTACATCATTTTTATTTATATTATTATTTGATATTAGTTTCCTGTATAATATTTGAAATGATGAAATAATATTTCATTCTAAGAGAACATGATTTTGACATGGTATTTCAGGACTCCACCAAATGCTTGAGGGATTTGAGGACAAGTCTGCATATGCTCTCTGTACATTTGCATATCACTCAGGAAACAAAGATGACTCTGTACAGTTATTCAGAGGAAAAACCGATGGAAAAATTGTCATTCCAAGGGGCCCAACTGATTTTGGTTGGGACCCCTGCTTCCAGCCTGATGGCTTTGAAGACACATATGCTGAAATGGAAAAGGAAACCAAAAATTCAATATCTCATCGAGGGAAGGCACTTAGAGAGATGAGGGACTATTTCGTAGGTTTGAAATGATGAGATTTGCTGTAACCCTAATGAATACTCAATTACTTTAATGAGCATCAGTGCTTATCTTCTAATACCAAGAAACTGAACTTGGTAGAAACACCTTGAATAAATGTAGAAAGATAGATAAACATTCAGTTATTTTTAGATTGCCAGATTTATATTTTCTTTATGACCAAGCATAAAACAATAAAAGTTATTGACTTATTTTACACTTTGTACAATTTTATAAAACATCAGTGTCTGTCTACTTTACAGCCTCTAATGTTTTTTTATAAACTTGCATGTCTTCTATTGTTTACTAAAGGAATAAATTTATGTATAAAAAAAAAAAAAAAAAAAAAACTACAGCCCCATAAGCAGCTATCATCAGGAGAAAGTTCAAGTTTTTCAGGGGAGCTCGAAATTGCTTACATGTTGTCACAATGCTAAATTTTATTAATAAAATGGCAACTTTACACCAACATCTCGAAAAGCATATTATTCAAGAAAAGTTCAAAGGTAAGAATTCAAATATTTCCTGGATGAAATTTTGATGGGTGGGAGGCTTGAAGAAGATTCCCAATTCCCCCTGGCTTCAGACATGCTTGGTACTTTAAAAAACGTGATATGCAGAATATGCTGATTATTCGGTTCATGGGTTTTAGGGAATATCTCTATCTCAAGGTATAAATGGTTTTCATATAATGGATCAACCTTGGAAGTCCATGTCCATTTGGTAAATGAAGTTATTTACATCCAAATATTGCATTTCCAGTATGCTATTCCAGTCCACTTTATTATTTAGAACTCATAATATAATGACTGGATGATTTGAGAGTATTTGAATCAGTCGGTGCCAATTATTGCAGTGAGGAGTTTCTTGTAATCCCCAGAGGTGTCATTCTGTACATCAACCACCAGTGTACTGTTGAAGAGCTCCCTGTAGCGTTTCTTGATGTCTGCCAGGTCCACCTGTAATATACAGAGGGATGTAACATTTAAAAATAAGATAAAGACAGACCATTATCATTGAACCATTGCTATCCTCTTTCTGTTGATCTTATACCCGCCCATTGTTAATTATGTGGTTCACTGGAATAGTCATATGATATTGTACCTATGATCCTAGCTAGTATTGTACACTGGTTATACAGGGTGACCCAAAAAAATGCAACCCTCCATTTCTTCAATATTTTTCTTAAATGGAGGTAAATTGCTCTGAAATTTGGCACACAGGGACTTCATTCAATGTGGGATCCTCTGGCAAAGTTTCAATAATCATAATCTTATATTGATAGACTTATGGCCGTTTCAAAATATGCTCCAAATGTCATCCATTTCCAATGTTAGGTTTTCAGATGAATCACATTCCCTTCTTTCTGAACATGGAAAGTCAAGAAATAATGTGTTCTGGGATCACAAATTCCAGATGAAGTGCTTCAAAGGCCCCTTCATTCTGTTAAATGCACAGCTTGGGCTGCCAATTTCCAAACATGAAATCATCAGCCCCTTTTGGTTTGAGGTTGATAATGGCAACACTGTTACTGTTAACACACAGCGCAATATTGGCGTTCCCAGGAAGTTCTAGGCAGTTCTAGAGTGACATAGAGGCTTCAATAGACAAGAACAGTGGTTCTAGAAGGATGTAGCTACTCCTCACACTTCTAATGATAGCATAGCCTGGCTCACTAGTCATTTCTATGAGAAGATTATCTCTCCTAGGACGGAGAACCCATGGTCATCCCACAGTCTTGATCTGAATGCCCCTGACTTCTCACTGAAAACGGCTTAAAGTGCCCGATAAACTATAAAATGCGCATGCGTCCAGGTGTTGATAAACTATAAATAGCGAAAATCCAGGGTTTGTCACCACAAGGTAAGCCAGGACGTGTTGAGAGAACAGCTAGTGTTGATATTGAATTTATATGTAGCCAGATAAGTTTCCTTATTGAAATTACATATGGTTATTAGCAATACTTTGTAGGTGCTAAATAATAAAATATTTAGAGTATATATGAGAGAAATTGGTCATTTCGAACCTGTTGAAAAGTTTGTGGCTCTCGGCTACACCGGGAATTTACTTCCATGAGTACACACATAAATGTGGGGTTTCCCAAGAGGTACGCGACAGGGTGACCTGGCATCAAATGTGCGACTAAATGCTACTATCGAGAAGATAAAATAACGAATACGACAATAAGTTATTGCATGTGACAATTCCGAGCCTTCATCTCACTGAAGTATTTTGAAGTAAAAATAGGATTTTTGTTTTGATACATGGATTCAGATGAACGTAACTTTATTCTTACAACTAATCAAAACTGAACAAAATTGATTATACGTAACAGACGATTTATTGTTTTACAATGTTTTGATTGGCTAAACGAATGAAACCAACAAATTATGACATGTAAAATGACAATTTTGAAATGTAAAATTTAAAAGTGACAAACACAACCTCCCTATCCACTCTTTGGGAGCCCTAGTAAATTAGTAATATGTACATGCAGCAGTGGTAGTGTACAGCTTATTATCGCACTACGCTTTGTATTCTAAAGCCTGTTGTTTGTAATAACACTGTTCACTCAACGTATGTTTTGTGTGTGGGCAGTCAACGATAATCATTGTTTTATCCCGGTTATATGACCTCGGCAATTATAAAAAACCGTACTAAACGAAAAAACGCAAATAAGAGAAAGCTTTCACACACATATAAAAAATGAACTAGTCTAATCCGCCAGTATAAACTCTGTGCTATACGTAGCCGGGTCAGGCGCACACTTTAAGTGTGAAACAAATTTTGTTAAAAATTCAAAAAAGCATTAAAATTATTTTTTCAAATAGACATGTAGTATGTATCTATATACATTTATACACACGTTACCCAAAGCATAGAAGTAAACTCCGAGGAACAATAGGTGGAATTTCAAATTGAAATTAGGGCCCGTCTCAAACGTGACGATTTTCACATTTTCAGTCCGTGATTAATATGCCAAGATATTCACATTAGAATGCAGCATTTTCAAAAAGTCAATGGCTTTCCTTATGCTACTCTACTGTCCTTTGAAAATATAAATGAATTTGGACTATCAGTATTTCCCTTTTGATGTGCATCCCTTATCAACATGAAACATCCGAATCCATCATTTTTCTCGATTTTTTTCATACGTTGTGTTTTTTATCTGAGTAAAATTGAAAGGGGTCAACCCTATTGAAAAATGAATCGATTCGATCATGAAAAATGATGCTTTAGACGAATAGAAAAATGATAAAAAAAATTATTTGGGAAGCATTGATCATTAGGCTGGTTCACCTTTTTCTGCGTGTCGATTTTCACAAGAAAATTGGAAACAAATGACAATGAGTTATATGTTCACTTAAGAGAAGTCCTAATTCACGAATGGGCATTTTCGATGACTATAGCTAGCTGAATTGAGAAACAAGTTTGTATTTGTGTCTTATATTATCACATTTATGTTTAATTTTCCGTCAAAACTCGACATAAACCGTGAATCAGTGAATAGCACAATCGTGCCGTGTTTCACTATCTCCAAGGAAAAAGCAGTTACGTACGTGTGACATACATGTATGTGGACTCATATGCAATCATAGTTTACATGTACTGAGCACATCTTTTCTATTTTCAATAACTATGTGCACACCACATTATCTTTTTTAAATCAACTTAACCCAAACCTTTAACTGATTCAAGAAACCAGCACTTTTACATTTTATATCGATGGTGCAAATGCCATGTTGTCAAGCACCCAATTGCAATCACCCTAGTTCTCTTTTAATCTCTAATAGTATATGAGGCAAGACACTTTGATTTCGATTTGTTTTTACAATTTGAGAAACTTTTACTATGGGTGTAGACCAGCTGCAGGGTGACGTAGTGAAGTCTTTTCTGCATGCACCACAAGCAGCAGGGCAACCATACATGTTCATCCCAAATGACATTAACGGCATTCAATCATGCATCAGAAAAGTCCTTTTTAAAGATTTCAAATTTCAAGAGAGACTTTTTCATTTAAAATCTGTTACATCTACTTGATTGTACGTAATCATTTGAAAGAAATAAGAATGATATTGCTGACTTTTTAAGTCTGACGTAGCCAAAGCATGAAAATCATCTGGACTGCATCCTCCTAAGCAGGTATTCAGAATACGTAAGAAAGAATATATTCTGAATTTTGAAGCCCTTTGATCGGAGGATGCTGGACTGTGAATATGAAATTTTTCTTTTGGTCTGCGGAGCGCTTCCTCGATGCCCCGATCTCATCACAAGGACATTTTTATGGCAACTGAAAACGTTCTTATTGTTGTGTTTTGCTTCATTCGAGCTGAGTTAAGTCGGCAGTCCTAGCTAGAACGAATTTTTTGTCAGACTCGATACTTTTTCAACGGTTTCTGATATCACATCACATAACTCTAAGCATAAACTCAATTCTTTCCTGTTTTCTGGAAGTTTAATGTTCAGTGCAATGCGTTACCCCGGTTTTGTTTGAGAGAAAGAGAACCTTGAAAGAATTAATCTCGCTTTGTTGCCTCCATTCTCGAAGCTTGCATTTTGTGTTTCCTATTTCTTTTTGTTGTCGGTTGGCGATATATTTCAAAGAGGAGTGTATTTTTGCATTGCTTGCCTTACATTTTCTTTTCCAACGAATTGCGTTTTGCGAAGGCATATTAAATATTACAGATCATATACAGATCGTGCAAATGGAATTGAAATAAAAATTAATTATAACACAAAAACATCGTTGAAAAGCTGTAATCGTTCATATAACTTAACTAGGGGTTTCGGTTTATGCTGTTCTCCATTAATAATGATTGCATCCATTGAAAAGAAATCAGAATGCAAATATTAAGGGACTTTATGATTGATTTCAGCGATCCCCGGGAATACACTGAACGAAACGTTATTTACTGAGGGTCAACTATTTTGGGCTTTAATGGTCTTCATATTACATTTTTTGTTATGACTTTTCCGATAAATTATGCTTACGGAATTCCCAAATAACTTGTCATTTGTTTGCATGTTACATATTATTGTAAAGACGTATAAAATGTAAAAAGTACATTTACAAAAGGGCAAATTCGTTAGCCGTTATCGTTTCCTTGTCTATGAATTGAGTTTTATGCGTAATTACTGAATAACTGTTAAACTTGTGTTTTAAGAATATGGGTCATCATATAAAATTAAACCAATCCATCTGTGATTTATAAAAATGGCGTATTACTGCTTTGAGTTCAATGCTATAACCGTGACGTTTTTCACGCGTGACGTTTGTCACAGTTTCGCAAAATATCAGTTCATAGATGGGGTAATGCTGGCTATTTCGAAAATCCTTTTATTTTATGATGGAGTGGACACATTGTTTTTCTTGAAATGTGTCCCATTTCCAACAAGACTACTGTCAATATATGAGTAACATCATGGTCGTTTTTCACAAGCAAAACGGTGATTTTTCAGAATTTTTCAGATCATGCTCATTTTCATTCAATCACAACTATTATCACGATTTGTAACACAATGGTCTGATAAACTGAACTGAAGACTTGATAACCACGGACAATTTATTTATCTCGAGTTTCCCTTCTGCCGCCTGGGCCTGTTTTAAGGACCGTGACGTTTTTCACAGAATAAATTTTACATATACTATAATGGGTACATATAATCGGTAGTAGGTGAGAAGCAAATACACTGCTGTCATCACACTCTGACTGAATGTGTTCTATGCCAACAGAACCAAAATGAAAAGATGCGACCATTTTTAAGTGAGATATGACATGTTTTCACGGGCGTGTTGTCCCGTTACATCAACAAAATTCACGAAATTCACAACTTATTCGCGAGTTATCAAAGTTATTTACAACCGGAATAATCAATAAGTATGCTAACCGAATCTAGATAAAGGCATTTTATTTTAAAATACATAAAACAATGAGAAAAAATCATTTTAATTCTAGCTATTTTCAATTACATGAAAAATACTCATTTTTAACATTTATTGGTTTTGAATGTTCTATATATGGGGTTATTTAAAGGATAATGTGTATGAAAATAACCCTACTGCAATTGCAGAACTCCAACAAGCAATGGCTGCAAAGACTTTAGCCATATCCATGGAGAAGAATGCATCCGTGTTATGAACAGTTTTCCTTGAACATTGCAAGTTTGTTTTCAGCGAAATTGACGACATCTGGAGCATATTTTAAACAACCATAACTCTATCTATTAAAACTTTGCCAGAGGATCCCACATTGAATGAAGTCCTTGTGTGCCAAATCTCAGAGCAATTTACCTCCATTTAAGAAAAATATTGAAGAAATGGAGGGTTGCATTTCTTTTGGGTCACCCTGTATATGATGTCACAATTTAGACAGAAAACTTTTGGGAGGGGATGGCTAGTGTGAACAAATTATACTCTCTATTTTATATGACCCCTTGTCGCCCCTGATTGAGTATTTGCTATATTTGGGTTATGGATTTAAAATGGTTTCTGCAGATGACTTTTGTGATGAGTTGTCTTGGAAACGACTTGTCTTGGGGACCGGTTAGCAGTGAATACATACCTCACTGTGGTCCACAATAAGACGTATCAGGGCACTATCGTCTGTACCAATTCCAGCCAAGCTTTCATGGAGACAGGTCGCAAAATACGTAAGTGGATTCCTGGCATATGCACCTAGGAAAGGAAATGAAATGAAACATGAAGTCCCACACCGTTTAGCGATATCTTGAATGAAGAAAAGATTTCACAAAATCGATACTCAAAACAGATTTAGTTTGTTCGCAATCGCGACTTACTGAAATTGACTGGAAACGAGATATGTCAAAACAAAACCACAAACCCGGGACCACATATTTGTAATCAATCATCAATCATTTGTATCAATTCATCATCTAGCGTATTTGTATAGTTGACAAAAATTCAAATATTATTTTATACATGCACCATTTTATTTGGAAATGACCCATGTGACACAGATGGTGGTTAGTTTTTACATGGATCTTTTTTAGTTCATTCACAACCTTTTATGTAGCAGTCATGGCTAAGCTTTCTCCTCGGATTCACTTGAATTTCAAATAAAATGTAGATATGATAAACCCATTAGTTAGTAGGCCATTACATTACTTACATATTGCTTTGAAAGCATCTCTGGTGTCTGGTTGTGCTATCAGCTGTGCCTCATAATCCAAGGTTTGTTCAATTTCTTTACCAGCTATCTTTTTGTATTGGTCAAACACCGCATTCATATGAGCGCGGCTCCTAAGACTGAGAACCTTGTTGAACTTGTACTCATCAGTTCCATTTTCATTTGCCTCTCCAGCCTAGAAGATACCAATAAACAATAAACTTTTATCAGAAGGCTTCGTCTATAATTACTACCAGCATTTACAGTTACACTACTCTAAACATGTGGCTATCTCTCTGGACTGCCGGAGAATTCGAGAACGATAGTGGCTGTCTTGAGAATAAAGGCTTGGTAGACAATATGACAGTTCAACAGCATTTACACAGTTTCAGTTCAACTGTAAGACCTAAAAGCTCTTAAAATCTACAGCCTCGTTCACTTTTGATCTACGCAACCGTACGGCGGCCGTAGCTTCAAATATTGAGAGAGATATGCAGCATATAGGGATAAACAGAATATAGGGATAACATGAAATAAAGGGATAAGTGTATATCGATTTTGTGATTGCTACGGCAGCCATAAAGCTTGCCCGCCCGTAGCCAGCTTTTGCCAAGGTTCGTCACTTTTTAAAAAACTCCAAGGGGGTTCACTTTTGACAATTTCGGTCCAGAAATGGCAAACATCACTTCAAAAGTACTCAGAATGGTGAAAACCTGCATCATTTTGAAAGAGAGTGAAGCTAAGCGGCTTAAGTCGGTTTAGATAAATAAGGGTTATGTACTGGGAGGTTTTGGATATGGGGTTTATCCAGAGGGAGATATGCATATCTACCTGAGGGACCGTAGGGACTGAAGGTAGATGTGCATATCTCACGAGGGATGAACCCAATATCCAAACCGACCGTACATAACTGCTTTATCCTATACCAAGTAGAGTTTTCAGGGGCATATGGCCATTTCAATAGTACAAGGTGTAAAAATAAACAAATCATTTATATGCAAAGTCATTTTATTGCATTACCGGAAGCGGGAAGATATGCACCGGAAGCGGGAAGATATGCACCGGAAGCGGGAAGATATGCACCGGAAGCGGGAAAATATGCACCGAAGCGGGAGATATGGCGGGAGATATGGAGGTTCTGGATATGGAAACCTCAAAATCAGGATACGGGATATATCTTACCAACTTATCTCCCTTAAACTCTACTTGGCATAGGATAAAAGGGCATATCATATACATTATACAGTTCAAAATAATTCGAGAGGTTGGCAGCTCCACCATTTTGTGACAGCTTTCATATTGTATTTGAACTATAAATACCCACTGACTAGTCCATCATTATTTCATAGTCTGTTTGACTGAACTCACCTGGTATATCTCCTCGGCATCTTTAACAACTAGTTCTTGGTCAACTTCAATGTTATCCGCTCGTTTACCCTGTATTATAGATATTATTATGTTTTGAAACGTCCCAGACAAATCGCTCTTCAGATCCTCCTCCATCTCACAATCATACACTGAAAAGTCAAATGGTTTTATGTATACATGGTATATGTCTTAAATTATCGTAGACATCAAATATTCACTTCTTAACGTACACTGACGTATAGGTCGTAATAAATGCACATCTAGAGATCTCAGTTTTAGACTTTATATTATCTCATGTTTTGGGGTTCTTGTACCTCAGCTTTGTAGAGAACCCTTACACTTAAATTATATGCACGTGATTTTGTCACTTGCAAGTAAGGCATTATCTTACATCATAAAAATACGTCAGGGGCGTATTACTTACTTGCTTCGTATGCATCTGCTATTGCTTTTATTTCGCTGTTAGTCTTAGAACACAGAACTTGTATAAGGGTTTTCTCACATGTTCCAAACTGAAAGAATATTAAACATAAGTTGTAATGAGAGACTTGAAATTGTTATTATAATATTAAAGTGTTTGAGAATACGTATATTGCGGTTGCAAGACAGTGACTTGATAAGTATCCCGATAAGTATATATCAAAATGAATCATCCTCCGAACCTAGGAGTCTCTGCAGACGACATCCATTTGTGACTGTCTTCTGTTGTGTCTTTGAAGACAGATGGCACTAATAAAAACGGTGGATGATGTCTGCAATCTGAGACCCTTTATTCGGAGGAGGACATGAAAAGAGAGCCAAGAGTGATAAAATCAAACGAACCTTCATCGCATCGTGAATACATTTAGCATCAAAGTTGCTAGATGGTACAAGCAAGGCAAGTACCAGCGTTTCAAAGAGTCCCCCAAGCTCTGCTTTAACCTCCTCTTCCAGGTCTTTCCCAGTCTGCGCTTTGAATTGTTTGATTATTTCTTGTCTCTGGGCATTACTATGAGTGGTAAGAATCTCGATAACTCTCCTCTCATCTGTACCTATAATATAAAAACCTAAACAGGTTCAAAGAGGGACAAATATGCTTGTAGGGATCGTAGTTTTAGTTATACTTGATGATTATCGTATACACAATCAGACTGCGATAAGTGTACATAGTTACACGTCGCACGAAACTGGGGACAATTAGCGTAACATTATGGCGTCAAAAAACCAAAACAAAACAATGAGCAGTATAGGGCGCAAACAGCCTTACAACGTCAAAAACGACAAGCGTCACATTTTTTTCAAGTTTATTCAACCTAAAAATAAAATACTTTATCCTTATCTGATCATTACAAAATTCTCAGGGTAGCAAGATCTTGAGGACAATATTTCTTAAATGTTTTTGAATTTTGAAAAACGGTCAAGAAATCCATTTGGGGCGTTAGTAAAAATTGATATGTATGGAATTTGTGGTACAAAATCGTCACATTTTTTTCAAGTCTCGAAAACCAGCTCTTATTTTAATATTATTTGCAAAATAAACAAACGGGTTATTGTTTTGTAAATTTCGCCATGACAATATTGTGCAGTTATTTTTTCTTTCAAATGCCCAGAAGAGTTCGTGCCCTTATCCTAAGTCGTGGTTATCCCACTAGATATTGATTATTAACTTGTTCCATATACTCACGGGCAAATTGCAAAGTGCACACATACTTAAGTACATCTTCAACTTACCCAATCCCACGAAAGCTTTCTTTAGTTTACCAACGATGCCCTCGTAGTGCTTATCTGCATCTTTTATTTCAAAATTGTTAGGTTTTATCGTGCCCTGAAATAAATGAAAATGGAATCATGTCAAATGGTCAAGAAAGTCGATGTTAGAGGTCGACGTTGCCCAACATGTTATATAAAAGAAGATGCTGTCTAGTGTCTACATTCTACAGGGTAATGCGTCTATTGGTATCAAAGTTGTCACTACAAGTCCTATGATCAGTGCACATTGTCACAATCAATCCCTATGGCCAGTGTACAATGTATATTGTCACAATTGTTGCCCAACATGTTATATAAAAGAAGATGCTGTCTAGTGTCTACATTCTACAGGGTAATGCGTCTATTGGTATCAAAGTTGTCACTACAAGTCCTATGGTCAATGCACATTGTCACAATCAATCCCCTGTTCGTACATTTTCAGTACACGAATTGAACTTAATTAATGCCCAACGTGCATTACTGTACATCAGAATATCTATAGGCAATACTCAGTGTTTGTTGCCTCAATCAATGTTTTGTACCATTCATATTTTAAACCATCATTTCCACATTGTTTATATTGACAACCATTAATTGCAACTTCTTTCAACTGCTCATTAATATTGCTTATGGTTGTGCGCATGATAGGAAAATCCAAGAAACAGTTTATATACAACCTAAAACTTGAACATCAAACGAACAAGAAACGATATATGTTTTATATCTATTCCCTTACCTCACAGTACATCGCCATTTTGATCCTTCGTTGCTAGATGCATCACGTGATTGAGTTTCTTTACAGATTTTTTACACACCTGTACTTTGTAGCACTACTGTTCTATTGATTCAATATGGCTTCTATTCAATACAGAGCTATCTTTTTTATGCTCGTGTTTACACTAGCGTTCAATACAAACTAAGGAGCAGGTAAATAGAATGAAGCTCAATCCAGGGAATAGTCTTTGATTTATATATTGATTTTTTCTGATATTCACTATGAACCAAAATTAATGAATGTACGTCTTTTGCTTTCAAGGTATTGGAAAACAAACAGATTGTTTTGTCTTAGTTTTACTTGTTCTCTTATTCATATTTCAAGTGGTCAATTACTTTAAGGTGAATTGGTCACCAACCCTGACAACTCATACTAAAATGATTCCTACGTGTAATGTGCTCTCGGAATTGTTTGAAATTGGTGATTAAATAAAAAATAAACAAATAATTAGGTTATTTTCAGATTTTACTATTCATAACATTTTGTCAACTGCTCTAGTGTTTCTTAATTTTATAGGGCATTCCCTTCTTTATAGACTTACAGTTTATATTTAGTACCACCTATTATCAATTCGTTATCCATGAAGTTTTATACAGAACATGAAATATATCCCTTTATTATATCATTGCTAGAAATCGTGTAATATAATTGGCTGCCCTCAAATTTTAGAATATAAAAGACGTACTGCCCGGCGTATTGGCCGCCCGGGAATTCTGACAACTGCACGGGACGAAAATTAAAGATCGTAGAGAATGTCTAAAACAATATATAATAAAACAAATATTTCATTCTTTGTTCGGGCAATACCTGTTTCACAGCTTAATATTGTATAAACCGCAGTTCTACATACCATATGACATGTATTTAACACAAAAAGTATATACATCTGTTTATTTTATTCCTCTTAAAATACATTTATATTATTTGTTATTTATGCTTAATATTTCTTTGTTACAAGAAATATATATTTTTGAGTAATATAATATTATTACAATAATAATAAGTTAGCTGCCTCTGGTAATATTATGTAATACAGAATATCAACTTTCACCCCAAAACTATATTTAACATAGATTCCTACATATAATAAGTTCAAATCCAATCCATCCTGATTATCATAACAAATTAAATTAAATAATTTGTGTCGATCCCACATCAGTTTCACTGTAAAGCTTGCAATTTTAACAAACTTAATAAATATTTATATTAATGGTTGAATATCACCCATTTTTCCTATAGATCACAGGGTGCAGTGCTACAGTTAATGGCTCGTTCAGAATCACGAATTTGGCACGTACATGAATGGTTAATCTCGCTGCATGTCAACAAATAGACCAAAAATGAAGGCCCTTTAGTAGATCCTTGTGAAAAATGCTGATCGAAAATGCTTCAGTCCTCAACATTAGGATAACCCATCTTGCCTGAGTTTAATCACATAACATTCAGTATCCTCATAATTAAATATCCTCATAAAAATGTTCATATGGGGATTCTGGTGTTGTCTATCCTGTAGCTGTAAATGCCTGTATCCCCGTTATAGCCCGGCCCAGAATCAAGGCATGAATATCGTGGGTACCTGAAAGTTAGGTACAGATAAAATAAAAATATTAAATATGAAAGTAATCATGAGTCATAATAAGTCACAATCAAGATTATATTTCCATTAATCAATGTAATAATGTAGCAATGAGTGCTACATGTACATACAGTATGCAGTGCATGTACACTGTTTATGTAGTGGTAGACAATTGGGGCCAAAAATCTGATCCTCCCCGCACATAAACTGGGCAATTTAGATTACAAACTGACATTACTGGGATTTATTATTTCAATTCTGGGCCTAATTTTTAGAAAATTGGACCCAAAATTGAAAATATATATTTAGTATGACTAAATAGTAAATAATGAACTTACCTTCGTAACTGTTGACTGCTTCTAGGTTCATGACGTGTCGTATAATGTGATACTCATCGCAAATACCATTTCCTCCCAGCATATCTCGGGCATTTCGGGCAATTTCTAAAGATTTGCCACATGAGTTGCGTTTAATCAGAGAAATCATCTCGGGTGAGGCCCTGAAAATGTATTATGGTTTAGGAACTATTTTAACAAGAACACAAATGTGTACAAAATGTCCCCACCTATGGGTGATCCCGTCAAATGGTTATCCTAAAAATGAGTAGACAAGACTTTACCGAACCAATTGCTGCCTTGACATTTACCCAGAATGCCAAACAACTAATCAGATCTAGATTTTCATACTAAGAATCATCCCTGAAAATTTGAAATTGCTCTACCACACAGTTCACCTAAAAACGCGTAGACAAGACTTTACGGGCAAGATTTTAAGATGGAAAATCCAAAATGGCTGCCTTGATATTTATCCAGAATGCCAAAAAACTAATCAGATCTAGATTTTCATACTAAGAATCATCCCTGAAAATTTGAAATTGATCTACCAAACTGTTCACCTGGAAATACGTAGACAAGACTTTACAGACAAGATTTTAGGACGGAGAATCCAAAATGGCTGCCTTGACATTTACCCAGAATGCCCAAAAACTAATCAGATCTAGATTTTCATACTATGAATCATTCCTGAAAATTTGAAATTGATCTACCAAACGGTTCACCAGGAAATACGTAGACAAGACTTTACAGACAAGATTTTAGGATGGAAAATCCAAAATGGCTGCCTTGACATTTACCCAGAATGCTCAAAAACTTATAAGATCTAGATTTTCATAATAAGAATCATCCCTGAAAATTTGAAATTGATCTACCAAATGGTTCACCTGAAAACGAGTAGACAAGACCTTACAGACAAGATTTTAGGACGGAAAAATCCAAAATGGCCGACAATAAAAAAGTGATTATAAGTTTTTGCCGATTTCTTTTTACAAAATTATCACATATAACTACTGTTAACAATAACATAGGCTTTTACAACAAAGTACACCTGAAATTCTTTATAAAGTTACTAAATAGTTAAAGTATGAAAACTGAAAAACACCATTCAATATGATACAAAGTATTATCGCGCGCTTACTTTTCTTAAAACATTCAAAATGGCTGACATGACTGAGCTAACAGGTCCAAAACCTAATCAGATGTAGAATGAAGTGAACTGAACAAGATGTTAAAGTTTTAAAAGCAACTGTGAAGCCGTTTTTCTTAAAGTTTGCAGACAAGGATTTTAGCATTTGGCTTCAAAATGGCCGACAGGAAGTAGGTATCGAGTTAAATTTTTTTCATCCACATCTGTATGCACTCATAAGTTATCCCTGAAAATTTGAAGGTGATATCTGTAGTGGTTTTGGAGAAAACTGCCGGACGTACGGACGGACAGACGGACGCGCCTAGGCCGACAATATGGCCCCACACTATGTGGTGGGGACATAATAACAAAAAGTAAATACAGTTTAACACAGATGTTTATATCTCAAAGATGACTGAAACTGCTTCAACCAATCAAATTTCTTGAAGGGTTAGGGTAAGATCTTCAGTCACCCTCAGGTGCAGTCCAAAAAGTGTTACCCCTTGTGAAAACAATCTCTCAGAACATACTCCATTAAGCCTTTCTGTAGTGAATACCTACCCACAAGGAATACTTTTTGTACCACTATAGTACTGTTTACTAATGCAAAGGTTTTACTGTAATGTGACATATTCTGTTAACATATGTTAGGAAGATAATAAACTTCAACTATGTATTCAAGCTAATTTCAACTTTTGTTCATTCTGTTTATTTTATTAAATGGATTCAATGAGTAGAAAATCCATTCGAACTTTTTTACTATTATTTTAATCTATGTATAATAAATGAACAAAGTATGAACTATGTATTATAAAATAACTAATAATAAGTTCCCTCACTTGTTTAGGTCCTTGAGTCTTCCTACTTGTAAACATGCTTGAAGAGCTATACTAATCTCTGTCAGCATATCAGCCATTTTCTTCTGAATCAACTGGTTCCTGGCTAAAGGATTGCGGAACTGCACCCTGAAAGATTCGATTAAGTTTGTTAATCAAACAGTTAATACACATCCAATTTTTCCCAAATAGTTAAAAATTTCATTTTTACTCCAATGCATGTAATACTATGTAAGAGTCACAAGAAAATAAAGAAAAAAATTAATTCTCCAGTTTTCCATGTTTTTGACGAACTCCCGTGCAGTGATATATCACTGCGGCGGGCAGGTATCTCACCGTAAGCATGGTAACATCGTAATAAACAACTGACGTGATTGGTTCTAGTCCCATGCTCAGGTCGCGTGATTGTAAAATTTAGACAATTTCATTGGTTGAATTGCGCGTATTAACTAATAATAAACAACACGTGCGGTAAACTTTTATCAACACAACTTTTACTCAGAATTCCTTCGCCGGGGATTTCCTCTTATATTTCATTGATTTTGTAATATTTTGACAAAATAATTATTGGTGAACATAAAAGAATATATATTTTATAAGTTGTGTGAAAAACAAGTACATCTGTGACAAAAAGGGGGACTATCTTCCCCAAATTTTGGGGATTCCATAATCTGCCCGCCGCAGTGTCTATACCGAGACACTGCATAGGAGTTCGTGTTTTTGACTATGGCAAATACTGATAAATAGAACAAGAAAAATTGGATATAAATTATTGAATGGAACATGTACAGAACAAGTCATTCATTACCTGTCAAGTGTATACTGTCTGGCATACTCCAGGCAAAATTCAGCAGCTCCTAAGGCACCCCAAGCTATACCATACCTGGCATTGTTTAGACAGCCAAATGGACCCTAAAATAATTCAAAATATAGTACAAGTTTAAGTTTATGCCATGATCAAAATGAATATAGGCCTGGGTGATGCAGTATATTAATCATTTGCCATTAAGATTGTGAAACTAAGCCCCAAATACCATGAAACAAATCTGCCTTAGTTTAGAGTATGTCATACACACTCGCGAAAATATGTGAAAATATGTGATTAGATTCTTGTATTTTTTTTTGCATTTACAATATTCAATTCAATCAATAAATTCACTAATTTTCATATTTGAAAGTCTTTTTGTCATTCATTTGAATTCATTTATTTTGAGCTCTACATACACTTCCTTTATTTCAACACTAAGCTAGTGTTATTAGAATCTGACTTACACCTAGACCTGACACATGAGGTAGAAGATTCTCTTCAGGTACTTCCACATCTTCCATGACAATCTGCCCTGTTATGCTAGCCCTGAGTGAAAACTTGCCTTCAATCTTTGGGGCGCTGAGTCCTAAAAATAAAGAAATCTTGATACAAACAGGGACCTCCTTTACTAAAGCTGGAAAGTGGTCAATATTAACTTTAGGATATACTTATATTTTTCCAGAAAATGATTCAAAATGGCCATTATTTCGACTTTTCAATTTCAACAAAGAATAGTTACAATTCATCTTTTTATCTAACATGGGATGCAAAAAGGATGCTTCTAGAGAGAAAACAAGGAAAAATACACCCATTTCTTCATACTTTGTTATGATTTAAAAAACAGGGCAGGTATACCTATTTCTTCATAAATGTGAATACATGTAGTATAAATTCACAGACCTGAACCTAGAATTTTACTTATTCTATGACTAAGTGTACATGTATATGCCACACAGTGTATATACTGATTACTGTTTTAATTACCCAGATACCCTTTTTAAGTTGGGAAATGTTACAAACCTTTCATTCCCTTTTCTAGAATAAAACCTTTGATTCTGTTGTTTTCTTTTGATGACTTGGCCCAAACTATAAACACATCTGCAATGGGGGAGTTGGTAATCCTAAAATTGCATAAAAATGGAAACTAAGCTTATATTCACCAATGCAACTTTCGACTCTTGGCTCCACGGTAAACCTACTATTGACCAAGTCATTTAAATATGAATTGATTAATGACACGTACTATTCAATTCAAATGAGCTGCCCATAAAAGTGAAGGTTTATCTGGAAGCTGGATGCCGTTAGTTGCATTCATGAATACAAGCTAAGACTCAATGAGAAACATAGTATCCTGCTGTTAAAATCAGGAAGCAGGTACAGTAGCTAAATCAACAATTTGCCATCATGTTCAGTTCAAAATAATTTTAACTGTTTTAGTACTAGACAAATGTAATGGCTTTTTAACATATCAAAGATCTTTGTATTAACATTGTAAAACTATCACTTCACATATTTTTTTGATATTCTGGTGACATTTTTCACAAAAATACTCCTTATTCCTAGCTCATAATGATAGATAAGATATGCTACAGTGTCACCTACCATGACTTCGCTCCATTAAGGGTGTATGTTTTACTGGACTCATTATAGGTGGCTTTAGTCTCCATACTACTGGGGTCACTACCATGGTTAGGTTCAGTAAGTCCAAATGCCCCAATTAGCTCACCTCTAGCTAAAAAACATAGATAAGATAAACTGTATACAACATACATACAACATACATCCATGTTATCATTTTACCAAGGAGGATTGGAAGCAAGGGTTCCAACTCGATATTCTTTGATCCCCAATCGATGAGGTAGTTTCTGATCCTGTCTGTATATTTCTATGGCTGCAAGGAGAATGGCCGATGTTCTTGATTGAATTTTGTATTCATAACAAGACTACATGATACCCATATATGGAACAGAATATCGATTGACATCCCTGAGAGCCAATCCTCCTACTATGTTTACTATGTATCTAGACTATTTTAAAACACGACAATTTGAAAATCTGTTTACCTAATCTTGGTATATATTTTTGTTTTTGTTCTTCAGTGCCGTAAGCATTAATAGGGTGCATGACAAGCGATGATTGTACACTCATAGCAGACCTGTAGCTGCTGTCAACCCTAAAATATAAAACAACAAAGTAGGATCAGAACACATGAGAGACGGCACAAGAAATCTTAGCCTCTACAAATGAGATGTTGCTCTATGTAGTAAATTCCCAATTGACAGGTCTCTTTCTATTTCATGTACACATGATAAACAACATCAAATGTAATCTACTTTTAAATAGTATCAAATAAGTGGAGCATAAACAGTATAACAGTTTTTCCAATCAACAAAGAAAGTTTACCTCTCAAGTTCCCTAGTTATAAGACCATAGGCTACTGAAGATACGCCAGCGCATCCATAGCCTTGTATAGTTGGCCCCAGTACACCAAGCTCACCCATTTCTGGCATTATTTCTTTATGAAAGACTACAAGATAATACAGCACATATGGCATTAAATAACAACATTACATATTCATGTACTACCATACCATACAATAGTATAGTGATAACACTTATGCAGACTTAAGGAAATGCACATTAAACATTCAATTTGGATGTTTCTGACTAGCTATTCACAAATGTTTTTCTTTTCTATTCTGATAAAACTTAACTTTCTTATTATTCAAATAAAACAATGTTTGTATATCCAATCAAATACTGTGAGTGCACCTGAGTCTATTTCAAATATGTCGATGAAGTTCTCTTTTAAGAAGTCAAATGCATGCTAAGGGTCACTGTAACAAACAAGCAATTGTACATGCACCGTACTTTGGGGGAAATAACAATCAACCTTGACAGATCATGTACCTTCATTTCTATTGGCTAAAATAATTCTTGGCATAAGTTGTTCTTGGCAGTAGGTGCGGAACTGGTCTCGAACCAAGATCTCTTCTTCTGTCAGTTGACTTTCCATATTAAATGCATCACGCCAATCAAATGCGGGAGGACCTGCAAAAGTATAAATGTTTGACAATGTTTTTAAATAAATAGAGTTAAGTCTCTGGAACCCATGACAATTTCACTAAAATGGACTCAACATCAAAAAACTTATTTATGTATCTGCAATTCCACTGCTCGGCATCCATCTTGTCAAGTACGTTTTTGAAATGCATGCGCATAATGACAAATGAATCAGGACCGATCATTTTCGTGCAGCAGCTACTCCGTGGAAGTTACCTGTTTACTCATAAGTTACTTCATCCCCAGCTCAAACAATGATGAAAAATTAAATAAATATACCTACAGTCTGTTGCTTCAAAGACAAGTAGTTGAACCTGAAAAATAAGAAATCTAAAGACTATTGTGTCATGATATATAGAAAATTATATTCATATTGCACATGAAAGAGATTTGCATATTTCAGATTATTTAGTGTTCAGTGCGATAAGCATGTGCCCTCTTGTAATTTCAGGTCTATCCGCAATGTTAATTTTTTCAAAATTAAGATGGCAGAGAAGCATCAAAATATAGAGGTTACAGACTTTATAAGCCAATTTACAAGCAATCCAAAATATAAAAATGTCATTCATGTGCTACAGTATATGAATATGTTTTTCAAAATATCATTGCAGAATAGTCCCGGGGGGTTCACTCCAATATACTTCTTAATACCTATGTGCCGCCCCAAAGACCCCCTTTTTGAGCATTTTTTCCATGGCAATTTCCTATCATGATAGAAGGTTTCTGTAGAAAAACTGAATTTTGGCTTTAAAAGGGTACTTTCTAAGACAATTTTCCATGTTTTTTCCTCTCAGATTGGCCAATTTCCATGTTTTATGCTCAAAGCCAAAATTGACCGTGCTGCACATACCTACCCAAATTATTTGGAGTGAACCCCCGGGAGAATAGTCTTTAAATTACTTATTTTTCAGGTTCAACTGCTTTTGCCTTTGAAGCAGAACAGACTGTAGCCTTCAACAACATTTTCGAAGGTCGAAATTTTTCGAAAATAGATTCAATCGGTTGAAAGGTCTTTCAAGATTTTCATCTAAAACATTTCTTGACACCCAGTGTCGAAGGGTTACACCATGGGGAGATAAATATACAATTTTCCACTTTATGAGACAAAAAGTTCACGTCACTTCTATATAATATAAGTAAATACCACTTGAGTTTGAGCTGTACATCGCCTGATTTGGTGCTTGCATCTTTGTCAAAGAAATCTGGAGTGAACGACATCGCATCAAATATCTGTTGAGAGCCATCGTCCTTCTAATGAAGCTTATCAATGCTTCCAGCTAAACAGTATGATGTTCTTTACAATAAAAGTAATCTATTATGCCACATAAAGCTTGAATTTATTCTTATTATTCAGTTCCAAATTCCAAATTTTATTTTTTCCAAAAATAAGTTACATATTATCACACTTCCGGTGTTGCGGACTGAATATTACACGGGTATTAAACGTTGAAAGTCGCATACTTGAATTTTAGAAGGCAGTTAGCCTCCAGAACTAAAACTTTATATAAACCTAATTGTAAATGTCAATGGGCCTGAGATTATTGATGTTATTAAGCAATCTAGAAGTCAAATCAAAGAACTTACTCGAGCCCCAAAGCCTTCTCTATGTTCCGGCTTTGCCGTGACTGTAGGCGGCAATAAATGCAAATCATAGTGACACACGCACAGTTTGAGGTTCTTTCCCAATTTTTTTTTTGAAATATCTTAATCCAGACAAACAATGCTTCAACCTTAATATAAATATAATTAATATTCTTATAAATAGTATTGATTATTAAATATAGTTCTAGGATGCGTGTGACACTACATGTGCCATACGGGATCAATGAAGTCAATTCTAGCTGTAAGCACTTTAACACTTTTATTGAATATACTGGCAAATCCGCCAAACGGAAACAAAAAATGAATGTTGGCAAAATATAATATAATGTGCACCCCCTCATTACAACGTACATGTATCAACTAAGCAAAAACAATTGGTATCATGGTGACAAATAGATGGTAAGCGTTTTTTATAAGCCGATGCCGGCTGGGCTGTTTGCAGGTTTATCATTTCTCAATGTTAGTGCAAAACATGTTATATTTTAATTGTATTTATTGAATGTGATATAATTTGCAGCGTGAGACTAAATGAATATTTAACTAACTAACTACATGTAACTCTAATATTCAAGATGTTTTTTCTCAGATATAAATGTGATAATAAGAGGTACATTTTCCATGTGTTTTGAAAATAAAAGCGCAGATCTTAACTGTTTTTCGAAAAACCGTTAATGTAACTTAAGTGAGGAAGTAAATCGACGATTCTGTTGTCTTCTGAGCTATTGTTTTCGCAAACATGTACATTTTCCCGACATTTTGTTACCAAAACGGTTCGTTTTGGTAACCAGCGTAATCGAGTGGATCACCAGTGAGCATGGGCGTATATATATTATATAAGTCCATCGTTCTAGCAAGACCTGATTTACTGCCTGAACACTCAGAATGTTCCACCTGAAAACAACTGTTATGTTGTCACGACGACACACATGTGACGTCATTATATATTTAAGTCGCATTGACATAACCTTGAGCTTGAAAAAATTATTTCACTATGACGTCATGTACACACATTATGACAGCATGAAGGTTGTCTATAACGACTTGTTTACCACAGCAACATAACAAAATAAAGAAGTCTATGCAATTTATTTAAAGACGTGTTTATCACAACTCAATAATAATAGAAAAGCCAAGATGTTATACGTTGAGACCTGTTTAGTCATGCTTGAAGATATAATGACGTTGATACAGACTGTGTCATCGGATGTGATTGATACCATCGCGAGGTAAATTTAAATTATAGCATAGCTCAAGACAACTCTTCAGATTTTTTGTATTTCATCAGTTTCTTTCTTTCTCCCTCTTTTTTAGTTACTTTCTATAATTTTTCCCGGACGTTTTTATAACCCCAAGTTGTTGGGAGCATGGGCTTTCAACGATAAATTGTCCGTCCATCTATGTTGAAAGAGTCACAATTTCACCCTTGGTATACGCAGCTAACGAAAATTGACCGGTACGGGTCAAAAGCTGGACCGGTACGGGTTAACGGTTTTATTTGAATTTAAAACAGCCATAACTTGCTCAATATTGACTTCCTTCGCGTTTGATTTTATAAAAAATGCCAGATGTAACACACATGTATAAAGATTCCTAAATTATGTTCATGCTATTGCCCCGAACCGGTCCGTCTTCTCGCTGCAAGCAGGATGAAATTCTTTGTCACAAAGTTTGGCATTTTTTATAAAATCAAACGCGCGTCATTGAAACTCACAAGATGTAAATAACATGTCATTTACATCATACCTTGATGGGGAAAAATAGATCTTATATGTTCGAAGTACTAAATAAAAGTTATCGTTAAAATGAGACAGTCGTTCTCGAGAGAAAAGAGCATAAATGCGCATTTAGAGAGTTTTGGTCCGTTTAAAAATCTGTAAAAAATTGGGGTACTTAAAAGCATCGGGAGGCATCATATATTTCAAATTAGACACGAGGAAGTCAATATTGAGCAAGATATGGCTGTTTTAAATTCAAATAAAACCGTTAACCCGTACCGGTCCAGCTTTTGACCCGTACCGGTCAATTTTCGTTAGCTGCGTATACCAAGGGTGAATTTAAGAATGATAGTGAAACCACCAGTAATATTAAACATATGTGATCAGTGATCTTATTTATCATTTATTATAGTTTGATGCAGAGTCAACTCTCAAATACTGATCCTATCAGTCTGTTTGGTCGTTTGTCAGCTTGTTTGTCGGCGCTTCTGAAACTCACACTAGATGTCCTACGAAATGCTGCATACTTATTATCTAAAAGGTAATTGTTCATAGCTTTTTCGAATATTCTAGTCTTAAGATAGTTTCTAATTTTCCAATTCTTCGCAAACAAATATCAGCTAAGAATGGCGAACCGTAGAATTATTTGGAACAACCGAAAAAGTTGACAAGCGGGGCAAGGAAAAAATAATTAAAAATATATCTTTATTAAATCATGTTTATTTATTTCATTGATTTGATTGTAGGGGTTGGTTGTTCCCACGCGGCTCCATCAACGCAAATACAAGATGAACAGACTGTCATAGGTGACCGTGTACAGGAACCATCGCCCCTTGAGCATACGAATAAGGAATACTCAGAACGGTCGACAAAAGACGTCGTCGGTGGTGCAATAACAGCCGGTTGTATTAAAGCAAGAAGCGTCTGCAAATCACCCAAGATTAAAATGGGCACTCGCCCTTTGAGACAATCCCCGACAGATGTTGATTTCTTTGACATCGATACTAAGATATGTAATACCATGCGGCGCCAACGTTTGAATTCTATGACAAAAATAAAGCACGGAATCTCTGCGTTGATGCCTTTAGCAAACGTACGCTCTGCAGAATCTACTTCAAATGACATTGTTGACATTAGCAATACCGCTAGTGTAACAGAAAGAACTCCCTACAGGACAGTGGAGTCAAAGCGCGAAGTACGAAATAGACTCAATACAAACAAATAATCGCCAAAGAAGAAGTTACTTGCGAAACGGATTAGGAAGTTCTTGACGCCTGAAAAGTTGATTGCACTTGGACGAAACTTAAAAAATCCGTATATCACTTTTGTAAATAGATACTGTACAATGTTTTCTTGACATGTTTTTGATACCATTTGTTGTTATGTGTTAATTATTTTATTGTTGTTATATTTTGATTTGAATGTATGCAAGTAATTTTCAAAAGTATAATATATTGTGATTTCACGTAAGCATCAGTCTTTTATTCAATATTAATGAACAATACAAATTAATTTAGACTGTCATAATCACTTTTTCCATTTTAACACTTCACTCCTGGCCACTTGCTATCGTTCAATGCTTCCCTCATTATTATCCGTTATCGCATATGCTACATATTCAAATAATTTATGAAGTTCCAACAGTCCATTCTTCCTTATTTCTTGAGAAAGCTCATGTTGCCCCTGTTTACTCTGTTACAGATCTTGTACAGTGCCTGGTCTAGTAGAAATTCATCATATGTAACCACTCTAGAATAAGAAAAAAGCGAAATTAGTATTGGAAATCAAAAATCAAACGATCAATCCTCTAACGCATTATTAGAATAACTTCTTATTCCAGGAGGTGACATGATGGGGGAGTTCCCAAGATATGTGTTCGGAGGAAGAAATAACCAGGTTGAAAGTAATTTAATGTTACATTCACAGGACTACAATATTATTGGCAAATGAAAACATAATCATATTGATAAATATTATATACAGAATGGCCAAATGAGAAAAATAACACAACCGGCCATTTCAGTAAACATGCCTCAACACCAGAGCGACCAAACGCATAAAAAACACCGTTTCCGCCAGATATCCATTTTCACAATCAAAATCACCCAGTTTTTGAATATGTAGGCCTATAATATGTTGATTTATAAGTGAGATATACTTCGATAACAATGTTCACACCTACCCGTCATTATCTCGATCTCCACCCATAAGAATACTTGTTTGCTGGTCAACATGTAATCCTAATGAGGTTGTTTCTCTTTGAATTCCACCCGACAAACTGAAGGTGAAGAATTTTTAAAAATTAAAGCACGAGTGTATAGGGTGACAATACCGAGGTATATATTGTTTATTTAGACACACTTAGCCTCAGCCCAATCTTATTTTTATGTTGTTTTTGTACGAGAATCTCGGATTTCACAAATGATATGAAAATTACCAAATTTTGTTACATTCATACCTTATAGATCTGGATCTCGTTTGAGCAGAATCAAAATGACTGTACCACTGCCTAAACACCTTTTTCGCTTCAAATTCGTGTATCACGTTATCATTGTTAACGTCGAATTTACGAAACAAAGACTGGATTTCCGATATTTCTTTAGTTGTCAGTAGTTTCACCAGATCTTCCTAGATAAAAACAGATATGATACGGCGATTATCAAAGATGGCCGGCAATATCTGACTTACCTAGCAACGTACTAACACTCATGGTTTCTTTTAGGTTAATTTTACACTAAGCATTTTTTACACCCAAGCCAAGGCCCATTTCTGCCATCGTTCTTTGCGTGTATCACAAACAAAATAGAAGTTTCATTTCAAATAATGAATGAGGAAATGAAAGATTCGCTTTTAACAAAACAGCACAAACGTACTGGCTTCCTCTTGGCAATGCAACGGGATGCTTCGTGGTTCATAAACTCCCACCAGTTGAGCTCCCCGCTTCCATCAACATCCATCAATTTAAATTCAATTTCCTGTCTCTTAACATCATCTTCGGTCATTTCTTCGTCTTCCTCGTCCCGATAACGTCGCTTCTTGAAGTTTACGAATTCCTCCATATTGATATTGCAATCTGCAAAACAAACGAGGTATTATATCTAACTTCATGGGGCTGTGGAACTCAATGAATTTGAATATTATGTGTTACTGATATTTGATCAGTATATGATCATGGGTTCAACATTGTAGAACCTTGCTATATTTTTGATCAGGGTGAATGATTATCTCTGTATGCCTCAGCATCATCAGCCGAAGAGCTGAAGTAATTACATAATCTATAGACAGACTACTCACTACATTATGATAAAGCTATGTTTTAGTGGAAGCAGACACGTCTAAACTGCCTACCTTTGTTAATATCATACTTCTTGAACTGGATGTCCATAATGCGCACTTCCTCGGGTAAGAGAAGAGTACACATGTTTGACTGAAAGGGTAGCATGAAAACAGTTAAAAATGAAATTAACATCATCTCACATTGAAGAGTCAAACACGAAATAAATAAATAAGATACTTTATGACAATGGCGATGAAGGTGAGACTACGTACACAATCATAACAGCTCCATCCGTTATTTGTATGGGCCAGTGTCAGTAGACGTAAATCCCCCGATGTCAATTGACCACTTTTCTCTAAGCATTCCTTGTGAAAGATTCTTGTACAAACTCTACAGGGGTATCCAAGGTGAGCATTTTGTATGTACTCATCGCATAAGAAACATTTGTCATCATGGTGAGTCTGCAAAAACATAACACATGAAAATTCGGTTTGACCATAGGTTGGGGGAAATGTAGCAGTAAACACTGTTACACAATAGAGAGGTTTCGCAAAACGTTTTTTAGCTCCACGGATCCGTATCCGTAACGTATTTTCCAGAATTATGCGTAGTCAGTTCAATTTATACGTGAAATGATACGGAAAACACGAAAAATGAGGCTTTTGTACGTTGGTCATTTACGTATCCGATTTTACCCTTCGATTATATTGTTTTTAGTTCTAAAGGTATCACTATATGAACAAGCACAGTGTGCTGAGTATAATTTGACTAAAATTTGGTGAATGAATTTGTTTATTGTTTGAAATAAATCGAGTTTTTCAAATGGTATGTTCAATTCATTTTACACTGTATGGAATGGTATTGCAATAATTACAGTGTACATGTTTCGCACAACGTTTTAGCTACCCGTATCAAAATCCGTAACGCATCGATGGAGTAAAAGTGTATTCAATACGTTTGTGATACCAACAGCAATACCGAAAGTACGTAAACTAACGCTTTCTGTGCGTAGTTGTCTCCGTATCAATTTTGTCCTTCAAATCTTGATAAATCTTTCCCTAAATGTATAATTTTAGTAACCCACATATGTTATCATGTGTATCGTGCTAATTTTGATGAAGTAATAGCCTTATCTGCCGATAAATTTGATTATAAGCGAGGAGCCTGCAATTTTTACGAATAAAGCTTGAGTCACATTTGCTAATAGGCAGATGTAGGGTCTATCGTTTCTGGGGTCAATAGTAATACCGTAGTCAATTTCTTAGGGACATCAAACCAATCGTTAGCAGCTAGGCCATCTGAATATATATTTTGTGCCTAAGTCACGCTCCGAATTCATATAGAGCAGGGTCTTGGGCTTAGTTTGAATATAGTAGCTTGGCCCTGACCTCGACAATGAATGTGATATTGGGTCTAAAGATGGCGCCCCGCATCACTCTTGCCCGTATCCAGCTTGTGGCAAGGGGGAGCTTTTTGGCTTAAAACTCCCGAAAAGTGCTCAGCATGATGAAAAACTGAATGATTTTGAAAAAATTCTAGTCAGGTAGCTTCTTCCCGTGGTATGACTTGAACACGCATCAAGTCATGCGATCTATGTCAAATAGTAAGCGGCCTCGTTTAGGGGTCCAGGGAGACTAGTGATTCAAGTACATATTCAGTAGATATCGGGTCGGTATCAACGTTTCGTTGTGGTTTATTGGTTGTGCCTGATTGTGTTTTAATGGGTTGAGTAAATCGATTGAGTATTTGGTTAAGCCTGGTTATGTAATGGTGGACTAGTGTCAAGTAGGTATAGGTTTTGCCGAATTGTGTTGTGTACGTTTGAGACTCGGTTCTCTTTTGATGGTTGTTAGTCTGGTGATTGAGTATTGGGTTGTATCCCATTGTGTTATGTTAATCTTATAATGGGTTGCTTTCTCTTGTGGATATGTTATGTTGGTTAGCTAGCTGGTTGTGGCTAGTCGGGTGAGGTATCTTGTTGTGTTTGATTGTGTTGTGTGATTGGCGTTGTCTCCAATTGGGTTAAGTTAGTTGTGTATCTCGGTTTCACAATTTTAATGTTTTTTTGCCTGTGTCTGATTTTGTTTTGATTGTTTGGTTTTGGGTTTTGAAAAATTGTGTTGTGTTACTTGAACAATGGGCTGTGTTTGCTTTTGTTGGTTTACCATTGGGTTGTGCCAAGTTGTGTGGTGATAATTTCACAGTTCGATGTTGTTTCATGGTTGTTAGTTCAGTTGTGTTTTATTGGTTGTGCCTAATTGTGTTTTTATTGTTTAATGTTGGATTGTGCACAATTGTGTTGAGTTAATTCAACAATTGGGTGTGTTTGTCTTTGTTGTCTTATTATTGGGTTGTGACATATTGTGTTAATCTGACAGTTGGTTGTGTTTTGGTGGTTGTAAGTCAGGTTGCGCTATGCTGGCTTTGGTGCTGGGTTATGATCTATTGCGTTCTGTGTATTTTGACACTGGGTTATGTTCTATTGTACTGTTGCATGATTGGTGATCTAGGTTGTGTTTGGTTGTAAAAGGTTATATATGTCGAGTTGTGGGCTGTGTCCGATCAGGTTGTGGTGTTTATTGGGTTAAGAAACAAATGGCCGGTTTAGGGTATTATGTTGGTGGTTTATCAGTTGATTCTGTGTAGACCTCAAAGGGGATATAGGGTATTATGATGGTGAGATATTCAACTGGCATGGTAGGCGTTAGCTTCGCGGCGTTCTCTGATGAGCTGGTCCCCTGTTGTTCAATGAATTCAAGAAAAACAATGCTAATTTATTTTTTTACATAATGTATTTGTTGTTGATTTCTCATACAAAACATACTTTTATTGCATAAATGATATATTTGTGTCGCTTTCAATGATCAAATATGTTACTTTATGTTACTCCCCTCCTTAGTTTATATGAGGCATGGGTTTTCAACTAAAGCACATGTATGAGGAAAGGGGGGTGGCTTATGTGAAAACGTATGGTTTCCGTCGCTTTTTTTTTTGCTTATTTGTTCTTGAATTATTACTAAAATATACAGCAAAAACATGAAATTAAAGGTCCATGTGCAGTATGGCAAGTGATTTTAGAAATGTTTACGCATTTTGTGGCATAATGCAGTCACTGCACGTCTGTTTTTAAACCCTTAAATATTCCCAAAAGTATAATTTGACATTGAATTTGTTATTGTGAACCTAGAAATAATATTTTCTGGCCCAAAGGATATTCTTCATTTTGAAATTGATGTTAATTAACCATTAATAAATGACACCTTAGGGATGAAAGGGTTAATATGTATTTTTGCACTCACCAAAAATACTTTTGGAGTTGTGATTCTGAAAGCTGACACTCCCAATGGTGCTTTAAAATCTTAGTGCAGATGAAGCCTTTTATTTGACCCTAGTTTTCACTACTATTAAACACGGATTGAGATGCGTTTATAATTACGTACTTCAAAAAACGAACTGCGAAACGAAAATTAACGAAATACGTATCCGTAAACGTAACGAGATACGGATGCGGATACGTTTTAGCTTATTCGTTTTGCGAAACCTCTCTAATAGATCTATTACTACTTTAAGGGGTTGACATGTTTCATCTTGACATGTTATCTGCTAAGAGGGGTAAAAACTCAAAATAGTGTACGTGAACTATAGATCACTGATAAATATGACAAATTATAAAATGATTTGAGAATCATGCACTGGGTAAAACACATGATTATATTCAATATATAACACATCTATTGTTGCAAGGTTTCATGATCTTAATCATACTGTTAAAACAGTGTTTTCCTTCAGTCGTATATAATACCTTCATGATGGGTCAAGATGATTTTACGTACCATTATTCTTAGTTCTGAATCGATTCTATGCAATTCAGGGCCTTGCAAAGATGGTTGTCGGATTCGTTTGTGATTATCACTATTTTGGTCATCATTTGTAGCTACGTTATCTTTACACATTTTAGATTGCCATATCATTTCCTGTAGTTCCGATTTTTTAGCACTATGATACGTTTCCTCTGCTGTGTGTTTGTTCAGCTTCGCAACAGCTTTTATTTTTGCTTTAGCCCTTGTCTTTTCTTGTTCATTGGAAAATCCTGAACCCATTTTAGATAGTTCCAATGAGTGACAGAAGTACCATATATATATTTAGGTCATATATATATGCCGGCGTCTCATTGACCTCGGGTATGTGAGATATGTTACTGTTTTACATCTGGTATTCACCCTTTTTGTCTGTTGCTTGAACTGCTGTCTGAAACAATAAGTTAGCAGGCCCGTAGCCAGGATTTGCCAAGAGGTGAAAAACTGCATGATTTTGAAAGATTTTTTGGCCAGTGGTGCTTTGCAAAAATATATATCTAATGAAAATTACAAATATAATTTACAGGATATGTTATGTACGTCGTCCTGGCATTTACAGACTATACTACTGCAATATCCAGTTAAGCATTGATATCTTATAGTTTCATAATTAGTATATTTCGATATTCTCAAGTGATAGATTCAGAGGTGTCCAGTTTTGAACTATGCTTATTGACAGTTCTAATAATTGCAAAGATACTATTGCGAGATACATCAATCTTACTTTCCCTTATAAGCTTTTACTTATTGACATTAAACAATGCACAGAAGCTAAACCAAATACCATAATAGTGGATACTCCAGGTCCGAAATAGGTTCTATCCAATCCAATGTAAACGTCCTTTAATTCAAAGAAACAAATTTAGTAAAACATGTGTACTAGTTTGACTTATTTTGTAATGTTGGCGACAACAAAATTTAATCTTATTCCAAGAGTTATTTGTTGCTGATACAAATGGGTTCAGTGTCAACCAGTGCACGCCACACTACCATAATATAATAGTTGTATGGGATTTGCAGGGTTTATTATTTTCGTCATTGTTAATTTAATAGAATCTCATGGATCTCTTAAACTGATGAAAGCGTCAAATGAGATTTATATAAGCTGGCATATGTGGGGTATACAAAGTAAACATCTTTCTGAGTTAGTATTTGGACTTTCTAAATACAGAAAGAGGTCGCTTGAGTTCAAAGTAATGATACCCTCAATTTTATATTGTTGTACTCAAACAAGAACGCAACACCAAAATCAAAGAAAAACAACATTCAACCATGGACTTTCAAGAGAGCCCATGATTTAACAGACAATGAGAACCTAAATTTGTATCGCAACTCAAGAAACATATTTTGTTCAAATATATAGAACTAAACATGTATAAATCATACTGTTAATCTCTCTTTCAAAAGATGGCATATATTATATGATGACAACCATCGTCGAACCTGTTGTAGAAAAATACTCAGGATCCTAGAAAAACAGTCCATCTTCATAAAATCTTAAATGTGCAATTATTTCCACTTCAAAAGAGATTTCATGATTTTTTACATTCTTAATCCGAGTGACAGTGACTTGAGCAGGAACATATACTAATCAGCATATGGATGGCCTGAGCTCAGGTGTCAGTGAGCACTTTATTACCTATCCTATTGTTTCATAGTACAATGACAAGGTTTTACTCATGAATCAAAGAAATAGAATCCAGGTATAGCTGTTTAAGAGGCGGAATAATCTCACAAGAATTAACATTTAAATTGATGTTACTGTACCTTTTTAATGACAGCATACTTCATCGTTTTCGATTTGATCCATCCCTAGCACACGATGCACGTGAATGCTTTTTGTATCCAAATACGCAAACAAATACTATTTAGGCAGTTCTTTATCCAGTTTCCTCATATCAATGTATGCTACTTTTACCTTAATGTGCACGGAACAGTGTTATTATGCAGTAATTTAATGATAAAATTGCATTCATTAATACAAGTATACTATTGTTTGGTACTGCTGATTGCAATTGTTCAATGTCATTAGCAGTGATACTTTAATCACCATAATCAAATATTAAATACATCCTTTTTTATGATTTAAAAATGTATACACTATTTAAATTATTTATCCTACATTACAATGTTTATACTTTAAATAACTACTAATATTCTGAGCTACTGTATACATAAATATAGTTTATTATATTATAATGAATTATAAATGTTGTATTGTATTAGTATTGCTAGAAAGTACATATATGGTACTGTATTGAATTTAACTGTATTGTATAATATATATATACATAATAATATTACTCTCCATTATTTTTGTATTGTATTTAGCTTTATTGTATTTCGCATGTATTGTTTAAGGTTGTATTATTTCTTTCAATATTAAGTTTTATTTATTTGCATAATCTTCATAGATCATTTTTAACATACTAGGAAGGCCGAGGTTAAATCATATTTTTATTTTAACCTCTCTATATAATCATAAGTAATCATCAAGTAATACCTTTCCCTGTTATATTTTTATTATATACTGACCGTACATTTTAAAAACGATTCTTTTACAGTTTTATTTTACAGTTTTATTGCAAAAATAAGAAGTAAGCCACGCGTATTGATTGATAATGATAATCTTATTATTTTTACCAAAGAATGTCTCAATAGTTTTATGTTGTTGTTTTTTTTTGTTTTTTTTTATTGAATCAAACATGAAATAATACATTTTACAAGGCAAAGATGAAATATCAAACCACTTTCACACCACCTCCATTCATTCAGACATTCGCAACAGTCATACCCAAAAGTTCTGGTATAAATAAAAACATAGTATTTTCAAATTGAGTCTCGTCTAAGTTGGGATTTACCTCATTAAATTGCTTTGCATATATATAATATTTGATTGCTAGTGATAGCCTATTTTAGCAAAATGTTTTCATTATTTACAGATCTTCCGAACGCCATATCATGGGCATCAAAACTAAGATTTACATTGAATAATGTCTTTAAATTCTCTTTAATAGCTTTCAAAAAAATCTGAAACTTTTATGTTTTAATAAAAAAAGTTTACCAGAGTTAGGGGAATAATTTCTGCTGATTAATTTTGAACAAAAATACTTTTGGTTTACATTATAGGGGCAATGAAGACCACGGGGCATTGTTCCCTGTGATATATTTCGAAATATAAAGGTTTATTAGTCTTCTAAGGCTCCCCTATTTCAAGCTTAGCTCCCTGCATAAAATATTTATTTTTTTCTAATCTGGTGACAATTAACACTACAATTGTTTCAGCAAAAATGTTCACCACTAGCTTGCCACTACACCAGCCTACTCTATAATACTTCATATCCGTGGAGATTGAGTTTAGACATTTATGGTAGAATTAGGCTACTTACTAGAGGAGATAGGGGTATGAGCAACTGCCGGCACGTGATATTACTTTAGACGTGACCACTGAAACTCAAGAACGTAACGTACCCTCATAGAGCGGTGTCACCCATCAAACAAAAAGCACTGACAATAACTAACAATTCAAATAATCATCGTCAGTTTCATTTGTTACTGATTAACATATAATTTGTAACGTATTGTTTCTGCATTATAAAAGCGCTCGTTAATCAAAGTTAAGTTCCAATTATTCTGTCAGTTTCCGTGTATAGATTCAGAAGCTATTTCCGCGCACACATGCGCGTCCAATCACTTTCAATTAGTCGTTATGGTGGTTGCAATGTGTCCGGATAATCATATAAAACTAAGACAAATACTAGTACATTTTATGATGAGCTAATAATACAGTTCTGTGGTTAAATAAATAATCTTACACTGGCTTTCCGTGTAATTGATTTTGGTGATTCCTTTTTTCAATTATACCATGCCGTCTATGGGAATATTTGAATGATGGACTTGTAGTTAATCAGTGATTATGTTAGTGTCGTAAAAAACATGTAAAAACGATCAGTATTAGTTTAATGAAAGTGAAGATTTAGTCACTCTAGATTTCAACCCCGAAGCTATTATTCTCAATAACGAGGCATAACGTCGTTTGGAAGTTTTTCAAAATATTTCGACCTTTGACATGTTTTACTTTCGCTTTTGTATGACAAATTATAAGCTTTGGTCGTAATAAATGGCCAAGTTAACCGAACCTGCCCCCAGCCATTATCCACAGAATGAAATAATAATTTTATGTGGAAAGTTTTTCATACAGATACATATTTCTTTAAGGCAAAATATAAACAATAGAATCCTATAGCTTTTGTCAAAACATCTAATTATACCCCACTAAGATTGAGTTGTCTATCAGTTTCAAAAAATCTGTCGCTGAACTAGAGGACTGCAAACTAATAAATTTTAAAATTTGATACGCTATTGAATTCCCGTACTAAATAAAACGCACGATATGATAATCGTATCACACTATAAATGGTACATTACAAATGGTTTAATTAAATGAAAATGAAAAGTAATTTAAAATGACCAATGTTGCTGCTGCTGAGTTTACAGAGGTATTTTACTAGCATACGGTTAATAAGATGTTAGGGATGTGTATGTGATGTATCTCACTGCTCTGGTACCTCTCATCCATTCACTTCTGCCCGTGTCTCTTCTGATAGCTTGGGGCGACTACACACCCTTATAATTAAGTTTTCTATGAGTAGAACATTGCCAGTTGGGTTTCAGAACAAGCGTCTGTCGTTTGCTTAAAATGGTTTAATCAAACATTGGCAGCAAACGTTCATTCATCTGATATAGATGTAATGCGTTTAAACTTGTAAATTAATAGCCCATGTTTATTCAAAATAGTTTAACACGCAGTTATGAGATTCTATTTGAAATCAATGAAAATAAGTATGAGAAATCCAGAAATCACTTGCTTATTTTGAAAAATGGCAAAGAAAGATGAACTAAATTTCAAAACTCGAATTTTAACAAGTTTATGCGAAACTATGCCGAAACGTGGAATGATTTAACCTAAAATCTCAACGGTTTAGTTGACATGTGAGTGCATCTCTGTTTCTCGTATATGGACACGCATTTTGTAGAACTCAGTATTAGACATTTTTATGACACATCAAAAAATTAATAAAATACATGTGCTGGAATATATAACATTACATTCATCGACGTCAATCATTACTCATTCTTTCTTATTACATAGATTTACTTATAATTATGTGATAATTGTGTGTTTTAGTGAATGTTATTTATAAAACATTTTACTGTGTATTGTATTCTGTTGCGAGACGACATGCAGATGCAAACGATATACGTCACCAATACACAAAGATCAGATGCAGTATTGTTCTATCGGATTCATAAATACAATATTTTAGTAAATGGTATATCTTGTTTTTAACGAGCATCTGTCAAAGCACCGCGATAGGATTTTTTAGCAAGAATCCCAAAGATAAAGTAGCACATAAGTTTCGTACATGCATTGTCGGCAGATTCAGATCTAGCGAGTAATCTTTCCAAAAATACAATATTAGAAAATTTGGGCTCATGGGTTCTTTTTATTGGGGGATTTTTTAGCATTATGATGATAAAATAAATAACCGAGGACAACATAATAATGTATGCATACATGTGATATACATGTCCATGGGATGCATTTTTTAAACATATATAAAATCTATCAAGTGCTGTACAACATGTATTACCCTTTGCATATAGTTTCATTTCGCATCTCTATAAAAAGCCTTGTCAAAAGTAGTGTTACTGATATGCGCGTGTTTATATATTTTATAATCGTGTGCGTTCATTATAGAAATGTCCATTTGTCCATTTCAAAATTATCACAAATTGTTTGGTGGGCCAGTGTTATGTCCCCTGTGCTCCCCCCCCCATTCTCTTTGGTTTGGGGATATGCAGGCTGAGGACGAGATTAGAGAAGGTAGAATATTGATCCAAGACCAAGTAAATCGCATAAAGACTTGAAATTGAACACCTAACATTGTGTCTTTCCCAATCATTTAAGGCGAGATATAATCATTTGTACATTTCTAGTTCAGTTGCAAAATTGAAAAAGATACAAAAATAGAGAGTCCCTAACAATGGTATCCAGATTGTTTACTCGATTTCTGAAAACTTCATACCTTGGAAATCCAAGATAGATGTATATCGCCTTGCCACGAACAAGAACATCATCAATACAGGCTGATAATGTGATATGGGCGGTACCGTGTTATAATTGATTGTCCTCGTGCTCATTTCAAACATCTCGGACGCTGACTACGAGTGTATTACTTTTTGCTTCAGTGGCTTACTCCTTCATTATAATGCCATTATATAAACCAACAAACGATAGAATACCATAGAAAGCGAGAGTGAAACACAAGCAACAAAGAGCGGCATCTTCCGCTCAATCATTGTCACGTTTGTCATTCGCGAGAGCCATTTGCCTATTCTTGAAGCGCAAAGTACCAGATCATTATACACTAGGGGATTATACTTTTATCAGTGTAAATCATTTTTTTATCTCTTGGTCAAGCATATTTGATTTGCTAAAGACCCGATTTGGTAACGTTGATTTGACCATACTGTTAAAAATGATCAATGATCATAACCTGGGAAAATGTCTAAACTTACGTAACGATAGATCAAATTATCATGTAGTATAGACTCTGTTTGGAAACAAAAATGTTGCGGCTTATTTTTCTCTCTGTAATATTTTACTTGATAATGGAGTCTGTGATTAAGGATCTAAGCAATTCTTCTAAATAAAAAAGTAACTCTTTATCTTTTCTGAAGGGCGTTTTGTCCATTTTTCTAGATTTTCAGTTCTGTGCTTCGTTGTAAGAAATAACAATACAAGACTTTCAATTACATCAACAAAACTAAACCAGCTAAAAAATCTATTTTTCCTTACAATGTTAAAACGAATTTAGAAAGTAAGTAAACAAAAGGAGCGATGTTTAAGGGAAATACTATCATGCTGAACGACTAATATAAATTACTATCATGAAATTAGCTGATATTCAATTATTGTACTTATGACGGATGATCTATGAGAGGCATTTGAAATTCAGATCCAAGTAAAATCGTTCTTTGTAACATGTATAAAACTTAATATTTTATCTCATTTACACTTACAGACATTTAAAATAATTAATAAAAAACAATTTGTTGTATAGCTGTGTAATACTAATATTTCATTGTATGGTTATGGTATAAACCATCAATGGATTGTTTAACACATATTGTTTTCCAGAAAAAAAATTCACGGAAAGAATACAGCGCGCGTTTCATCATGATGGAAGGAATCGAATATATCATATGAAATTTGTCGAGATTTGGGTTTCAAACCTAAAATACCTCAAGGCTTGAACTATTCCACCTTATGCATAGCTATATGTTTTGTCATATTCTTATTTCCTATGGTTTGTATGTGGCAACCATGTTATATTTTTACATCCATTAATTTGGAAATATTGGCGTGGTTGATCTGAAAAATCATGCCAAATCCCAGCGACCATCTTATCTACAATAAACAATATATACCCAGGACTCAGATCTAGGTCCGATTATACAGTATAAAAACGTTATTTCAGGCAGTGTGGAAAACAGTTGTCAATGCTATATTTTCCATAGCAAATGATAGACCCAAAAGGTGTTTTATTCATCGACTCATGAAATAAAACTACATTTTAGTCATACATAAAACACAATCAGATCTTCAATATATTTTATGACACCTGTCGGTAGCAGTTTAAACAAGTAAGGGGCGACATATGGCAAGCACACTGAATGTCACACACGATTAGGCCAAGGAAGAGAAACAGTTTTTTATAGATCTGTGTATCAATCCAGTATATCGGCTATGCTTTAGATTATGACCTGGTCATGTAATTTCTCTCTACAAGAATAAGCGAACCATGCAATCTCTTCTCTCCCTGAATCATGGTTAGTTTTACTCTATTTACGTGAAAGGCCCAAAGTATTGATAATTTTCTATTTTCTATCGGGTTATTGAAGATGGTAATTAATTCTTTTTGTTCAATGGCAGGAACAAACTAATAAATTAAACACGGATATTTGAGATCCTCTTTGAATGCACAATTCAAATTCTACATCGCAACTATGTATACCGGTCATAACCTTGCAATTCAAAGACAAGACAGACAGACTGAAGAATCATTTAGAGGTAAATATATGGTTAAATGTAAGTTCAACTACTGTGTAAGTGGTAATTTTGTCTAATCATTTAATTTGCCTATTCCCTAATTTTTGCCAGGTTCGGAAAATTAAATGTCAGAAATATTGTCTTTATAATGTTATCCAATGGGAGGTTTCTTGTCATTAGAAAAATTAAAATTAGGAAAATGATGAAATTTGACCATTCGGAAAATTAACCACTCGGATTAAATACCATGCACTTATACAGTATAGCATCTTCAACTCGAATGTAAATGAACAATTTTTTTTGGGGATTTCTTCCAAAATTGTTGCAGTTTCGCCGAGCACGTACACCCTAGATGGAATTTAAATAATATACGATGTAGTATTTCCTTGCATAACACTAAACAGGCAAGAAAAAATAACAAAATGGCGTCGTTTTTAATGGGAAGAAGGGCGATCTTATCACTTGGAGGTGCTGGGTCATTAGGATATCTTGCATATCGTGCCGACAAAGAGAGTGTACAAGCGCGCCTAGGAACGACTAATATCCATTTGAAGTACCCAGCTTCTGCAAATTTCCCTGAACTCAGCCAACACGACAACACAATGGCAAAATGTCTTACCCCTGCCATTTATGCTAAATTGAGGGATAAGGCTACTCCTAATGGTTGGACTCTCGATCAATGTATTCAAACAGGTGTTGACAATCCTGTTCATCCCTTCATTAAAACCGTTGGAATTGTTGCTGGTGACGAAGAATCATACGATACATTTGTGGATCTTTTCGACCCAATCATCGAAGATCGACATGGTGGATACACGAAAGATCAAATTCACCCTACAGATCTCGACGCATCGAAAATACGTGGAGGCAATTTTGATGAAAAGTACGTCTTGTCATCACGTGTACGTACGGGTCGTTGTATACGAGGTCTGAGCCTTCCACCTGCTATTTCAAGAGCTGAAAGACGTGAGGTCGAACGAGTTTGCATCGATGCACTCGGTTCTCTAGATGGACAATTTAAAGGTCAATATCATTCCCTTAGCAATATGACCGACGAGGAGCAAGAAAAGTTGATCAATGACCATTTCCTCTTTGATAAACCAGTGTCTCCGTTGCTCACGTGTGCAGGTATGGCAAGGGATTGGCCCGATGGTCGTGGTATTTGGCATAACGCAAACAAAAATTTCTTTGTATGGGTAAACGAAGAGGACCATACGCGTGTTATCTCTATGGAAAAGGGAGGAAACATGCGTCCCTAATTTTTGCCAGGTTCGGAAAATTAAATGTCAGAAATAGTGTCTTTATAATGTTATCCAATGGGAGGTTTCTTGTCATTAGAAAAATTAAAATTAGGAAAATGATGAAATTTGACCATTCGGAAAATTAACCACTCGGATTAAATACCATGCACTTATACAGTATAGCATCTTCAACTCGAATGTAAATGAACAAATTTTTTTTTGGATTTCTTCCAAAATTGTTGCAGCTTCGCCGAGCACGTACAACCTAGATGTAATTAAAATAATATACGATGTAGTATTTCCTTGCATAACACTAAACAGGCAAGAAAAAATAACAAAATGGCGTCGTTTTTAATGGGAAGAAGGGCGATCTTATCACTTGGAGGTGCTGGGTCATTAGGATATCTTGCATATCGTGCCGACAAAGAGAGTGTACAAGCGCGCCTAGGAACGACTAATATTCATTTGAAGTACCCAGCTTCTGCAAATTTCCCTGAACTCAGCCAACACAACAACACAATGGCAAAATGTCTTACCCCTGCCATTTATGCTAAATTGAGGGATAAGGCTACTCCTAATGGTTGGACTCTCGATCAATGTATTCAAACAGGTGTTGACAATCCTGTTCATCCCTTCATTAAAACCGTTGGAATTGTTGCTGGTGACGAAGAATCATACGATACATTTGCGGATCTTTTCGACCCAATCATCGAAGATCGACATGGTGGATACACGAAAGATCAAATTCACCCTACAGATCTCGACGCATCGAAAATACGTGGAGGCAATTTTGATGAAAAGTACGTCTTGTCATCACGTGTACGTACGGGTCGTTGTATACGAGGTCTGAGCCTTCCACCTGCTATTTCAAGAGCTGAAAGACGTGAGGTCGAACGAGTTTGTATCGATGCACTCGGTTCTCTAGATGGACAATTTAAAGGTCAATATCATTCCCTTAGCAATATGACCGACGAGGAGCAAGAAAAGTTGATCAATGACCATTTCCTCTTTGATAAACCAGTGTCTCCGTTGCTCACGTGTGCAGGTATGGCAAGGGATTGGCCCGATGGTCGTGGTATTTGGCATAACGCAAACAAAAATTTCTTTGTATGGGTAAACGAAGAGGACCATACGCGTATTATCTCTATGGAAAAGGGAGGAAATATGCGTGCAGTTTTCCAACGATTTTGTGATGGCCTTAATAAAGTACAAGGAAGCATTAAGCGAAAAGGATGGGAGTTCATGCATAGTGATCATCTAGGCTACATCTTGACATGCCCTAGTAACCTCGGTACTGGCCTGAGAGCTAGTGTTCACATCAAGCTTCCAAATGTAGGCAAGGATCCTCGCTTTGACAAAATCCTAGATTGCATGAAGCTACAGAAACGCGGTACCGGTGGTGTCGACACCCAATCCACAAATGGTATATTTGATATATCAAACTCCGACAGACTTGGAGTGAGTGAAGTTGAGCTATGCCAGTTAGTAATAGATGGCGTGAATACCCTGATCCAGATGGAACAGCGGCTAGAAAAGCGCAAGTCCATCGATGATCTACTTCCGGCTAGTATGCGTCCACAACGCAGAGGACGATTTTCATAAATATTATTTAGCATTCAAATTCTAAACGCAGTTTAAACAAGTAAGGTCTGTTTATCAATCTAGTACTCGGCTACGCTTTAGATTATGACCTGGTCATGCAATTTCTCTCTACAAGAATAAGTGAACCATGCAATCTCTTCTCTCCCTGAATCATGGTTAGTTTTACTCTATTTACGTGAAAGGCCCAAAGTATTGATAATTTTCTATTTTCTATCGGGTTATTGAAGATGGTAATTAATTCTTTTTGTTCAATGGCAGGAACAAACTAATAAATTAAACACGGATATTTGAATTCCTGTTTGAATGCACAATTCAAATTCTACATCGCAACTATGTATACTGGCCAATGTTTGCCTTGCAATTCAAAGACAAGACAGACAGACAGACAGACTGAAGAATCATTTATAGGTAAATATATGGTTAAATGTAAGTTCAACTATAGCATTTTCAACTCGAATGTAAATGAACAAGTTGAATAAGATATTTTGGATTTCTTTCAAAATTGTTGCAGTTTCACCGCGCACGTACAACCTAGCTGGAATTTAAATAATATATTTCCATGCATCACACTAAAAAGCAACATTGCATGATAAAAACAAACATGTATTTATACAGCACTAGACCCCCTATGTAGATTTACCTCCACGCACGTCACTTTTGGAGACAAAAATATCAGACAGTGGGTAATTTGGGTTGTGGCCAACTTAATTGGCAGCCATATTTTCTTACGTAATTAACCATTTGCTGTTAGGTTCAACTCAACGTGTTAGTGACATTCATTTTATTTCTTTGATCTAAAAATATAATTAATTTATTAGTGACCTCGACAGATTTCTGTGACCATAGACCGCATCTGTATTGACAATGGTCGTTTTGATTGTTGCTATTTGTGCTTTTTTTCGGATTATCGTGAAGTTGAATCGACTGATCCACAAAACCCTATTCCCAGTCCAAACGACAAATTAATGTTTTTGGACATTATGATATTGCAGGTGTTGAAAAAGTACATTAGTTTTTCTCTTAGGTTACTCATATCAACTAATCTGCCCGGGGAAAAATTCACCAGTTTGATGCTAGAAGGGTAACTGCATGCCTGCGATAACATCATGCGGCAGATGGGAACTACGGTATCTAAATATTCAAACGCTTTCTATTTATACTTTCCGATCGAGGGGCTATTTTCCGGGTTCAAAGAGGTACCAAACAGTATTGCATGAAAATGATCTAAACTTTTGAATATATACTGACTGATTGTCGTGTTTGCCATTGTTTAAAGGTATACACTCACAACGCTCACAGAGCGCATCGTTGTTTATTAGTTCTATCATTCCATGGGAATCCGACTGATATGGTGAGAATAAGGTGTTGCTTTATCATTCCCAGTCCTGCCATTTTGTACGAAACTGCTCATTTTGAAAGATGCCGCAAGACCCTGAAAGAATGTAAACCTACTTGAGAACTCACACCAGTCTCCAACAAACGCCCCCCTCTGGTTAGGTTTTGATAATACGGGGGATTTCGATTGTTTCTGTTCCAGCGGGTATGAAGCCGGTGTCCCTGTACTGGTCAGTGTGGCTGGGTGGGTTGACCAAACTGCTGGGGCAGCTGAAAGGGAAAACATTGTATCTGGGACACCCGACGAGAAGGCACCAAGGCTCACAGCGGCCTAGTACAAAGTTAATGGAGCGCTAGACAATATGGTCAGACAATACTGAGTTGTCCTGGTCACGCAAAGGGTGGAGAAAGCTCGGGGGAAATAACAATAACTGCAGACCCCTCGACGTCCCGGCTCCGTGGTGTCTGATATGGCTGAACAAGATATATGTTTATATGAGAACCTGCTCGCCCAAAACCTCTCTTAGAAACCATACTGCCCCTTTGCCAGAGGGCTTGTTCAACACGTTGAATTATATATCTGAGGTTCAATAATTCTGAGCTTTATATTTGCAATAGGTGGACCCCTTTTGAACCATTAAAAGGATATGGTGGGGATATGGTGCCACTGAATATAAGGAGCTATCTGTCAAGGAGCGAAGAAATATTGCTTCACTGGTTGAATAGTCCTCCGCCCCCTCTCTCAACAGTCTCAGGACACATAGACATGGTCATATTTTATAGGCTTTTTTATAGGATTTTCGAAGTGTTTTATTTTTGGGACGAATAACAAATTCGTGAGTTATCCGTTACTGAACTCTTGGAGGTAGATGGTTTATACATTCTATATCTTAACTAGTAGAGACCCAGACGAAGGAGGTTTTTGCCTGTTAGGATGTGTTATTGTGAGATAATAGCGAGTTGATCCACGACTTCCAGTCCTTTGAGCCAGAAACCCAGGACGTCTTGCATGTAGTATATCGAATTACCTAGCAAAATTTTAATTGATAGTACTTTGAAAAGAAAGCTGAATAAGAAAATTTGAGAATGTATTTTTGACAGATTTGGTCTGAGATGTGCGTGCATCTATCCGATCTGGATGTTTTATATAAATTTTTCATCTCAACGTCTCCACTTTAATAATAGTGTCAATCAAAAGACTCAAATGACAATTGTCTTTACACGTTTACTTTTTATTTACAACTCGCTTTTTGCACATTTTTTTCTTTAGTATTCATTTATAGAAAGAGTGCAGAGTTTATTAATTTGTTCATACCCAACAGGAGGGAGGAATTAGAGTGTGTACTCGTTGTAGACATGATTACAACGATAAATGATGACAAGTATGTTTTTACGGTTACAAATATAGACATTAGCAAAGTAAAATAGTAATTTATTTAATTTGATAAATAAACAAACAAATAAACTCCAATTTATTGACACGTATTTATCACGTTATTTCGGTTATACGACAAACAAATTACCTGCTTTTTATGAAATGGTTTGATTTGAAATCACATTAGGCGTTATAAATGCATTTCAAAAAATAAAAGTTTTATTAAACCTATCATCAGTGAATTGTAAGTATGATAGATAATAGTTATTTTCAACCGATGATATGTCATTAGGTGTATCAAGCATTATGTTAACACTTAGCAAAAAAAAATAGAATAAACATATCAGTTTTTCCAGAGGAGCTATCATATTCTAATGTTTAAACATGTGCAATATTACACACCGAACATCATTTTTGCGACTTTTTCAAAGTTGAAGTATTGGTATTGGAATTGGGGTAAAACTGATGAAACTTGAACATGAATTTCTAGTTTCCTGAGCATCTAATTTCTCGTGTCATGTTAATCATATCATCATTGCTATGGGTTATATTTGCATATTGTAACATAGGGGGTGGGAATCGATTGAATTACGTCATCATATTTCTGTTTTTTTTTTTTCATTTGTACTCGAGATAATAAAGTCTCATGGGTAAAGCCATATTATACAGACGGACATGGTGTTTTTGTAACTAAGACGATTATTTTAAGCTTGTGAGAGCATAACAATTATTGTAAAGAAAACTCTTTGTGAAGTTGCTTTCAAAAAAATCTTAATAATTATTCAATGGCTATAAACTGATAACAATGCGGACATAGGCAATGGCTATCGATTGGGCAACTGCCACGATTGATCATATCGATTCTCCTAGAAGGTTTCAAGTGGATTTTCTTCTGTTGCTTTCCGGTTTCCTTGGGGTGACAAAAATTGCTGATCAACTATTATTCAAAAAAATAATAGCTCATTATCCCAGCATTCTGTACTTGCAGACATGTTTATCCATGAAAACATCAGAATGCAACGAGTGTCTGACTCTGTCGTTGAAGAGGACAATTTATGTTTCAACAGGAAAGATAAAAGTAGCTAGAGTTATTAACTATAATTTAGTACAAAATTCAATAAGTTTTATATAGAGAAGCGAAGTCTCAATCAAGAAGCTAATGATAGCTAAATAACAGGTTGCGATAGGATGAGCCAATGGGAATGTTCAGGAATATAATTGTAGTAATTTCGTATCGATCATTTCCCAGCTAATTCACTTCCCGAGTTCTGGCTATAATTGATAGCTTTCTACGATGTAACAAGATACAAAGTTTTAACATCAATATAAAGTCATTTTTACATTTATTTATATCCTTTGCTCTCTGAAACGTGTATAACTCTTGAAAAATTCTTCATGAAACATAAAAAATATATAAAGTTTGATTACTGTTACCATAGTTACTTAGTTTGTCCTAAGTAGAAAATATACAAAAGTAAGATAACTCGTATAAATACATCCTTCATATGAGGTCTAATATTGCTATTGCATCATAATGCACAGTATACAAGACTTGTGGAATGAGAAATTACATGTATTTGGATTATGTTGCTACACTGTTTTTCTGTTACCATGGAAACCGCACCACGGTTACCATGAAACATTACTCTTTAACATGACAATAATGAACATTAAAGTTGTTTTTGTAACTAAAACCTCGGGTATTACTATTTACCCATTTTGTATCTTTAAAACCATAGTATGTCGAACACCTTGATCGAGATTACATTTTATCAACCATAAAACCAAAATGAACATATAAATCTAAAAGTCCAGCCCACTTTGTGACAATTGTGTACAGAACATTTTGAATAAAGCAATTCACAAAGGAGAGCTCTTAAAATATATAGCTAGGGTTGTCATTTTTCTAATGATACGAGAATAGTGTTTTCAGGTGCAACGGAGCGTAGAATGAGACCCAGTGAGACTGTGGAAGGTACCTGATACAACGATTGACTCATCAGATCTTGATAGATACCATCTATAAATCACGCTGCTTTTCTCTCTGAACAACAACCACATTTAAATTACAATAAATTAACATAGATTTTGAAAGTTCTAACATTTTTTTAATTCATCGCCATTGTCATTGTACACTTAAGGCATAGCACGATCGGGAACGTAAGTTTATGTTAATTTTGTTTTCTTTTTTGGAAAATTCTCTTTATGACAACACTTTATAAAACCTGTCCGCCCCTCGAGCTCGACAAAGAGAAACTACTGCTCCAGAAGGTGATAAATATGCTTTACAAGCTCATCATCGGCGTAGCCTGGTACGCATATACTTTCGTTAGATAGCAGAACGGTTTTCATACCCCGGTACATCAATTAATTCTAAAGGAATACAAACAGATAAATAAACGTTTAGGTAAAATGTAAGCTCTCAATTTACTTGAACTATAAAAAGTTAATTCATTTTGTACACGAGCAAAATTACAAAATTGTGGCTTAAGTAAAGAACAGTTTTGTATGTGGAGAGATTCTGAAAGGTGATACGTGTAGCTAATTATATATAATCAAGTCACACATTACACCCTATATTAGTTATATTCCCAATCTCGTCATGCTTAATGGAAGCCGTAAGCTTGAGTATTGAGAAATTGAAAGTTGAAATAGCGAGTATTGATACAATAGTTTCAAGTCCCTGCAAATCAATTATTAAAAATTACACTGAAACTGCTTTAAAATTCAAAAGTTGTGAACAGATATGTATGTAATAGCCTAATTCCATACCTATTAAATTATTCCAAAATAGCTTGTACAAAATACAAAATTACATTTTGACAATGGGAAAGTTGACGATCACTAAAAGTCTAAGAATGTATTTCAACATGTTTCCCTTAAAATTACATTCTATACTGAATACGTTCAAGAGTTTGTAAAATGATGTCTCAAATATAAACTGATAGTAATTATATATCGAACTATATAAACAATAGCTATATACAAGGTATACTTTAGTATTAATAAATTAAAGTAAAGTTTGACAATTTGCCATCCTAACAAGTCGGTTATGAAAACTAATATCAAAGCTGGCCAAGTGTATACAACAATATACACCGATAAAAAATAACCCGGAGATTTTTGGCTGATGGGCATGTCATATGATGTAATGTTATGTAACGGTGACATCACAGTAGATATCACGCGGAATACCCCCATGATATATGATACCGTGTATATCCAAAGCTAATAACCAAACTATCAATTAGCATATGCTGGTAGAAAGTTTCAATGTAAGTTGCATTTGAGACTAATATTATCAATGGATAGTTATATTATTATTAGTGTACGGTGGTCACTTATTATGATGGCGATTTTTCATACTGATAATTTACTTATGATTCTCTGGTCATTGCTTTAACTTCTGTATTTACATTATGTACAACAGATCATGTGAGTGTAGAAAATATGTTGTCTACATTGTACTTAATTTGACACATAATTTGTGATGTTCAAAATATACCTTATATTACCCACTGACATAATTCCAACATTATAAATAAATTAAAGGTATATATTTGCTTTGCTAGCTTATCAACTCATATTAGGTATATTTTAAAAATCACAAATATCTGCAAAGTATTCAAACACATGTGTTTTTATTGGATGTGGCCTTTGAGAGACTGTCATCTGACCCGAGGATCGGGTCGTATACTAAGCGGGTCACCCCGACTCAAGACTTCTTCCTGAGCTGATTGCACTGACTCTGAGATTTGCGACGTACGTCACTGCAGTTCACGTTTATTGTCGCACGATACGGACGACGTCCCCGTGACGTTTTTACGGAGCACTGCACAGTTCATGACGACACTGCTTTGATGACTATTTTGTACAATATTTGATTGTTTGTTGCTGTGTTAAGTTAGTATTTGCTGCTGCTGCACGGGGTTTGCGGCTGTGTGCGAGTACCAGGGGTACTGCGACATATAGTTGCCGGGTGGCATAGACATAGAGGGCGTGTGTGCGGCACTACTGTGAATCTCGGCCCACGATGAGGGGGGTGTGACCGAATCATCAGGGTGCTGATGCACATTTTGCTGTCCCATCATATTATTTGTTTGCACGGTTCCTGGCACCGTGGTCTGTCCGTTGTGCTGAGAATGTGGCGTTGGGGGAGACACTGACTGTGGAGGCTGCGACATAGGGGGTGGTGTCATTGGCTCCCCGCCGTTGGACATAGGGTTACCCCCGGAACCGGGATGAGGTGGGGACATTGATATGGTCCCATTGGGATTGTGCTTCATGATTTTCTTGTATTTGGATCGTCGGTTCTGGAACCAAATTTTTACCTGAAAACACATATCAACATATACTTAATATCAACATAATAACTGTCGTGTACAGTTCACATTTCTATGGTTTATGGGGTTTGACCTTCCCCAACGTTATATGTCAGTGTCATTCTCTAATTATAATTCATCAACAACTTTCCCCATTAAAGCTGATAGATCTGATCTAGATTGCTCCTGGACATCTACTATATTGGTCTATCTGTATTCATATTAATTTCTAGTCATAAACATGTATACATGCACTGAAAAAAACTCATCAAAAAAGTTTGAAAATAAGACATGCAAAATAACATAACTGATTTTTATCATTCTCTCTTACGCGTGAAGCAAAAATTACATTAAACTTAGAGATAACTGTAAAGTTATGTAACTATTGACCTTTGAAATCACATCATCTTAGTGACTACGACACAGACGCAGAAAATAGACGTAATGATGGACTGGAAGACTCTATAACAATAGAGATGACACTTAATGGGTTGCCACAGATTTATCTTTAAACAGGTTCACCGATAAAACTATAACTGATTTCATAAATGTCACATATGACAGTCGTATATATGATTGGAAGCGACATATTGCATTAATAATTTAAAACTACACAACATAGCAGGTGGTAGAACATCACCAAACGACCAAAATTTTCCCAGATTAAAGTTTAATCACAGGTTTTCAATTTTGTGTGTAACAAAAGATTAACAGTTTATCATCGGTGCATCATGGAGATTAAATTCCCAGTTTATGGTTCTCCTTAAAAATTAGGTCAACCGATCCATATAAATCATGCTATTAATATCACTCTTAAGTAGCACACATACCAAATTTATTCTATGAAATTTTAAAGAGAACATGATTGTGAGGTAAAGTGAGTTCGAATCTTTCAATATACAACGGAACATTAACATTCACCGAACATTTTGTCAGCAAGTTACCACAAAATATTGCCGTTGTACTAAATTAATAGTGATCCTTATCGAGATTTATCATCTCGTTTTTCTTTAGGCATTAAAACTTTGCTGAAAGCGAAAAGTCTCATATTACAAATTTTCAGATTCCACTGTATAGGAGAGCCATGAATTGTGAATGGAAGCCTCTGACCTCTGTCGAAGAATATAGCGAGGATGTCTTTATGAAGCATGAACATTATTTGATTGAAAGAAGATAAAGTTACAGAGAATTCAAATCATTTGAGTTCCTGTCAATTCTGACACTGGATTCAAACCAAATTCAATAGTCGGCAATTTTTCAGAGATTTGACACATGTGCCTCTTTGCCTATCATTTGTCTTAGGGCCGTATTGTTTCTGGAGTTTTATACCATTAGCTTTGTCAACTTCACAAGTGCTATTGTACGAAGATCGCTGAGATTTCAGATTAAAGCTTTAGAGTATTCCAAAGTATTATATTTCTTCCAATATTCCAATTCTCATAAAATTACCAGAGTTCAATGAAGTCTTGGTTGTCGCAATATCTAATTGTGTTGTTGTAATTCGGATCTGACGATTATAATCTTTCATTGATGTTCAGAAGTAATCCATTGATTTAGCCAAAATGCCCTTTGAGTGTCGCATTAATTGAAAATGTTGTTTATAATTAGTATAAAGTCACCCATAGATTGAGGGCTCTTGAATATGATAATTGCTTTCCTCCTTTAGTCAATCATGGGGTCTTATTACCAATTCATAAAAAAAGAAAGCGAAATTCAACAAATCCAATTTTATCATTTCAAATCATCGTTTGACTGAACAGTATACATTTCATGTCGAAACTGCATAATTACAGCAATCAAAATTCAATATGCTCATAATGCAAACAGAGTAGATATTCTCAAAATATAGACATTATCATTATATCATTATCTCATGAGCTGATCCGTATAAGAGTAGAGATGCGACACACGACAGCAATCATTTCGCAGGGAGATACACGCTTTGTAACAACCATTTAGTTATTATAAACTGTAGTCATTTCTTGAAGCGAATATGACGGATTTTGACAAGTTTCTATTGAATGATCAGAAGTTATCTGCAAAAGTAACTTATGTAAAATGACGTGCGACCAAAGCAGCGAAACCAATTATACGCAAATATTAACAAAACACAATAGAGATGAATATTAAATCTTAATAAGCGAAGTTCCACTACTACATGCACGTTGGCGCATGGAGAACCGTGACGTAAAACCAGAACATATTTTGAAACAATGCAAGATTTACTACTAGGGTTAATAAACTATACGTGCATTTTGGGTTTTTAATGGTCAACAGCGCGCGATGATCAACAGTAACACATTTCAGGGACTGTCAATGTATAAGTGTAATAAACATACCATTGAGGCCGAGATGGTAGACTTACAAGTTCGGGGAAACATTTGAGTAAAATATAATTTTGAAGTTATGCCATTTAGGTTGCCAAGACCGACTGTGGCACAGGTTGGGTTCAAAACAGACCAACAAATAAGAATAACGGGAGATTTTCAAGCGTTATGGCCTGCACTTCCCATCCATTAACGATTTTAATTGTCAAGTCTAGTGTAAAACGTTTCGCTAATGTTATGGCACTTTTTACAAAGGCGCAGGCTTCCCTGCGATGCGACCATGTCGTTACGCAGTGTCTTGAGCAACTTTTGCCATGGCTTACATAAGCTTGTCTATCTAACGGGACCACTAACGAGTAAACCATGACTACTATGAATACACATAGCACAAATGGTTATGCTGGTGTTGGCCCTACCTATATATGCTGGTTTTTGAAAAGTATTTCATATTATGGTATAATGAAAAATGAATTAATCAAGCTAATTTTCAATTCACTGTCAAGTTCAATAGTTTGTCCTATTTCATCATAATATTTCAGCCAAAACCACATGAGCAATAACAGTGTACGATTTAGTCAAATTATTACACAAAGAAGTAGTTTTGGAAATAAATATAATGACCCTTATATAAGGATATTAATTTTTTACACTATATGCAATAATGCAAATATCACCTGTCATTCAGGTAGGATAATATGTTTGCAAATTCACAGCTTTTTTCATTATTAGGGCACATCAATTGAATGAGATCACAAACCCCATAATTTACTACAAAACCGATCTCAAAGAAAGAATAGATTACTCAGTGACTCCTTACTCTCGTGCCCCAACTTAATGGGCAATATCTTTTATCAATTTTTTGATATTGGTGTCGTGTGTACGATACTTAAGCTAAAATACCGTTTACGGCTTCATTTACCCACATAATGCCTATCATTTGATCTCCAAGACTTTTAAAAATGTGATGCTCTTTTTGATTAATTGAACCATTATTAAAGAGTGTCGCAGCGATGTGTCAGAAATTGTAAGAATTCTATTTGCGCTCGCGCAGTAGGGGCATTCATCGATGGTTGGTGTTGAACATTCCCAAATGACCAAATATAAAAAGAATCATATCGTAATGTCTGTAGAAAACAAACATTAATTGAACTCGAAGGAAGGAAAAGAGGAAACACTGTATCAACACTCAAGCGCGGAGGGATACACCACCTGCGCCGTTTCACAGCTCATTGGAACCGCGTGGTCAGCAAGAATATGAATATCAGCTCCACAATATGGCACGTTTATTGATTAAAAATGCCTGTCATCTAAGAATGCTCAATGATCATTGTATAAGATTACATAATACAAACGGACTCATCTGGTGAAAGTAGTGGCCAACAGGGTTAATTACTCAACGGCGCAACGGCGACTCTAGAAGAGCTAATCAACCAAAGTGGGCAGTCCGAAACTGCCTTTGTTTTAAATCAAGTTACAAATAAGCATACAGTGATAATACTGGCTATTGAAATTGCAGGTATATTGATACATTCGTGCTATCAGTTTATCACCCGCTTACTAACGGAGAAGCTGAATAAATCAAGTACAACTGAAAACACTCCTATTCCTTTGAAGGTTCTTTGAGGAAATTCAGACACCCATATATCTTTGTATTTTTGTTTTTCTACATCTCTCTTCTTAAAACTGATTTTTGAAAATTAAAATTATTGGATATACTCATACGATCTTGCATGTCAGATTATCATAAATTTTTGCAATTTATTCCCTCATTATACTCTAATTTGTGCCGCTTATACAGAGAAGGTCGATTCTCATAGTTGATATCCAATTTTCCCGTAAGCTCTCTCATTGCCTTGTCACTGCCAATAGTATTGATGGTATCATTTCAGAAAATTGTTCAATACCAACTTCACGAGTTATTATTTGCATTTCAAATATTTTCTAAATTATATGAATTAGTACCAAAGTATATGTAGTTTACAAGAAGTAATTCAGTTACTGTAAAATTATGTAAAATTTACCCGATAAAATTGTTCATATGGACGTATAAACTACATCCCTGTAATAATAGTCCAATTATGAAATTGCACCCTTCGTGAAAGAAAATTAGTATTATTACACTTAATTTCAGAGAATAAAATCAAATTTTGTCATTTTCTGATTTTCTCCTTGTTATAACTAATATTTTACCTTAATTATCAATGTTGGATAAGGGTGGGCAATTTACTTTAATTTATCTTCAATCACTATAAAATTCAGAGCGTGTCTACACTAGTCACAGTCAGAGAAGGCAGTGGACATTGAACTACATCAAGAAAAATGGATTTAACGTTAATTTTAAAGTATTTTCTAATGGATATAGAATAACATAACGGATTTACAACGAAGGCCGTGTATATCATCTTCTTTAATATAGATCAACAGACACGCCACGCTTTCAATAGATTTATAATTTATTCTAAGTTTTAACCATGGAAGACGCTGCTACTGGATTAAAAAGTGTTTGATATTTTGGATTAATTTAATACAAAATATATTTTAATGAAACTGCAAGCGTCGATGATATTGGATATTGCTGAAAGATTAATGACATTCTGATCTCCACCAGCTATTATTAATTCTTTATTGTAAGTGACCAGACAATGGACACCAAGATTGATCTACAGATATACTTAGGGATCAACCGCTCAAATGCGCTTATGGAGACACAAGAACAAATACAAAAGAAGTTAATTAACGACAAGTATTTACTTCTATTTAATTATGACATGGTTAGTTAGCTATATAAATAAATTGATTCTTATCCAAAGATCGAGTGTTTGCTTTTAATGGTTCTCTAACATTTATTGGATCCTATTAATATTTGATGAAACAAGTTTTTAAACAAACTGAGAAATTTTATAATGGTCTTCGTAAAATGATATACAGTTAATCTGTTAATACACGTTTTAAATGACTAGGGGTTTAATCTTAGAGTGGGGGCTCTGTAACGATATACAATAAATACCAACCTGTGTCTGTGTAAGACCGAGAGATGCTGCTAGCTCTGCACGTTCAGGTAAAGCCAAGTACTGTGTTCTTTGGAATCGTCTGTTGAGTTGCTGAAGCTGGAGACTACTGTATATAGTGCGCGGTTTTCGCATCTTCTTGCCCTTGCCATTTACTCGAAGTTGTTCTTCAATCGGAGATTTATCTAAACACAAAAATATAATAAGAAATTGATATATAATTATTTAAAGTATATTCATTTTAACTTCAATGTCATTAACATCAATCCTGAAATTTTACAGAAATTTTTAAGAGCTAGCAACATTGAGGATCGAGATTTGAAACTTAGAGGCCTAAACCAATATTTAGTATAACTCAATGGGAACGTTTCCCGTGTAAGGAAAACACGTGAATTATTCAAAAGAAAATTCACTTATATATATTTATATGAAGAATGCCGCATATTTGATATTGATATCCGAAGACTGTGGCTAACTGGATAATTAACGGTTTCTAATGTTAAGTGTATCATTAATAAAGATTTTCATAATTGTAAAGAATATGTATCCTTTTGGTGAAAAATGTTGTGGTACCTGTTGACAATGAACATGGTTGTTTTGAGGTTAATAATTCCAATGAATAAATCATAAAATATGATTTTAGTGGTTACGCGTCAACCCTTTGAAATATTTCCATCCATTTCTCAAAACTCAACAACTAAATGTGAAGACAGCGATAGCACCTTTTTGAATTCTTTAAATATATTAAAGCAAGCAAAATGCGAAGTTCTGCTAAAATTGCAATCAAGCGGGTTCTAATATTACACAGCTCTTAGAGTAATCAAGACATTAAAGAGGTACCCGTATCGGGATCTTAAAAATATAAACCCCCATAGGATTAATCTGAAAGGCTGCCTTTCGCTTGATACCTCAAGTTCTTATTGGATTAAGTGGCTAGACAAAGTTGTCATTTTAATAACAATCAAACTTTTGATTGCATTAATAAAGAAATTGATAGGTGAAACATGGATGGGGAGAGAAACGAAGACTTCTGGTATTTTATTCAAGTATACATTGGCCTGCCTCGAAGACTGGCACATTGATCGGGGTGCGATCTCATAGTTTAGATTTTAGGAAAAATGAATTGTTTTGATACCGCATAGATAGGACAAATAATAGTTTTTGTTATCCTATTGACCGATCGGTAATCTATATCAATTCTTAAATAACCCGTGTAGCAGTGTCATAGAAACTCGAGATTTTAATGCGCTAGAAATAGGTCCTGCTTTGAAATAATATTACTATCAGACCAATCATAGCTCAAAATTGTATTTTCAATTCATAAATTCAAAAAACAAGTGTTGTTTTAAACTCCTGTTATATAGTCCAACAAGATATGCTCAGTTCATCATGTCAAAGCCCTGGGGATACAAAAAAACAAGCTGTTGCCAAAGCGGCCGATGTAACGCTAGGTGATTTTCAGAATGCAAATACGAACAAGGTGACCACTGAATGATTATGCCATCAGCAATAGATTGAAACACCAACGGTGGGTTAGCACATTATAGTAGAAACAGAAGATAGTGTGGAATGCCTGAAAAATACATAGGTATAGGGTCAAATGTATAAGTCAACCTGATTGATATTGTCGTAGCCCTTAACACTCGGAGCATTTTATTAGGTTAGTTAAATATGACATGGGTAGGCTGATGCTGTTTTCCGCTGCAGTCGCCATCCCTGTCACTCAGAACCACAGGTATATACCTACATGTCATAAACAACCAAGATGGCCTACTCAACACATGCTAGACGACAAACCTGATTTTAATAAATCTACCAAAATATATGTTTTCTTAACTGACACGTGCTTTCACAGATGCTTAGAACTACCAGATACCTTTATTTTATTCAACATTAATGGTGAAGAAATCTCTTTTTTAAGTTAAAACAGAAATAAGTCGTAAAATTAACTTACCATCTCTTGGAGGACAGCTCGCCTGGTAGGGGTTGACAAAATGTGACGGAGAGTTGTAGGCCGTGTGTGACATACCATTCATGGAAAATGGATAACCCAGAGGACGGGTAGCCTGTGAAGTGTACATAGAATCCTGTGACGGGTGCTGACTAGGGTAACTAGCACGGATAGGGTATGCGGCATGATGTCCCATATTTTGTTGCATCTGTTGAATTTCCATAAACGCAGATTTACTGTCCGGAATATCTTGGCCGATGGCCTCAGATCCTGTCATATTCAGCATACTATTTTACAGAAACACTAGTGTTCCTTGCCTACTTATTAACTTTAATTGCACTGTATAATATACTAGCAGTTCTCACTCCAACGTGATGAGTTGATGATGGGATAACGATTACTGTCCATACACTAGCGTAGTAGCCAACTTATAATCAGTGTGTGCATCATATCAAACACGCAAAATATTCAATAGATTCACAATGGCTCCGCCCCATATTGACAACAGCGCGCTGTGATTGGCTACTACTTGGCAAACGTATAATTAAGAGTTGTCAATTTTGAGATTGTATGGATGCTAAAGCCTCCTGGTACGTATATTTCACTAGACCCTATGCTGAGAGGGCTTTGTTTGTAAGAGCACACCATGGCCACGCCATTATGAACACACAGAGGGAATTCAGCATGGGAAAAACCCCCGGCTCCAGTCGGCTGTCCTAGACCTGATAGTGTATAGAAAACTCCACGGTTGTTCCTTTACTTGTCGGCTAATCATATTCCCAGTTTTTATTGTCCCCTGTTGCCGTTTTTCACAAGTTTGCAATGCCCAGACGAGCTTGTAATCGCTGACATGAAGTTTTTCGTGAATATATAAAGAAGAATGTGTCAAGCACGACACTCCCGTGAAGATACTGTCTAGAAAATATTTTATTTGAATTTTTGATTATTACAAAACATGGTTTGGAACATGTGTCTGCACCCTCTTCTGAGGGATAGATAAGATAAAATGGGCAAAGAAGTTTACCCAAAGGCTTTTTGGGGAACTGCAATGGCTCAAAACCAAACGCATCATGAGTTTAGTAATAGCTAGTGAAAATAAATGTAAAGCACTTGTTACATTACATAATCATATGGAATAACAGATGTTACAATATGAACCTGAATCACATCGTTAATGGTGCATAAAAACTTAGTGCAAACAGTTCTTTGAGAATGTTTACTATTTTGTTTACATTTCTTCATGTCCATGGCAATTTGCATGACGTTTGTAAATCTGTTGAGGTACTTAAAATAGATTATTAGACAGGAATGGATTAATCTGTAAATGCCTGGATTGATTGCGTCAGGCTGGTAGATATTTTTAATGGTATTAAGAATTTAGACATTTTATAAAAACAAAGTCAAGCTTAGCCAGTTGACTGATGGCTGAAGTGTCAGAATGTCGGACCTAACAGTTATCTATAAAGCGGTGACATACACGAACGTTGATCGCAAACCCGACGCAACACCTTGCCATCCACAAAACAATGGCGCCAGAGAAAGTCTTAACTTGACGCAATCAAATGTCTCAGACTCATGATTCTTTGTTTACATTTACAATTTTTCCAACAACCATCTTGATTAATGTTTAAGATATCTTTTGGATAATCAAATTTAATAATATGATTATAAATTCTGATCATTTTCCAGTTTATTACCATCAGTGAGTTCAAATTTCATGATGAATTTTCCCCTGTATGCTGCTAGAGGGTAGTGATGGAATGGCATGCTGGACTTCATGTTGAGTACATTAAATGTTAATGGTGTAAATAGACTGTCGCCGACCCCATCTTGAGCTGGAGAAAACACCTTTGTTGTAAAAGAATAGCCCCCCGGGTCGGACAATACTGTGGTTCATAATGACCGGTCCACATTGACAATACTCACGAGATGTTTCACTCCCATTCTCGCTAGGGTCCATTTGGCAGTGACGGCACTGGAGTGGAGGAGTCAACGTGAAGTGGAAGGGGCTATTTGTGTCTCACCTGTTTTATTCCACTTCATTGCGTCTCGACAAACTTGACAAACTTTCCAACAAAATAGAAAATAAACATTCCCATTGAAAACATTTTTAACAGGTGGGATAGCGAATCGGTAGAAAGTGGCTGTCAGTGTTATACTAATAGCAGCTTTCATTGAATTATTTTCTTGTCTATATCACATTTATACTTCTCTACTTTCGGTACAAAATATATATTAAAATAAACTTGACCCCTCTCGTTGACCCCATCATTGTGCATTGTCCAATGCATACCCCCACATGAGAGGCATATGGTTCTGAATTTTAAAATCTAAATAAGCATGACAAATGACTTAATCTTGTGTACTTTATTCAACCTGTAATTTTAACAGTGATTTACAATATTTTAACATTGACCAATACATTTAATGGTCGGATATGAATATGTTAGCGGTTAAGTATAATAATTTATAGACATCATGAAAACAAAGGAATTATCTCTTACTTTTTGTTTTGCCCCGGGGTAGACACAGTCCGGCAATACCACACCAACCATAACTCAGATCGTTTTATCCTGAAGCATTTTCTCAATAGTCATAAAAAATTCATACCAACTTCGAATAAAAATACTGCGTGAATGACCAATCTTTCTGAGGATAGTGGATGCATATATGATGAATGTTCGTTTCAGTAAACGGGTAAAATAATATGATCTGATTATATTCATTTACGGGCAATTTCCAAGCTATTATACATTTATTCAATTAATTTCCACTTCTCTGTTGGGTATTTAAGACAAATTATTGTTAATTTAGTTATTGTATATCTTAGGTATGAATAAAGATACACAAGTTAACTAATTAAACTGGTTTCATTTGAAGTGTGATCACATCATATCGCAAGTAACTGCGGATAATTCTAGATTTATGTGTTATTTTACTACAACACAACTGTTCATGGCAATTGGTACCTGCATGTTTATATAGTACTCATTTTGCAATCAAGTTATGCAGATATAAAAGAGAAAGTCAACATGTTGAAAAAACAGTGTTACCAAAGCAGCATGTGTGTCGCGTCAAAAGGAATTATAAAGTAAATTACATACTAATGCTGTAGAAATGCTGCTAAAATTTGCATTCCAATCTTTAATAAAGTATTTTTGTGACTTGATGAAATATTTGTAAAAAATGTTCTGCATTTTGGGTCTATTATTGAAATATGAGGGAATTGAATATTTCCATTTTGTGAAGAAATTGATGAAGAAAATTCTTAGCCCGTTCCAGAGAAATTCTTCCTTGTAATATAAACTACACTTGAAAATATGTATTTTATGTCAGTCTGATCTAAATCAAAATTTATTTCTTCCCACGCTAAAAGAGTTTCTTTATACGCTTGAATTGCCTTGATTTTTGTTTGCAACTCTCCAAGAAGCCTTTTATCACCTCGCCAAAGGGGCTCAGTTGGATAACTGTTGTTTCTTAGCGTTTCCTGACTTTACGTGTTGTGCGTACTTTACCCCAACTGCGTAATTGGCCAAGGAAAAAGTTACTTCCCCACTTGACTTTTCTGTAACAATCCTACTTCATTAGATACTTTTGTATTAAAATCATTAATGGATAATAATTTGAGCGAACATATTGATCCCAATATGGACTAAGAATCCGAACATGCTAATGCCGCATTGTGTGAATAATCTCAGTTTTAATCTCGGAAAATCCGATAAAATTCCTGAGATTTGTTTTAATGAATCGGTAAAAGCAATCCATAATCTTGCTTGGATTTGTCAATACCTTTTTGTGTTCCAAGTTTTGTTTTGTCGTTTATCATGACACGTTCTCATTATTAGTGTTCTGTTTAGTAGAATCGTGTAAAACATCTAGAAGATACATTTCCTTTTTTCGCTTTTTCACTTTTTCGAGAAAAAAATCGTTGAAGACCTGCAACTTTTCAATATTAAATAAGCATCAGTGAATTCGGTATATTCCGGAACATTTAATACATGAATTTCTTATAGGTCCCATGCAAAGTTTTAAAATAATATTTTCATCGTTGAAATATCACTTTGAGAAAACAGTTTTCGTTGAATAATTGCGCAATTCTATAACATGGTTTTTAGATCGTCAAATCGATCTACTTTTGTTTTTTGCTGTTAATTGACTAATGTGATATTTTAATTTATTTATTTGCAGCGATCTCTTGAAAGCCCATGAGAGAATGGCCCATATTGGAACAATTACCATGGAAATAGTACTTTTCTATGCTGATTTTCGTCAATGTCACATCCTTTTTACGTGTTGTGAAAGACATTTTTGACACACGTTTGATGCATAAAATTATACATTTCTAGCCTTAAAACTGATTTTCAGGCAGAAAAAAGAAATAACCAGTCTTCTGGTATAAGGTCCTGGACGTTTATAATCAAAACATGTCACATCTAGAGCAAAACAGTCAGGGTGCGATCGCCAAAAGAAGTTCGGTTTTCAGTCAGGGGGAGGTGCGATCGTGGCATTTAAGCGAGCCCATCAAAATTTGTTTTGAGTTTTACAAAAATTTATGTAACTTCCTTCAAAATTGAGCTAGAAGCTTCAAATAAAAGCAGTTTAAAGCTATTTTCTTCCTCTATCCAAAGTCGTTCTATTGGCCCTCGTTCTATTGGTTATGGGGGGGGGGGCGTTCGCACCCTTTAAACACCCCCCCCCCCCCCCCCGGCTTCGGGAAAGTGCTATTTGTCGCAAACTCTTAAAATCAAATGTCAAAGTCACCTTAAGGGTCAGAAATCAACTCATTGGTATTCCATCTGTTCAAACCAGGTACATGTAACTTGCCATATACATAACGGCCTCAAAAGTCATATATGACCTTAATTAATTACTTGTATCTATCATAAGGTCCAAAAAGCTAGGTCTTCAATTTTTCCCAGGTCAAGAATGTCTAGAATTGCCAGATATTGGAATGATATTTTGTGCCAGGTACATGTAAGGCCAACTGTTGTCCTTGGAGTTGAGCATAAAGCATGTGACATGGTGACCATGTAATCGACGATTTTGAAGAAAATGTATTGCAGTAAAACAAGAGAGGTTAAACGGTGAAAATAAATTCATTATAACTGAGACATCGTTCGTTTGCTTTTCTTTTTAAAGGAATATATATACATCTTTCATTGACTTGATGTCAATTATGTCTTATTTATATTATTATTTATTTCAAATATATTATAGTGTCATACACTACAATGACAATAATACGTTTGATAAGAGATCTATGTTATGTTTGATTTAGATGCTTTATTTAGTTTATTGTTTGCAATCAACTCCATTAAATATCACATTTTAGGGCCATTTCAAGGTTTCAAATATTTCTCCTAAGTCATATAAAACATCACTTCGACCCCCTTCACTTCCCTTCGTAAGAAAAATTGACGTGTTAGTTTAGTTCAGGACATTGCCACGCGCCTTGACGTATGGAATTCCTGTTTTCTCGAAAATAGGTGACAAAATTATCCGGAAAATTTATTGACCACCTGTATGTTGGGACCAGATGGCCATGCTAGATCATTGCATCAAATCATCCGTAGCTTACGTAATGAGCTTAACAGGTAGTGTCATCCTAATTAGATCATCTGATTAGAGGCTATGTAGAAAAAACTACCTAATTAAAGCGGATTTGGAATTAGGGGAATCAGACTTAGGGGCTAGACTATGTCTCATATCTATAGACTTTTTAACTACTACGAAATGAGACGTTTCTGTGAAAATCTAAAACAAACAAGTCGTCTAAAGATGTCTATAATAATGACAAGAAAATTAACCATGATACCATTAATTAAGATATATGTTTAAGGTAGTATTCTAGGGAATATGTTAGTTTCTTAAATAGTTGCTTGAAATTGTTTAGCTCTCACAGTTCTTTGTTTATAACTATTTTACAGAAAATCTGAAAGATCTGCTTTTGATCTTGATGCCACGATCAGTTATTCATTTTGTCTGCAAATGTACACATCCTCCCTCGATTGGAGATTCCTCTTTTAACCGAATTAGAGATAATGTTTGTCATTATAATGCATTGTAATATGTAGCTCTTACATTTGTTTCCTCATACATTCCCGTTTCCTCTTCACAGAACTGAATCCAAAATGGCAAATATGAAAGATGTCAAACAAAATTGATAGCCTAATTTCACCGCTGGATTCGATGTAATACACACGCCGACTAACGTCATCACAAATTATAAAATGCAATAAAAGTCGCATAAAAAGGTATCTCAACCACCGAGTAGAATTGCATTAGCAAGATATATCACATAATACCGATTTCAACCAAACTAAACAAAAGCAGGGGATGGCAAAGAACTGGTTTGGTAACTAATAGATTCTTCCAGACCACAGTTGGGTTGACTGACAGTGGAGAAACGACGTTATATCAGCAATAAAAACAAATGAATATGACAGGTCCTTTGTTCTAGTACTAATGCAAATAAAACCAATGTTCTATCTTGTATCCGCTTTCCTTTGAAAACTCGCCTAGAAGTCGCATTAATTTTCCCTATAAATTCATCTAACAATTTTCTAGTTGACTTGGTAATAACGGTTAGAAAAACATGGATAGGGGATAAAATTATGGGAGTAATATGATCTCGTGCCCGCTTCTTATAAAACCAACACCTTCAATGATTTTATACGATAATTAATATTTGTCATAAATCTTGTTAATGTTTAGGACATTATATCCATTTAATTCTATTATTTATATATAAGAGCCCTGTCAGAATTTCAATATCTGAAGGTAGAAAAATAGCAACTTTCCGAGTAGAATATAAATTTTGGTGATTTCATTTTAATTTTCTACAATAAATTATTTTAAAGTTTTTGGCAAAACTAATAATAACGTTTTCGACAAACCCAGTTTTGGTAAAATTCTTTACGCAGAATATGTAACGATACTGATCAAATAACTTGCCTACAAGTGCCTACAAGTCTATATTATTACTAATATGCTTCAGTTATAAGGATAATTCCGGGATTATCAACAACCCTTAGACATTTTTGCATTAATAAAAAGCATTCCCAAAAACATTCTGCATTTTTCACTCAAGATTTTATCCCAAGGTTTGCAAGCTTATAACCTGGTCAAAATTGCCCTTTTTGGTCAATTATTTTTAATTCGGCAAAAATATTTCATTTTCAACAGTCTCTTAAGCTTTCGGCAAATACCGAACTATTCGGCAAAATTAACAGTTTCAGGACAATGCCCCTGAAAACCTGAGAAAAGCAAATCCCTTGGTGCTGGAAGCTGGCTTAGGTCATAATTATTGAAAAATATTTATATTATACTACCGCAACAATTTTTTGTTAATTGTCGCTTTTGACAAAAACACATTTAACCTTTTGGGTATCCATTAATCTATAATCTAAATTATATTTCCTAAATGTTGAATTACATCAAATCCGCCATTCGCGCTTTCCATATTATCATCATAAACTAAACCTCTATTTACCTTGATCCTGGATGGATTTCTGAACCCCGTGATTTATAAATAGAATCGACCATGGCTGAGTAGTTCAAGATCAATTATTTTTCTAATTTGTTTATCTATTTGTTTTTTTAACCGACAAGCAAAAAAATCACTCAGCCCATTTAAGACATATTAAAATGTATAGTAAATGATATATTTTCAGATTTCCTGACTGACACTGAACGAGATCTTTGCTCCATCTCACACAGAGCTCATCTACGACATCTTTCTATCTAGGAAGAAATTAATTGAAACGTATATAACCAAGCGTATATTATGTTACAGAGGCGAACCAAGGATATGAGGCTAGGCGAGGCATTTATCAACTTTTGCACATCAGAGCACTAATCGGGCCTCCCCTTTAACATGACTGGCTCGTTTGACCAAACTCCCAAATGTATAATCCTACATTTAACCCTTATGTCTAGAACCTTTTTTATCGTCGAGGGTAATCTGTAACCCCCCCCCCCCCCCCCCTCTGCGATTTTTATTACTTGTCTGATATTAATAATCCTGGTATTGTTGTAAACCTGGATCGATTACCTCTTCAGAAAAGTATTGGTCTTTCAAATAAAGGTCAACATTTTGTGATAAATTGTTAATTTTCTTTCTAAACTTTTGGAGCCAAAGATGCTATATTTCATAAAAGAATAATCTATTATCTTTCAAAAAAATTAAATCAAGGTAAAACCTTTTCTAGAACTGAACTTATAAGCTTAAATGCACTTTCAAAGATGGCAGGTATCGCAAAACCAATTGAAATCAATGGAACGCGAATCAATGGAATGCTAGTAATCAACAATTTCAGAGTCAACTTGTTTTTGTCTAACTCATATTTAAAGAGGTAGTCTATTACAAATAACAATCGTTAAGATTTAGTAAGAAGATAGAAAAACGCTTGACTTGACATTGTCTGGGTCCACTAAAAGGAGAGAGTGATCATTATTGCATAAACATTCAGCAGGCACTAGAGGCACAACATTTTTTAAGAAACGTAGTAGCACACTACAACAAAATTATTTTTAAACTATTTTAAATCCTGGACTAAATATTTTAAGGAAGAAAACGACTTTATATTATGCGAGGGAATCTAATTCAGGCAACGACTTAAAAATTGCAAAATAAAATTGACTTGGTAAATAGATGGCAACAGTGTACGGGGAGAATAATAATACATAGTTGATCACCTTGGCGATAGGTGTCGCATGTGCGCTCAGGTAGATAACAGGTAAAAGCCAATCAATTCATTGTAAATAGTCACGTGATATGTCGAAGAGTAACGAGCCCGCTTGAAGATGGCCAGAATAAAACTTAAATTGTTAATTATTGGATTATTATGTATTGAATTTACTACATCACGTAAGTACAAACATATACGATCTAGATACTGGCTAGATATTAAGATCTGGGATCATGTTGATCGCTAGATAAATGGATTTGAGTGAAATTACAGGTGTTCAAATTCCAAGATGGCTGCCACCTGTTATCAAATTTAAGAAATTGTTGCAATTGCGAATGTTTTAAAAAGGGAAATGCACGTCCTATCGGGATTTGTGATATATGTTCGGCTGTCTCTAATATGATTTTCAGCTTGTAGTCTAGAAGACGTAAGATCCGTTACTCAGATCTTGGTATAATTACCATAACTTTGTTGACCTAATTTTTCAAAAGTTTTATTTCCTGGTTTATGAGTCATTCTGCATTCAGTGTTTTTACATAAACAATGTTCGCCTCAGTTGATATATATTACTTTTGTCAAATTGACAATTGGTGATGATAGGGAAATCTGTGATATCTGAGTCTGATGGACCTGCAATCAAACTTGGATAATGAGCCAAAAATCATCCAATTCAGAAAGTTGGTTTGAAAAAGTGTTATATTTTAGTTGTAATATGTACAGAAAACCCTGTCTCTTGTAATTTGTTGAAAATCAAAATGCGATAGGCCACACTTTTGTTAGCCAAACCACAAGCAATCCAAAGTACATTGTATACAAATGTTTTGTATCTAAAATATAAATGTATGTTTCCATATGCAAGGGCGGATCTGAAAACTAACAACCAGGGACATTTTAAGCCCCTAAAACCAAAAATTTCCTTGAATGTATGGCTTAGATTTAAGGTACAACTAACTGTCTGATCATAACATGTTTTGTCCAAGAGGTCTTAAAAGTGTAATACTGTTGAAATAATGAATCTTGTTCACTCAAATAGACTAGATGCGAGTAGAAATAATCTTGATTTAAGTCATCAAAAAATAAAAATTCAGTCAAACTGATGTCATATTTGGAATCTCCATGTAGAATTACATCTAGAAATGTGGTTTTGAAAAGAGTTTATCAACTTTGAAAATTTAATTTCCTTTGAAAATGTGACTTCTAGGTCGGGGAGATCCCCATAGAGCCCATGTTGTAAAATCACAAAAAGTGAAATATCTTTTCTTGTGTTCGGCAGATTATATTTTCTTTTACTGGGCATATTTTAATTTGTATAACTATCAGATACAAAAGGGTAATATGGAAAAGTGAACCACTAAAACTGATGAATATGCAAGTTTAAGGGAATTCTGTAATACCCTGCCATGTTATTTCCCCCGACTCAGCCACCTGGTGGCGAAACTGGTAACTACCTACTCGCATCTGAGTAATTCAATTGCAATATGGTTATGGTATATTATTCTTGTCCAGTATTATTTGTGGAGTAGTCATATAAATCCGACCACCGTATCCTGTTATTTGTTGTTAATTTTCTTATTTTGGAACATAATGTGGAGAAGTTATTGTCTCAGAGATGAGAAAAGTGAGCAGTATGAGAGAATGGCTTTTGAATCTCTGTGAAGTAAATAATTATGATTCTGTTTTGATACATGTTCAAATTTAGACTACCAGAAATAACATTCAGCAACATTTGATTATATTTTGTCAATTATCAAGCGTTTTACATGTCAAAGGTAAGATTTAGCACTTATAAGTTGGAGCAAAATAATTAATCGATCATTTGTGTGACTTTGGGGCCCAGGCAGGCCAGGAAAGCTTTTCCCGCAATTTGTTTGCTATTATGTCTACAACCGTGTATGCTAAGAAAATAATAATAAATAAATATCCAAATAAGAACAAGGAACATCAAAGAACAGCATACAACTTTAGGATTTATATGACTATTGTGGAGTAAACTGTTTTATCTTGTGATAATATGATATTTTGTCATTATAATATGATCTATTGCTATGACTAGATGCAAATATTATTATATAGTCTTACTTACCGTTGGTCAATTTCGTATTGTCTCTTGGAATAAAACTCATAATTTTCCCAGTGATTGGATGATGTATACTCAAGACCTTTGCAATATCCATGCCATTCAACATAATTATGAACTTGATTACTTGCAAGCATTATGAAATTAATTGCTTTAATTTACCTCAATTTCCAGTCCTAACTGTTGTTTTTTGTTTAAGAATGGGCAGAGGAATGTCGTAATCCACAACCAATTGGGCTCATGGCCCATGCCCGTGATGATGGTGAACCTACCAGAGTTCCAGACAGTAGGATATGGGTGTCATCTCAGGGTCACGAGGCCAGAGGGGGTTCACAAGGACGTCTTTATGGCGATAGTGGTATGTGGCCATTTCTCCATCTGTACAGCATATTGGGCAATTTGGTATATTAAAAAATAATGACCATCTTAGTTTGTGTTTACATCTATAATCTAGATCAGGTACTGTCAAAGAGATATCCTCATTTTCAACTTAATCAACTTAAAATGAAAATAGATAAGACAATCAGATTAAAGAAACAAGCCCTATAGTGGCTAATATAAGATATTCTATATGTTTTAACATGGCAACACAAACTCAATTGATTGTTCCATTATGTCAAATGATTTATAACGATTTGTATTACAGAAAGTAGTACATCTCCTTTATGTGATGTTTTCAGCTTGGCAAGCTGGTAGAAATGATTTTGACCAGTGGATTGCAGTAGATCTGGGTTCGGTGCAGACAGTAGCAGCTGTCTCTACTCAGGGTATGAGGGGGTCAGACCAGTGGGTCACGCAGTATTACATCCTATTTAGTGATGATAGGAACACTTGGAAATATTTCACAGATGACTTTGGTGAACCTAAGGTAAAGCATTAAAACAATTCAAACACCATTTCTATAGTTTGTTATGGAATTACACACAAAGGGTTTTTGTAACAGGGTTGCATGGATATTCCAGAAACAATTTGAAGCATTTAAATTGTGTTTCTACAGATTGTGTGAGTTCTATGCTATCTTATATTTTTAATGTTTAAGTGTTCCGACTGAACACAGATTTCAGTTATCTCCCTAGCATTAAAGCAAGTGGGCACAGCACTCACCTGAGATTTTGAAAACAGGCTTGCACCCACCTGAGATTTCATTTGCACCCACTTGAAAATGAGAAAAATCATGGGCAAAATGGGCATATTTTGACCAAGTTTGGACTTAATTGTGAAAATGAGAATTTTGCACCAATTTGAGAAAAAATCCTGGGGAGAACACTGGATTTAAAAATGGTATTTAGATATCCATGCAAAAGATAAAGATACACTTAGCAAAATTATTATAACAAGATTATTGGATCTATTTTTGCCACTTGACTCATGCTTTTGTTTTTCATGCAGATGTTCCTTGGTAATTGGGATGATAACAGCGTGCGCAGGAACACATTGCCTTATGACATCATTGCACGATATATCCGCATAAACCCTCAGCGATGGCATTCTTTCATTTCATTAAGATTGGAAATATATGCATGTCCATTTGGTAAGTAGACAAGAGCTAGAAATAATTGAAAAGATTCGAATGAATGATTTGAATATTTTCACCTTCAAAAATCGCTCACAGAATCAAATTTTTCATCTTTATAATCCTTTTAAAATAAATATAAACAATACAACAAACCGATGTAAGTGAAACACATTTAATACCTCTGAAAAGTGTTCCATGTACAGAGTTTCATCCAGCATCAAATCAATTAATTGGTCATTGGACTCTAAAAATAGTTCCACATAAAATGATGTTCCACATTACAGATTTTGATATATATGCACTTGTTAAGACAAAATAAGGAAAGGGCCTGCAAGTCCATACTTTGTTATCTATAATCTGGTTCTGAGACTATATAATAAATAAATGCATGTATTAAAGTGCATGTCTGTTTGATTTTTCAGTAAGTGACGATGCACAATTTGATGGCAAGAGTCGTATCAGTTATGATGTCAGTGGTTCAAACCAATATATGCAATCTGAGCGCACAACATTCAAAGGACGTTTTAGAACAAATTCTCCCAATGGATTATTATTTTACGCAGATGGTAACCAAGGAGATTATTTTGTAGTGGAACTGTATAGAGGTGCTCTCAATTTACAAATTGATTTAGGTGAGTTGGTATATATTAATACCATATCTGAATTTTCACTAAAACTTCTATAGAGGTCATTGTTGGAATAAGATAACTTTTATTAACTTCATATATCGATTTCAGTTGAATCTTCCTCTTGATAGAACAATGCATAAAAGATGGTTATGTCACTCACTTTGCAGAGATACTGAGTGATACCTTTTATTCTGATATGTCAAAATATCACATTCGACTCAGGGCCTAAATATTTGAAATTATGTTATTACAGGCTCCACCGCTACAAGTCCAGGGGAGACACTAATCAGAGCTGGCAGCTTATTGGATGACAACCAGTGGCATGACGTAGAGATAAGTCGTGTTGGCAAGGAAATCAGTTTCACCATAGATCGTCAAAATATCGTGAATAGAACTAGGGGAGACTTTTATCAGCTTGATGTTGACAAACAAGTGAGCGAATGATACGATTTTTAGTTTTATTTACAATTTTACTCCAAAAGCAACTACAAATCCTTTCTGTTTCTTAATTCTGTTTATTTTATTTACAGTTTCTTTCATTTCATCCCAAGAGCTGGTTTGTGTGATTTTAGTAATAATTATTTCTCTGTTTGTAGCTTCACATTGGTGGAATTCCAAGTTTTATGGCAGCAGGAAAACGGGTGATGGTTCGAAACAACTTCACAGGTTGTGTGGAGAATGTATTTTTCAATGGCATTAACTTGGTGCGCGATGCCAGAAATCAAGTGGATAGATTTAGTGTTGTGGGAGGAGTTACATTTGATTGCCAGGTGAGTTTGCTAGATTCTCATGAGTTACTGAGTAAGGTTTTCACCTTTTATTAAATGAGGCAACACTCTTTTAAACTAATCTGAAGAAATGTTTGAAAATAAAAACCTTCATCCAAATTAACAAAAGTGATATGTTGGACATGACATTTAATACAAGTATTTAACAGTAGAGGTGTCACGGACACCCGATTTTGTTCCTATCTTGAATTGTGCCCTCGGAACGGAACACAGAACAAAAATTAAGAATTTTGGTTTGGTTCTGGAACGAAAACATTTTACCCTTTCACAACTTTAACATACATTCTTCTGTTTACAGAGTGTTTCTATCACACCAATGACATTTCCTACAACAGACAGCTACCTTAAGTTGTCTTTCGCACCAACAGCCAAGTTAACAGCTGCCTTCCAGTTCAGAAGCTATAATAAAGGAGGTCTGCTATTCATGAATGCACTAAACCCAGGTGGTTATGTGATACTGAAGCTCAATGTGGATGGCTATCTTGAGTATCATGTGTCAACATCTAATGACCCTTTAGTGAAGGGCTGGATCATCAATGGTATGTTCACATGTTTATTTAAAAACATGCTATATGATAAATGTTTCGTGCTTCATCTTTGGTAAGCAGAAGAATTCTAGCATGGATGATATATTTTGACAGGAATAGTGTATGATTTATTAGACGCATTGAGCTAAATTTTGGGAATATAAGATAAATGTTAGAAAAATTAAAGGCCTCGTTCCTTCAATCATTCTTTGTTAAAGTAATGATGTAAAACATAGAATTTAATCAACCTAACCTACGTTCAATCAACAATTATATGTCACAATTGATATAAAATATATGAGCAATAAATTTGAAATTTCAGCTGACCTGGATAGTGAAACGGAAGAATTCACAGATGGTCTCTGGCATCATGTAGTGATCAGCATAGAAGGTGGCTCCACATCCTTTTTGGGAAAGATCAACATCACTGTTGATGGCAAACCAACAGTGTCCAATAGAAAATTGGAAATCACTACCACAAGCGATTACTTCATTGGAGGTATGCAAGTGTGAATTTTTTATGTCACCAACTGTTATTGTAATAATCATCATTATCAGTGACCCGCAATGGCAGTCAAACATTTTTAATCAAATTGTAATGAACACTTTGGAGGTGGTAACATTTTGTCATGTTAATGCCTTCATTTTGTCATGTTAATGCCTTGTTTTTGTTCTGTTATGTACAGTCAACATTTATAACACAAAAAAATTATATACTTTCTAAGTATGGGTTCAGTGTCGGCAGCAGAAGATAATTATTCATGGATTTTTTTACCCACTGTTCTGTGTTCTACCCACATTTGCATGGTCAAAACATTTTCTTTCATACTAGTATTGAGGCAGCCTGACGTACTTCTATGCTTATGGAATCACTTCATAGATTACACATGTATTTGCATATTACAGGTGGAGTTGATGGGGAGAATGGTTTCCTTGGTTGTATGAGGAATTTAGAGGTAGCAAATAACCTAATTGACTTCAATCAGCTTCCAGTAGGCTCTGAGCAAGTAGAGGCCCAGAATGGTACATGTGGTATCAGAGACAGGTAAATAATGAAACCATATAATTTTATTGTATGTAAAGCCTCATTCACATTTGCTCTATGGCGGCCATACATTGGCCATGGCTTCACAAAATCGATATAGAAAATAAACATCTTATTGCTTATCCCTATATATTTTCACACTGCATATTTCTCTCGATTTTGGAACACTATGACCGCCATATGGTTGCTGTAGATCAAATGTGACTGAGGCATTAGCTAAAACTTAAAGGTAGGTAAGGCAAAACATAAGCCTACTATAAGAAGATATTTTTCCCTAGGATAGAATTTTTTAGTTTTAGTCAAAAAAAATATTTTTCAGTAAAACTTAATTGGTGAAGAAATCACCTCTTCTGTGTCATAGCTTTATAGAAATTAGTCGCTGGTTATTAACCTAGTACAATTCATTATTTGATTTGTTCCAGATGTACACCAACACCATGTGAGCACTTTGGTGTCTGCTCACAGAACTGGAACACTTTTATGTGTGATTGTACTGGCACAGGATATGGAGGCGCTGTCTGCCATATATGTAAGTGTCATAAAGGAATTTTCCAAAGTTTTTATCCAAAATCTACATCATTCATTAACTGTTAAACCGTCCACCAATCTTTGTTCATGAAAGAGACCCTGAAGGTGTGAACTTTCCAAATGAAAAATAGAAAAAATCTTTTCCCAATTAACTAAATATAGTATGTGTACAATTGAGTACAAAACATGAGAGTGGCTTAAGCAACATTTGCAGGACTGGATATATTTTTCATCAATCATAAAAATGTATTGCTAAGAGTTTTGATAATTTTTCACTATTTTTAGCTCACATGGTAATTTGTATAGCTATCACTCACTCGTTTGATGCAGTTGTTACAGTGCGAGCACATAATTGTATCATTATTTTTAATATATATTGTTGTGTAGTATGTATAATACAGTTAACTAAAATGAGTTTTTTGGATGACATTTTGTACATACATATCAATTTTTTGTTCAATTGTTAAGACATCGCTTTGTGTTCTAGTTTATGTACATAAAACAAACAAACAAAAACATGATATACATACGTTGTATTTCAGCTGACTTTGCCGTGTCTTGTCTGGAGGTAAAGCTACAGAATCCAACTCTGCCAAGTAGGAAGTCTCACATAGATCTGGATGGATCTGGGCCATTGGAACCTATGGAGGTTACTTGCGTGTATACAGGTAATATAACAAATGGTTTCTCTCAAATTGAACAGTTCTTACAGTTATTAATCTTTTACATAATTAGTGCAAAGCAAAACAAAGCACTGACTTTACTTGTGAAATTATTTCATTTACAAATCTATATTTTTATTGACTGATATTGTGCAAATATATCAACACATTGGTCATTTATATGGTGTATCTTCAAGTGCATGGATATAATAAAAACATATTGAAAATGGCTTTTCTTCAACATAATTATGTTATTAATTTTTGTAGAGGACAACACTGATATGGTTGAAACCCATGTTGCTCATGCTAACATGGGTGAGACAGAGGTAAATGGCTTTGCAGAGCCTGGCTCATACATTCGACCAATCATCTACCAAGCAGGCAAAGAACAATTTGATGAACTTATTGGCAGGGCATACAACTGTAAACAATTCCTTAAATACAGCTGCTTTAACTCAAGGCTTCTCAGTCCTACAGGTTAGGTTCTATTTAAATAATTATAATTTTTGGTGTTTGTAGTGTAATGTTTAAATGCTGGACAAAAAGGGGAATTTTATGTTTCGTATTGTAAAAGTGAGTTTAATAAGGTTTTATATTGTAAAAGTGAGTTTAATAAGGTTACATATTGTAAAGGTGAGTTTAATAAGGTTACATATTGTAAAGGTGAGTTTAATAAGGTTACATATTGTAAAGGTCGAGTTTAATAAGGTTACACCAGGGTGATTGTTGAAAGTCAAGACCTGTGTGGATGCAGATAAGTTATTACCATTACTATTTTCAGGTATTAAGAACACACCCTCATATGGTTGGTGGATTGGACGAACAAACCTCAACATGGACTACTGGGGAGGAGCTGCCCCTGGGTCAGGGAAATGTGCATGTGGGCTACAGGATAATTGTGAACAGGGCTCTGAGACTTGTAACTGTGATGCACAACAAGCTGTAAGTTCGCAAATAAATATGGAGGAAAATTTTATCAAATCATTCATTTTATTATTTCATTTATTTTAGTGAAAGATGTCTGAATAAATATTTGTGTGGTTTTGAAAGGATAGAAGGATATCTATAATACTGTACTGTATTCTGATATCTATGAAGTGAATATGGTTCTTGCAACAAGAATTTCGGAATTTTTTATTTGTTGTGTTGTTTACTATCTATCCATTTATTGCTGTTCTTGAGTGTGACCTTGTGTATTTGTCAGTTACCAATTGTTGTTCTAGAAATGGACATCTGATGAGGGGAATCTTGAACATAAGGAACACTTGCCAGTCATGGAGCTGAGATTTGGAGATACTGGATCTATCAATAGTGCCAATAGAGGGCGACACTTGCTGGAGCAGCTTATTTGCTATAAAGATAGTACGTAAATCATTGTCTACTTAAATTGTAACAGACAATATATTATTTATATAGATACTATCATTGAAATGTCAGCTAATTTTAATTCTATATTTTTTACAAATATCTAGGTATGGTCCTTTAGGAAGATATTTATTTCCCCCAAGATAAACCCTATACCTGAAACTTCTCAGTACATAATCCATCAATGTGCCTCTTTGTTTCAGGTCTTTTTGATAATGTAATAACATTCCGTAAGGCTGATGCAGCTATCACATTCCCAACATACGAGGGTGCTATATCTGGGGATATCAGGTTCCAGTTCAAGACCACACAAGAAAATGGCATCTTCTTACAAAATACTGGTGGAGAGGATTTCATTGAAGTCAGAATCTCATGTTAGTATCATAATTTAGGTTTTCATTGTTTTAAAGATATGAAATAAATTGTGGATTTAACATGAAGAGTTTGGAGGATCTAGGATCTTTGTTTCCCTATCATAGTACTACTATACTATCCAGCAATCCAGTTCCCCAGTGTCTTTGCTCCTACTCCCCCCCAATATTTTCCTATGGTTAAACACTGAATTTAAAACCTCTCGATATATATCCCTTACATGTTCATGTTAATCCATTTTGTGATTGAATAATAAAGGTGCACTATGTATTAACTCATAATCAAGACCGGATCATTCCTTATTGATCTTCTAAACAGTCTTTGATTTCAGTGTTAACATTTTGCTATAAAATATACTTTTTAATATGGAGAATTTATACATCATTTTATCTTTTCCATGTTTTGCACTCTTACAGATGGAAATACTGTACAGTTTCGCTTCAACGTTGGTAATGGTATTCAAACATTGGAGAAGACAACTTCGTACCCCTTAAGTGATGATATGTGGCACACAGTCCATGTGGAACGTAATCGTAAACAAGCCATGTTGAAGGTAGACACACAAGCACCAGTGACCAGGGATGAACCTACAAACATAGGCTTCAGGGTCCTCAATCTTAACAGTGATATGTTTGTTGGTATGAGTGATTTCATTGCTTAAGTCTCTGTATTTAAATGTTTTGGTGAACAAAGATATACATGAAAAACATTGTTATTTGTATTGACTGAATGTGCAAAGATTTTTGATACTCTAATGCACATATGGATAAGATTTTATTTACAAAAAAATTTGTACTTGACAAAATTGATATTAAAAGAATAATGTCTTATCATGTCTCCTTTATTGTAAATAATGATGCCTTATCATGTCTCCTTTATTGTAAATAATGATGCCTTATCATGTCTCCTTTATTGTAAATAATGATGCATTATCATGTCTCCTTTATTGTAAATAATGATGCCTTATCATGTCTCCTTTATTGTAAATAATGATGCCTTATCATGACCTTTATTGTAAATAATGATGCCTTATCATGTCCTTTATTGTAAATAATGATGCCTTATCATGTCTCCTTTATTGTAGAAATATAACTTGTGAATTCTAGGTTCCTCTGTAGATTACAAGGATGGATATGTTGGTTGTATGCGTGCATTGATGGTTAATGGCCAGATCATGGATTTGAGAGGGAAGATCGAACGAGGAGAGACCACATATGGGGTGTCTACAGGTTGTGTACCCAAATGTGCCAGCAGTCCTTGTATGCACAATGGAATCTGCAAGGAGGGGTACTCTCACTATACATGTGACTGTGCCTATACTCCGTTCAGAGGCTGGGTGTGTGGAAGAGGTACATATGGCATTTTTATCCTCGAAGAAGCCTTTTCAAGAAGTTTATTGGGTTCATCTTATCTTGATTGTTGATATTTGCTTTCAATTTCCATATATTCAAACTGGCTCCGGTATACTGGGATGAATAATACATTTGGGATGTAATTTACATGGTCTTCGAAATCACCCTTCAATGCTGCAGTGCTAGCCTGTATGCTAATAACATTTCATAAAAAGATATACACATTTCCTTGAATGCTGTGTTTCAGAGGTTGGAGTGAACATGCAACCTGGATACATGATCAGATATGAGTTTGACTCCTCAACTGGAACTATATCAACTGATGAGGAAACCATTATTATTGGATTTTCAACCCAGGTGAAACAGGGTATCCTTATGCAGATCAGGAACGATCCAAATCTTCAGATTCCAGAATACATTTCTATTGAGTTGAATAACAATGGTAGGTTCATGAGTGTTTTCTCTGCATGTTTGAGTAATCAGGAAACCTGATATGTATGGCAAATATACTTTTAGTTTAAAACCCAAGACCAATCAAACAGACGTAATGAATGAGAAATAAGATTAAATAACTTAAAATCTTAAATATGAAGAATGCCTTGACATAATTTACAAACGTTTCTTCAATTTATAGGTGGAGTGAAGGTAGCACTCGATGTTGGATTTGGTCGTGATGAGTTCAGTACACAGAATCAGAACGTAGATTATGCAAATGGCCAACAGCATGTGGTCACTGTCACAAGATCAAACCTTGGACGCAAGGTGACCATCAAAGTTGACAATTATGAGGAAACCACTAAAGAATGGCCAGATCTTCCCGATGATGCAGACACCAAGCTTGATGATCCCAAATACATCTATTTGGGCAGAAATGGTATGTAGATGCATATGATAGCTATCAAGGGGAGGCCTAAATTTACCCTATAGTTATGCTTTATTTTCTTGAGATCGTTAAATCATTTCCAATTTAGAAATGATGTCATAGTACATATATATTACTCATATTATTTCATTGTAGAGACAACCCCAACTGGAGAAGGCTTCAAAGGATGTCTGTACCGTTCACAGTTTGACAATATCTTCCCCCTTAAACGTACTTTCCAGGACCCCAGACCACCAAACATATACACAGTGCCAGATGGTAAGTGCAATAAGGCACTGTCTTACAAGTTTAAACAGAATTTATTTTGCAATGATTTCTTTATTAGTGGTAAAAGATCACTGTTCACACTGGGAAATGCAAAAATCTTTTTGTATACCATCCTGAAGATAAACAACAAAAAGATCTCCAAAAAATGTTCTTAACAAGGGTCATGAAAACATGTAGAATGCTGTGTAAAGAAACAACCTCCCAAAAGTTTGTAGTAATTCATGCTGACAAGGAATATACCCAAGCTGTGCCATCAATGATTGGGAATTTCAATTAATGGGGCCATCTTTTGTGTAGTCATTACATATTATGAATGAATATACATGTACATGCAAATGAGAACCATGAAACGTGTTACATTGTGTTATTATTTACATGCGGATTGTTTTCACCATATTATTTAATTTGATCTCATTGTACTCATCTCTGACCTATACTATTATGTCATTGTTGCAGAGAGTATCAGAGAGGACATGTGTGGCTTTGAAGAGATCACATGGCCACCAGAACCAGAAGAGACTCGACCTACTCCAATGCCAGACTTAAACTCAACATTAACAGCCTTCCCTCCAGATCTAATTTGGACAACAGAGAGACAGGTTGCCATTGGAGGTAAGTGTCATTTCTCAACTTCTTGTATTGATTGTAGAGGGGAAAGGGTACATTCAAATGGACCATACCTTAGACAGTCACCTTCATTTCTAAATGATTTTAGCAAATGTTTTAAAAGTATATTACCAAGAGTCAGTGAAAGGCATCTGAATGATGCATGGACTATTAATGCAAAAAAATATTCTGAAATCCCTCCATAGAAAGTGATAGCAATGGCAGATTTTAATTGGATCCATTTTATAGTATTTATTGGAATCTTGCTGTAAATTGATTATTTAGGCAGTTATATCTGACAAACCACCATATTAACAGGCCCCTCAAATCTTGAATTAGTTTATGATGAAATGACAGGGCTGTAACACAATATGTGTGGAACCATCTAAATAGCACATCAGCCATTTTTTGTGACCTCCACAACAAATGGCAGATGGTGACACTTTGCTTGCTAATGGCTTGTTAATTCCTTGTTAACTATTTATTCTTCCAGTGGTGCTAGCCATAGTCTTCTTAATTATCGTCCTTATTGCATTCTTGCTGTGGCGGTACTGGTCTAGAGACACTGGTTATCTCACCAAGGAGGATGAGGGTGCTGAGATGGCAGAAACTGCAGATATCGCAATTGTACATGGAAGGACGGGCCAACCTGAGGTCCAGAAGAAAAAAGAATGGTTCATTTAGAGTATTATTTAGCAGGAATCTTAGCCCCAGTTTTCCCATTTCATTGTATTATATCTGACATTCCTTTGAACATTAAGTGGACTTTATTAGTGATAGGGGAAAATATGTGTAGATATTGTACCATATTTAAATAAATTAAATGTACAGTGATATGAGAATATAGTTGAAGCTCAGAACATTCCTCAATCATCACCTGATTATGATGACAATTGTATATAATCAGCTATATTTTGCAATATGATGTGTTGATTTAGGCAACGCTGCACATGTATGGCAGTATAGGAAGATACATGTATATTTAACCTGGTTTCAAGAACTTTGAGAAATCAAGAATTTTGATATGGAGCCATTTTCACATTCCAGAGAAAATGTATTTAGAATATATATAATGATGTACATTTTTGATTCAGCATTTTTATATCTTTTATCTTAGGCATTCTGGACCAATGTAGGCCAGCCATGGTCTTTTGCTTTTAAAAATGTAGGTAACATTTTTAACCAGAAATAATCCTCTTTAAAATGGGTGCATTTAACATACATGTACATATCTATATTCACTCAAATGAATGTTTTTACTTAACAATTTATTTTAATACTTGTACATAGAAGTAAACAGATTTTGATTTTTAAAAGCAGATTAACAATTGATTTGCATGAAATTGAATGAAAATGTCAGTACGCCCCTGTTGGACATTGTTCATATGTGGCAGTATTTTATCAACTATACTATTCTATAACTTTTAATTCTGTTGAAAACATTTGTGACTTGACATTTTTTACTCCAAGGGCTTTCATCACTTCTGTATTATTGGCAATGTTCAAATACGTGTAACTAAATATAGTTTCCAGATCTCTAGCTGTAAAAACTAGAGATCGAACGATCTAAGATTGCAAGCAATCTTACGGAGGCCCTATATTCGTTTCTGAACATTCAAAGGCCAGCCAAAGGTCAGATCTCTAATACAAGGTCATATATGAACTCCAGACAACTTGTAGATGATTTGTAAAAAAGGTTTGGTCGAATTAATGCAAGTTGAAATTTGACCTTGAAAAATTCCGAAATTTGACCTTTTTTCAGTTTTTGAGCTATAATATCTCAAAACTGGAGCCAAATTTTAATAGATAATCAATTGCTAATATATGTAGAACCTTTAGTAGAGGAATATATATTCTGACTTTCATTTCAAAATATTGATTTGTAGTCTCCAATTTTGAGAAACTTAGAAAACACAGTTTGTGATTTCGTTTGATGATTTTGACCTTTGACCTTGCAAATTTTACTTTTTTAGACCTCAGAAGGTCTTTTGTGAATAAATATATCTAAATTTGAATCCAGAAAATCGATTTGAAAAATCTACTTTTTTGACCTTTCGGAGGTCACTGAAGGTCAACCAAAGGTCAAAAGTAAGGTTAGATTTGGAATCCTGAGAACTTGTAGATGAGTTTTAAAAAATAATTGGTCAATTTGAAGCAAGTTGAAATTTAGTCTTGAAAAGTTTCGAAATTTGACCTTTTTTCAGTTTCTGAGTTCCAATATCTCAAAACTGGTACACAATTTTAATAAATAGTCAATCGCTAATATGTGTAGAACCTATAGAGGAATATATATCCTGACTTTCATGAAAAAATATTGATTTGTAGTCTCCAATTTTGAGAAACTTAAAAAACACAGTTTGTGATTTAGTTTGATGACCTTGACCTTTGACCTTGCAAATTTTACTTTTTGGACCTCTTTTGTGATTAAATACACCTGAATTTGAATCCAGAAAATCGATTTGAAAAATCAACTTTTTGACCTTTCGGAGGTCACTAAAGGTCAACTAAAGGTCAACAAAAGGTCAAAAGTAAGGTAAGATTTGGAATCCTAAGAACTTGTAGATGAGTTTTAAAAAAAGTTTGGTCAATTTAGATCAAGTTGAAATTTGACCTTGAAAATTTTCGAAATTTTGACCTTTTTCAGTTTTTGAGCTCTTATATCTCAAAACTGGTGCAAAATTTTAAAAGATAATCAAATGCTTATATGTGGAGAAAAAGTGGAGGAATATATATTTAGACTTTCATTAAACTATATTGATTTGTAGTAACCAATTTTGAGAAACTTGGAAAACACAGTTTGTGATTTAATTCAATGACCTTGACCCTTGACCTTGCAAAATTTACTTTTTTGGACCTCTTCGGGTCTTTTGTGATGCACTTAAATTTGAATCCAGAAAATCGATTTGAAAAATCAACTTTTTTGACCTTTCGGAGGTCACTGAAGGTCAACAAAAGGTCAAGGGTCAAAAGTAAGGTAAGATTTGGAATCCTGAGAACTTGTAGATGAGTTTTAAAAAAAAGTTTGGTCAATTTAGATCAAGTTGAAATTTGACCTTGAAAATTTTCGAAATTTGACCTTTTTCAGTTTTTGAGCTCTAATATCTTAAAACTGGTGCAAAATTTTAAAAGATAATCAATTGCTTATATGTGTAGAACCTTTAGAGGAATATATATTCAGACTTTCATCAAAAAATATTGATTTGTAGTCACCAATTTTGAGAAACTTGGAAAACACAGTTTGTGATTTAATTTAATGACCTTGACATTTGACCTTGCAAATTTTACATTTTGGATCTCTTGGGGTCTTTTGTGATTTAATGCACCTAAATTTGAATCCAGAAAATTGATTTGAAAAATCAACTTTTTTGACCTTTCGGAGGTCACTGAAGGTCAACAAAAGGTCAAAGGTCAAAAGTAAGGTAAGATTTGGAATCCTGAGAATTTGTATATGAGTTTAAAAAAAAGTTTGGTCAATTTAGATCAAGTTAAAATTTGACCTTGAACATTTTCGAAATTCGACCTTTTTCAGTTTTTGAGCTCTGATATCTCAAAACTGGTGCAAAATTTTAATACATAATCAATTGCTAATATGTGTAGAACCTTTAGATAAATATATATTCAGTCTTTCATGGAAAAATATTGATTTGTGGTCACAAACTTTGAGAAACTTAGAAAACACAGTTTGTGATCTTGTTTGATGACCTTGAACTTTGACCTTGAAAATTTTACTTTTTTAGAACTCAGTATATCTTTTCTGATTGAATTAACCTAAATTTGAATCCAGAAAATCAATTTGAAAAATCAACTTTTTGACCTTTCGAAGGTCACTGAAGGTCAACTAAAGGTCATAGGTCAAAACTAAGGTCGGAGTTGAGTTCCTGAGATCTTGTAGATGCTTTTTAAAAAAAAGTTTGGTCAATTTAGAGCAAGTTGAAATTTGACCTTGAAAAAGTTCGAAATTTGACCTTTTTTCAGTTTTTGAGTTCTAATATCTCAAAACTGGAGCAAAATTTTAATAAATAGCCAATTGCTAATATGTGTAGAACCTTTAGAGGAATATATATTCTGACTTTCAGTAAAAAAAATTGATTTGTAGTCTCCAATTTTGAGAAACTTAAAAAACACAGTTTGTGATTTCGTTTGATGATCTTGACCTTTGACCTTGCAAATTTTACTTTTTTGGATCTCTTGGGATTTTTTGTGATTAAATGCACCTAAATTTGAATCCAGAAAATTGATTTGAAAAAATCAACTTTTTTGACCTTTCGGAGGTCACTGAAGGTCAACAAAAGGTCAAAGGTCAAAAGTAAGGTCAGATTTGGAATTCTGAGAACTTGTAGATGAGTTTTAAAAAAAAATTGGTCAATTTGAAGCAAGTTGAAAAAAGACCTTTTTTGACCTTTTTTTGACCTTCAATATCTCAAAATCTAGGCAAAATTTCCCTAGACGGCAAAGGGCTTATACTAATAGAATACTAATATCTATCTGTATGCAAAAATTCAGCAAAAAATATTGAAGTGTAGTGTCAGGATTTGAGAAACTTGAAAAAAACTTAGATTTGACCTAGATTTTGACCTTTGACCTTGACCTAGATATGAACTAATTTCCCGACAAGTCCAGCCCAGGTCCCTAATAGGACTATATATGAGATAAGTCAAAGCTAGCTGAAAGTTGGAGAAAAAATGCTAAAAAGAATAATAAATAAATAAATAAAGAAAGAAGAATAACTACAAAAATGATAGGAGGCCCCTTGAAGGGCCTCCTAATAATTGAAAAGCAGTTCAAAATGTAGTCAAATAGATTAAACGTTAAATCTTAACTGTTAAACATGCAGACCTCCTGAAATTTGATTAAAATGAGAATAAAATTTCAAAGCTAAACAGGAAAACCTCATTTATTAATGCTAATAGAAGCAACTGGCTTTTAGAAGATTGTTGTTGTCATTTATATCTATTGATGTGAAATCAATAGAATTTGAATCCATTACCTTGGTAATCTACTAAGATTATAGTGTTTGGTAAAGTTGTTCCATATTAAGGTTGTGATGAGAGTGATTATTTCCTACGAAACTACATATCTTTGGTGAGGTTTTTAATACAGTAAAACTTGTCTAATTCGTTTGTCACTAAGACAGTTCAAAAGATGTTTAATGTCAAGGTTGATAGTATAGAAGTTGGAGAAAAGTTGGACTGAAAAATGTTTTTGAGATATACAAGACAGATATTAGGATATACAGGTTTTACTGTATTGTGCCTCACTCTATCTGTAAAGCTTGATTTCTTATAGGACAGTAATTGCTTTGTATACTTTCTGCTCGACATAAAACACTAGATTTATACAAAGTCGACTTCGATATTTTTATATTCATTCTGTACATAACATTGAAATTGTAGATGAAAGAATCATGTATGAAATCTATCAAAAATCATGTTTTATATTAAAAAATAAATTGCCATAAACTTTGTACTTATTGTTCACTCCTCTAATAGTAGGTGTATACTGTAAAATAGTCAACTTGAAAGGCACATATTCATGATGAACCTTTTTACGTAACTGAAATAAAATTAAATGGTTAATATTTTCACATTTTTGTTGAAATTTACATATAATTCAATACATAGTTCAAAATTAAAATATTTCAATGAAATAACAATTTCCCCATTTTTCAATTTTTGGTGAAATGTGTACAAAAGTACCTTAACGATCGAATGAATTGTCACTGATGAAATTGAACAGAGGTGAATTATCGAAACAGATATTTATAAGTACATTAAGAACTGACAACTGCCCCTTCCACTTTGCATGATTAAACCCCTTTGTGCCTTCTATTTGATTATTAATCATTGCATAGGTTATGAACAATATGGGATCTGACAAAATAATCTAGCTAATGACTGTTAATATTGAATTGGGCCCTTGCAGATTAAAAGCCGGTTTAGTGGAACTTGGGCCATCCCAAAAACCTTGGTCTAAATTGGTTTCTCCCAATCCATAAAATGTTCCTTTCGTATTTTGACTTGTAATTTGACAAAAATATTGGCCAAACACTCATTTTCTATGAAAAGAACCAGCTGTTAACTATTACCTCTAGGGGCATACTTCCTTTCCTATCAGGGAACATCATTTCATTCTATCAATGAATTCAAATTGTGAGTTGATCAAACCCAGAAGGGTTGCTTTTAAAAGGCCATAAAATCACTGGAAGTACCTAATCTGAGTACACAACATACTAGATGGTGTTCACTGTTTTACTTGTTATATCGTCCCTCCACTATTAAAAGGTTCTACATTATGTGGGTGGGTAGCATTTTGTCTGTCTCACACTATATACTTTGTAATTAAATGTAAAAAGGTTTTATCTCCAATTTGAATCATGACATTGAATGTTAAAAAGTTTTATCTCAAGAGATAAAACCATGTAGCAGTAATTATCTTTTTCAAATGAATAAGCCAATGAGCATCTATAATACATATGAGGTATGTAATAATATTTTTAATTTATGTACACTATTTGGAAAGTTTATTTGCTGAACATGAAATATTAGCTTATTAGTGGTCACCAATCCAAGACATACAAATTCTGGTGAATCAATAGTTTCATCTCCAATAGTTTCCAGTCCATTGGCTGTATTTGAAAATCACATTGCATGTAAAAACACATAACGCCAAATTGGACAATAGGAACCAATTTCCCACTATTGGATTGCTTATGGATTTTCCCTTTCAATGTTCTTTCAAGCTTCTTTTTATTTACATTCTTATACAAATTAAGACGAATAATTACAAGAAAACCCGAATCGGAAATCGGAAATCTGAATCTGAATCTGAAAATCTGACGAAAAGTCAGTTGGGAGTCAGTTGGTACATCTTCGATTTCCAAAGTCGTATGATTTGCCAAGGGGGATTCACTTTTTGAAAAATTCCAGGGGATGTTCACTTTTGACGAGGTTCAAAAATGGCCAAAATCACTTAAAAAGTGTTCAGAATGATGAAAAACTGCATGATTTTTAAAGAATTTTTGACCGGGGGGGGGGGGGTCGCTCGAACCCATCGAACCCCCCCCCCCTTGGCTACGGGCCTGCGTATACATTCGATTCATATTTACGATGACGTGTAAACACTTTCGTTTCAGGTATACGAGGGCATAACTATTTATGAAACACCCTGTACATTAACCACAGTCTAAGTATTGATATTTAGTATAGTGAAACATTGGCAACTGAAGCATTGTGGATTCACAGATGAGGTTCGTGTTGGACCACAGTATATAGTCTATATTGATGCTGTCATTCTCTAAATTAATTTTCAGGGCGATTAAACTCTATGATGCATTTATGATATTCCAATAACAACTTCACGCAGAGACGACAACGTATATTATCTTTCAAGCCCATGAAAACCCAAAACCAATCGTCAAAATTATTCTAGGATTTAGATCAATATATTATCCCGTTCGGTTAACTTTTGGTGTTAATTAAAATGAGATATTCCCATCTATCTTCGGGATATGTTAATAACATTGTGTTTTTCATATTTATGATAAATTGTCCGACTTCTTGATCTGGAACTTGATGCACGGAACCATGCAGATAGGAGCAGAAACTCCCCAGCAGCGACGATCTTTGAAAATGGTGATGACATTGTGACAACTGAAACGTCGTGATTCGAGATTAACGGTCATTTTTGAAATCCACCTTAAGCAATCGAAAGAACATCCTATTGAAATTAATAACTTATAAGATCATACATTTGGATTTAATTTAGCAGTAAACACTTTAAGTATTTCGCAAATCGGATGTACCTATTTAATTTGTTTTCATACGCATTCCATAATCGTTAAAAAAATTGTTTAGACATGAAAATCCTAATTCAAAGATTTAAGGAAAATCTTAAAAATTATTCAAAAGATTTCGTTTTCCACTGGTTCAACAACTGGAATAATGTTGGACAAGGTCGCAGCTCTGAATCATTTCACCATTTCCAATAAAGCACAAGAGTATTGAAAAAATGCTGCGAGTGAAAATCGTTATTGAATCTCCAAGAGGAATAAAATGACTCGTTCTCAGTTCAAGTTGAAAATAATTAGTATTTTATCTAAAACTCGCACTTGCAAAAGTGCAGTGGAACCTCAAATAGGATCTGACATGAAATATCGGATATACGATTGATGTTTTTCTGTCAAATAATATTCAGGGAATAGTTTGAACAACCCAATAAATCGTGTGCACTCCCCTACAAAAGTTTGGAAACACTGACTTCCCCTTTGATAGTCTGTTAAAGCTTGTTAGTGTTTGAAATTAAGTTTTTCACAAATTATGGCTTTGTGATTTTTTATCCATGGTTTTATATAAGCTTTATCACAGAGTTTAGTGGCGAACTTGGGGTTGCTAAACTTTAAGAGGGGTGTAAAAACGAGTATAAATCTTTCTCTTAGTGTCTATATGCTTACCCCGCGCGCATAGTCTGGTTATAAACTAAGACGAAGCTCTCTTATAAGAAGTGAAGTCGAACGAATGCAAATGGTACTATATGCTTGAGTTTCTCCCTGCCTCAATCCAATTAGGAAATGTAACGTTTTATTATCTCGTAAATGAGGTTTTTATTAGATGCCGATACTTACTAGTAAACCAGAATTTCTAATTGAATTAATTAGTTAACTGCAGGGCACTCAAACTGTTCCATACCAAAGAGACCAATGGCCTGATGAATGCGCCGCCGATAGGATTTCCCCTTTACTCTATTAGTGTGAAGAAATGACCTATACTGTGAACATTAAGCCTTGCTAAAAATTCTTTAGTTTGTAAAATCTTAACCTCATTAAACAGGATATTTTCCAAGGAATATCATCTTGTGGGAAGACAAGTGATAAAAACAATATATATCGCCATTGTTTTATGTGTTAATGAAAAAATCACAACATTTTGGACACCCTGTAGAAGATGTCAAAATTAACCCCTCTAATCCTGAGATCATTCAATTGACGTATAACGTCTCGTAAGGAGTGAATGCAAGCACGCGATAAACTTTGACCTGCTTAGATACAGGATATTATCCAAGAACGCCTCTTCATCAATTATGATCGTATATAAAGCAAATACTCATTGAGGAAAAACTTGCTCAAATTACTGCTTCACTTGATCAGTAATTGAAAAAAGTGGATAACTGGTTATAGGAAATAAGTGGAAAGAAGAAAAGCAAACATGTTGGCTCCGCTCTTGCTGAGACTATTAACACTAGCAGGAATCATTGTAGCATGCGCGCATGCCGAATCTGAAAATAAGGTAATTCACGTTAAGTTGTTTTTTATTTCATGATCAATTTTAATTCCTACCATCTGGAAATCAAATTACTTTCGTTTAAGCTTTTACGTACTTGAAAGACAATTCATTAATGAAATAACCCGTTGATTGTATAACATGGACATTTTTGTTATTATTTTTGACGGCTATTTCGATTTGATTTTCTTGTCCTTCAACATGTTTTGTAATGAGTGCAGTATGTCCCATGGTGTTCTGGTTTTGGATTGTGAAATTGACACCTGATCGAAGAGGTTCGGGGAAATGACATTTCTCCATGCTTATATCATTGTTTTGGGATGTTGGGGTATTCCTCATTACCAGCTGTGTTCTTGATTTCTAAAGTTGTATTTGGCATTTTTGGTATTTCCAGTTTTGTGACTTGTGCATACGTGTTTATATTTGATGGTTTTAACCTTAACATAAGAAGTTGATCTTAAGAGATGTCCTTTTTATTGAAGACATGGGATTGTTAGTTTCCTAAATTACAAAAAGTCAAACAGCAAGATATTTTAGAGATTGGTAATCAGAAAAGACCAAGCATTTCCCTGATTGTTTTATTGATATATGTAAAACAAGATCCGTTTTTCAAAAGTTTGAATTTCTATTTACAGATTGCCCTATCTTCTCGAGAAAACGAGGCGAAGAGGTTTTTGGGATCAGCATTGAACGCACGATACCGAAATGCCCCGTCATATGATAGTTCGGAACGTTATCGTTATATACCGTCGAGTAATGGTTTAAAACGCTTTTTGGGATCGGCGCTTAACGCGCGATATCCATATCGGCCGCAGTATGATAGTAAAGATGTATATCTAGGAACGATACTGAACGATCTTTATCAAACGAACCCTGAAAATATTCAACGTTACGACACTGGTTTTCTCAATGCACTATATAATGGAGATTCAGACAGCAAACGTTTGTTCGAGTCGTATTATCATAATCAACGTTTCAAACGATCTGTTCTCGATGATAACAAAAATGAGCAAAAACGTTTCTTGGGATCCGCATTGAACGCTATGAATAGAAATGCAAAAGACACAAATGACAAGCGTTTCTTAGGATCCGCTTTAAACGCTATGAATAGAGATGCAAAGGACACAAATGAAAAACGTTTCTTGGGATCCGCATTGAACGCTATGAACAGAAATGCAAAAGACACAAATGACAAGCGTTTCTTGGGATCCGCATTGAACGCTATGAATAGAGATTCAAAGGACACAAATGACAAGCGTTTCTTAGGATCCGCTTTAAACGCTATGAATAGAGATACAAAGGACACAAATGACAAACGTTTTTTAGGATCCGCATTAAACGCTATGAACAGAAATGCAAAAGACACAAATGACAAACGTTTCTTGGGATCCGCATTGAACGCTATGAATAGAGATTCAAAGGACACAAATGACAAGCGTTTCTTAGAATCCGCTTTAAACGCTATGAATAGAGATGCAAAGGACACAAATGACAAACGTTTTTTAGGATCCGCATTAAACGCTATGAACAGAAATGCAAAAGACACAAATGACAAGCGTTTCTTGGGATCCGCATTGAACGCTATGAATAGAAATGCAAAAGACTCAAATGACAAGCGTTTCTTGGGATCCGCATTGAACGCTATGAACAGAAATGCAAAAGACACAAATGACAAGCGTTTCTTGGGATCCGCATTGAACGCTATGAATAGAAATGCAAAGGACACAAATGACAAACGTTTCTTGGGATCCGCATTGAACGCTATGAATAGAGATCCAAAGGACACAATTGACAAGCGTTTCTTAGGATCTGCTTTAAACGCTATGAATAGAGATGCAAAAGACACAAATGACAAGCGTTTCTTGGGATCTGCATTAAACGCTATGAATAGAGACCCAAAGGACACAAATGACAAGCGTTTCTTAGGATCCGCTTTAAACGCTATGAATAGAAATGCAAAAGACTCAAATGACAAGCGTTTCTTGGGATCCGCATTGAACGCTATGAACAGAAATGCAAAAGACACAAATGACAAGCGTTTCTTAGGATCTGCTTTAAACGCTATGAATAGAGATGCAAAAGACACAAATGAAAAACGTTTCTTGGGATCCGCATTGAACGCAATGAATAGAGACCCAAAGGACACAAATGACAAGCGTTTCTTAGGATCCGCTTTAAACGCTATGAATAGAGATGCAAAAGACTCAAATGAAAAACGTTTCTTGGGATCCGCATTGAACGCAATGGATAGAGATCCAAAGGACACAAATGACAAACGTTTTTTGGGATCCGCATTGAACGCTATGAACAGAAATGCAAAAGACACAAATGACAAGCGTTTCTTGGGATCCGCAATGAACGCTATGAATAGAGATCCAAAAGACACAAATGCCAAACGTTTTCTGGGATCCGCATTAAACGCTATGAACAGAAATGCAAAAGACACAAATGACAAGCGTTTCTTGGGATCCGCATTGGACGCTATGAATAGAAATACAAAAGACACAAATGACAAGCGTTTCTTGGGATCCGCTTTAAACGCTATGAATAGAGATGCAAAGGACACAAATGACAAGCGTTTCTTAGGATCCGCATTGAACGCTATGAACAGAAATGCAAAAGACACAAATGACAAGCGTTTCTTGGGATCCGCATTGAACGCTATGAGTAGGGACGCAAAAGGAACAAATGACAAACGTTTCTTGGGATCCGCATTGAACGCTATGAACAGAAATGCAAAAGACACAAATGACAAGCGTTTCTTGGGAGCTGCATTGAACGCTATGAATAAAAATGATCAAACATTCTTTGGAACTCGAGGTTTGTAAAATCGCCGAATGGTGTAAACAATTGTCCTACGCGTTGTTCCATAATACACTGGCGGATTAGGGGGGGGGGGGCCAGGGGCCCGGGCCCCCCCCCTTGGGTGGGCCCAGAAAAAAAAAATTGGGCCCAAAAATTTTTTTGGGCCAAACAAGGCCTTCAGGCCCCAAAAAGTGGGCCTTTTTGGTCATTACTGGGCCTTTTAAGGCCTTATTTGTTAATTTCAGGCCAAATTTTGAAGAAAATGGGCCTCAAAATTTCAAAATTTGGGCCCACTTTTGGATTTTAGGGGCGTTTTTTCACTGACCTGAAATTTGGGCCCCCCCCTTGTTGGTTCCTGGATCCGCCCCTGTAATATACCATTGATCTTAAGTACCAGAAAGCGCCAAGTGAAACATCTTAGTACAGAACCACACTGAGACCCCAAAATAGTCCCGCTAGTCAACTATAAAATGAATAACTTAAATACTACTATCATGTACTCATCTTTGAAAGAGAAATTAATGCAGAGATTTTTCATGGGCATAGCATTATGGAAGGAAACTTACATATAACCTTTAAGAAGCGGAGTTCAATGTTTTAAAATATGGAGGAAATATTACTGACCTCTGGTGATTGCTTTATGAACCCTGAAATTAACATATTTTTTAATTTTAATTAGTTACGGTCTCAACTTGACCATTGACATTTCAGAGGTGCAAAACGTTACTCAAGCAAAGTGAGAATTGTAGCCCGCATATCTCGTATCATTAGATTCGTACTTTTGCAAATACTAGTCTAGTATGCTAGTGGTACCTACTACCTAGTAATATAAAACATGAAAAATATCCTTCCTGTATCATTAAAATGTATTTTACTAAAGGCTCCTACAGTAGGACCAGAGGGATGTAAGGAAACGCAGCTTTATTTCATTATAGAGAATAAATAAAGTACATTTAATCAATTAATTGTGGAGAAAGTTACTATCTACGGGAATGTAGTTGATTGAAGTCATGGAGTGTTTTGTAATGAAGACTGGCTCGGAACAAGGGACCAAACTTCAAATTAACTGATAAGATATTTAAGATCTGAAAGATGTAATGCTGTGATATTCCCTTGATGTATTCATGATGCATTGTAATGTATAGACTGTATTGCTTATTATATATATATGACTAAACACAAACTTTATTTCAACTCTTTTTCATGTATTTGATGGTTCATGAAAATAAAAATAAAATTGTACAAAGTAAAATAATTCGTCATCTTGTCAGCAGTACAATTGTTCAAATTTGAAACAAGGCATTAACATGCAAAACATCACTATCTGCCATTTGTTACAGACGCCAAACGCCGAACACCATCCATAAAAAAGTTGGTGAAATATTCCACTTCTAGTGGTGACATAAAATCGAATTGGACATATTTCAATTTAAAAACCAATTTAGTTTCTTCATGAACGGGTTTTCCATGCTACAATAAGTGCAGAAAAGAAAGGTTTTTGTCCAAGTCAATTGATCATGTAAGTTACGACGTGTCGTGTCGTTAAGAATTCAAGTCTTATTTGGGATGACAATTAGAGCCATTGTCCCTTTGAAACTTTAAGCGTGGTGACTACTGAGTTGCCCCAACTATAGACCTCTAACCTCTAAATTACCCTCTCTGTAGTGAACACCTAACAACACTGAAAGTTTTTTTTGGCAAAAAGAAGTAGGTGATTTATTAAAAAATTAGTAATTTGAAGCAAGTTGAAAAACACCTCTTTAACCTTTTTGACCTTGAGAAGGTCATTGAAGGTCAAATCTCAAATCTATAGTCAGATTTGAACTTCTGAGAACTCGTAGATGATTTTGAAAAAAAAATTAATCAATTTGAAACAAAAAAAAGACCTTTTTGACCCTTTTTTTTAACCTTTTTGACCTTCTAAGGGTCATTGAAGGTCAAATATTAAATATTAAATCAGCTTTGAACTTCTGAAAAAATTATGATGACGATTATGAAAAATGATTTGGAAGTTGTATGAATTTGTTACAGACGCCAACCACCATTCGTAAACCTTTTTTTACCTTGAAAAGGTCAATGAAGGTCAAATCTTAAATCTAAAGTCAGATTTGAACTTCTGAAAACATGTAGATGATTTTGAAAAAAATTGAAGTCAGTCTAAACAGTATTTGTAATGTTATTGGAAGTTGTAAGAATTTGTTACAATTTGTTACAGACGCCAACCACCATTCGTAAACCCTTTTTTTACCTTGAAAAGGTCAATGAAGGTCAAATCTTAAATCTTCAGTCAGATTTGAACTTCTGAAACTTGTATATGATTTTGAAAAAAAATTGAAATCAGTCTAAACAGTATTTGTTACGTTATTGGAAGTTACAGGTGGTCGGAAAATTTTATATTTGAAAAATGAGATATCAATTGTTCAAATCAATTGTTCATTATAAACATTTTGTATATTTTCCAGCAGCAACACAGCCCCAGAGCCACATTTTGGCAACCAGCATGTAACTTAAAGTATATACATGATGGCAGCATGCAGCCTCAGAGCCACATGCTAGTTAATGTTATATTTCATAAGTGTAGGTTAGAATAGAACTATAGACATTAGAAAATTCCTCTTCATTCTGATACAAATCTAATTTGATTATGCACGCATGATACTTTAAATCAAATATTATCTATCTCTTGAGTATTCCAATTAAGCTAATTGGTCTAGATAGATTGGATTCACATCCGTCCAAGGATTCATGTCATTATACAGCTGATTTGTTCATTCATAAGAGGGTGACAATATTAATGAGTGTTTCTTTATACATTCAAGTAACCAACATATTAAACCAAGGGAAAAATCAATACCCGGTGATTTCAGCGGGAAGTGGCGTTTCGTTCAGTGGATGAGCTGAGCGCGCACGCATAAATGTGATTATCCAATATTATTACTATAGGCTATTAGGCTATTAAGTGACCTACAGAGGGTGCTATCACAAACAAGTACTGCACGAACCGATAAATTCCCGGGTATTGTAACACCCTTGATTACACCCAACTAATGCACAATTGGTCAAGGTTCTTAGATTTTACAAATTTTGTAATTTTAGTGATTATTTTACTGATGCCAGAGTTTCATCTGTTTTGTCATTTTTAAGTACAGCGTATGTATATTAATATTCGCGATTTGCACAATTTGAGAAGATGCCATTGACCCTTTTGACATTGTATTAATGTATTTGGTATAAAATATATTGGTTGATTAGTTATAAATATATCAATGTAAATTGCCACCATTTTTGAACAAAGTGGGCTTTTGAGATGCCATTTATAAACAAAATTATGGCCTTGTACATGTATTATCTATTTGGGAGATGAAAATATTCAATTGAATTGAATTTTATAATGCACGAACCATACGATTTTCTATCATAGATGGATGGCTGGACAGACAGACTAACATACAGACAGTATATAATCACGACAGCCCACCGATGCGAGTTTATATGCCTGGTTCATTAATTGCGTGACAGCATACAAGTAATAACACTTCATTGAGTTATTAATTATGCATAAAGCATTTAATCTTTATTCTACTGAGAACATCCAGTCATCGTTCAATAAATATTCACTAATTTCAAAACTGTCCACTTTAATGTTATTCAAACATATTCATAGTTTCTCAAACAAAAGGCAATAGAACTCCAATTTTTAGCTTGGAATTGGATAATATAATCTAGAACTATTATCCTGTCAAAGAAAATATTAATTGGATAACACTAAATGGTGCAATCTATATTCCCCATGCAATAAAAGCATAAAACCATTTATAATTTGATGTAAAGTGTTAGACCATCCACAATGTGAATTCTATTGCTCAGGTTTGATTGAAGTAGAAAAACATGTTACTTATAGTACATTAAGTTTACGACACATACTCGTACAATACATGATTATGTATTTGGAAATTAAAATTTTCTCAACACAGACACCAGAAACAAAAGTCTTGCCTTTGTCCTCCAGATAAAGCCTCTTGTAAATGATTCCTAAACATTTCACTTAACCGTTTCTTTAATTTAGAGTCTCACAAATCAGACTGAAATTGTTATTTGTAAAATGGTATATTTGCAGAAATTGCCTTGCAGCTCATGAGGTCTTCTCAATTGATTTTACTTCTCCTTGTTAAGTGCATCTATAAATTCCTCTAGTTTTTCTTGGATCTGCCGCACCCTCTCTGGAAATAGAATGTAGAAGCATGTTATTATTCTGAATATTACATATTATGTTCAGGCTAGGGTAATCAAATATGATGGTCAACATTTTTTGTTGTAACAAAAATGAGGTTATTGGGTTCTGTAACTAGAAAAACAGCAACTCCACGGAGTAGCAAATCCCACCAAACAAAACATGTTTTGATAAATAGCGGCCATATAAAATTTGAACCAAATCCATCCACTGGTATTTGAATTATCAAAGATTATGTTTTTATAAACATGGTTGCCATTTTGAAATTCAGCTGTCATCTTTAGAATTCTTCTTTAGCTTGTCCCAAGGCATCAGCATATACAATTTAATCCAAATCCGTAAACTGGTACTTGAGTTATAAAGGATTACATGTTTTTTATGAAAAATGGCGGACATTTTGAAATTCAGTGACCATCTTAAAAATATCTTCTTGAGTAGAACTTCTTTGTCTCTAGGCATCAGCATAAAAAAATTTGAACTGAAACCATCTGGTGTTTGAGTTATCAAAGGTTACATTCTTTTATGAAAAATGGAGGGCATTTTGAAATTTAACTGCCATCTTGAAAATCCCTTCTCAAGCAGAGCTCCAATGTCCCTAGGCATCAGCATGTAAAATTTGAACCAAATCCATTCAATGGTATTTGAGTTATCAAACATAACGTTTTTATACAAAAAATGGCCGCCATTTTAAAATATGGGGGCCATCTTGAAAATGTCTTCTTGAGCAAGGCTCCTTTGTACCCAGGTAACAGCATATAAAATTTGAACCAAATCAACCCACTAGTTTTTGAGTTATCAAAGATTATATTTTTTCAGAAAAATAGCCGCCATTTTGAATTTAGCGGCCATATTGAAAATTCCTTCTCGAGCAGAGGTCCTACATCTATAAGGCATAAGCCTATAAAATTTGAATGGAATCCGTCAACCGGTATTTGAGTTATTGCCCGGACACACGAACGGACAAACAGACGGACAAACAGACGGATGGACGAACGGACGGACGGCTTTTCTATATCCCCCTCGAACTTCATTCGGTGGGATAATAATTCATGAAGAGTCATTCATCAAATTCTCTGAGGGAACTGGAGTAAAATATAAAGTATACTGTAGTATGGTGCATCAGGATGCTAGGAAATGAAAATAGGACCATGGGCTTTCAAGAGAGTTGAAAGCCCATGATAGATCAAACTGGCGATACAAAGATAAACCATGTTTGTGTTCATCACCAACAAACCAAGACCACATATGATATGTAGTAACCCAAACTTTAAAACACTGCATATGATATGTTGTAACCCAAACTTTAAAACACTGCATATGAAATGTAGTAACCCAAACTTTAAAACACTGCATATGATATGTAGTGACTCAGTTCTAAAGAAACACAAGTGATATGTTTCCACAGAATTTAAAGGGGCAACATCATTTAAAATTCCCATAGGATATTTAAGTCATACAGCTGCTTTTCTTGGTATGGGCTTCACATGCAAAATTACTAAGAATCCAGGTTAATATAAAAAAGAGCAAATTATTGAAATATGATTGTCATTAATTCAAATAACTAAGCTGAAAAATTCAAATTGTTGAAGAAAAACAAGAAACATGCCCCATTGAATGACAATCAATAGTCTATTTATTTTTGGAAACATTACACAATTCTTAATCAGATAACTCCTGATTTCATAATAGTGAATACTAAAGCACTTAAACCATAAATGATTCATCAATTGAAACAGTTTTGATTTCATTTGATCAAATTATCCCAATATTCAAATAATCAATTCTCAAAATAAGAAAGAAATAAAAGATAAAAATCATTAGAACTACAAATAAAGTAAGTAGTTCAAATGAATCTTTTTTAACATCAAACATGTTCAGTTTGCCTATAAAAAGAGTAGAGTTTTGAGACAATTCCTTACAGACAGAAGATAAGAGATCAAAGATTTTAAATCTTGACAGGAGAACCAAATCAATAATCAAGGTAAGTTAGTTTATTGCAAAACTTTTTAACAACTTTTGATTTTTTGGAAGCTAAGCTATTTTCTGTACCAGGTTAATTGAGGCATACTTTACTTTGGCTAATTTGAAAAATTCACAAATTCATATTCGCCAAAATTTAAAATAAATCCAAATGATTTGTTCTTTTCATGCTGTGTGTACACAACGTGTTTGTCGCTCCATAAAACACTTATATAAGAAATCATGTTAATCATGCTGATTTGTTTGTTACACTTAACTTTAATGTTCTGAATTAAATAAAAATGAAAATAATTAATATCAATCAAAAGTACAAATCTTATCTGCTATTGTTGACATCACAAGAATGAACATGTGACTAAATATCATTTCAGAATGCGTTTCAGTGTAATCCTCGTGGTAGCTATGGCAATTGCCATTGATGGAAGCCTTGCTAGGACAAAATTAAGCAGAGACGAAAGAAAGGAACTGAGAAAACAATTAAGGAAAGACATCTGGGATTTGTTAGGAAACGAAGCCTCCTTAAAGACTCCTCGAGGACTGAAAATTTTCCAAACGGTAAATTCAGTAAATATACTTGAAATTTTTTGATATTGTAAAACATCTTTAAAGTGCACAAACTTAATAGCCTAATGCACAAATTTTTAAAATATTAACAATCAGATATTTCAAAGGGCTGTGATATTTAATAGCTGAAATAATAACTTTGACAAGCAAATTTTGGTCATTAAAAAATAAGTACAGTATGATATATTTGACAAGTACACATACTGCAGTGATTAAGGTGGTTGCAGCTACCTAGGCCTAAAAATCACTTTAAGTGAAAGTGTGTATTTTTTGTATTAGAATCTTCCTAACATCATTCTGCTCCATATTCAGGCATAAAAAATGTGGGTCACTGACTTTGTTTTTTACTTAAACACCTTTACTTCTTATAGCTCTTTGTTGCAGATCAAAGAGCACTTGTTAAACAGTGAAACATGTAACACTGACGATTTAGAGGCTCAGATTTCTACACTGCAAGGGGAGGTCAGTGCAAAAAATGAAGAAATCGCAACACTGGAGGATGTGGTCGCTGCAAAAGATGTAGAAATTGCAACACTGCAAAACAGTGAAACATGTAACACTGATGATTTAGAGGCTCAGATCTCTACACTGCAAGGGGAGGTCAATGCAAAAGATGAAGAAATCGCAGGGCTGGACAGTGAGCTAAACACATGTCTAGCGTCTCAGTCTCCCCCAACATGCACTGGGTGTACATGTCAATTAGGAGAGGTTGGGTACCAGTGTGCAGCTGACCCTTGCACTGCACCTTCAACAGTTGGTCCACCTCCTATATAAACACAATACACACCCACAATTGATGCTGCAAAACAATGAGACAACTACTTCAAACTTATAAGCATACATATCCATGATGAATTGAAATTAGACAGTGAATTTAAAATGAGATAATTAGATTTCCTTCTAACAATTCTTAACATTAGATATCAGTTTAAATACACTCTTTGAATCTTATTTTTAAACTTATCTCAAATGAAGATACTTTCCTCATTCGTTTCGCATCAATCTAGGGAGCAAATGTGTACAGCATATTAACAATAAAGTGAACATAAAAACTTTCAATAAAGCATAGCACTTCCATGATCAAAGAGAAGCGTGATAAGAACTCTCCCAGGAGGGAAACACACTCTCAAATGACTTCAGATATGAATAAAATGATTATAAACTGGATAGATAAGAATAAATGAGTTACAATCTCTTTAATTGTACTTGTATGTAGAGTTTTGTTGCCATCATTTTCTTACTTTCTTGAGGATTGCCACATTCCAATGCACCCAGAGTTGTAGACTTTTTAAAGCTACTTCAATTCATTTATCTCTGTGTTAACTCACAGTACACATCATGATAAACCATGACATCTCATTATATCATGATAAACCATGACATCTCATTTCTTCTCACCCCTGAGATGCAGAGTACAGGCTCCTGCTCATTATTGGCTACTAGTATTAGTCTATATATCAACTGTACATACTTCTTCTGACTTGAAGAAAGTTTTATAATTCCAACTTTTTTGAGGAAAAAAATAATTATAGTGAATTTTTTTAATGATCAAGTACAAACATTCCTTCAATAAACTTAAAGATGACTTTTTGGTTTTTAAATTCCATCTTGTGCTATGTTTCAAACATTATGTTTTATTGATGTACAAATACATTGTTTTTATGGTCTTTAGAATAAAACTTAGAAATTATTGCGAAAATGTTTAATGAGATAAGATACACTCTCACCTTCTATGACACACATACTAAAAAAAACAAATATTGGATTATTTAATTATGAGACAATAGATTTGCAACCTTATGAGTGTTATCAATCCTTATATCATTCAAACAATCTATCAATACTGAAAACATTTGTGAACAGAACATCATATAAAAAATGGTATATCCTGCTCTCAAGCACATCAAACTAGCCAAACATTTCAGGATATTAATCACTGTTCCACAACTAGTTACTTTGATGGAAAGTCAATGTAACAAAATGGATGAACTTCCTGGATACGAGTTTTTGTTTTCTCGATTTAAACCTACTTATAAGGCAAGTTGCAGATTATGATTTGGCACAAAATTAGACAATATAGTCTAGCTTTTAGAAATGCTGTTGGTTTGGAATTTGATAATTAAATATAGCTGAATTCATGCATTTAGACCACCGCTTTTGTAACATTGACGTTAGTCGTCAAAGTAACATACATAGGTAATATAACGGACTTTCATCATTGTAACAAAAGAGAGGGGCTAAATATATGCATTGCAACTTCATTTACAAAACAAATTCCAAATCGAAGAAACGTATTAAAACTAGACTATATTCTCTATCTTTGTGCCAAATTATAATCTGCAACTTGACTTATGAGTAGATTTAAATCAAGAAAATAAAAAATTCGTAACCAGGAAGTTCATCCATTCTGTTACATTGACGTTCCGTCAAAGAAACTAGATGTGGAACAGTGATTAATGCTAGAAATTATATTTTAGTATGCAAATAGTGACTGCCATTCAGGGAAATAGAGCAAACTATTTTCACAGAGGGAATATCCTGTTCAATGGCATGTGAACATGCCAGTGAATAGGATATTCTTGAGGGGAATTTTTTTTACTGTTTTCTAAAAATGTGACAGTTGCTATTTGTTTTGTATACCATACACCCCATATTTACTCTATAAAGAAAAACAAAATATCAATTTCAACATTCAATGCAGACACCTTTTTTGCCATTCACACTCCTATAATCCCTGCTAGCAGGGAGGATAAAAAGTACTAGTGACTTATTTTCCCTGCTAACAGACATTTAGGACTTTCAAGGGAATAGGTTCATATCACACGATCAATACTCTGACTATGACAAATCCATTCACCATTTGACATTAAACCAATCAGAGCACCACAGAGCAATGTCAATACATGTATATCTACATATCTTTGAGAAATAACAGGTTCTGATTCAGAGGTTCATCATTAATGTAGAGTGTGAAATGACACTGATCCTCTTGCAAAGGGTGATATAGTGCTTATAACACATCCTATAATTAGCAATCTATATCTCCTACACAGGAGATCTACATATTTGAATTAATTTTAAATTCCCATGAGGTTTCATGTTATCGTTTGAAACAAATTACCACCTTTATCAAGTACAAACTAATTTCACCTTAAGCCAATAAAATAGTCATGCATCATTTCTATTACTACCATCAACTTCTATTATTCATTTCACTTGAAAGTAAATTGAATGGTTCAATACACAGCCATTGGTTTGCTCTTCATCATCATCTAGCAGTGATTAATTTGAACAATTTCCAAATTGGAAGTAAACATATTTTTAGTCAGACTTTTCCATTATTTGTAAATAATTGCATGGTAGTAGATACTGGTAACACAAAAAAACAAACAGACAATGTATGCACTAACTTATAACTGAAAGAGTTGATGTTTTAAGCCAGGGTGGTGACAACCTTTTAATTTTACCATATCATAAACTATAGTTTATTAAATCCCTTTATGGGCAAGCACCATAGCTCTACCTCCATTAAGTTCAATCAATCCCAACTAACCTGCTCCTTGGGGCTATGTCCAAATGTTGATTGTTTTAGAAAAACCAAGTTAGTTTTGTTATGACTTACATTACCCAGAAATATGAAAATGTTGATAAGAAGATCACGTGTCAAGAATTTCACATCGGTTTTCATTTACACCCCGGAATAGCCTGACAACGGTAAAGTCAGATATAGTTGTCACAAATGGCGGACATAACCATCGCTTCAATTAGATTTTCATGAACTGTATGTTTAATAGAGCACCTAGACTAAATTCCTTTGGAACAACAATCAATCAAAGCGTCTTAATACTCATTGTACAGTTAGTAATGTTCTACCATCGAAATAAAGTCTTTAATTTAACCGAACAAAATTAGATACGGGACAACGGACACTGTAATTACCATATGCATTTGTCTTTCTAAATTACTCAAATCCAGATTTCAATTTGATCGAAAATGGGATTTCATATGATACATTATCACAAGAGCTTAATGCATTCACAGAATTAGCGACGATAAAATCCCATGAAATAAGGACCAAGTGATTAAACAGTTGAAGCGACGGTTATGTCCGCCATTTGTGACAACGATATCTGACTTTACCGTAGTCAGGCTATTCCGGTGTGATTTATCTCTCTGCTCAATATAGGTTGACCTAATTGAAAGGCCCTATACCTTGGCAAGAATGAAGGCAAATGCCATAGTGACATTCCTGATGCATTACATACCTTTATTTTATTTATTACTTTGTATAAATGATGTCAATTAGAATTAGAATTTAGGTAGAAATGAAACAAGATGTCGCATAATGTTATCATGGTAAGAAATGAAAGTGGGCTATACAGGCCTGTAGAACTGGCCTACATCCCGGCCTACATTTCCATTGACTGCCATTCAAGTGCTTTACTAGTATGTATTGTTTATATACATATATAAATACATATATCTTTTTGACAACTATTACCTGGTAAACATGTTAAGATGTCACTGGCCGATCAACAAGTAACAAAGAAATCTGAATTTCAAAAAATGTCACTGAAAAAAGCCATCAATATCAAAAAAAAAAGTTACCAGACTTCCTGTGTACAACGGATGACTTGACTGTGCAGAAGCTACAAACCAACTGTTCAAAAAATTGTATTCTAAGTAACACCAGCAGTTCATACACAAACTGCCCAAATTTACTTACTGAGTTCATCAGCCAGCTCCACTCTCCTACATTTTAACAACCTCTTTACTTTGGCATCATCTTCCCCATACTGCTCTAAGACTTCTTTTACATTCTTTTCCAGTCTTCTGGCTGGAAAAACACACATGTTACAAATGTTACTTGGGATATATGTATGATTACAATTATACATTTCTGATGAAAATACTACAGAGACTCAGAGGGAAGAATTTTGCATGGTTGTATATAAAATGGAATATCTTTTGTGTAAACATGCTTGCTTTCACTGATTATCACCTGTTGTCCGAGGGCATTGCTTACCTTCATTGTTCACAGCCTATTGTGTGAGGGCACCGCTTATCTTCATTGTTCATGACTTGTTGTCTGAGCTGAGGGCATTGCTTACCTTCATTGTTCATGACTTGTTGTCTTAGGGCTTTGCTTATCTTCATTGTTCATGACTTATTGTCTGAGGGCATTGCTTACCTTCATTGTTCATGACTTGTTGTCTTAGGGCTTTGCTTATCTTCATTGTTCATGACTTATTGTCTGAGGGCATTGCTTACCTTCAATGTTCACAGCCTATTGTGTGAGGGCACCGCTTATCTTCATTGTTCATGACTTGTTGTCTGAGGGCATTGCTTACCTTCATTATTCATGACTTAATGTCTAAGGGCATTGCTTACCTTCATTGTTCATGACTTGTTGTCTGAGAGCATTGCTGGTGGTTTGTAACATACGCTCTATCCTCCAGAATAATACAACATCATGGCATTCCATCTATAATACAAAAATGCAGTTTTCTTTATAATAGTGAAGTAAAATCCTTATATCCATGAATATGAGGACAAACATAGACTATCATCTGCAAATATATGTAAATATATGCACATGTACCTCCTTATTTTCCATGATTACAGACTAGAAGTACAAATCAATGGACAACGTACCCCCTGATCTCCAAATCCTCTTTGGTAGTAGTAGAATCCTTTCTTACACTCCCTGGTCCTTTCTAGCGATTTCTTGAGAAAGTTTTGCCTATATATGGGGTGCCAAGTCTCCCTGATCTAGAAAACATATAACATACATGTACAGCACATATTGAATTCTAGGTACATGTATCAATATACACTACATCAGCATAGCGATGGGTGCAATCGCACCCTCCCCCATAACCAATAAGAAAAGAGCTTTAAAATGCGATTCATTTGAAGCTTCTAGCTCAATTTGGAAGGAAGTAGCATCAATTTTTGAGAAATTCAAAATAAATCTTATTTTTTTGGCTTGTTTATGGCACAATCTTACTGCAAAATGTATTCTTAAATAGATATTTCGCAAATAAAATGGATCATTTATTGTCACTGTGTTAAAGGCCTCCAGACACAGCAACAATTTTTTCGAACAATTTTATTCATAAACAAAGACTTCAATCTATGCATTTCTGAAAGTTTTTACACTTCAATTGGGTTACTCTCTGTTGCTTGTTTACCAACCTCATTTCAAGTTCTGTTCATTTGAGAGGCTTTGGTGTAATACTATTTCTCATATGACTAACAAAGATACAACCATCTTTACCCCATGCAAGATATTGCCATATTTCATCGACGTCATAACAATTGAAAGAAAAGATGAAGTTTCATTAATTTGAAGCTATTTTTACTCAGTTTTATTTTAAAAAGTTGAAAATATGGCCTAATACAGAGTCAAATGAGAAAAACATTCTCGTCTTCAACTCAATAAAAAGAATCATCAAAGCTCATAACGAATGAATGATCTTGCACAAGTACTAATACAAGAACCTCTATATCTAGTATAAAGTTTAGTGCAATATTTGAAATAGAAAAAAGTAAACCTAAAAGCCCTATAACTGTACGGAAATGAAAATAACCATAGCACGGGCACAATGGTTCATCATTATGAATAACATTTAATGAACAAGTACTTTATCACTAAACAGTTTTACAACTTTTGTAACTACAAACACGGTAAATATATCCACTATAGTATAGAATCCATTTATCAATTGTTTGCAGTAAAACTGATATCTATATATGTCAAGTACCGTTAACATACGGGCAACATACAATGTCAATGATATGATTTCACAAAGGGTCTAAAAACTGTGAAACAGAAGATATTTGAATACAAGTGATATCACAAGACAAGCAGGGCTCCACTAAAGTAGAAGGTAAGTCTTAAGTCTATCTTAATTCTAGTTATTCATTTCTATATGCATCTAGCCATAAATCGTGTCATGCTATAATTTCATTTAGATAACATTTGAATTCTCTTCATTTCTTTCCACTAGGAGAGCCTGATTTACACATTGGTTTCGTGACAAAAATATTTTCAGTTGATCACAGGGAGTAAGTCAGTCCATCTACCACCTCTCTAATATTCTCTATATAAAAGGCTACAGAATATAACAATATTAGAGGGAGTGGTGACTTACTCCCCTTGCAGTTGATACTCTATTCTAGATTATCATAATTTTATACAGGTCAAAACACAATCTGCATGTTAAGATCTTCTAGTTGCATACCAAAAATAGAGGATTACATTAAGGTAATTTGGTATGTTGTATCTTTCTACATACATATGTAATGGTATAACTGACCATAACTACTTCAACCATATAGAGTATTTATCTACATATCTATCTGCCATCTATTCAACAAAGATGAAATTGTAATATTATTTATTTCAAAATGAAATGATAAAATATTGTTCATTCTCGAAAGGATGACACAATAATATTGCTCACTTCAGACAAAATGAAATAAAATTGTTCATTCTAGATAGGATGACACAATAATATTGCTCATTTCAGACAAATTGAAATGATAATATTGTTCATTCTACACAGGGTGACGCAATAATATTGCTCCTTTCAGACAAATGAAATGATAATATTGTTCATTCTAGACATGGTGACGCAATAATATTGTTCATTTCAGACAAAATGAAATGATAATAATGTTCATTCTAGAAAGGATGACACAATAATATTGTTCATTTTAGACAAATGAAATGATAATATTGTTCATTCTAGACATGGTGACGCAATAATATTGTTCATTTCAGACAAAATGAAATGATAATAATGTTCATTCTAGAAAGGATGACACAATAATATTGTTCATTTCAGACAAAATGAAATGATAATAATGTTCATTCTAGAAAGGATGACACAATAATATTGTTCATTCTAGACAGGATAAAATGATAATAATGTTCATTGTAGGCAGGATGAGATGACAGTATTGTGAATTCCCGATATAGATAAGATAAGATAATATTTTCATTCCAGACAATATGGGGTTAACAGATACCCTAGTTGAGGTCCTGCTGAACAACTTAACATCACTCCTCATATTCCTGATTGTCTTCTTAATTCTCTACCGAAAATTCAAACCCAGTCCTTGGATTTTACCCCCAGGACCTCCCCCTAAATTCTTGGTCGGTAATATGGGTCTGTTCAAGCCTGACCCAGATGACAAAATTGGCAATCTAACTGCAAGGAAACTTATAGATATGACAAAAGAATTTGGTAGCGAAACACTTGGAATTTATTTTGGGAGACAGTATGCAGTGCTATTACATAACTATGATGACATACAACAGGTGTTTAACAGTGAAGATTTTGCTGGGCGTAGTGATAGTGAAACAAGAGAGATGGTATTAGGTGGTTTAGTAGGGATTGAAGGACCACGCTGGAAAGAACAGCGGCGATTTGCCCTTAGTACACTCAGAGATTTTGGTCTTGGGAAGAATAAGCTGGAGAAAATGATCACATCTGAGCTGGAAAGTCTTTTCGAAGTGTTTGATAGCTATAACGGGTCGGCATTTCAGATGAAAGCTAGCACCTTAACTAATGCTGTCACTAATGTCATCTGCTCAATGGTTTTCGGACATAGATTTGAATATGATGATCCGGTACTGAATCGCATGCTTTACCTAATGGATGAAAACTTCAGCGTGAACTTCAAGCGTGCAAGTCTAGCTGCCTTTATCCCAGGAGCAACACTACTAAGTAAATGTCTGCCAGGAGACCTATTCAAGATGAAACGCCTTAAGGAAAATATGGATGAGATCTATTTTAATATTGTCAAGAAAGAGTATGATGCTCATGTTGCAAAGTTTGATCCTGAGAATATAGAGGACTTCATCGATGCCTATATAGCTGAGATAAAGAAAAGAAAAGATGACCCACAACAGCATTGGTTTAATGGTAAGACTTGCCATGACTCTGTCATTAAAAACATTTAGCTGGGACTGTTGCTTAAATTCATGTTCAAAAACCATTAAGCATTGTATTGTATACTTCAGTTTGATATACTTCACAGTTAAGTTACCCTTTCACGACATTCTTCATTTGACATTTTGCTTCTCTATTTGTTTTGTTAAGGGTATAGTACAGAGAGTGACCAAATATGACGATAAGGCTATACATGTACTTTGAAGAGCTCACAGTATTAATGTAAAATAGAAAATAAGCTTGATTACAATTATTACAATTTTGAGCAGTTCTGTTTTTGGGTCACTCTGTATGTTGTTGTCTAAAAATTTCTTTCCAGAGGACCAACTGCTACATGTTATAGGAGACCTCTTCCAGGCAGGCACTGATACAACTGCTACGAACATAAGGTAACTACTCCTACTCCAACGCAGCCACATTATCAGTGCATTATTCTTTTAAAATCAAAATATATAAACCCAATCATTGCGTACTTATTCTGCAAAAGTTTCTCATTACTTCTAGGTGGCTGTTCTTACAGCTCCTTCACCATCCAGAAATCCAGAAAAAACTACGCCAGGAAATTCACGATGTGATTGGCCAGGATCGTATGCCATCCATGCGTGATAGAGTACTACTTCCATACACAGAGGCTGTCTATACAGAGGCACAGAGGATGTGCAGCCTTACACCAATATCTTTAGGCAACTGCAGTGGAAGGGTGCCAATAAAACTTGGTGTAAGTCAATGGGTTTGTTTATGAAGCATCATTTGTGAAAATAATTCAAATATATCCTTTAAAGGAACATTCCTGGCCAGACCATTTCTCTCCTAATATGGTAGCTATAACCATATATATACTTTCCATATTTAGCAAAACAGGGAAAAATGTTTTAATATAGTCAGTATTGATCACTCGAAAATGTAGTGCTGAATTCCAGTAGGCTGCCATCTTTTAGCATTTCACTCAGGAAGTGATGTCATCGACTCTCAACTTTGCATATAACATTATAAGGAGCTATTAAGAATTACAAAAACCAGCTGTGCATTTTTTTTCAATTTTGTCTATGGTTTAATCCTTCTATAAGTCTCTTCTATTATTCTAAGCTCACAAACTCTGAAAATATGTTTGCACATAAAGTAAGAACCACTTGTCTAGAAGTGTTTTTGTGCTACTTCCTTATACTGTTATATGCAAAGTCATGGAAGTTGAGAGTCGATGACATCACTTCCTGAGTAAAATCTTAAAAGATGGCAGCTTACTGGAAATGATCACTATATTTTTAAATTATCAATATTGACTATGTTAAAACATTTTCTGGTGTTTTGCTAAATATGGAAAGTATATATATATATGATTGTAGCTATCACATCAGGATAGAAAAGGTTTGGCCAGGAATGTTCCTTTAAGTACATGTGCATGTGTTATTATTGTTGTTTGAAGTAACTAACTTTCTATCCACAAAAAACAAGCTTCCATGTTATCATGTAAGTTCTATTTCAGGAGTACATCTACCCACCAAGAACATCCTTCGACGATCCGTGATGTTATATTTCAGGAGTACATCTACCCACTAAGAACAATCTTCCACAATCTGTGATGTTATATTTCAGGAGTACATCTACCCACCAAGAACAACCTTCCACAATATTTGATGTTATATTTCAGGAGTACACCTACCCACCAAGAACAACCTTCCACAATCTGTGATGTTATATTTCAGAAGTACATCTACCCACCAAGAACAACCTTCCACAATCTGTGATGTTATATTTCAGGAGTACATCTACCCATCAAGAACAACCTTCCACAATCTGTGATGTTATATTTCAGGAGTACATCTACCCACCAAAAACAACCTTCCTATATTCGTGATGTTCTATTTCAGGAGTACATCTACCCACCAAGAACAAACTTCCAATATCGGTGATGTTATATTTCAGGAGTACATCTACCCACCAAGAACAACCTTCCACAATCGGTGATGTTATATTTCAGGAGTACATCTACCCACCAAGAACAACCTTCCACAATCGGTGATGTTATATTTCAGGAGTACATCTACCCACCAAGAACAACCTTCCACAATCTGTGATGTTATATTTCAGTAGTACATCTACCCACCAAGAACAACCTTCCACAATCTGTGATGTTATATTTCAGGAGTACATCTACCCACCAAGAACAACCTTCCACAATCTGTGATGTTATATTTCAGAAGTACATCTACCCACCAAGAACAACCTTCCTATATCCGTGATGTTCTATTTCAGGAGTACATCTACCCACCAAGAACAACCTTCATATATCCGTGATGTTCTATTTCAGGACTACATCTACCCACCAAGAACAACCTACCACAATCTGTGATGTTATATTTCAGGAGTACATCTACCCACCAAGAACAACCTTCCATGATATGTGATGTTCTATTTCAGGAGTACATCTACCTACCAAGAACAACCTTCCACGATCTGTGATGTTCTATTTCAGGAGTACATCTACCCACCAAGAACAACCTACCACGATCCATGATGTTCTATTTCAGGAGTACATCTACCCAGCAAGAACAACCTTCCATGATCCGTGATGTTCTATTTCAGGACTACATCGACCCATCAAGAACAACCTTCCACGATCCGTGATGTTCTATTTCAGGAGTACATCTACCCACTAAGAACAACATTCGTGCTAACAGTATGTTATATTTCAGAATTACATTTATCCACCAAGAACAACCTTCCATGCTAATGTGTATGTTATATTTCAGAATTACATTTATCCACCAAGAACAACCTTCCATGCTAACGTGTATGTTATATTTCAGAATTACATTTATCCACCAAGAACAACCTTCCATGCTAACATGTACGCAGTGCACCATGATCCAGATTACTGGAAGGACCCACATGTGTTTAGGCCTGAAAGATTCCTTGATGAAAATGGAAAATTTCACCTAGATGACCACATCTTGACATTTTCTACAGGTAAACATTTATAACTTCACAACTAGACTGAAGCTATCATAACTATCCATACAAGTGCCATTTCTTTTTATACTATTTTTGGCACTTTCCTTTCCTTTGGCACTTTCCTTTTTTGGCACTTGTACATACATTTTTATTTATTCGCTACATTTTGCAATTAATTCTTCATGGTTATTTTCAAATGAAAGTTAATTGATGCCACTAAAGGGTCATATACAGCTCCCTACATTGTTCCATATCTAACAAGTAAAATGTCAAGTATTATATTTCATTGAAAATAATTTTATTCAGTTTGAATCTCTGAACTTTATGAGCTCTACTGGAAGAGTGTTTGTCATTTACAAACTTTATTCACAGAAATACTTTGTACCAGGTTGCATCATAAACAAAAAACAAATTACTGATCCCTAGGTACAAATCTGGCAATTATGCAGCCTCTATATCAAGTTAATATCAAACACAGGATAAAATCCTATGTTAATTGCTGTAATGGCATTGCCACACAGACTGGCCATGTAATATATAGACTTGTGATGAACATTGGATATCCAATCATAAAAGTTGCTCCACTTTGGTGGGAGTTTAATTTATAACTTCCTGATGACATGTTTGAATGTTCTACCGTTTCGAGCTTCTGAGCAAAATTGACCCTTTCACATCAATAGCGTCATATATATAGGTTCATTGCCACGATGTGAATGCACATATGAGAAAATATGAAAGATTGGCCTATACTTGCAGGGAAAAGAAAATGTCTAGGAGAATCACTCGCTAGGATGGAAATATTTCTCTTCTCCACAGCTATCTTACAGAGGTATACACTGGCGCTCCCTGAAGGTGCCGAATTACCTACTCTCAAACCATTGCCAGATAGCAGCACAACAGGACCATATCCTTTCGATGTATGCTTGCTCAGGGACTAACATATCTTGACAGTATAAATCTGAGGTTTCCTTGATGGACCATTCAACATTTTGACTTCAAGGAAAAGGAGGTGGGGAGGGGGCTTCAAACCGTCCAAGCACTCCCCCTGGCCAAAAATTCTTTCAAAATCATGCACAATTTCATCATTGGCTCAGAATGGTCAAATGACGTGAACCCCTCCCTGGAATTTTTTAAAAAGTGAAGCCTCCCTTGGAAAAAACTAGCTACCAGCCTGGGCTTAGTAATTAATGAATGTCAAATTACAAATGTAAACTACGTACACAAACAATGTGACCTCCGAGAGTCATAAAAATAATAGCTTTAAGATGAATCAAGTTCTCAATGAGATACAAAAGAGCAAATTAAATGCCAATTCTTACAGTGACAAATTTAGCTTTTCATTTCTCTGAAATTTCAAAGACGTTAAATAGACAATGAAACTGACACATTTGTCTCATTGTTAACATTGCCTTTCAGAGTAGAAAATAAAAAAATGATCAAGCTTTTAATGCAATCCAAAATCAGATATACTATAACATGTTGATTGAAAATTAAACACATGGTATTAACATGCAAAATGTCACCACCTGCCATTTGTTACAGTCACTGAATGCCAAACACCAATTGCTGAATGTCAACTGCTAGATGCTGACTGCCGAACATCGTCTACATATAGGTTGGAGATTTTACCAATATCCCACCACTTATAACACCAATTACATACTGTAAAAGCCCAAATTTTCGCTGACAAAATTTTTTCACTATTTTGTCAATCTGAAATGTTTCATTGGCATTAAATTCCACTGTTTGAAGGAATATCCAATGTTAAAATTCAATTGTTAAATTCAATGTTAAATCAAATATTCACTGTGCCTTTAATTCCACCGTCTAGCCTCTTCAGCGAATATAGTGAAAATTAGGGTACCTTGAAAATTTGGGCATTTACAGTATATATTTGTGGTGGTGACAAAATAATTTAATCAACTTACAAAGTCATTGGTGACATCTACTGCATTATTTTCTAGGTTTTTCCTGACTGTTGTAATCTCATCATTGCTAAGTGCAGGTGATCGTTGCTAAAAGAAGTATAGAAAACACAAAATTAGCTATCTATCTGTTATGTATCATAAATGACACAAATTATAATCATTTGGATTTTTGTATTGAAAAAACAAAATTAGCTATCTATATCATAATCATTTGCATTTTGCTGATACAAATTAATCATTTATTTAGAAACTACACGATTCATAACAGTGGCGCTACCAAGAGGTGTGTCTATAGTACATGGATTTCTGAATTGTACATTACTTAGAAACACTAAAACCATTCTTTTAGCTTATTTTGAAACCTGATAAAATCAGAAAATGTTATTTAGTAAAACATATGGGCCTATATGCATTTAGAAAATAATATCACAATTAGAAACTATGAAAATTAATAAAACAAAAAACATCTTACATTTCCAGTGCCCAATAGTTTATCAAGCTCATTCTTTGTGGCAGTTCTTGATTTCTGTTCCTGACTTTTCGATTTCCATTGCACCCATTGGGCAGTTGTACTTGGCCCTACCATCTCCTCAACCTTTTTATCAGCTGAACAATTATGAAATAAGAACACAAAATACAGTACTATTTATCAATTAATGTGAACAAGTACACACATAGTAGTAGATCAATGATCGATTGTCCTATTTATCTATTGAATTAAACATTCCAATATTGTATCTTTAACTACCCCTCTTTAAGAGTATCATAAAAACAAGCATTCAGCAAATTCAAGATGCCTAATGTATGTCAGGCCCTATCATATATATGTATATTGAGATAAATGCTTTACTAAAAGTCTGACTGAACCTGAAAGTGACTGCAACTCTTATTGTAAAGCCATAGGTGGGATGATCTGAATACTAGAATTTATTTTTACTAAAATTATGTCACTTGTGCGAAGGTCATTTTCCGTGAAGCTAAAAAATACTGAAAATAGAATGCAATGGCCATTGCATTGTCAAATTACTTAAACAAAAAAGAAAGGGGAATCATCTTTTCACTGAATCACTTTCATGAAGAAAAATAACATTGACATTCTGACACAAAGGCTATCACTTGTATAATGCAGCAAGATTCCTATCTCTTTTTAGTGACTCATTTATAAATGTCTTAACTACATGAATTGAATAATCATCTACTACTCACTCTCAGAGAGTTTCCTTTTGAGGGAGTCTTCCATGAAGGTGACAGCAGAGTCCCATTGCACTTTATCATGTACGGATCTGTCTTCAAGAGCATTCAACTGGATCACACGCTGTAGAATATACAAAGAAAAACATAGGAAATCACTCTTAAGAATCCAAAATTGACACTTAACTGGATTACAGTTTTAAAGATTTAACATTTTCATAAAAAAACTACTTTGTCTATAATGCCATTAAGGGAACTGACAAGGCATCAGATACATGAAATGATGAAATAAATTGAATATCTGCTTATATATGGAAAAATCCATCCACTACTATTATATGCTTACTCTATTTATGAGAATAATAACACTTAGACGTACCAAACTGTCCTCTGCCTTTTGATCCCACCTATGCTTTGCTAATGCGTCTTTTATCACAGCAACTTGGAGCTCATCAAATATTGTATCATGCTCTCGCTTTTTCTGGTTCTCGACTACAAATCTATTGAATTCTTCCTGTAATGTTTCCCAACCGACCTATAAAACACCAGAGTTGAATCAAGTATTAGATAAATGTTTTAAAAACTGAATACTGCAATTGTACCATACAGGTCAGTGGGGTTGCTTTTGGAAAGGGAGGGGGTTGAAATGATATAATTGCAGAGTAGTCATTAATGGCCTACAAATCACCAGAGCTGAGGGTATTACATTGGCATAAATGGCTCTGTATCCCCAACCTTGTTCCTGATAGGAGTGATGTATAAGTTCATATAAATAGAAGCAATGTAAATAGCAAATGGCAGCTCCATGGAGTAACAAGTCCCATAAAAAAATATTCATGAATCTGAAATAACTCAGAATATAATATTTACAACAGAACTTCCATCTTTTGGTACATCATATTGGCTAGATTGATGATGTCATTGGTTATATAGGTAGCAATCTTTCCAAGCAAAGTCAAAGCAAAAATATGTTATAACTTATGGCTAATTTTGAAAAAGTACAACCAATCACATCATCATTCTAGCCAATATGACATTCTTTCTTTGATGTACCAAAAGATGGCAGGGTTTAAGAGACATGTCTATTGTCTGTGAAAACCATCAATTTGCAGATAAAAAGACACAGTGAGATCTACGCTCTAAAAACTAACAAAGACTTATGTTTTCTCAACCCCCCTACACAGCTCCTGGGGGTTGGGCTGAAAAACATGAAATATACATGTATAGGAAATAGACACAATTTATGGATATACTACCAAAATTTCAAACAGTAGTACTCACTCTGGTTGGAAATGAAAACCTTAGCTTTTTGTGCCATTTTTAAAGTGACAGCTATTGTGTAAAACTCTCCAATATACATCTCTCCATCAAATATGAAAAATCCATCCACTAGTATTTGAGTTTTTTTCCAGACAGAGGGTTCCACTAGATCCCAAATGAAATTTGGAATAATACAACTTAAAAAGACTGTAAGACTGCCCAAGGCTATCTTTATTTACTTACTGTAACACACTTCTTGGGTAGCACCTTGTCTGCCCATTGTTTCAGCTTGATGTCAACTGTTGTGTTGAATGTCCTAGAAACAAATGCACAATTAAAATCATTTGTCTAAAAATAAGATCATATCTAGGGAAACCTAGTGAAACTAGATCACAGCAATGCCAAAGCGTAGCAAATCCCATCAGCCCAGCCATGGCTGACATTTTTACAAAATCCTTTTACCAATTTTTCAGAATAGCCAAAATATTCGAATTTCGTTCGATGGGATAAATTTACATGGAATACTGAAAGGAACAGTTGAAAACCAAGGGATAAAAAGGAATTATCTTAGGATCACTATGTATGGCTACCGTATTTCAATTATAATTGGAGTTGCATGATTCCCTTATAAAAAGAAATAGTAATATCTGTTATCTTACAATGTCTGTTATCATACAATGTCTGTTATCCTACATAACTGTTATCTTACAATGTCTATTATAGCACAATGTTTGTTATCTTACCCTATATTTTCACTCTGGGCAGCAGGCAGGTATATGGACTCAAACACGTGTTCTGACATTCTGTCCCATAGTTTCCTAGAGAATGCTTCCTCCCTTTATAAACATAAAACACAAATATACTACAGGTTTTAAAAAGACTGTACATGTAAAACTTATTGTGCACTACTTTTCTGAAATTGCCAATTGGGTTTTTGAACAATAAAATGTATGATTTTATACATTTTAGTTCATGAAACAACATTTTACCACACACCCCACTAAGCAAAGATGATTGTGTGGAATTAAAGTCAGAATCAGATCTAGCGACCAACCTTCCTAAAAACAGTTTCAATTCTAAATCCAATTTCTTATGTCATTCCTTACAAATGTTTTGAAACAATTTTTTCCAGAGCAGGTTAGTTTCTAGCATTTAATTTAGGGATGGACCCAGGAGGAGTGAGTAGCTCCCATAATTCTTTCATATTCTATCGTATTCGGGGATTCCCCATTACATCATCTCTTATATCATCTCCAATCAAATTGCAGGATTCGATCACGTGAACAATCATGAGCACGTGCTCTCTCAGTGCTGCGCATGCGCAGAGTTAAATTTGAAATCCTGGGAATGGCGTTAACATCAGTTCAACATCATCATTTCAAACCTACGGTAATACTATTATAGTTACTCGATCCATACTTGTAGAGAATACTCATAAAGCTACAGTGAACATTTGGAGATCCATTTCAATGGCAATTTGAGGCCTGTTTATAAAATTTGTTTTCGAACGTGCTAATATGATAGGGCATCTTTGGAAAATCTCCCCCCCTGGGATGGACCACTTATTGTCCACAGGAATAAAGTATTAAAACAACTGGAAAAAATCAGAAAAATTATATTAAATTCACATGTAGAATTCAGTACACAATTGCCTACTATAATTTACAGGCTGACTAATCATATATGTGAAAGGTCGGATTAATATGTTCCGGAACCGAACTGAAATACAATATTTCGTGATCTGAGTACCTAGTCCGGCAATCAAAACAAATGTGGGGATGCTTGATAATTCTAATCTATTTGCTAAAACTCCCCAAAGTTTATGTGTTAAATAACATCACTATATGATATCTGATATGAAAATGAAATTAAGGATGTTTTGAGAAATAATATTCATGGGATGGTAAAGAACAACATGACAGATGAATTCTACATGTTGTAATTTTGTCATCCCCTATATCTCTGATTCTGCCTCTAAGAGCCAAACACATAGGACAACAATTTAACCCTTTCAGTGTTATAGGCTCCATATGGAGCCCCATTATGTAATACCTTTCAGGACAATCAGCTCCTTTTGGCACCATTATTTTTATTTATATACATCAATGAAATGACAATATCTCCAGTTCTATTCAATATTTTTACACCAAATTTTGACAAGTTGTTCTAATGTAATAATTCTTACTAAAAATTGTATTTCAGTGATAAAATTCAAGGTACAGGTCCCCGGGCATAGGTAATTTGCAGTTTTCCCCTAAAAACTGCTCTTACTTATCCATCATCAGGGCCAACATTTTCCTTTTATATTCACGTTGTGAAAGGGTTAAAAAAATACAATGCAACGTGCAAAACAATCATTTATAAATCTAGAATAACCTCCATATATGATCAGATAACACAATACTTTTCCATATGATATGAAAAGGATTGAAAGAGTAACATTGGCGTATCTTTTGAATTTCTCTTCCAAAGCATTATTAAGCAGGGTCATGCCCGTAGCCAGGGGGTTTGAGCTGGCTAAAAATTCTTTCAAAATTATGCAGTTTTTCATGATTCTGAGCATTTTTCATGTGATTTTGAATCAAAATTTGTCAAGTGAACCCCCCATGAATTTTTCTGAAAAGTGAATCCCCCTTGACAAAAAGCTGGCTGCGGGCCTGATCGTAAATGTTTTACTTAATAATCAACTGCTGTATACATATGAGTAGTCTGAGTAGAGTATACATACCATTGCTTAGGAGAGACCTGACTTAGATTGATCACTTCATCCAAGATTTCACCTCTTGCTTTTTCAAATAATTCCTCCTGGAAAGAACAATGCAAAAAAGTACAAATGCCATACATATTAAACAAGATGTACCAGTATATGCTAGATTACTCTGACAAATGTCGAAGTAAAGCAAAGCATGGTTAAGTGGGCACCTCAAAATAGTTTTCCACTTATGAGGTGTTTCACTTTTACAGGTATTTCATGCTTTACTGTATTAAAATGAGACATACTTGTTTGATAGCCAAGTTAAAAGACTATTACTTGTATTCAGTAGAAAAAATGACATATCAAACTGCTTTAAAGATGAAATACTTACTCTATCAAGCTGCCTGAGTTTAGGGAATGTATTTTTCCACTCAGTTTCCAGATTGAACCTTGTTGCTGCAATTTAGAAAAGACATACGTGTATATATTTAATTAATTATCTAGTTACTCATCTACTATATTTCTTTCTATTGAGCCTAAAGATTGGGGAATAGTTTGTTTGTGAAAGTGACAGAAAACAAAGAATGAAATATTTTATTATTTACTGTAATATTCCTTACTGTCTTATTGAGTAACCAATATATATTTGTATATATGGTTTAACTCATTGCTGAAAATTGCCAAAAATAGCTTTGGCCAGCAATGAATTAGAACAGCTTTACTTTGAGGAAAGTGTGACTAGAAATAGACTACTGATAGATACACAGTAAGCAATCATGTAGCATTTTAAAGTACCAATTACAGTTGCATGAAAATCTTGGAATTGGTAGTGCAATGGATGAACCATATTTATGCCATCGGTGATAATAAAGACATTAATTGAGGCAAACGTTTGTTTGGCTCTCTTTCAGCATTTACCCACATCGATTCAGGGTTCGCATTAAGCATCCATTCACTAAATGCAAAAACTGCCATTTGTTTGAAACTGCCATTGTAAAATTTTTTATTGGAAAACTATTAATTTAGTCGAATAAAGGAATCGTATATGTATGTGTATCTTTTAATAAACTGTTACTTGGTTCTGAATATGAATTTTGTAAGAAGCTAGAATAGACTTGTTTTATTAAAAAAGTTCTAACACTAGATGTTTCTCTTTTTTCTGGAATGTCTTTTAAAAAATTTTAAATGATAGTAAGATAGTAAGAGTTAGATCATTAACTTCCTTCTAAAAGTACTGTAAATCATTTCCACACATTTTGTTGATGTAATTAGATACTTTATTTATTTTAGTGGATGTCAAACTGTCAAGGGATCATTAAAAATTACCCTGCGTGCAGAGTCTAGTTAAACTACACTCTGCCTAGTAGAGACCATATTACAGTTTAGTAGCCCCGCCCCCACGACGGGTACCAGTGACAGTTTGGGTAATAAATCACTTCTGACCTACGCGCTGACCTTTCTTCCACCAATCAGCGAGCTTGAAGAAACATACGCCAAATGCGTTCTAATTAAATATGCGCGTGCCATTGGTCAATTCTGGGCTCAACGATGACGTCAGAAGGAATGACCATATATCGAACGTCGGTCAAATTTGGCCGACGAACACTGATTGGCGCGGTGAGTTCACAGGTTTATTTTAGTTTGAAAGAGTGAAGACGAAGCTCTCTCTGAAGAAGTGAAGTCAAACGAATGCAAAGGGTAATTAAAAATAAATACACACTTGTAAAATGATATTCAAACCCAAAACGAGATGCAGAATTTCCTTGAAATCCTATATCAGTCTATATCACAGACCAAAAAGTGATTCCTTTCACTTTTAATTTGAAACATATGATCAAATCAAAGTCAAAGAGCTTGTGAGAAGTCACCGAACCAACACACTCCTGATTACATGCCAGAGAGCTCAACCACTTGAGCTACAGAGCAAACTGACTCTCTCACATCAACATTACATATATAGCATAGCAGCCATGTCTTACAGGCCAAAAATTTTCCAGGTTCCATTCCTGAATGGGGAAATTATTGATCAATTTGAAACATCAAATCAAATCCTATGCAAATGGTTGATGTGAAAGTCATTCCATCCACAAACCCACAACCTCCCAATTAAAACTCCCATTCACCATAAATAAAGACAATTTTTTCTTTTTTTCTTGAGACATTCTGTTACACTTTTCTATACAAAGTGAGGTCACCATTGGTCCACTTTACTCAGTATATACAGGGTGGGCCAAAAAAACAATACCCAACTTTAAATCAGAATAAAAATAGCTATGTTCTACATGATACATTGATTTATATATCATTTTAAAGGTAATCCATTCGGTATATAACACTATGTCATGAAATCAATATTAAAGTTTTATTATACTTATTTGGGAGGTCGGGTTGGTATTTAAGGTATCCAGATTTTAGGGAGAAAATTGCATAGTTGTGTGACAAAACTTATTGATTATGAATTTTAGTCTTGATGTTATGATATTCTATAAATAATGAACTAGGCCTATGGAATATATAAATCTTTTATCTATGCTAACTCAGGAAGACATCATTATCATTTCAAATGTCACCACCTGGCATTTGTTACCAATGCCAAATGTTGGATGCCAAATGCAGTCATAAAAAAGTTGGTGACATAAAAATGTTATCAATCAAAATCATAGGATATCCTATGTAGTTGATTTTACCTTTAAATGCATCCCCTTGTTGTTCTATGGAGTCTTTCACCATCTTCCAGAAACACTCTGAGACTGCCTTGCTAAGATTATGGGTCGTCATCTGATGTGGTTTCATAACACCATCACTGAAAATAAATAAATGAAAAATAATAAAAACAAATATATTAAGCATTGATATGACAAGATGTCACCCCCGGGTATAAGTTATTGCAAATGGTTAAATACGTGTAACAACTTGTCAGACAATGCTGAATGATGAACAATGAAAGTCAATCACAAAAATGGTGACTATAACAATATGTCTTGTCTTGTTACAACAAATATGTTCAAAGCAAAGAAGAAATATCTCAAAGGGTTAAGGTAAAAATCACATAAAAATGCATAAAAGTGTATTTTTCTACTTGATATAAAAAATCTACAAAAATAACCTAAAATGCTTTGGGTTCATAACCAAGGATTATAATCCTTTATACATCAGAGTGAACAATGCCAGTTGAAATTCTATTCTACTAAACAATCTAAAACAATTTTCTTTTATTTCCAGATTCCCAGATATACACCAATCATTCCAATCTAATCTTCCATCACCATAGTAGCTAGGACAAGGAAAGAAACTACTCTGACTCAACATCAAATGCTAGCCTAATGACAAGGAAATGTTTCTTAAAAAAGAAAACATCAATCTTACGGAGGCCCGGATGGTGAATTTGACTTTCTGAAAGTCATCAGAAGGTTAAATCTGACATCAATTTGAATATTATTTTTAAAAAAAATAATTGTTTCAATTTGAAGCAATTCAAAATTTGACCTTGAAAAATGTTGATTTTGATATTTTTTAGACTTTATACTCTAAGATCCCCAAATTTTAATAGTCCTGAGCTATGAGAAACAAACCTCATACTAATTTTGTGATCTAACTGACCTAGATTTGTATCCAAATCACCATTCTGAAAAATCAACTTTTGAACTTTTGAAGGGCACTGCATGTCAAAAGGGCAAATCTCAAATCCAATGTCAGATATAACTCCTTGCAGATAATTTTTCTAAAACATTGTTTTCAAGATCTTGAAAAATAGAAATACGACCTTTTTTCAGTTTTGAACACCAATTATGACAAAGATGATGCCTAGCTAAAAACAGGAAAAAGGAAAGAGGAAAAAATTAAAAAGAACAACGGCAACGCCAAAGCGTAGCGAATCCCATCGAACAGAAATGGCTGGCATTTTTACAAACGAATAGCAAATATCATAAAACAACACACCAGAAAGGCCACCATTTTCAAAATTGTTGCTCACTAGCCAAGTTGTCATCAGAAGAAATAATATGCTTTAAAGTAGCCACCTCTAAAATTTTTGAAAAATCGCACACGTACTTGCAAAATAACACACATAAAAATGGTGGCCATTTTTCAAAATGGCCGACTACTCCCCAAAGTTTTATTAGACAATGTGCCATGCTTAAAGTATTCACATATCAAATATGAACAAAATCGCTCCACTACTTTACGAGTTATAGTAAAATACGTTAAAATGGTGGCCATTTTTCAAAATGGCCACTGTCTACCAAAAGCGTCATTAGAAATAGACAGTGTGCCATGCTTATAGTATTCACATACCAAATATGAACAAAATCACTCCACTACTTTTCGAGTTATAGTAAAATACATTAAAATGGCGGCCATTTTTCAAAATTTTTTTCAAAATGGCCGCCTTCTACCAAAAGTGTCATAGGACAGTGTGCCATGCTTATAGTATCCACATACCAAATATGAACAAAATCGCTCCACTACTTTTCGAGTTATAGTAAAATACGTTAAAATGGCGGCCATTTTTCAATTTTTTTTCAAAATGGCCGCCTTCTACCAAAAGTGTCATAGGACAGTGTGCCATGCTTAAAGTATTCACATACCAAATATGAACAAAATCGCTCCACTACTTTTCGAGTTATAGTAAAATATGTTAAAATGGCGGCCATTTTTCAAAATGGCCGCCTTCTACCAAAAGTGTCTTTAGACAGTGTGCAATGCTTATAGTATTCACATACCAAATATGAACAAAATCGCTTCACTATTTTTTGAGTTATAGCAAAAATCGTAAAATGACGAGTAAAGGCCGCCATTTTTCAAGATGGCTGCCATGTGCTTCTTTAATATCTACATTTGTAGCATTATTAATGTCCTTTATAATTTTTTTACATTTAAAACATATTGCTATTACAGTTTTACATATTACACCTTAATTACTGTAAAATCGGCACTAAAATGGCCGCCATTTTGAAATGAGCGACCATTTTGAAAATCGGCTTTCGAGCAGAATTTCTACCCCCATAGGGTATATGTGTACAAAATATGAACAAAATCGGGTCAACGGTATTTGAGTTAATGCCCGGACGGACGGACAGACGGACGGACGGACGTACGTACGGACGGACGGACGGACGGAGGCGTTCCCTATATCCCTCCGAACTTCGTTCGATGGGATAATGATAATAACAATATTGACAAAATCATGAAAAATGCTAATACATGATTGTACCTATAAAAGTAAAAGGGAACTCCTAATAATTTCTGATCATGTGATACTGAACAGCAGAATATAAACCATTGTTGTGAAGCCTAAAAAGGATTAACAATTCAACATGGGGTTAAAACATATCTTAGGTTTATGGCTAATGGTTAGCTTATCTAGTTGTCAGCAAACTACTTCAAAAATCTCATCAAACTGCACAAAATTCTCAGCGATCCAAAGCTTGATGCCAGCTTGCGATGATGTCATAACATGGAGACACGAAAATATACAAATGAAAGAACAAATACACAGATTAGAGGAACATGCACATAGGGTATCTGAACTTGAGAAAACTGTTCAGGATTTACAGACCAATTACAGTCAAATACAAGCAGTGAGTATCACTTGAGTATCATATTATTTCATAATTATTCTGATTATTTGATTTTGAATTATTTCTAGTATCACGGAAACAAGAACATGATTTACAAAAATAACTATAACATAACAATAATTTGCAAATATTTCATCTACAGAACCAGGGCATAGCTAGACCTAAAGGTGACCAGGGCACTGCTGGACCTAAAGGTGACCAGGGCACTGCTGGACCTAAAGGTGACCAGGGCACTGCTGGACCCAAAGGTGACCAGGGCACTGCTGGACCTAAAGGTGACCAGGGCATAGCTGGACCTAAAGGTGACCAGGGCACTGCTGGACCTAAAGGTGACCAGGGCATAGCTGGACCCAAAGGTGACCAGGGCACTGCTGGACCTGAAGGCGACCAGGGCATTGCTGGACCTAAAGGTGACCAGGGCACTGCTGGACCCAAAGGTGACCAGGGCACTGCTGGACCTAAAGGTGACCAGGGCACTGCTGCACTTAAAGGTGAACAGGGCACTGCTGGACCCAAAGGTGACCAGGGCACTGCTGGACCTAAAGGTGACCAGGGCATAGCTGGACCTAAAGGTGACCAGGGCATAGCTGGACCTACAGGTGACCAGGGCACTGCTGGACCTAAAGGTGACCAGGGCACTGCTGGACCCAAAGGTGACCAGGGCACTGCTGGACCTAAAGGTGACCAGGGCATTGCTGGACCTAAAGGTGACCAGGGTAAAGGTGGACCTAAAGGTGACCAGGGCACTGCTGGACCCAAAGGTGACCAGGGCACTGCTGGACCTGAAGGTGACCAGGGCATTGCTGGACCTAAAGGTGACCAGGGCAATGCTGGACCTAAAGGTGACCAGGGCGTAGCTGGACCTAAAGGTGACCAGGGCAAAGGTGGTCCTAAAGGTGACCAGGGCACTGCTGGTCCTAAAGGTGACCAGGGCACTGCTGGACCAAAAGGTAACCAGGGCACTGCTGGACCTAAAGGTGACAAGGGTACTGCTGGACCTAAAGGTGACCAGGGTACTAGTGGACCTAAAGGGGAAAAAGGCAGCCAAAGACCTAAAGGTGAGACAATTGAGAGATGATTAAACATCTTTTATACATACATATATATTTCAATAGAAAATGGGAACTCAGCCACCTGTTGGTAACACTAATAACAATTAGCATCTAGAACAATATAAGCATTAAAAGGGAGGTCATACCCAAATACTTTGATACTCCTTTACCTAATGCATATTACTTGCTTTCATATGGACCAATTTAATGGAATATTTGAGCCTGACCATAGGAAAACCGGTCTTATCACAAAAATTAAAATTGTTCTACAGAGCCAAAAATGTGCCCAAGATTAAGAGGGAAATGTGCTTAATTCAAATCTGTCTTTTGGTCTACATATGCAAGGAAAAATTGTTAAAACACAAGTCATGGCTCATTTGAAAGGTCTCTTTGTGCTTTTTAAGATAAACAAAAAATAAGAATATTGAAAAAATCTGTGATAAGACCCCTTTTCCTGTGGCTTGGCTCATTTGTATTTGTGATAGGTGAACTGATTAAATATTAATTGTCATATTGACCTACTTCCATTAACCTCTTGAATCCCAGGTACTAAAATAGGTTGAAACCAGATAATTTTTCATTTTTGCCAGCTTTTGACATTTTACTACATACATATACAACAGATGATGTTCAATTTAGTAAAATTAGATGGCAGAGATCATTTCTAGACATTTTAAAACAATTTTTGTGTAAATTGGATAAAAATTGTTCAAATAAGAGCAATTTTAGTGAAAAATTTTGTGACAGATTATCTTGTCACTCTGGGTTTCAAGGTCATTTCTGAGGTGACGAGAAATCTCGTCACTCTGGGTAGTCAAGAGGTTAAAAATGGTGATTCAAAGTGTTTATATTTAGCATTACAGGCATAGGAGAGAATCCCACATATCATACTTAGAGAACATATGAATTCAGAGAATGAATGATGCTTTATGATGTTTAAAGAGATTTGAGAAAGTTGGAAGTGTTTCTACAAGTAAAGATCCATGTGCAGTATGGCAAGTGATTTCAGACAGTCATATCTTTCACCATGAGTATTTTCTGGCCATAAATACAGTGGCTTTTATTGAAACAATATGTTTTTTTTTCAAGTGAAGTTCCCATGATAGTAAAATATCCAACTCTCTGAAAAATTATGGATTAGGGCCCCACCTTGGCACTTTTTGAAAAATGTTAGGCTTATTTTCTAAAAAGAGGATCTTGTTTTTCTTAATTTATATCAAAAGTCTCCTCAACACTATATTAACAATTTCTGAAAAGGAGGTGGGTATTGAAATGAGTTAAAGTTAAAAACCACATATCCCATGTTATTTTCCCATAGGGCAAACTCGTGCTATCCATTGTTTTCAGCATAATTTTGGTCATCAAAAATTGATATCTTCAAAACTAGACTTTTAATACCATTCTATTTTTGAACATGTCTTAGACCCCTTGTTGAATAATGTTTTCGTGCAATAAAAATCAGAAAAAGAAGATCCTCTTTTGAGTAAACAGGTTCAATATTTTGAAAAAAATGTTGACATGGGGTCCCCATTCATAGTTTTTCGAATTGTTTGATTTATATTTTTATCATCATGGATACTTCACTTGAAAGAAAACATATTGTTTTAATGAAAACCACTGTATTTATGCCCAGAAAGTACTCATGGTGAAAGATGTGACCGTCTAAAATCACTTGCCATACTGCACATGGTTTTTTATGTGTTTATCAATTACCAGTTACAAAATAGAAAAAAATTTGGTTTCTTACTGCTTTATATAATAAAAATCATTATACTATTTTCCATTCTTTTTTTGCCTCTCGTATGTGTCATTTGCAACACAAGCCATTGAATCTGCATTTGCCTATATTTTCTTGTAGCATATATGACTGATTGTGGAGAAGACACTTCCATAACTGGTGTGCAAACAATAAGAACTACAGCTCGAAGAATCTTTAGTGTCTACTGTGACCAAGGTTGGACTTACATTTTCAAGAGATTTGATGGGAGCGTTAATTTCACTCGCCCATGGGCAGATTGCAAACATGGCTTTGGGGACATAGATGCTGAACATTTTATAGGATTAGATAATCTTGCAAGTTTATTACAGGAGCGTCGCTTTAAAGCTAGATTTGAACTAACAGCCTGGCCTCCTACAACTCCAGCTTCTAGGTTTGCGGAATATTCCACATTTTCAATAGCCGATGAGAGTGATAAATACCGTCTTAATATCACTGGATATTCTGGCACTGCTGGAGACTCTATGAGATACCATAATGGACAGAAATTTTCAACATATGACCAAGACAATGATAGAGTTGAAACAACCAACTGTGCACAGCTCTTCAAAGGTGCCTGGTGGTATGATTATTGTCAAATTGCCAATCTTTTTGGTCATTATCAAGGTGGACCATACTGTCCCCACATGGCATGTATGTCATGGTACACGTGGCCAACAAAGCTAACAAACCGTGGTAGTAACTTTTACTACTCTTTCGAAAAAGCAGCCTTGAAAATATACAGAGTTTAAGTTGTTCAAATTTGCTAGATTCCTTATAGCAAATATGAAAGGCAAAAAAGGATAAAAAAGGAAGGTTCTTCCCAAGTAAAATGACATACAAACTGCTAGAATTACTTCTTGTATTTAATAACAAATATTACAAAATCCACAAACATGTGACTGCTGCAGATTAAAGCAACCAAATCTTATATAAAATATATTGTATATTATTACTTTTCTTGTATCACACCAATAGGAAAATGATTACTGCACTCGTATATAGCAATACCGTATCTTCAATGTAAATAAATTAGCTTTATCTTTCACAAAACATTGACTTCCTGTTACATCTTATCATGACGTATCTCTATAACAACCCAACAATAGTCAACTTATCACTATAGAAACCAAACTCCAGCTAAGTCATCCCTATAGCAATCCAACCGTAGCCAACAATCAAAGCAAAAATGGAACACATACCGAAATAGTTTAGAGTTCCTGAAAAATCCTTCCTCATAATCTTTGATAGTTTGGATGCTGTCATTGGTATTGCCTTTGCCTGTGACAACTGCAAAGTATCCCATAGCTTTCATTGGAAACAGTCGGCCATCAAGAATCTTTTTGATCTGAAATAAGACAAAGTTTGCAATGCACAATGCAAGTCAAGTGGTATCATTCTATGGGTAATTGGTCAACTTGTACCCAAGACAAGTTGTACCCAAGACAACTGGTACCCAAGACAACTCGTACCTTAGTATATATTTTGTTTTGAATCAAGAGTTGGACTGGGAATGACTTGTGTATAGATATACATATTATAATTGTAATATACTGTTAAGAAGTCTGAAGAATTTTCAGAAGAAATTGATTTAATTTTGTGACATTTTGAGCTTTGAGTGTCAATTTATTGTAACTATTATTTTATATTGGATGTTCGAGTGAAGAGACATATATTTATTCTACACATTCATAATCATTTTTCAAAATATTGTATGTTTATGAGTGTTTGGAACAAGTGACAGATTTAATTCATCTTGAAAGATGGTATCATTATAAATGTATTGATTTATCAAATCTTGGGCCTAATTTCTTATTAAACAGATAATCTATTTGTCTAGGATTTCATATTATCAGAAGTTATATTCATGTAGCAATAATATATTTTGAATAATATAATATATATAATAATATAATATCAAATATCATTTTGGTACTTATTCATACTTGATATATTTTGACACGCATGTACTCAAACATAATCCAATTTAGTTCCAATTGGAATAAAATAACAGATTAAACTTCCTTTAAACTTTCTCGAAACACACTAAATTAATTGTTTGATTCATTTGTAGAAAAGTCATTGTTGTAATTATATTTATTTAAATATATGTTTGACAAAAATTGTTGAGAACAAGCACTTTTTTTATTAATAAAAAAGGGATTCAAGTTAAATCAAAATGCTTTACTTAATCCATTAAGAAAAAAATGTCTTCTAAATTCAAAAAAACATTGAGGCTTATTTGAGCCACATTATAACTTGGGTACCAGTTGTCTTGGGTACGACTTGTCTTGGGTACAAGTTGACAAGGAAGCCTTCTATGACCAGTTTTTTATCTGTAGTTGAACCATTTGGCAATCTATTTCTGATAGTGCACAGGGATTGTTGAACTAGATTCATGAACTAGGGCATGAACTAGATTCAACTTCAGAATGAAGGCATAAATTCAAACATAGACCAAATAAAAGGGATTTGAGCATGGGTCAAAGACAAAATAGATATTGAGCGGGTTCGATCATGGGGCAAAAGAAAATAGATATTGAGCGAGTTCGATCCCCACTAAGGTAGACTGACTTTTTCACACCAGCCCTAAGCGCAGAACTTCATTCTGTGTTTTCATTAACAAATTTGCACCCAATAGAGATGATGACAAAATATTTATAAAAGTGAAAAAATTGATATTTTAATTCCAATTCAAATCTATAAACCTGGTTACAGTATTTGTTTATGTACAATGGCATACCGTCATACACGCATAAAATGCCATGGCGTACTCTCATAATTAAGAGAAAAGTTGATTTTATATATTGAATTGCGCTTCACTTTAAAAATGGATAAAAATGGCCAATAATTTGCATGTTATTAGTCCATATCAGTTGAACATTTGTGTTTTAAAACGCCCAAGAATGCCTCAAATGCAATATCATTTTCAAGTTTTCTTGGGGGGAGCTGGCGTACACTCACAAAATATCCACGCTACGCCTCTGATGTATAACATAAAAGCTCACCCTCTCTGGGTTATAGAGACTGCTCTCTGCCATGTCGACTTTAGTGAGCACAAAGATGGTACGCTTTCCACTGGGGTCCATTGAGCTAACCAAGTCTGTAACATTGCTTCTCTCTGCATCTATTGATCCATCTACAAAAGGAAATTTCACTTTATCAGAAAGCTAAACACAAACTTAATTATAATATTGTGTCAACAACAAAGATATGAAGATGGAATCAACCCAACCTCAAAAAACCGTATTTAACGAAAAAAGGAAATATTTTGTGAAATTTTTTTATTATTTTGATTTGCTATCATTTGCAATCACATACATAACATATCTTACCCTGAATGCATAAAATGATGGCATTTGGGTTTTCCATATATGTGCTGCAAAGTCCTCGGATTTTATCTTTTGTATCACCAGTCATATCCTTGGTAACTGTCTAAAAACACAAATTAAGCAATAGATAAATGAACACATTTAAGATATGGATATCTTTATTTAATTATTTAATACATAGGATTTATACTTAGAATTACGCTTCCATGTTACTCACACTTTCATTGAACTATAAAACACTTGTTTTTATTAGATGTACTTACACTGATGATGCCAGGTAAATCAACGAGGACAATTCTTTGTAATCCTGGCCCTTGCACACTCATGGAAATTGTCTGTAATCAAATCATACAAGGTCATCTTTAAATTACAATGTTCCATGACAATTTAATTAAATATTTCTTTTAAGCACTTATCTATTTGATCAGAGTACCTATGCTAAACAAAGAACAAATTGTATTTGGCCTTGCTTGACATACTTTGTTCTACAGTATTATTCAGATCTTGAATACCACTTGAGATTTTCCCAGGACAAAGTTTTTTGTACCTCACTACTAATGGTCTGTCCATCAGTGCAGCTTGCTTTCATGCGAATTTCCACTTCTTTCCTCAAAGCTGATAGGTCTGATTCCTTAGTGAGGTCAAATTCACGAGTACTGTCCTTGAACTTTGCTATATGATACGGTCCCTCACTAAGTGTAACTTTTACTGGGGACCGTGTCATCATCTCACCCGAACCTCTGAAATATGAAATAAATATCTCAGTGAAATGAAAAGACGATAGAAAAATATGATGCTATAAGTAAGTTCTGGAACAGATTTCAATACGCAAACCTACTTAAACAAGTAGAACTTCGTTAGATAAGAATATACGATCAAACTTTTAATCAATTCAATACATTCAGACAGAGTTGTTTCAGGAGCGATTTGAACAATGTGGAAATATGAGATTGTCGCCATAATCTAACTTTAAGCAAGTTTATTGGAAATTCATGAAAAAAAAATTATCAGAGAACTTCCAAGCATAAATGCTGCACTCTGTTTTTATTTATTTAGCAATAATTTTCACATTACATTATAAAGATTGACAACCTGTTGTCTGGCTTACCTAGGAAATATCCTAGCTTGGGCTATCATCTCTAGCACACTGGTCTTTCCAGAACTTTGATCTCCGACAACTACAACCTAAATCAAGACACATTGTGAATGAGATTGCCACTAATGAAGCACCAGTGAATATGTAATGTCCTCATATGAAAAACATCCAAACAGATTTCAGGACAATTTCATAGCAGTAATGTGATAAAAGACATGTAAAAGGCTGAATTAGAATTTTCTAGACTGTATTATCCAACTAAACGGACATTTTGAGTCAAAGAGTTCCTGATATTGCATACCCTTCCTTTTAAATAACAAATATTGACAACTCATAGTTACAATTTGTATACACATGCTAATATGAAAGAACACTCACTCTTGGTAATTGATCCTGTGTGTTATAACTGGAGTCATAGTCACTCAGTTCATCAAGTGCATCAGAGTACATGTCAATAAGCGACTTCTGAAACATGGCAAGCATTGACAATTTCAATTCACATGACAGCTGATACTAGTGTAAGTAAAGAAGAGTAGTTGACTTTGCTATGGACAAGTGTTTCAAAGAAGACAGTTAGAAAACATATAGCTTCTTTGCACAAATCTGTAACACATTTTTTTATCGACACGAAGATATTTAATTTAATCGAACATACTCCATAAATTATGGTGGATATGTATGATGAGAATTTTCATGCTTGCAAATACCAATAAAAAATAGTGAACTTGGTTATATTTTACAAATAGAGAATATTACCTTCATTTGTCTGACTTTTCCACCTTTCCTTGAATCTTTCAGCAAGATTGTTTTTCGTAGATCCTTATTTTCTTTTTCTAAGCGTTCTATCTCCTTCTGGTAACGAATCTGCATAAACAATAAACATGACTTACAATGTTCATCATCATGTAAAATAGAATCATGTGAAATAGAAAAGTTACTGTTTCAAAAATCTCAAAAATAATCTAAACACAACTTGATAAAATTTTACAGAGTCTTGAATGAACAAACACAAAATCTACTTACTTGTGTATGAAGTATTTCATCTTGCAGCTGGTCAATCTTTTCCTTGTCATTTCTTGGCTGAAAGACACAACAGAGAGTTCATTTAAATACATAACAAAAATATTATCTAATTTAGTTTGCAAAAATATTATATGATGATGCAAATAAATGTTTTGCCTATGCTTAATATCCTGTATGTATATTAGAAGTTATTTTTGTTCTTGATAACATAACCTCTGTTTCTTTCATTTTAACTCTTATTTTTGTCACACCAAAACAGGTTTCAAAGCTGCATTAGCGACATGAGTGACAACTTCCCACAATTTTCATTGTTATGTGCAACTGTTACCAAGTAGCGCACCTTACTTCATCACTTCAGTCTTTCTTCGGGTCAATATTCATCCTCAATTTCACAATTAGATCAATTAGAATGTTCATTGTAAATAGACATGATCATGTGCCTTTGATTAAAATGCATTGTTTGTCAGCTATAGTGAGTTAAGAGTATGAGAGGTGATGCAACAGACATTTCCATTTTTGGAAACATGAATCCAGGAAAAAAACATAAAGTACACCAAAAATAATCAGGTATGGTTGACATAGTTACCAAAATGCAAAGGACCCAGACCAGATAAACTAGACAATGGCAACTCCGCGGAGTAGCAAATCCCAACGAACAAAATATCAATTACCGAATTCCAATCAATTATACTCATTACTTTGGTTAAAATTGAAAAATTTAGATTTTAGAATTGCGAATTCCTGCAAAGCAGCCATTTTGAATTTTCTGAGGTACAAATCTGAAGAATAATACCATAATTGTGATCTACTCAAAAATTCCTTCAATTTGAGTATAATATAGCCATACTTTGAAGGGATCAAAACATTATTGCGAAATCGTACATTAGACGGCCATTTTGAATTTTACATCGATGAAAAACACGGAATATATGTGAAAAAGATAGTTGTTGCGAATATACTACCAAAATTTGAAACAATAATATTAATTACTTTGGTTTAGAATGAAAAATTTATGGTTTTTGCGAAAAAGTCCCGTCATTTTTAAAGTGGCGGCCATCTTGAAAAAAATGTTTTTTTTGCGTACAACTATTCACCAATATACATCTTTCCACTAAATATGAAGAAAATCCGTCAACTCGTATTTGAGTTATCTTCCGGACGGACAGACGGACAGACTGACGGACTGAAGGACGGAGGGCTTCACTATATCCCTACCGAACTTCGTTCGTTGGGATAATAACTTGTGGGAATGACCCCATCACATTGAAAAAAAAAATAGGAGATATGAAAATTTTAAGACCATTCATCATGTAAGTAGCCATACATGTACATATATCAGTCTCCTTTGTCTAACTTCTCCTCAAAACTGGCTTAAAACATTTGTGAATAGTCAGCCTTTCGATAATGTAATTTATATACCTTGCATAGTAAAATACAAGTCACATGATGTTTCTTACCATTAAATAAAATCAAATAATGGTACATCACAAAATTTAAGCTTATTCCTCACATGTATAGTAGGTTAAGGATGAAAATTGAGAATACAACATACCGCACGAGTATCTGGGGGCACCCATGATCCACCGTCTCTGTTGTTGCCATGGGGATCAGCTACATCCCTCACAACTTCATTAATGCTGCCATCTATAAATATAATGCCACCATTTAGATCAACAAGAAAAAAATTCCCTCATTTTTTGGTATACAGTATATTCAATTGTTATAGCTATGTATATCCTTAAGAATAACAGACTAGCTCCAGTCTATATTATAACTGAGCAGCTCTGGCACAATGATGTTACAAAACAATGATACGGTGAGATCAGAGTTTTGTGTATCTGGTGCAGAATTCAAGAGTAATACTCTTATATACACGTTTAATGACCCATTATAAGTTATACACTTCTAACACTCTTAACATTAGGAAAAGATGTTTGAACTCACTTCAGCCAATCAGAGCTGGTAAATGTTCAGCTACCATTTCCATAAAACTCATTTACATGTTTGATTTTCAATAATATTTCTCTGTTTTGATTGTGTTTGTGTTTGACATTGCTTTGTAGGCTCTCTGATTGGTTGAAAGCCAAGGTGTAAAATTATCAATTCTAAGTAAGAGGATATTGGGTATAGCAAGATCTAATGAGTTTAGGGTAACACCAAGGATGGGGATGTTTAACTAATGGTTAGCATTACATTATGTAAAATAGAGTAACTCAAGTACTTATATTTCTTTCATTCTATATTATGCCTCCCCACTTTGTTATGAATGTAAAAAGTGTTATTCTTGTGGTATTTCTGGTATCATGGCTTTAGATTTAGTATTGCATTGTGGCTTGAGTATTTTATTATTTATCTGACTTGAGTATTGAATCTTGTAAAGTGACTTGAGTATATTATATCTTGTATTCTACTCTACACACCTATTACATGGCCAGAGCTGCTCGCAATCAATGGTACACCTGAAAAATCAGCAAAACATGTACGTATGTACTGTATATATAGTTTGGAACATGTTTTCTTAGTGATCTTGTATCTATAAGAGTGAGTACAGTGTAGGTCTGACAATAAAATTGTTCTTTCAATATACATGTGTTATAGTGTTGTTTCCCTAAATTGCATTAGCTTAAAGTGTCACTACTTTTGGTGTATGATTATCTAGCTGAATGGGACATCGTTACTTTCTGATCAGGCCTTCATGAAATTTTTTTTAAATGCGCACCATATAGGTAAATTCTTAATAGAAAATGTGTAATACTAACATAATACAATAACACAAATAAAAATGGCCACCATTTTACAAAATAGCTTCTAATTAGCAAAAGAAGGGAAACCCTCAGAATTTAGAGATGATCTCATACAGGATAAGCCAAAAAAGGTAACCCAAATAAATCTTAATAGCACAGTAATCCAGGATGGGTTTTAAGGCATATTTGGTACAACTGGACCTTGTTCAATGATCTTTCATTCTAGTAAGTTTCATATTCAAAATGGTCAGAATTTTATGGCCATTTTACAAAACATGGTCAAAATGCCAAAACATACCAAAATCAAGACACAAGATATCTGAATGTGTAGTCAGAAAACTTCACATGATGCGTTCAAGTCTCCCTCTAAAGACAATATCGGCATTTTGTGCATGTTTTGTAAAATGGTCAGAAAATAGTGACCATTTAAAATAGACAATCATACTTGGTGGAATGAAAGAACATTGAACATGGTTTAATTGTATCAAATATGATTAAAAACCCAAACCTGATGGCAGAGTCATTATGATTTGTTTGGGTTACCTTTTTTACCTCACCCTGTATATGGGTATGATCCAAAATTAATGTACAAGTACATCTACTGTGGGAAGCAAAATACATCAATAAAGGTGTTCTAGTAGACCCAGTGAAAACAGGATGAGGACCCGCTGAAAGCATGAGGATTGAGGAGGACCCACTGAAAACGTGAGCAGATTTAACGATGACCTGCTTCGTTTGTGGGGAAGGCTTCATTACTATTGAATGAATGTAGAAGTAGATTTTAGTCAGTGGTATTTTCACTGAACAGACTTTGCAAAATACCATAGGAGATGTGTAAACTTTTTTTCATGTGACATCCGATTCCTTAGCCTCAGTGAACTTACCTTCAGTGAAGAGGGACTTTGAGTCCCCTCCAGTCACATCATCAAACCAGTCTTTTATGGACTTTACTGCGGGAACATTATTTCTGAGCCAGCCCTAAAACAAGTCAATTTTCATAATATTGTACACATTTCAATTCAAAATACATAGTAATACATCTTTTTTGTAATATAATTACATGTTGAGGAATCTTTCTAAGCAAGATTTTTCTTTTCATGCACAGTGTTTCGTTGTTTCATAATTTTTTATTACTGAATTTATTGCGTACGTTATTATCAATTTGAAAAATAAAATTATTTTATTCAAATACCTTTTCTGGTAGTGACATCTTTGATGTGAATTTCTTGAAGGTTTCATTCCATTTATCAACTTTGCTTTGATCTGGGAATATATCCTTCATCCATGTCAAGTCTGGAAGTTTGTCTTTCCATGATTCATAAGTCTGAAAAATAATTCATAAGAAAATATTTGCATTATGTTAAAACAATTGACTTTTTCGTTTGATAAGTTCTTGAATACGGCTAGCTGTATGTCCCTCGTTATTTTTTGCAACTATGGAATATAATTAAAGTTAATACTCCTGGGGAGAACACTTTGTACTCCAAATAAATAAAATGATTTAGGACAATGACATTAAAAACACTGTGACTTACATTATTTATGGCAACCCCTCCTCCAACAGCTGATGTGAATAAGATATAACGCAACTTCAATAGTCGTGCCATTGGTCTGAAAACTCCTATATTTCTATACTGTTGATGATATTTTAGATTTGGCCTTGTCAAAGATCTAGGAATTCTAGTGTTAAATACATGATATCTGCGCAATTGATATAGCAATGCAATGTTTTTAGAGGACATTGGTTTGAGCGAGCCATATTTTGGCAGTGTTCTGGATGTCGTGTATGGCAGTATGACATTGAAGGTGGAAGCATGTTTGACCTGTTTGCGTAAGGCCAGCTGTACACATCTCTGGCATGAAGAACTGAAAACAGAAACAATTGTAATATGACATCATGTATATAAGTATAGTCTAATAATTCTAATAAAAAGAATGATGTAACTCACATATTGGACAATTAGTGAATTACTGGTCTGTTTATCCGAAAGTTGAAAATTTGGCACTTGTGCCACTCTAATTCTTTTATAACCAACCATAGACACTCAAAGTAAAAGGCCAATAATGTACATCAACATATTAAAAAGTATCTCTAAATAATTCAATGATTCATAGTCTAGCTCACCTCAACATTTTGAAATCAAATTTCTTCTGCTTCTAATAATTCTGGGAGACAGAATTTCACCAGCATCATCAGTCACTATTGCTAAATAGGACTCATTCTCCCGAATGTAGATATGAAGTGCGTTTACGTTTGTTTTCAACGTTATAAGTAGTAGGTTGATGAAGTGAACTTTCGAAATTTGTAATTTTCTTAAAATTTTCAAAGATGGCAGCGAAGCTATCAGCTTTATTCGCTGTTGCTTTAGTATGATGAGAAATTAAAGGAACTAATATTAACTAAAGGTTTACTTATATGTATTCAATATCTCAATATGACTTATAATTATTCGATATAACTAAATATGTAGATTACCAAAATAGATAAATGTACTATAAAAATCAATTAATTAAAATTGACTTCATCAATATCTTGAATATAGCGCCTAGCTTTGAACGAGTAAAATCTGAAAAACTCACATTTTCGTTGATTTTGACTAATTTTGATAAATTTGCTGCTCTCAGTGAAAGTACATTGTGAAAATAGTTCAGAAAGATGGATGATGAACAAGAAAAGGGCTACAAGTGGGAGACAGAATATGAACGTACATGGTAAGGATATCTTCATTTGGTTTTACTGTAGGTTATCCCGGTACCAGGACTACAGTCCTGAGAACATCTCAATCTTTTGCCTGTGCGATTACAACATGGGAGAATTTTTTTACGCTTCTTACACTTCAGATACCTACTTCAACAGATTCCTTGGTAATTTAGCATTCTTTTCGTGTAGGTGACAAATCCACAATTGTCTGGGTTTATCGGCAGAACGAAGTAATTTTCGTTTTTGATCGCAATATTTGCGTGTAATATTTAACTTATTTTAACCGTCAAATTCCTCCATTTATTGGTACTTCCGGGTCACATCCGGGACAGTCAAACGGGGAATCCCCTTTTAAATCCAACTGCCATCTTGAAAAGTGATGGAATCTCTCTCGATGAAAAAGAAAAATGTTCCTGTTCTGCCGATATACCCAGACAATCGGCGGTTCCAATATATTAGAAGTTACATTTTGAGTTATTTAATACATTGAGGTAGGTATCTTAAGTGTAAGGTAGCGCTAAAGTTAAGGGTTTGTAGAAAAAACTGGGTACCGGGTAGTAAATCCTCCATGCTGGGTTCAAACTTGGTACCCAGTAGCTGGTCAAAAAAAACGGGTACCCAAAAAAAACGAAAAATACGAATATATAACATAATTAGATCGTTAGAAAACGTGTAAGATTAGTTTTGAATTTACAAAAATATATGTAACCTTCAAAATTGAGCTAGAAGCTTCAAATAAAAAGCATTTTAAGGCTCTTTTCTTTCTCTATCATCATGGTCATATTTTCATTGGTTATGGGGGGGGGGCTGCGATCGCACCATCCCACCCCCCTCCTGGCTACGCCTATGACATTGTAAGACGGTTTGAAAAACATGACAAATCGATCTTACTCTATTTTCAATATATAGTTCGTATGTTGGTACGTGAATTGTTTTGATTATGATTTAAATCTGTGAATAGCTAACGTTACTTTAGCAGAGAGGTGACTTGTGTTAATTTACATGATGCAACGTGATTATTAATCATAATTTAAGTTATCCCAATTTTCGACGAAACGTCCACTGAAGTGTAAATTGTTACGTCTTACAATGTCATAGGCGTAGCCAGGAGGGGGTGTGATGGTGCGATCGCACCCCCCCCCCCCACCCCCCATAATAGATAGAGGAAGAAAAGAGCCTTAAAATGCTTTTTATATTTGAAGCGTCTAGCTCAATTTTGAAGGAAGTTACATACGTTTTTGTAAATTCAAAACAAATCTTACACATTTTCTAATGATCTAATTATGTTATATATGCGTATTTTCGTTTTTTGGGTACCTGTTTTTTACCAAGTTTGAACCCAGCATGGAGGATTTACTACCCAGTACCCGGTTTTTTCTACAAACCCCTAAAGTTAATCAAAAGTACAAAAAATAACAGCCATATTTTTTTGATAAAGTCACAAGATTTTGATACAGATCAAAATCTTGTCACTTTATCAAAAAAATATGGCTGCCATTTTTTGTACTTTTGATTAACTTTAGCGCTCCCTTAAGGGGCGTAGGCTCTGTAGAACTGTAGAATTTTGAGACTACAGTCGGAGACATTAATTAACCTCAATCATAAAAGTTGTCACAATGAGCTAGTTCAAATTTTTAAGTTCCCTGGCTACAGGCCTGTATGTTCACCACTTTACAGTAAAATGTTTGGAATTACTTTGAATTTAAAAAATAAGCAATCAAATGACAATATTGCAACAGTAAATATAATGTGCAGCAAAGCTGTGGCCTTTTGTAATTTAGGGAGTTTCAGCCATGTTAATTTTTTCAAAAATAACATGGCAGAGAAGCATCAAAATATAAGAGGCCACAGATATGATAGCTAAACTACATTCGAACATGACTGTATTCACGCCTTCTGTAAACGGTAAACAAAGTCAACATTTCACCTGGGATATATTCGCGATCAATACCCCAGTTAATATGTGTAATGTGTGACGTCATAATGGTGGGTCGTAGTAATGGCGGACCATGATGAATATTCAAAACAATTTGGTGAGTTTTCATGTTCGAATCGTAATATAGACCTCGGAGCAGGGGTAATATCATCGAATACACCCCTTGGGGCTAGGCACAAAAGCTTTCGAACCCCTCACTCCCTTCGGTTGTTCGGGGCACAGAAAACGTTTGTGCCTAGCCCTGCGGGGTGTATTCGACGATATAACCCATCCTTTTCGGTCTGTATTTCTTAAATATAAACTAAAATGTACAAAAGTTAGGACATGTATAAATGTTTCTATTTTTACATATTCTGTTTGAATATGGTCCTTTAATTGCTTATTTTTTAGATTCAAAGTACATGTAGTTCCAAACATTTAAAATTTTACTGCAGTCACTAAATTTCTAAACGAGCATTTGTTAAAGTCTGTAAACTGCTTCAAGGCAACCGGTTGAACCTAAAAAATAAGAAATCAAAAGACTATTGAATATATGCAATAATATAGAGAATAATATATTCATATTGCACACGAATGGCATAAGCAAATGCTATATCTTTAGGCTTAACCCTAACATACTAAAGTACAAGTTTATCCATCTGAGCTTTAATTTAGTGTCCCATACCCCCACCCATACTCCTCTGTAATGTAACTCTGTGTCCCAACCCTTCAATCTAAGCAAACCTGGAGTATTGATAGCTTATATGTATATGACTATTGTAAAGCATAACATCATGTAAATTAATATATGCACATACTTTCGCATCCTTGTTCAGCGCTGAAAATTGGATTTAAAGTATACATAAAATTTTGTAGATCCAACACTTTTTAAACCTTTTTTGTAACATTTTAGGGAAGCAATACAAGAAAATGATGCGGGGTCTTTGCAAACATCAGTTAATGACATCATACATCGTGCAAAGAAACGGCGTCTACAGGAAGCACAATCTAATGCCAAACTGGGAATGGTATGTTCAGCTCATGTTATTATCTTATAGATTGAAATACTTTATGTTTTTTTGTACACATTTGCATTGACTTTCAAAGCCGTAATCAATAACCTGGTATTCAATTCAATTTATTCTCATAAATGACTGAAGTTCTAATTGTTCTGAGGTTTTGAGTACGGTTATCCAAAAAGACAGATGAATAAAGATTTAAATATGGTATATTTAGGTATCTTTAATGCATGGACTCGAATCTGCCATTCCGAATACAAATAAAAATTCAGAAATCTAAAATAATAGTTAACAAGAGGTTATTATTACATTGAGGATTCATGATTTTACTTTTCCAGATGCGTCACTTGTACATCATCATTGATATGTCTGAAGCTATGTCAATACCTGATTTAAAGCCAACTAGACTTGCATCTTCCTTGAAGGTAACACAAGATTTTGATAAAACCAATGAAATCTTAACATGCTGTTAATGTTACAACAAACAAACAAAAACAACCTGATTTGTTTCTTTGTTTACCGTTTGTTTCTTTGTTTACCTATTTGATCTTCCCTTTCATTCTTAATATCTTAGAAATTATTATCCCATCGAACGAATTCGGAGGGATATAGGGAACGCCTCCGTCCGTCCGTCCGAGCAATAACTCAAATACCGTTGGCCCGATTTTGTTCATATTTTGTACACATATACCCATTGGGGGAAGAAGTTCTTCTCGAAAGCCGATTTTCAAAATGGCCGCTCATTTCAAAATGGCGGCCATTTTAGTGCCGAATTTACAGTAATTTAGGTGCAATATGTAAAATTGTATTAGCAATATGTTTTAGATGTAAAAAAATTATATAGGACATTAATAAAGCTAGAAGTGTAGATATTAAAGAAGCACATGGCAGCCATCTTGAAAAATGGCGGCCTTTACTCGTTATTTTACGATTTTTGCTGTAACTCGAAAAGTAGTGGAGCGATTTTGTTCATATTTGGTATGTGAATACTACAAACATTGCACACTGTCTAAAAACACTTTTGGTAGAAGGCGGCCATTTTAAAAAATGGCCGCCCATTTAAACGTTTTTTACTATAACTCAAAAAGTAGTGGAGCCATTTTGTTCATATTTGGTATGTGAATACTATAAGCATGACACACTGTCCTATGACACTTTTGGTAGAAGGCGGCCACCATTTTAACGTATTTTACTATTACTTGAAAAGTAGTGAAGCGAAAAAATGGCAACCATTTTAATGTATTTTCCTATAACTTGAAAAGTAGTGGAGCGATTTTGTTCATATTTGGTATGTGAATACTATAAGTATGGCACATGGTCTAATGACACTTTTGGTAGAAGGCGCCCATTTTGAAAAATGGCTGCCATTTTTGCTATATAGGGTGTCTCAAAAAAATGTACCCAAAAGTATATCAACAGCATAGACAAACCAATCAATATTTCCAGACACTTTTTGCATGGTCTTGTAGATAAAAGATGAAAGTTTGTTCCCCTATACACAGTTTTTAATTCAGTTTTGCCTTTTTGATTCTTTAACCCTTTACCTTTTACACCACATATTCAATGTAACCTCATATTTCGATGACAGTCTGCATCCTTACTAGTACATTGTTCATCACATTTGATATTTCTGGTCGAATGTTTTGATTTCTGTTCGGATCCTGGTCTTAAGTTGTTCTAGGTCTCTTAGCTTGGGTTTAGCATAAAAATGGTCCTTCAAATAGCCTCAGAGAAAAAACTATGGGCGGTCAAATATGGTGAATAGGGAGGCCTTCACAATGTCTTATAGCCCCCTTATACAGAGAGGTCAGAGGTTAAAGAAACTGCATTGATTGGGATTCTAATGTAGCCTTTGTTGTGTGTATCAATTTGAGACCACTGTGTTTTCATTTGGATATCATTTGGTCTCCAGGCTAGCCTGCCTAACTCTGGAAGGTAACTTCTGAATCATTTGCTGATAATTGACCTGATTATCTGTTTTTGTTCTGCCATCGTCATCCTCAGACATCTTTCTCTGTGGCTATTTAAAGGAGTGTTTTAATGCTCATTCCAAGTAAAAAGATCTAGAACAACTTAAGGGCAACATCCAAAGAGAAATCCAAAACATTCCACTGGAATTATTATCAAATGTGATGAACAATGTAGCGGTAAGGATACAGGCTGTAATAGAAATACGAGGTTACATCGATTATGTGGTGTAAAAGATAAAGGGTTAAAGCATCAAAAAGACAAGACTGTAATAAAAATGGTGTATTGGGGAGAAAACTTTCATGTTTTGGCTACACGACCATGCAAAAAATGTCTAAAAATATTGATTGGTTTATCGGTGCTATTGATATAGTTTTGGGTACATTTTTTTGAGACACCCTGCCCCTCCATGGCTGTTCGATGGGATTTGCTACGCTTTGGCATTGCCGTTGTTCTGGTTTACATGTTTAATTGAGGAGGTATCAGTCAAAATAAATAAAGCTTTCAACTAAGTGAAATGACAAACTCCACAGAGTTCCAAAATATATATTTTTTATTATTATAGTTATTGGAGTACTTTGTGGAAGAATATTTTGACCAAAACCCTATAAGCCAACTTGGTATCTTAGTAACCAGGAATAAACGCTGTGATAAACTAACAGAACTTGGAGGTAAGACCATTAATTGTTTACTCTTTCTAAGAGCAAGATTTCCTCTGCACTCTCGAAATTATAGATACTTCTTAAATTTAGCCATTATCCAATCAATATCAAATGCTTTGCATGTTTTACATCTCTCTATGCTATGTTACTAAGATTGTGGCAAAAAAGTGACCGTACATTCTGTAAAAATTGCTTGCTCTACAAGTTACATACACTTGTTTTTATATTTTGATACTTTGATTATGAGTGTAATAATGTTTATCTTCATTCTAAAGATTGTACCCATTCAACATTAAATTTTTTAAATTATTAATTCCAGGTAACCCTAAGAAACATATTGCCAAATTACAGGAACAAGCCAAACAGGAATGTAAGGGTGAAGCATCACTTCAGAATTGTCTCAAGGTGGCAGCACAAACACTTCAACACATGCCGAGTCATACGAGTCGTGAGGTTTTGATCATATATGGAGCACTGAGTACATGTGACCCAAGTGGAATACATGCCACAATTAAGGTAGCTCTCATCATTTGGGTGTATTGTTTCCAAATTACTGAAATGGCTTATGAGATATAATGCAAATTTTCTATCATCCTCCCACACAGGTGTTCAGAGTTAACATACCTACTTCTTCCAGAATTATTCTCTAAACTAAAATCAGTTTAATGAGTTTCCTAGCATTGAAGCTACCAGTTAACCTTGCATCCAGTTGAAAATCAAATGAAGTTAGAAGTCTTTGAAATGCCTAAAAAGGACAATTTAGTTTTAATAGAATATGATTTCACCTTGATATAACAAAGTACTTGTACCAGTATATAAATTTGTGTGCATGATCCAATTACTTTGTATTTCTGTTGCAGCATATAAAAGAACTCAACATCCGATGTTCTGTCATAGGACTATCTGCCGAACTCAGGATATGTAAAACTATATGCCAAGAAACAAATGGACAATACAATGTAATACTTGACGAAAGCCATTTTAAAGATCTGTTACATCAATTCGTCACACCGCCACCAGCTACTGTGAAGACTGATTCATCACTGATCCGTATGGGTTTTCCTTCTCACCAGGGCTCAGGAAGTGAAGGTGGTGTAACCAAGCCTTCTATGTGCATGTGGTAAGTTCCAGTGCATGTGGTAAGTTCCAGTGCATGTGGTAAGTTCCAGTGCATGTGGTAAGTTCCAGTGCATGTGGTAAGTTCCAGTGCATGTGGTAAGTTCCAGTGCATGTGGTAAGTTCCAGTGCATGTGGTAAGTTCCAGTGCATGTGGTAAGTTCCAGTGCATGTGGTAAGTTCCAGTGCATGTGGTAAGTTCCAGTGCATGTGGTAAGTTCCAGTGCATGTGGTAAGTTCCAGTGCATGTGGTAAGTTCCAGTGCATGTGGTAAGTTCCAGTGCATGTGGTAAGTTCCAGTGCATGTGGTAAGTTCCAGTGCATGTTGTAAGTACCAGCACACTAGTGTTGGTCATGTTTTGAAAGAGAAATATGTACATGGGTAGAAACAGTTGAATTCATGAGTCTAGTAAATCCTTTGAATGACATAATGTTGACACTTAATTCTCGAAATCATTGTTCCCTCTTCAAAAGAGAAAACGCGAAAATCTTTCCTTATAAGGGCAAAATATTTCCCATGATGCAGTTCGCGGAGGAACAAATTTATACTTCCTTATTTTCCCTCATAGGTTTAACATGGGGATTTTCACACCTTTTTTTCAAACGATATATTCGTTCATATTCCCGTATGAGAGTACAGAAAAAATTATTAGAAACGATTGATCTCTCATTAATCTTAATATTACAGCTATTTTTTTCATTGTATTAATTCATAGCGTGGTGAAAACGATGATTGAAAAGTGAGAAAATATTCCGGAAGAGAAAGTCACGTGATCAGTAGACTAGTCGCCATATTGGAAAAAAACAATTCCATTCGACTTTCAATACTTTCATCCCAATCTTACCGCACTACAAACTGCGACATCAAAGAAGACGCGTCGCTATTATCTAGGTCAATCTGTTCAGTGGTCCGAAAGCACTCGTTTCCGAATTTTGTTGTTCATTGTACAATCTTTTATTGATTAAACTCGGTATACTGACTATTAAAGCAATGACAAAGAAGAATACTTACGATGGTGTCATTGTTTTATTTAGCGTGCGGGTGTAAAAACAAAATTGAGTAATTAGTTTGATTTAGAACTTTCGTGTCACGCAAATAGCTACGCGAAATGCATAGTGGGAAAATATTGACCAATCAAATTTTGTCCTTTTGAGTGCTTTTCAGTGCATATTTGCGAACGTTCTGATTCAAAGACCGAACCGCGAAAAGGAGAATTACATGTTCTTATTATTAGAAATGTCAAAAAATGCTGTTCCACACATCTGAAATTGCCAAAATTTAGGTACAATTTTTCAGTATCTCATTGAATGGTATACACCATAGTGTACATAACTCAAAAACCTGCATTTGCTTATGGTATATTTTCTAACGTCACATGTGTAAAGTTTGGTAATTTTTTTTAATTTGTTTTGCAGCCACTTGGACAGTAAATCAAAAGAAGGCTTCAGTGTAGAAGGGTATTTCTGCCCAAATTGTAAAAGCAAATATTGTGAACTACCAGTAGAGTGTAAAGCATGTGGTAGGTGTTCTTTTTTCAAGAATTTTCTGCACCGTCAATGAGTTCATTTTAATCTTAATAATAATGTAAATTGACCCTTAGGTTTTGTAAGGTTGAATCACTTTTTAGAAGGATTTGATCGACATTAATTTGCAAAAAGCATCTAAATCATGATATTTTGTTTACATTAGGTTTGATTTTGGTATCTGCCCCACATATAGCTAGGTCATACCATCATCTCTTCCCCTTGGATGCTTACACAGAGATTCCAATACAGCAACTACCTCCAGAACAAAGGTGAGAAATATTATTGGTATAGTGAAACTCAAAAGTGCAGACAATAACGCCATCTTTCAATAGCTAGAACATTAATAATTTACATGTATTCATGTGTTTCCTATCTGATGAAAAAAGTAAACAGAAATCATGATGTAAATTGCAATGTTAAACAGACTATTCAGTGTTCTGTATATTTTTAAATTAACAGCATTGATTCTCTTGCCTAAAAATGTCTTACAATTTTACTCCATGTATGAGCTGTTTGTGTTATATTACCTATGTTAATTATTGTATATTTTAGAATTTGCAGTGCCTGTTGTGTTGCCATCAAAGATCAAACTGTAAGTATTCTCCTCACTGATGATAATAACTTAGGATTTCTCTGTTTTTATATCACCACTTCACTGTCTTTTGTAACCAGCATATAATGTGGTGTCAAGTTGTTACACTTTTACAATTTCTGATACTTGCTACCAGACTCCAGTACTTAATACTGTGCAATCAAATGGTCATGGTTTGTTCATTATTTTTGTGTAAGTGGTATCATATTGTTATGGTCTCCAATTTTTGTGATCACATTCATTGGTTGGCGTCTGGAGTTCGGTGTCTGTAACAAATGGCAGGTGGTGACATTTTGCATGTCTGGCATGTTAATGCCTTGTTATTTGTTTGTAACATTTACACTTGTAAAGTTCTGTCATTACCATAGAAATGGGGTCTAGAATAACATTTTTATGTCACCTCCACATGTCGGCATCTGGCGTCCGTAGCAAGTGGCAGGTGGTGGCATTTCACATTGTTTTTATTTACACCATTCATTCATCTGTTCAACAAATCCAGGCATTAGATTTTAGACAAGAGAATAATCCTGTATTTTTGGTGAAAATGTATAAATTGTTCATATGGCCTTTAAGTGTTTGCAACTACGCCATCTTTCTAACTTGAAAAACCTTTTTATTAATCACATTACTCCCATTCTTTCCAGATACAGCAGTGTCAAAGCTGTAAGCATCTTTACTGTACTGACTGTGATATACTCATACATGAGACCCTCCACACCTGTCCCGGCTGTGCTGGAACCACCAGTTCTACAACTACTCGCCCTACAAATGGACATGATGCATCTGTTTCCTGACACCAGCTTGTGTGTATATTTCCAGAAAGTTTGTGCAGGATTCTCCACCTTATAGTTTCAAGTTGCAAGAGGAAATCAGGGCTTGTGTATGAGAAGTTGGACTAAGTTCAAAGTTGGAACAAATTTATTTTGGAATTGTCTCATTGAAGTTTTAATAGACCACATTTTATCAGATTGCTTGAATTCTAGGGATTTGTCACAACTAAATGGGTGTAACTTTAAGTTGTGCCATTTATAAAGTTCATCTCTTCTGTTGTCTATCTTTATAATAAGATAAGGGACTTCTAGTGTTAATGCGGACATATGGCTCATAGTAGATGTTAGTGTGTCATGATTGTCACTACTGTTATGTCACTACTGAGGTATATCACCGCTGGAGTGTCACTACTAATATGTCACTACTGGTAGGCCACTGCTGAGGTAAATCAATGTTAAGGTATGTCATAACTGGAATGTCACTACTGAAGTATGTCACTACTTCTGGTATGTCACTATTGGTGTGTCACTGCTGAGATATATTACTACTGAGGTATGTCCCTACTGACATGTCACTACTGTTGAGTTACTGCTGAGATATGTCACAACTGGAATGTCACTACAGAAGTATGTCACTACCACTGTTGGTCTGGCACTGCTGAGGTTTAGCAATGTTGAGGTTACTTCTTCAATTTGGGTTAATACTAATATGAATATTATTTCCATCATGTGAAATGCGGGTAACATCAAAAAGATAAAAATTTCAATAAGAATAAAATCATAAAGAATAAAACAAATAGTATTTGTTGTTAAATGATAATGCTGAAATGATATCACTTTTTTATTTAAGTCACCATAACTCCAGGTGAAAATAGTAGATTGTATTCCCAAAGATCTAGAAATTAGAATATAAACGTTCAGTTGTCCTACAAGAGTAAAAACACAGATCCCGTCCAGATCTTTCACCTTTGAGGAGATATCAAAATATTTATACATATTATATATACCACATAATTCTTGCCAGCAGACACCACAGTTAAAACAAGTAGAGGTCTGTATTTGAAAGTGAATATTGATCACATCTTATATAAATACATGTTGCTGCACTGCATAAGATCAGGGTGGCCCTGAAAATGAATAAATGTAATTGAGATGTTTTCCATTATGGGGAGAATCATTAGATCTTGAGGAGGCTAACCTATTTACCATGAGTATATTGTTTGTTTTTAAAGAGTTAGCGTGGTAAGTTATTGTAGTATCACAATAACTTTCCACACGGCTTTAAGAAGGAACTATACTCTGTACTTTAAGTGATCAATATGAGGTCTCTGATAGGACCACCTACACTTTTACACCGGCATTTGGTTTCCAAAATGTTGAATTTATCCAGTTTTTGAAGACATAAATTTAAACTGTTTCTGATACATCTGCAGAAAGTTTAAAATAAAAAAACATATTTTGAGACAATGCATTTTAAAATTCGTTCTCAATGAAACCAATGATTCAATAGGCATTCTACTTGGCGACCTATATACACCTCATATACACCCCATTCAGACAGAGTTCGGATCATACGAATGTAATTTTAGGCGATCTGTCTGCATTGGGTGATATACCGTTTTATCAGGGAAAATGGAAACATTGCTAAATCAGTAACAAGGGCTCTTTGAAGCTCCTTTACTTTTCTCCTTTACTAAGAGTTTCTAGCCCAATAAAATATATTCATCTTTTGTCCAGACGTACGATGCTACATGCATTTTTTAAAAGTTAATCACTTAAAAATGTAAAGCACACAAATGGAGAGCAAATACTATCATCGTTAACAGGTTATTGTCATGTATATCGGAAATGAATAGGGTCTTCAAACAAAATTAAAATCAAAACTTATCTTATTAACAAAAACCTAAAATAACCAACCATACACCAACAGATGTTTTTTCGTATTAATACAATTATTCGGAAAATAATATTATTATTAAATGTGGATTGTTTGATGATCTGAAATTCTTACGTTTGTTGTTAAAATGGCGGGAAATTCAAGTATTCGAAAAACAATTGTTTTTAGAACGTATTTGAAATAACTTTCTAACTCATAGGACATATTACTTGACAGAAAGAAATATATTTACAAGTATTTACATTACTCAATGTGAGAATGGATATTATAAATAGTTAAAATAAAGAAATTAAAGGAGGCCATATTGCTTTACATATTTGCTTACAAAGAATATGTCTCACCTTTTTGAAGGTTCTGAATAAGATCTTATGGTTATTCCCTTAAAGTCATACTTCTTTAACCCAATCATAAATTCACTCCCATTAGACTGATAACTGCTATTATCAGCTCTATACTAAACTGTATAATTAAAATGGTATTAAAATATATGAGCTGTAAATGTAATTGATTTGCCGTATTAGTCTTATCGAGCTATACAAACGAAAAACGTTCATATATAGTATATAAACAGTTTAATGGGATTGAAACTACTATATTATGATAGAATTTTGTAATTTTGATCAGTAACGTGATATTTGGTATTTAGCAATAAGAAATGTGCTCGGTGTTTTGATTTAGGTTAATCAAGTGAGCTGATACCAGCAGCAAGCGAGTAATATCCTCTCAATTCTTACACACCCCCTCATGGAGAATTCTGGGAGACCATATATGCTCATGAACCTTCAGCAGCGTTTCCTCCTGTACCTCAGCTAAATATACATTTTCCGCTGTGCATTCGTAGATGATAGATCTACAAGCGCAAAACAACTTTAAAATTGCTCTCTTGAGATCTTTGCAAGTTTGCCGCAAGGATAAGCATATGAGTCGCTCACCCTTTTCAATAGTTTGCTTTTGATTCTTAAAAGATAGCTTCAACTACTATGTACTTGGTTATTGACCCTCGGGATCGCGACGTTTTGAAGTTGGCCTCGAGACTCCATACCCACAGCTTACCTTTTAGCAATTGCTAAATTGCAATTGCTTGAATATATATTTATATGATTTCATTGAAATTTGAAATATTTTCTCTACTCAAAACTATCAAATGTAACACAATGATAACTTGGTATTATAATTTATATGATTTATGTGATGATGCTCCTATTGCTCCAAACACTTTCTTATGTTTTTGTAATTGTATCTAATTTAAAATCTATTGAACTTGTCACTGTGATACAACCGTCTCAGCAGCCCAGAGGATAACAATGGATAACACCAGAGGATAACCGATGCCTGAGTAAACTCTTCCGTATTTCAGTGATCTATGTTTAACATATAAGTACTTTAAGTTACCTATTTCTGACCAGTGAACTTACATCAAAAGTGATATACAATCGTCTTCCATTGGTCACTATAGTTATAAGTTACCTGAAAACCTGGAAGGTATAGCCAGCTAAAATTGTACCAGAATCTCTATTGCAACCTGGTATAGTTTAAGGCTTTATTCCTATCCACGATCTAAAAATAATGCTCCATAACCTGGCCCCAAATCTGTATAAGATGATACGTTATGACTCTCTGGGAACAGCCTTCACTTCGATTATTGCAACCCGGAGTCTGCTTCACTTTTCATATCCAGGATATTTTTCTTCTGTAATCCACAACTATGGTGAGTAAATATTTTTTATTTTGATGTAATATTAACTTGAACACTACTGTTGCTTTTTATTTACCACATATGAAGGCTTGGGTATGTGCTATAATAAAAATTAGATTTTAGTATCGTGATTGTCATTTATGTAAAAATAGGGAAAAGGGGAAAAATTATTTGACTATATGGACGAAAATCCAACTAACTAGTAAAACGTGTCCAACGTAACACTGAAATAATGATTGCTTATTATAAAGATCAGCAATGCTACTCTGCAATTTATTTATTATCGGGGTGTGGTTTGGTTTTTTCAGATGGAATTAGTAGGAGCCACGTAATTAACCCTGTAATTAGTGTATTCATCTATAATAAGATCGATCATGGTTGATTTACGTGTAAATATTTAAGGTTATTTTGTTTATTTCCGTGTAGAAACAACAAGGTTAAAGTTGATACTGTCATTTACTTTCCGTCGTCAGTAAACTTTACGCTATTGACTATGCAATGGACAACAACTCGAAACCGTCTCAATTTCGTGAATCGAATCGATTTACAGTTGGGCGGCGCTTTGAAAGAAAATGTCTTAGCGTCAGTCCATATTCTGATGGTTATCCCATACCTTTTGCAACGAACCGATCGGAGAGATATTGTCATGTTAATCATGACGGACTAATCCCAGGTATATATTTTGCCAAGGAATAATGTCAATGATGCATGAATTTTTGAATTGATATTGAACTGCAAAAAATCAATGCCCAGTATAAGTTCAACAGCGGTAAGCCTATCACTGATAGTTCTATTTGTCGAAAAAGTATGTTTACCACTGCAAATACAATTGGCTTAGCGGTTTTGGAGGCCGCATCAATTCTTTCCAACTGGACAGTACCTGTCGCCCATTTTGATTACAGAAACATTGTGGTGTCTCCGGCACGGCCTAACTAATGCCGCTTTCGCAAGAAAACCAAAGAACTAAATTAGTTGCTTTCAAAGTGGTTTAAGAGCATTTGAAATCGGTTACAAAAATAGTGCTAGCCTTATCGCTAATAGTTCTGTTTGCCGAAATTAACATCACCGCGAAAGCGATTCAAGGACTAGTAGTTTCCATATCAATATCTCAATACTTATATTGAGTAACTTGTCGCGATGTTTACCTAAATGGCCTGTCTCCAATTCAATACTTCGATTAAGAGATGTGGTCATCTGCTACGACAAAATGCCGCGTTCACACAAGAGATGCTCTTGAAATTGATACTATTAGTTGCTTTTTCAATGTTGTAAAAGAGAGTTTTCGGCAAATAAAGTTAACTATTAGGACGAGGAATTCGATAATAATCCAATTGAGAGGCCGAATGATACTTATAAAGAGACATACACTGTGAGAAAACAAAAAATAGTACTTTTTGGAAAATATGAAAATCCTTGACTTTACTTTGAATAACTTCGAAAGTTCAGAAAATATGCGAAAGGACTCCGACTCCTGATCAATTTTTACTTAGAACCATCGTATCTCAAATATAAAAAAGAAGCTTTAAATTTGATGATTCATGTTATTTGATTAAGTTTAATTTTGTAAAAAAGAAGCTCGACTAGTTGTTAGGACCGCTTATATTCACCTGGATGTACCTGACTGGTGGCCAATCATTTCAGAAAATCTGACATTGCCGGTGAAGTAAACCATGGCGTTTCCAGGTTACTGTGCCCCATTCCCTTCATGAGAATTCTTAATTGCTGTTACAGTTATATTTCTGTAGCCTACGTATGTAATAAAGTAACTCGAGCTATGTTATTTCAAAGTCGATGAACATCTTCAGCACTAGCGTCTAGTGTTGATGAATGATGCCCAGACTCACTAAAATATGATGAGCCCTCGGAAGTTGTTTACAGAGAGCCGAGATACTAATTTACAAATAGAACTCAATTTCGAAACTGACCTTTTCTTCGTTATCGGGTTATTGAGCTTATGTAGCCGTGTTATTTTTGTCTTTCCTGTGGTGTGTATATATACGTCTTCGTAAATCTAGTGGTTTATATGGTATTATGATCACTGTACTATATTTTCCGATTACCCTTCCAACCACAAACCCCACAGCCTCAATACCCCCACCCCCCAAAAAATCTCATGTTTGAAATACCTTTATACCCTTCTAATTTATGAGTCCCCCTTTACTGATCCTTAGGAGAGGGATTCCAATAGAATGTACAGGCTATGGAACCCAAATTATCTATAGATGCGTTTTTAAACCTTTACGTAAGATTTGGAATTTGACAGTTGCGCTCTGGACAATGCCTCATTCAAAGGAAATTCCCTTACGATACCAACCGTTGTTCATGCATCATACCCGGGGCATCATATAACAACTGATGATCCATTTCAGGCTGATGCTGATCAATTATGGGCCAAGCTGAGTCCTGCCAAGGACTGCAAGTCTCTTATGAAGAAGCACGTCACTCAGGCTGTGTGGGACAAATATAAGAACACAAAGACAAAATTGAACGGAACACTTGCTGACTGTATAAGATCGGGTGAGTATTAAACAGAGTTATGGGTTTTGTTATACCTTTATCCGTTGTGGATTTCACAGTCTCTTCTATGTCTTGAAGAGAGCATATCTCTCACAAGCAGAAGATAAAGAAAGAGGGAATCTGATGAATGGTCTTTATTCATCAAGTAGGCCTAGTCAGAGGATGGAACAAGGGCTTGTGGCTAGACTATCCATCGAGATTCTATTTGCCAAACGTTTATACTTTGGAAGTTAAAGCTGAGTATATAAATTATCTTCTGGTATCTTGTCTTGTATTTTAGTCAACAATGAACGAATCTTGCGTAGATGTGAATTTTTAAAAATAGTTTTTTCGTGTAATTTTGATGGTCAAAATGTAATTTCAGGAGTGGAGAACCTTGACTCTGGAACTGGTATTTACGCCTGTGACCCTGAGGCCTACGATGTATTCCAGGACGCCTTCGACCCCATCATCGCTGACTACCACAAGAGTGAAGTGAAGCACCCCCCTGCAGGGCAGTTCGGTGATATGGATAACCTTGGATTTGGTGACGTTGATCCAGGAAACAAGTATGTCGTCTCCACCAGAGTCCGTGTAGGAAGATCATGTAGCGGCTACGCCTTTCCACCAACCATCAAAACAGCGGTAAGATACAAATACTCTTACAACATAAAGTCCCTGGATCCCCAATGGAGGAAGTGTGTAAAATGGGGTACAAAGGAATTGATGCGAGACTTAGTTCAATACAATGAAATCGTGTAATTTACGACTTATACGTTTACATGTTCACTCGTGCTATGATTTACTTTAGGATCGTGCTGAGATGGAAGGAAAGGTTGTTGAGGCATTCAAGACATTCACCGGTGAACACAAAGGAACATATTTCCCCTTGACCGGCATGACTCCTGCGGTTCAGAAACAGCTTACCGAAGATCATTTCCTCTTCAACGACCACGATAGGTAAGTGCTCGTTTGTTGTTTAATTTTAATTTTTGTTTGTTTGCAGGAAAATACATATTTGACATGGTGGCATCCAATGTCAAAGTATTTTGATATATCTCAAGGCTCGGTCTTAGGGTCCGACTCTCCGAGAAAATATTAAAGATTACGATTGGTGTATTCCTTTTGAGTGACGTTGATGTATAACTAGGAAATGGCAATATGTTAAGATAATTGGATTTTGCCATTCTGAATTATCAGAGTCCTTCTTTATCTAAAGCTTGTGAGAGTACTATAAAAGGAAAGTAGAACCCAGAGGCTGGTAGTAATAAGTTTTTGCAAATGGTACGGATCAATATTGTATATAGTTGATTCTGTGTTGTTTAGATTCTTGAGAGCTGCTGGTGGTTACCGCGACTGGCCAGCATCCAGGGGTATCTTCCATAACGCCGACAAGACCTTCTTGGTATGGTGTAACGAGGAGGACCACATTAGAATCATCTCCATGCAGATGGGAGGCAATCTTGGACAGGTCTACAAGAGGCTCATTGCTGTAAGTACCAATGATCGTAAATCTACGGCTGCTCAGCCTCATATAAAATAAAATTATCTTTGAAACCGATAAAATTGCATTTAACACGTACAGAAATTCATTTGTGAGATAAAAACGTATTAATATCATCAGTTGCTAGAATTCTACTTGTGCCTAATCATTTTACAGGGCATCAAGCACTTGGAGAGCAAAGTACCATTTGCCAAGAACAACCGTTTGGGTTACCTTACTTTCTGCCCAACCAACTTGGGAACCACCCTCCGTGCCAGTGTCCACGTCAGGATCCCCCTTCTGGCCGCACAGCCTGATTTCCAAGACTTCTGTGCCAAACTACATCTCCAGCCCCGAGGTAATTTGTCATGGAACAGATTCGGAGTAGCGTCAGCGTTGCTTTGGCAAAAGACTAGCGTTACGTTGACCAAGGGAAAAACATTCAACAAATGGTTGCTATTTACATATTTGTTTGAATTGGAAAACGTATGAGATTACCGGGCCTTTATAAAAAATGTTTGCAAGAACTTCCGATGGGTTGACAAATGTTTAAGATCACTCGGGTTGGGTTGACAATGGGTTGATTTCAGATGGGTTGACAAATTGTTGAGATCATTTGGGTTGGGTTAGAAAAGATCAATTGGATTAATATACTTTTATACGGGTTGACAAATGACTGAGATCACTTGGGTTTGAGTGGACAAATACTTGAGGTAACTTCGGTTGAATTAAGATCACTTGGACTGGATTGGCAAATGGTTGAGATAAATTAACTTGATAAATGGTTGAGATCACTTGGGTTGGGCTACAAATTGGAAGAGATAACTTTATGTTGACAAATGGTTGAAATAACCTTGAACTAAGGATGCATGAACCACCTTTGCATGAAGCGTCCTCTATTGCGTTAGTAGAACAGGGAGTAACATTAAAAACACATAACACACGCTTTTGTTTCTAGGTATCCACGGTGAACACACAGAGTCTGTAGGTGGTGTGTACGATGTATCTAACAAACGTCGTCTCGGACTTACCGAGTACCAGGCCGTTAAAGAGATGGCTGATGGTGTCCTTAAAATCATCGAAAGAGAAAAGGAACTCGAGGCCGCAAAGGTTTGATGACTTAAATTATGTCAACATTTAAATTCAAGATAAGATGCCCATAAATTTTCATCCGTTCACTAAGAGATTTATCCCTGAGATAAATAAATAGATATGCTTAATAACATACCGTACTCACTGATTTTTTTTTATTCCAGAAATAAATCCAAATATCTAAAGTAGGACGAGATATTATATGTCGCCTTAGCTGCCCGAGTTACCCATTCATCACTGACGTCTGTGTTTTCACCCCTACCCATCTTGTCGGGGTCTTCTATTGCCTGTTGTCTATGGTGTCTGTAGCGTCATCTATAGTATTCTAATTTCATTCCCAACGTGAATGATAATCTAAACTTATTTGTGCCTGACTGAACACTGCCACATACAGTTGCATTTAATTGATGAAAAGCTTGCTGGCATTCTATAACAGTTTCATAGACATGGAGTCTAGACTCAAGACTTTCAAGAAGGATCAGTTTTACTACTCTGTTTTATTAACAGAGATAAGAAATACGTCCAGTGTAGTGTGTGATATGATTTTCAGAGTGAAATAAAGACTTATTTATGTATTGTAAATGTGATAATAAAATCGCCTTTTTACTTACAATTAAGTATTTAAAAGAATCAATGGCTAGAAGGACCTACACTTCACATTTACAGGCTGACCCCGAATGATTTGATTCACAAACTACGCGATTGCAAATTAACAAGGTGGCGTAAGATCACTTCAGTTAATTTCAGTATGTCTTAACCAGCTAGTTTGACTCTCTCGCCAATCTTGCTTTAAGAAAGACGAAACTTTAAAATCAGCATTTTTGGATTTTGAACAACAGAGAGCAATGTCGCTTACTAACCGGTAACTGCTACTTCACTGTCTGCTCCATAGTTGAATACTTTATCGTTGAGTCACGCCTCGACACAAGAAAAACCAACCATGACTGACAAAATTATTTCAAAAGTGAAGACATATTTTTGGGGTCATCTGTATAATAAGCCTTATGGCCGAATAAAGATAGACATTTATGGGCGAATGATTGTTAGAATACAAAAAATGAGGACACCCAAAAACAATTTGCAATTTAGATGGTAGGTGAAGTGAACTTTGGTATTCAAACTGTTACGTTAGATGTACAGCCTACCCTCTTGTCCGCTCCATCTTGTCCTGTAAAAATTCCGCGAATTCATTTCGGTCTGATCACTTGTTATTTAATGTTTTTGAAAGTACATCTTATTGCATTTCCCTTTTATTTTCTCACTTCCTCATAATTGAACGACGTTACAACTTAATGGCGAAGGTGGTTTCTTTGGGGAAATTTCTTTGCTATTTAGTTCTTTATTTTTCTCTCTTTGTGCACCGACTGTTGGATCTACATCAATGCCGTTTTGAAGATGAGAAGTAGCTGATTTACTTTTGTCAATATTTGATTTCTTGGTTGTGTCACTCGACTTTTGATTCGTTTTCCTCAATTTTTTCCTTGCTTCGTATCTCAATTTTCCCTCTTCGAAAAGTTGTTGTTCCTCTAAAGTTTGAAGCTGAAAAAATGAAAATATCATTTCAATTGAAAACTATATGTTTGCATTCCTTATCTTACCTATTTTGTTAAATACCAACTTTAAAGATGATCTTTTTACCTTATTTGGCAAAATGGTTATATTAAAGATTACTTCCAACATTTTGCAGTCGTTATCATTTGCGACAGCTTAACTTTATACCTTCAGTTGAGGTGTGGGTAGTGGCTTTCCCTGCTTATCAAGAGACACAAATGTGAAGAAGGCATCACATGCTCGGTCTTTGTTAATCTGTCCTCCCGTTATGCTTTCTACTGTCACCTGAACCTCTATTTCCATGCTTTTGTTGCTAGTGAACAATGGCTGGCCAACGATAGTAACAACCTGACCTGCAAAATGATGTGTTGATAAAACTCAACATACAAAAATGAGGCAGTCTAACGTTTCCTATGAACTGAAGGTCCAGCGAGTACTACGATGTTTTACCATGCCCCATAGTTTATTAAGCACAGCATACTTTTCGGACTTTTTGAGACCTTACCTGTTATTGTGTGGGATTTTGGTCCGTATTCGTAGGTGCATGATAGGACATCCACAAAACCATTGCGATTGTGCGTATTTGAGGTTTCGTAATATGTTTTATTTAAATAGCAAACAAACAGCATACAAAATACTACAAATACCCAAAAAGATGAGAGATTTTTTTATTTGACAAAAGTTTAAACAACGCTCAATGTCCAGTGGCTGGTTCATGTTCCTACCTAGTCGCATCTTCTTGTGAAAGTTAATTGCATCTAAACTGGCTGTGACGGCGGGTGTTCTGCAGTGTCGCTTGGCTACTAAGCCCGCACATTCATCCATCAACTTCATGATGACACCACCTCGGGCAAAGCCTTGTAGGGTACAGTCAGAGACACCTATCATGTGGATCAGCACAGATCGAGCAAATCTTGGACTGTATGGCTCTGGTTCTAAAACATAAACCATGCTGACTCTATTTTCTGTTGTTTGATGCTGGTTGTTAAATAATGTTTTAGAAGTTATCAAATTTTGAGTTTGCGATCGCCCTTTCATAGTTATTGCAAGGTCTGACATCTCCTCGCCCCCTACCCCTCGCATTCTCAGTCGACCAACACTCCCCATCAAAAATATGAAAACTAAAGCCTATCTTAAGCCTAATTTTCCAACCTATTGTAAATGAGGAACCTATCCTAATCCAAACCTATAACAAATATTACTAAATATAACATTTATGACACTAACCTCTTTGTTCATTATTATTGTACGGGTCATCATTCATGTTGGTCAGTGTTTTGTTTCGTCTAAGGGCTCCAGTCCGTGCCTTCTTCTGTTCATTGTACCTCTTTAGTCCCGCCTCTTTTTCAGCTTCACTTGAATAGTGCATTTCTGGGACGGTCATTATTTTGGTTGGATCATTTATTGAACATGGTACAAACCAAAGCACTGCTCGGTTGGTCAGTTTTCGAACACCTATTAACAAAATTCAGAAATAATCTGAAGGCATCTCAACAGTATTTTCTTATTCAGAAGAATTTTTTGAATAAATTGATAGATTTGTCAAGCTAATTCAGTATATACTCTGGGGTATCTGGTATTTTCTTATTTCTAATTTTATCAAACCATGATGAAAGTATCTCTTTCTCTACCTTTTAGAATATCTTCTCCCCATACAGAGACGCTACATTCTAAAGAATGTGACGATGCGTATGTGATTTCAGCGACAATCTGGACGACATTGCCAATATGAACTGGGTTAATGAAATCCGTGCGTTCGACCCTCGCAAGTGTCGTAACCGATGGTTCAAAATCAAAGGAATCCTGGAATCAGAAACGTGGTTTGAAATACAACAAGAAATGAAACGCAGACAGAAAATGGCGCTGTATTTTTGGCTCATCTGAATCAATGGACTGGATTGGATTGGAAGAGTTTGCTCTGAATTTGCAACACACTTCGTCAAAAGTTAAATGCCAAAAACGCAAATTGGCGATGGTTTTAAACAAAGTAAATAATTTTGTTCTGGATGAGTACCTTATCGGGTACATCGTTGCAGAATCGTGTGGTTATTATTGCCCCTGCTTCCTCTATCATCTTAAGAAGTGTCCCTCCGTGAACATTGCCCGCCGTGTTCGCATCATCGGGTAGCATCAACCTAAAAAGCAAGGACTTTGTACATCTCCAATATTTTTAATAGCAATTATTGGCATAAAATGTCATCGATTGGATTATACGTATTTCTGAATATTGGGAGGTTTGCTTAAACCCTTTCTTATATGTGTTATCCATTGTGGCATCCACACAATGTGGAATGGCAATTCATGGAAGGTGTTGCTTTCCAAAATTTGCATTATTATAGATTTTACAAATATGAACTCATCAGCTTATCAGTTTTATTGGTTTCAATAGAATCTAGAATTATTGACTTTGGATGAATTGTTGGTTATACGTATAACTGCATGCAGTTATTTGAAATAGAGTGTTCGGATTGGCTGGAATTGGACACACCTTGCCTAGCTACATGTGTGAATATTTTGTTGATCACTTGTTTTTCACTGCAAGTTCCCACAAGGTCACATTTAAAACTATTGAATCCCAATAGAATGAAAATCTTAAATCTTACCTGGCTAGCTGTGTATCCATTTTAATCTTATTTGTATTTTGATTTTAACTGCGAGAAAAGTATCTATTTGAAAGGTATAATTTAATAAGTTACTTTTTTACTTTCTTGAGATAAGATGTCCAAAGATTCAAACTCACTGATATATGCAAAGAAATTTCATGATCAGTTTAAGTAGTTATTACTCTTATTTATAGGTTTACAATTTATATTTATGGCCTATGGATGATAACTGGACACAACAACGAGTCGATGGGATACGATAACGTACGGCCCTTAGAAAACATGGGTAAAGCTGCCTTGTGAAAATGAATCGCTTGATCGGAATTTATTGCCGTGTATTAGACCGTACACCTGGTAGCTTCATTGCATGTAACATGTGAGATAATGATACAAGTGCATGTTGGGTTTCATCCCTATGGGTACGTGTAAGTTGAAGGCCTAAATTCGTCATTTTATATCCGACCTTTATACATCTGGTTACTTATAGACGTCATACTGCATATGATAATGCAGCTGCATTGATGACAATGCACATGCTGCGTGGAATCATCACACAAAACTTTAGTAGACCATTAAACATGGCCATGATGTTTGTCAATACAAATGGTACACTACAGTAGTTATTCTGCACATAAAAAAGAAATGAAAAAATGTTTTGTATTAATACCGACTATAAACACATTCAAATACACTCAGTTTACATGTACTTTTTTTAATTTAATTTGTCAACATACGCAAACGTGTGACCATGTTGGGCCTTACAGAGTTGTAGAAACTCTTGTCAATGTACATGGCGTTAACACGTTAATGCTATAGTTGATGCTCCCCCAAAGTTATACCCTCCTTGGCTAAGTCCTATTTAGCAGAATTCAGCTGGAGATTTTGTTCACCCTCCAAACCCTCAGTATCTCATTTATCACAGTTTTAAACTATTCATATTTGACACTTATCTATTTATAGTATATGGGACACAAAATACATATAAATTAACATTTATTATCAAGGTTATCAAGTTATCAACGTAGATTCATGAATATATCAAATAAATAAATTACCTTGCAATCTGAACCTTCTCCATGCCAATGTCATGTATGTGCGTATGTCTGGTCTTAAAATAAACATGGACTAGATTGAACTATTTATATTATTGTCAAACAAAATCTTTGAAAGAGGCTCCGTTAAGATTTTATGTCCTGTTGCAGAGCTCCTATTTTCAATACTTTCAAACAGTATTATAGACAGCCCTGGATTTGTTTTTACCAATTTGGCAAAATACCGTGATATGTTATTAAATTATAGCGGAGTTAAACAGGACTGGTGTCCTTTTTTTTGTTTATAAACAAGACCTCAAACAAAAATCCAATTTATAAATTCACTGAGATATATACTCTATAGGTAACTACACACATTACTAAGCGCATTACTACAAGGAAAGCAGAATTAAATATGATCATTTATTGATCTATTTGGTCTATAATCAGGTCAATAGATTTGAGTATATGAAAGTTATTGAGGGTGTAAGCAAGGGTCTATATTTATTTATTTATTTTGATTTTGATATATAATTATTTTGTTTCAAAGAAATCTATCAAAAGAATTCTCTTTTAATTTTTAGAAATGTTTTAAAATTTATACCTGGTATTGTTTAGACACATCGAGAGAGTGAGATTTTTTGAAATAAATATTTCATAACCGATGTATTTTTATCTAAATATATATGATCAAGATACTTCACTTTTTGTAACATGGGGTCTATGGGAAATCAACCCGAACTAGAAATCACATTTCCTCAAAAAAATTAAATTTTCAAAGTTGATAAACAATTTTCGAAACCATATTTCTAGATGTGCTTTTACATGTAGATTTCAAATATGACACCACTTTGACTGAATTTTGAATATTTAATGACGTAAAACAAGATTATTTCTACTCGGATCTAGTATATTGTTTTTGATTTTCACCACTAAAATAATGCAATGATAACCATTAGGAAGAAAAAATCTGATGATAACGAACCATTTGGAAGTACATAGACATGTGATGTGACCAGTAGTATTCATAGAAAAGGTAAAAAACTAAAAATATAGTTTATTTTTATCTTATGATTACAACATTAGACAACCTATATGTATATATTTCTGACTTTATAAGGTTCTTTAATGATATATATTCTATGTAAAATGAATAGTTATATTGAATTATGAATTTTATTCCGAGTGAAAATATGATATTGGCCAAGTAAAATGTCATAATCACCGATTGCGATGGCCTTGCATGATTAACATGGTTGGCAAACCTACACAAAGATTACATATTATGTTTATTTACACCTGTGTAGTACATAATGTGCGTCAAGATGTGGATAACAAGCGTTGAGATGTTAAAACATATATCGTCCCTAAAGGACAAAGGAGTGAATTAGTTATTTAAATATTTCTCATTGTTGTAAATGATATCAGTCCCCGCTGAATATGTTTTCCCATGAAATAACACCTGAAATGAGAGTCGGGAAAATCCAAATCTACAAATCATCCTAAACATGGAATTACAGTAAGTCCATGTCTTAAAGTTAAAGTTGTTATTGTATCATCCTTTGAAGTCAAAAATTGGAAAGTGCCACAATTGGTATTGTTTTTCAAGTTTGTATGTTATAGGGTGATCTCAAGAAGATTGGTCAAGTATTATATTGAAATGGCAGCATCTTTGGCGTTACTTCTGGATCACTCTGTATTTTACAATGCCTAAATTGATAATCTTGATTCAATTTCAGACTTAGTCTTGCATCATGACTCACAGCACTTACATACACACCTTCTTGTCTGCATATGGGAATAGGTAATGGAGGGGTAGAGGTCTATGTAAAGAAGACTATGTTGGCCTTTAAAAACAAAAAAGTTTGACGTTAACCAAATTCCGCCAAAGTATACATTCTCGTCTGTCTTTCTGACTTACAATTTCTTTTTTCATGTTTTTCAAATTCAAAAATTTGATTCACATGAGAACATTCTAATTATGTTAATCACAATCATTTAAAATACCGGAACAAAATAATATTTAAGGGAATCTGATGTTTATATGTATAAATTATATGCACTTTATTCAACATTATAGTTCAGTATGACTTGAGTTCACTGTTACATGATATGTTTAAAATAACAATAATATACAATTTAAATGCTTGTAAAGAGTACCGTTCAAGGACGTATTAAAATACCTGTACGATCATATAGATATTAGTATGCATTGTAAATACACATTTCAATTCACCAGAGTATGATAAATAAATAATAATGATTACATATAAGATGGAAAAATAAATTACCATCAATACATATGAATGATATAAAAGAGTCCATGTTAAATGAGTTAAAATGTTCATTAGATCAATAAAATATTACTACATTAATGTATATGATAAATACATTCGTGGAATATCTGACTACAAACTATAATTTTATTGTATATATTATACATATATGGCCATATTATATTATATCAAAGGAGTCTCAGCTAATGCTACAGTTTTGCACCAAGTCCTGTGTTGCTCCCCACCATTTCAGCAAATTGTCTAGGAAAATATACAGTAAGAATAGGGGGGTATACAAGACTATATATTTGGCTATGTTCATGACCGACTAGTTGGTGGTCCATAGTGATACACTACAATGGTGATAAAGTATCACAAGAAGCTTTCAAATGTACAGGGTGTCCCAGAAGTAATGATAATTATGCTCTAAAAATTTTATTTGATATGGAAACAATATGAAATTCACACAAATTAAAGATCAAGATGTTAGCTTCATTTTACTATATTACATTTATTACTTTACACAAATATATTCAATGTATAGTTGCCATAGCAACATGTACGCGTTCTGCGGAGCAGCTGTGTGTTTTTCATACATTTTTGAAAAACATTTCATGTTCATATGCTTCCCTGCTGTTCACATTACTACTGTAATGCCGCTACTTCATTCCTGATATTCCTTAAGAGCATTGTACATCGTTGATTCACTTATCCACATACTGTCCTTTGCTGGAGACAATTTGTCTGTGCCTTTCCAGCCAGGATTGGAAGACATGATCAAAACCACTGTTGGACATATCCTGCAGAGCCAACTGAACCGAATTCCTAGGTTGTGTTCCTAAGAGTTTTCCTTTTGTGAAACCCTATATGACATCATCATGTGATGTCATAATATCAGATTAAAGTGATAATCCTGTCACAATGAGATAAATTACATAATATTAAACCACTATGACATCATGCAACTGTATACAATTACCATAACAATGATTTAAAAGCTTGAAACATTATCACAGAATAACTGCTTTTCTAAACTAAGTTTGAACATTTATAATACACTGAAACTGCTCCGCAGAACGCGCATACATGTTGCTATGGCAACTATACATCGAATATTTTTGTATAAATTCATAAATGTAATACAGCAAAATGAAGCTTATATCTTAAACTTTAATTTGTATGAATTTCATATTGTTTCCTTGTCAAATAAAAATTTAAGAGCATAATTATCATTACTTCTGGGACACCCTGTATTTTCAAATGCTTTTCACAGTGGTCTCTTGGCAGTTTCTTTAAGATTTCAATGTGGCTGACTTAAATTAATAACTACATTACAAGCATAGAAGAACACATAATGAATGAAACATAGTTTTACACTTTATTGAGCAATGATTTAATGTTTCTAAGATCTCTAAAAAATGTCCTAATCTCATATCTTTTCCTAAATCTATTTAGCTGTTTAAGCAGTGACTTTTTGTGGAAAATGTCAATATGACAAGAAGCACCACTTAAAATTTGACATACTTTGTCATCTTGAAAACAAATGTGAATAACCCTGTGGTCATTTTTACATTACAAAATTCCATAAAATGAGTCTAAAATTGGGTATTTACAAATTATACCAGCATAATATAAAATACATGGACATAATTACTTTCATTTTATCTAACAATGACTGATTCAATACAAATGATTAAAATCATAAATAAAAGCACATAACATTTGGTATATACAAGATAAATCATTTGTGTGAAACTGTGTCCTTATTTTGAAAGAATTTCTTCATTTTTCCAAACCATGGGTTTCAAACACGCCAAATTTTATAACTACGACTGAGCAAATATATAAAACATTTTATGGCAAGCTATATGAGGTACTTAACTAACTAAATATAAAATTATGAAAAATATACAGTACTGCTTTTAGACCTTCTGATTCAGTGACCTTTACTGTTTAAATCAGAATTTTTGTTCATATTGCTTGTTTTCACTGTTTAGTAAGTAGATCAATATCAACAAGTAAGATGTACTTGATAGTCTTGCATCAAGTCCCTGTTTTATCCCCCATAAAGGAAATAGATTAAAGGGAGACCAGACACCGTATGCAAGATTACACAATGAAGTGTGTTACGCAACCTTAAGAACATTCCTATGAGATTTTGAATTTCGAACACATGCACCTACATACATGTTCTCTACTCAAGAGTATTTTTTGACTTCTTCCCTTATTGTCTCTCAAATATGTAAACCTTGTCAATGATAGTGGGAGACTGGAAAGATTTCATGCAAATAGATTTCATTCTCCTAATATATTACAATTTTTATGTTCTAATATAAGCACCATAGAGATTTTTGTTTGTTTAGATGTAGTTTAGATTGTTGAAATGAAATATATTAGTGGCCATACATTTTCATTGTATTGAAATATATTGATGGCCATATACTATCATTGTATTGGAATATATTGGTGATCGTGATCATGATCATACACCCTAATTGTTCTGAAATATAAGTGGTCATACACTCATTGTATTAAAATATATTGGTGGTTATGATCATACACACTCATTGTTTTGAGATATATTGGTGGTCATACACTCATTGTATTGAAATATTTCGCTGGTTATGATCATACACACTCATTGTATTGAGATATATTGGTGGTCATACACTCATTGTATTGAAATATATTGGTGGTTATGATCATACACACTCATTGTTTTGAGATATATTGGTGGTCATACACTCATTGTATTGAAATATATCGCTGGTTATGATCATACACACTCATTGTATTGAGATATATTGGTGGTCATACACTCATTGTATTGAAATATATTGGTGACCATGATCATACACTTTCATTGTGTGGAAATATATTGGTGGTTATGATCATGCGCCTTCGTTGTTTTTAATTAGAAGTCTTGGTGGTCAATGGTCATCCACTTCATTTAAAGATCTGTTGTTTTCTTGGTTGTCATGGTCTGGATTCTCCTGGCATTGCAGTTCTTGCAGAGGATATGGTCATCCAGGGGATAGCAGCCTTTACCATCAGACTCAGAAGATAATATCATACCACAGTCCTGGAAAGATTCAGAAGATAATATCATACCACAGTCCTGTAAAGATTCAGAAGATAATATCATACCACAGTCCTGGAAAGATTCAGAAGATAATATCATACCACAGTCCTGGAAATATTCAGAAGATAATATCATACCACAGTCCTGGAAAGATTCAGAAGATAATATCATACCACAGTCCTGGAAAGATTCAGAAGATAATATCATACCACAGTCCTGGAAAGATTTAGAAGATAATATCATACCACAGTCCTGTAAAGATTCAGAAGATAATATCATACCACAGTCCTGTAAAGATTCAGAAGATAATATCATACCACAATCCTGGAAAGATTCAGAAGATAATATCATACCACAGTCCTGGAAAGATTCAGAAGATAATATCATATCACAGTCCTGGAAAGATTCAGAAGATAATATCATACCACAGTCCTGGAAAGATTTAGAAGATAATATCATACCACAGTCCTGTAAAGATTCAGAAGATAATATCATACCACAGTCCTGGAAAGATTCAAAAGATAATATCATACCAAAGTCCTGTAAAGATTCAGAAGACAATATCATACCACAGTCCTGGAAAGATTCAGAAGATAATATCATACCACAGTCCTGGAAAGATTCAGAAGATAATATCATACCACAGTCCTGGAAAGATTCAGAAGATAATATCATACCAAAGTCCTGGAAAGATTCAGAAGATAATATCATACCACAGTCCTGGAAAGATTCAGAAGATAATATCATACCACAGTCCTGGAAAGATTCAGAAGATAATATCATACCACAGTCCTGGAAAGATTTAGAAGGCAATATCACACTACTACAGTCCTGAACAATTCAGATGATAAAACCATACCACAGTCCTAAAAGATTCAGATGACAATGTCAAACTAACCTCCTGAACAATTTGAATGACAATACAATACTATAATCCTGGAGAGATTCAGATGATTATACTATACTACTCCTGAACAATTCAGATAACAACACCATACCAATATCTCAAAAGATACATAAGAAAATACCATACTACAGTCCTGGACAATTCAGATTACAATACCATACCAGTCCTGAAAGATTCAGATGATAATATCCCATAATAGATTGTAAATGGCACTGTTTGGAACAAAAATAGGATTACCTTGTTACCAGTATCAATAAATAAAACCTATGACATCATAAATCTGCCAAGAATAGGCCTATCCTAGCTTTGTAGCGAAAGGTACAGGGTGTCCAAAAAAAAACAGGACCGTAAGAAAGTTGAATAACTCGGTCAATTATGCATATTTTACCTTGAAATTTCGGAATTATTTAGTTCAATCAATGTGAATTTTGTTGTGAAAGTTTGATAAAATTCTACCAATTGAGTCAAAAACTACAGCTCCTTACAAAACATGCCCCAAATGTGCAAATCTCATCTCTATGCACGATTCAATCCGGCGAACAAAGCTGTCAATGATCCTCCTACACACATGTCTTTCTGAATGGACAAGTTTGTTCCAAGAACAATTGCTACTTGGGCTTACATCCTCCTGATGAAGTTTTACAGCATCCATTGCATTCTGAACAATGCACTCCCTGGGTGGCAATGAGGAAACATGGAATCATCAGTCCCTTTTGGTTCGAAGGTGACTGGGGACTTGCTATCACCATGAACAAGGACCAGTAAGTTCTCACCAAGTTTCGGAGGTCACTAAGCACCAGCAGGAACATCTTTAGAGATAATTAAGCAGTGGTTTCAACAAGCCAATACCACCCCAACACTGCAAATGATATGCTGAAATGGTTTAGGTAATGCTTTGGTGGTCAGCTCATCAGTTGCAGAACGCAAACCATATGGGCAGCTCATTCCCCAGATCTAAATTCCCCAAATTTTTATCTTTGAGGATTTCTCAAAGCCAATGTGTATACTGACAGGCCCCTCACAATCTTAAGAAGGCAATAACAACCCCAATATTTACCATCCACATTAATGTGTATAGGTAAGGGTCATTAACAACTTTGTTCGCAGGATTCGTTTGTGCATAGAGACTAGAAGTGCCCGCTTTGAGCATGTTTTGTAAAGGACAGTAGATTTTGACACAATTAACAGATTATCATCAAACTTTCAGAACAAAATTCACATTGAATGATCTAAATAATTCTTAAATTTCAAGGCAAAATATGCAAAATTGACCGCTTTATTCAACTTTCTTACGGTCCTGTTTTTTTTTGGACACCCTGTAGTATGGTTTATTGGGAAGACTGCATTAAGGCTGAACTTTGCTTGCCTGAACACCTACCTCACATTTATAGCAGCCTGTGTGGAAGCTTTTGTCCATAGCAACAATACGAACTGTTTCCTCTTGGCCTGGTTCAGGAACTATAGGCAAACTGCACACGCAACACTTTGGGGCAAACTTCCTGCAACATGGGAGGATAGAATAGTCATGTAATTGAAGGGTTTTGATACAGGGTTTATATATAATAAGCAAAGTGCACATGAGAGGACAAGAAATGGTGCAAATTATAAATCTGACAGCCATTTTTTAAAATCATTAAATATGTCCAAATGGGAAAAGCAGTTTAGGCTAAAACTGTCATATTTTTAAGGACATAGTGTGGCCTTTTTGACTGCCGTGAACATTTGAAAATATTTCCCCAAACTAATCTGCCTATACAGAATTTAACTTACGCATGGAAGTCATCAATACAATGGATATTGTTGCTAGCATCCACAGTAAATGGAATTCCATCCAAACTTTTCCCGCACACTACACAAACAAAGCAATGTGCGTGATATGGTTTGCCAGTAGCGCGTAGTATCCTGTCTGTAATTGCTTTCTTGCACAACGAGCATTTTTCTAACGTATCCTGGAAGACATGATTATTTTATGTTCTGTTCAACATAACACTTTGATAAAATCCACATTCACATGAGAAATGTTTCAATGAAAATTGAACAAACTAAATCTTAAAAGCTGGTGTAGAGCTTTAAACTTTTGTTTAATTATCCAAATATTACATTTCATAAAGGAGGAGGGAAGTTAGTGCAACAGATTTTGGACAGTCATATGTTTGATTTTGGCCATTTCCTCGGGATTTAAACAGGTGCAAATGTTAGGCGAATTCATTACCTCCAGGAAAATCACTTCTAGAGATGATAAAATAATTTCTACTTTGAGACAGGGTAGATGCAAACAACCCACCCATATGTTTTTTCTGAAATGTTTTCCTGATTTTCAACCCCTTCCATCCTTGCTTTTTTAATTTTTCTTGCATCAATATGTTGCGTTTTGACACACAGTTAATCCCTTAAAAGGAATAAATGATTCCTTTTAGATAAAGTGGAAAACAATATTTCCCATGTTATTTTCCCATAGGAAAAAGCATTGCTTTCAGCTAAGTTTGGTCACCCATAATGGGTATCTTTAAAACCCCTTAAGGAATCACTTATTCCTTTAAAGTGGTTAACTATGTGTCAAAATGCAACATATGGAACATATGACTGTCCAAAATCTGTTGCGCTAATTTCCCTCCTCCTTTAAAGATTGTTCAGAGATATTTTCTGAAAAAAATTGATTTAAAAAGTTGGCATTTTAGCAACCTTATTCTTATGATATAAACCATAACTAACAATAAATGCCATGTTTTTATTAATAAGGACCTATTTTATTTTGAAACTGCAAACATATTTATCATATTGCTACCTTTACATCATAATAAAAATGGAAAAAATTACATTTTTACAGTTCCATTTATCTAATTGGTACAAACTTGAGAAAACATAACATTTTGACACTCTATGCCCAAAAATCTATGTACATTGTAAGACGTACCATGTAACATGTCTCACAGTATGGTTTCCCTTCCATTGCAAAGAAGGCTTGGCCTTGTAGCTGGCTACTGCATGTTAAACATGTGAAGCACTTGACATGGTAGACTTGTCCCAGTGCCTTACATCCATTTGTGTCACCCATAATTGCTGTGTGACATTTGGCACACATACCTAAAAGAAAATATTTTGCAGTATTTTAAGAACAGCAACAATAAAAAAAAAATATTCATAATTAAATTTGTGTATTGTCTTGATACGGATTGGATTATTTTATGGGTTCGTCTTGATTTAACATTTACAATACCCCTAAAAATGACACGTTATTGTTCATTTTGGCAAAGTGCAACAACCTTAAATATGAGCATACTTTATCAGAGGTTCCATTTGGTAATTACAAGACACTGTATAATGTTGTACTATACAATGGCATAATATATCAGAAGAAAATTCTATATTCACAATATACAGTTGCCATTGTGCTGTACTTATTAGATAGTGTAAAAAGGAATGACTGCAGATTATAGCCACAATAATGCCACAAATGCATGAAAGGAGACACTTAATTCTGGTGTCCACCCTATGATAAGCAGTTTCAGATATGATGCTCTTGTCATTTGGCATAAATAATAAGTCTTATCCTACACTTAGTGTACTAAATGTATAATAACATTAAAAAAATAAATTTGATATTTATGGGCAAAATGAGTATCCGGAGGATATCGTCACGATATACTCCGGGCGGAGGATATCGTGACGATATACTCCGGAAAACCCAATATGCGGAGGATATTGTGACGATATACTCCGCTTGTTGATTTCCCGCCAAATTGACTCTATTTGGCATGAAATTCATTTTGCAATGATATTATACATTTAGTACACTCCTTGTAAGTGTAGGATAATAAGAACATCCTATGATTTTTTCAGAATATCATTTTAATCTACTCGGTGATATTGATATATGCACTCGTTCGCTTCGCTCTCTCGTGCAGATATCAATATCACCTCGTAGATAAAAATGATATTCCTCAAAATCATAGGATATCCTATAAATCTCCAAATGAAAAATATCCAAATAGAAAATTGTTTCACTTTTCATCATAAAATATGCTTATTTGAACTTAAAAGTGCCACACAACCTTTACTAGGTCACAATGACTTTTAAAATCTTTATTCAATTAGTAATAATTTATAACAAAATAATTCAAATCATCTAACCTTTCCACAAAAACATGGGCAGGATGTTATATTAGCAAACTAAAAATAAATGTTCACTTCCAACAAATTCCAAGGTTTGATTGACAGCTCTATTTTTACACTTTCCATATTTGGAACAAACATATTACATGTGTTAGGAATTGAAGGTCAAGCTGATCTGGTCATTCTCTAATGCAATTTAAAAAGCCATCTCTGACTAAAATTGACAAAATCTATCCTTCATTATTTTAGCTACAGAACAAATTGTGGAAAATCACCTTTCAAACCAATCTTGGGTATCCAATATGAGATTATTTGAGAAATTTTTATCAACATTTGAGTTAATTTAAAAGGAGATTTTTGTGAGCATCTGTGGGGTTATTACGTCTAAGAATTTCCTGGAAAATACATGTGTTACATTGTGTTGCAGTTGTTAGATTCAGAAAGAAGAAATGGATTTTATTTGTTCTCAACCAAGGAGAAAATCAGATGAACCTATTGAATGTTCTGTTGCCCAATACTGTTTATAGAAAACTGAGTCACAGTGACCTTTATCACATTTTTCATTCTCTAAAACACTTATCATTCAGTAAAAATACAGGTAAGCTAAACTAGAATCACAAATTGTCGAATTGACAAGTCATTGTAGGGCCTTGAGGTGCACTGATTTATCTGTAGCCATAAACCATTGGTATAAGGATTTATATTAATCCTGAATGTATTCTGATGTCACATGTATCTGGTAGTGACATAAAAATGACACGGTGACCTAAGGGTGTTCTTTTAGACTGCTTTCCCATAAACATCCCTGTGAAATAAAGCCCTCATAACAAGCCGTGACACAATGAAAATACATGTAAACATGAATTGCTGCGAAAAATATCTTCCATAGCTCAACTTTAAGCCATATTTTGGTAATGAGAGATGATAATCCTTGCAGCCTAGAATGAGTACATATGCACTAAAGCAGTTAAATCTCACCATAGAAATCAGGGTCACTTGCACATTCCATATTCTTGAGGAGTAAGTTAGTCAATGCATCCACTTCTGCTTCTTTATCCAGATCAGTCTTTGGAGCAGCAGGTGGTGGGCTTGGCATGAACTGTTGTTGCTGGGTGGCAGGAGGGGTCGGGGGCACAATGTTGATTCCAGGTGGACTTCTGGGCCCAGGTCCCCTGTACTGATAACTGAAGTAAACATTGTCATTTAAAATATACATGATGTTTGACCAATATGACAAAAATATGATGAATAATAATAAAAACAAGACATTAACATGCAATATGTCACCACCTGCAATTAGTTACCGAGGCTGACTCCAGATGCCTATCACCAAATGCCGTCACAAAAAGTTTATATGACGGCTTAACCTTCTACTTACTCAGGTTGCTGGGGAGATCTGTAAGATTGATCATCTGAGACACCAGCTGGTGGTGTATAATAACTCCTATTGGGCAACGAAAAATTCCTGTCATCTACATTCTCGTAATTTCTCCCAGAAGTCCCACTTGCTCCTGTACTGACGGGCGGAACAGCAGGGCGACTAGATGTCGTGGCAAACTGTGCCTTATTTGGAGAAGAGTATAGCTTGGCAGTAGCGGGCTCTGGTTGGTAACTCATTTGGAAGCCTGTTGAAGGGCTACTTGTTGGATTGTATTGAACACTGGCATATGTGGCGTTAGAGTATGAACTAGCACTGGGGATACTGGAGGATGATGGCTGGTAAGCATAAGCTGCAATGGCAACAGGAAAAATTTAAAATCATCCAATATGGAATTGAAATTCCAGATGGCCACAGTACAAACCAGAACAACGGCAACGCCAAAGCGTAGCGAATCCCATCGAACAGAAATGGCTGGCATTTTTACAAACGAATAGCAAATATCATAAAACAACACACCAGAAAGGCCACCATTTTCAAAATGGTTGCTCACTAGCCAAGTTGTCATCAGAAGAAATAATATGCTTTTAAGTAGCCACCTCTAAAATTTTTGAAAAATCATACACATACTTGTAAAATAACACACATAAAAATGGTGGCCATTTTTCGAAATGGCCAACTACTCCCCAAAGTTTAATAAGACAATGTGCCATGCTTAAAGCATTCACATATCAAATATGAACAAAATCGCTCCACTACTTTTCGAGTTATAGTAAAATACGTTAAAATGTGGGCCATTTTTCAAAATGGCCACCTTCTACCAAAAGTGTCATTAGAAATAGACAGTGTGCCATGCTTATTGTATTCACATACCAAATATGAACAAAATCGCTCTACTACTTTTCGAGTTATAGTAAAATACGTTAGAATGGCGGCCATTTTTCAAAAATTTTTCATAATGGCCACCTTCTACCCAAAGTGTCATAGGACAGTGTGCCATGCTTATAGTATTCAAATACCAAATATGAACAAAATCACTCCACTACTTTTCTAGTTATAGTAAAATATGTTAAAATGGCGGCCATTTTTCAATTTTTTTTCAAAATGGCCACCTTCTACCAAAAGTGTCTTTAGACAGTGTGCAATGCTTATAATATTCACATACCAAATATGAACAAAATCGCTCCACTATTTTTTGAGTTACAGCAAAAATCGTAAAATAACGAGTAAAGGCCGCCATTTTTCAAGATGGCTGCCATGAGCTTCTTTAATATCTACATTTGTAGCATTATTAATGTCCTTTGTAATTTTTTTACATTTAAAACATATTGCTATTACAGTTTTACATATTGCACCTAAATTACTGTAAAATCGGCACTAAAATGGCCGCCATTTTGAAATGAGCGGCCATTTTGAAAATCGGCTTTCGAGCAGAACTTCTATCCCCATAGGGTATATGTGTACAAAATATGAACAAAATCGAGCCAACGGTATTTGAGTTATTGCCCGGACGGACGGACGGACAGACAGACAGACGGACGGACGGATGGACGTACGGACGGACGTACGTACGGACGTACGGACGGACGTACGTAGGCGTAGGGACGGACGGACGGACGGAGGCGTTCCCTATATCCCTCCGAACTTCGTTCGATGGGATAAAAAGATATTCAAGATCAGCTTTGTAGAACTTGATGTACCACAAAGTGTTTTTTTTCTCAAAAATTTGGACATGATCACAAACACGACTATGATTAACCAATCAAGTCATGAAAAATTCATATTTTTAGATTGAAATTCGACATGAATATCAATATGAAGAGTAGTTAATCAAAATACTTTTATAATAATGGTGGTAAGTAAAACATTTTTGGGTTATCATTCCACATGTTTTTATTTTTATTTATTCGGATCAGTTTTTTAAAAATATTAGGTGTAGTATTTCAACTCCATTCAGGTAAAGCCTGATTAATAAGTTTTAGTTTACACAAGAACTATGTACATTATTGATTTCACCATATCTCAAATGTTGGTTTACTTACACTGGTTAGAAGCCTCTGGTTCAGCAGGTGGGGGAGGGGGGAGATCATCTTCAAGATCTGCAGGGTTTGGGTAAATAACTGGCTTGTATGTTGGAAGGCCAACTAAAATAAATATAGAATCAGAACAACTATGAAGATAACTCAAACAGAAACTGATACCCCATCAATGAATGTCCACTACGTGTACATATTGACTGAATGAACATTAACAACATTATCATTAACAGGTTATGTACATGTAGCCTTGCCCATATTATGTATTTGTGTATTATTTTACTTACCAGATCTTGAATTATTACCGCCTTGTACAATCTAATGGATCATTGCTGATATTATGATGATATGTTATTCAGTGGTTTCAAGGTTTCCATAATACCTACACTGTCGGGGGTATCGCGAAACTGTATTGATAGGCAAGATGGCATGGACATGATGTGTGACTTCAGACTGATTGACCAATCAAAACGTTATCAGGTTTACCTGCCTAAACAAAGCAAACTACCCGTTTCGTAGATCGTAACTATCATGTTTGATTATTTCAGCAATCTTTTCAACGTTTCTTGTTGAAATCTTCTCACCTCCGGGTATCCTGCCAATGCTGCCGCATCCACTAAACTCTGATATGATATTTATCTGGTAAAATATTTGTATTTTCATAATGAATTGTGCAAGATTTGTTTGTGAAGTGTATTTGTTTTGACTGTGCATAACAATGAGCTGCAGGGCCGTCGTTGATTGGTCAAATTTACTGACATAAACATTGGGTCGGTAAAGCATGTGGTTTTCTCATTGGTACAAGGTGGTCATAATAGAAATCAAGATAAGTAAAAGAGACCGACTTGGGCAAGGCTACAGGTTATGTGCAAGATTCTAATTTCCACAATTCAGACAGAAATGACTTCATGATTATGCCATGCTTTTTATTTGTCTCTTATTTGCAATTACAATCAGGTAGATAATGACTGTCAGGTTGGTGCAAGTCTGTTTTCAATCTCAAGTGGGTGTTGTGCTTTGATGCTGGGAATCCATTAAGGACCCATGTCTAGTTTCTTTGATTAATCACGATTGGACACTGCTAAATGTTTACAGGCAAAACAGTAGAGGTTTGATATTGACAGATATAGATATGATTGTTAATTTAATTTAATTTAACTATACACCTCTTCCATATAATAGGGTTAATTGAAACTACCTTTTTTGTACTGCTGCGCTGTGAAGGAAGGTGTAACATAATGCTGCCTCGATGGGGAATTCTCACGGTCTCTCAGACCCTGGTGATCATGTGGATGGCCAGACATTTTGATTCTTGATTGGTTAGAATTCAACTTCTCCAATTAGTATTTGCCTAAAAATGTAGTGTTTTAAATTACAATTCATAGAAAAAGTATTGAACATAACATTAGAGTACAAGTAAGTGATAGCACATCTTATGTTTATGCATATATACATGTAGCTATATGTTTTAAATATAAGTGAATTGAAATTTGGTAATCGCAAAAAGATGTACTTATACATATAGAAATGTACAGGTATACTTCATCGATCAGTTTTAATGTTCTTCACACCAATGAATTATTTTCGCCACTAAATTCCTTGTTTATAAGGTGGATAGGACAGTAATATGACTTCATGCCAAATATCTCTATAATTCTCTTATAAAAACTAAGTCTAAATGAGAACGGTAAATATTTACTCACTTATAAACAACTTTTTAATAGCGATGGCTCATTATAAATGGATAAAGCTGCGCAACAAATGATGATGAAGTACACATCCATTACCAAATTATAAACAGGAATTTATAAACATGCTATAAGTGTGTTGCGAAATCTCTGTAATATGACATAAACTCCTTATAAAGTGAGCCAAATAAACAGAACCACCCAAAGTTGTAATTTCTTAAATAACTATGCAAACAAAATTATCTAACCAGTTTCAGAAGCTAGGATCTTAATACAAGTACACTGTAAAACATTGAAGAACAAGAATCTGAAAAACACTTACATGTATTTTGCGCTTTTCGCGAGTTTTGGAAAATTCGCGAAATATAATAGCCACAACATTCCTCCAGTTCTAATTCGCGAAATTTGATAGTCGCAAAATTCCAAGGAAATTCCCCGGGATTTCAATGTTGACAATACTTTCATCTAGTGCTGGGCGATTATAGGTAAAAACGTGACATTTTGAGTTTTGAAAAGAGAAATTAGAAGAGAAATCATTATTAATGTATTAAAATGGACATTTTAACTAAAAGGCTTAATAAGAAGCCAAAATTATTGGGTGAAGGAACAACCATGGCTGATATCAAAGTTAAAAGAGTGATCTTGTATGACAAATCTGCGGAAATTAATAGCCGCGAAATTTCAAAAAACTGAAAATTAGCGAAATAAACATGATACATGTTATACGATTTATTTATTACAATAAATAAATTGCCCATGCCCATGGCTGAAAAGGTTATTTCATCATGTTTATGGTCATTCTGACCATTTCCATTTTGTTCCCAGTCATGTAAATGATATGTGGAACTAGTTAAACTGACTGGAGGTCAAAACAGAACTCTGTTATCTTGGTTCGAAAAATTTCAAAATCCAGCATGGTTTTGTCACTTTTTGTTTTGTCATTTCCTGTTAACTTCCGTGGTACGCATAATTAATGGACGCATAATTAATGAGTTGAGTGCTGTGGATAAGAAGTAGATCTATATTAAAAACACAATAATTGCTGTTATTGACATAGGCATAGTATGATGATTTAAAACTTTTAAGACTGTCACAGTCTAAGATGTCACCGGGTTTTTATAATTTTATATTTTTGTTGTGGTAAAACTCTAGAAAATACATAAAACTGGATACAAACAAGGAAAAGGGGGTCAGAAACCTTTTAGAAATGTATGTTGTGATGAAAATAGGAATCTTTAGTCGTACTTTACTGATAGGATATATCTGATCATACATGGGGGAGGAGTAGGCAAAATCAGGGTCTAAATATTTCCTGCTGTAGAACCTGAAGAAGTGAGTCGCTCACTTCTTTCATATTCTATCCGATTCGGGGATTCCCCATATCTCCAATCAAATTGCAGGGTGTGATCACACGAACAATCATGAGCACATGATTTCTCAGTGCCGCGCATGTGCCAAGTAAAATTTTGAAATCGTTGAAATGGCCTTTATTTCAGTTTAACATCAGTTTAACATCATCATTTCAAAACTACGGTAATACTATTGAAGTTACTCGATCCAAACTTTCAGAGAATACTCATAAACACAAGCGAACATTGAGAGATCAATTTCAATTGCATATGAGGCCTATTTATAAAATTGGTTATCGAACGTGCCAATATGAAAGGTGATCTTTGGGAAATTCCCCCCTAGCCTGGCTGAGGACGTTATTTTAATATCATATATGATCAAAAATAAGGTTGTTTATTACCTTTATATGCTGTCAGTCGTGGATTGTATGAATTGGTTGATCGCAGCACTTCCGAAATACTGTTGAAAACCACAAAAAGCGTCAGAGAACCCAAATATAAAAATTTGCTGATCCGGAACCGGAAACTTAATTGATTACAGTGATTATGCGAACGACCATACATAAATTTGTTCGGAATTTTAGGAAATATTTCACATTTGGTCTGTTTTTGTCCGCTTCGTCTAGTATTATAAGAATCGAATAACAAGAAAATGATTACATAAAAAATATGAAGACATTAGAACTGAGTAAACATGGGATTGGATGCTTATTTTATTCCAAGGTTCAGCCCTGGTTCGGTCTACAAAAAACTTAGTCAAAGTGATTGATTTTATCTAGATATCTGAGTAGGCCTAAATTTGATCAGCAGGTAGTAAGTCCTTGCATAATACATGCCCCTCTCACTCTTAGCATTTTACTTCAAATCTTTTTCTATGGACTGTCCATGCTCTTTAACGTGCATGCCATCTTTTGACAATTAAAGAAACTCGCACCTGCCAATGTAAGTCACGTGACTTAATTAAAATGGCGGATTGAAAACAAACAGTTCAAATCGTCTCATCAAAAGTTCTTAGTAAACTACTATGAATACACGCATATACGGATAAAAGAGATTGAATAACGTAAGTTAAATATATTTTCTAAAATTTGTCGTATTAATTGTTAAAATCAGTGGCAGAATGACTGAACAAGTTGACTTGAAAGTTTTGAATTTTGAAACTTATTTGAACTGATTTTTATCCTTTTGTCCAGGTGTGTTGTTTTGTGGTTTACTACAAAATCGACTTTGTGGTACTATGTATATGCATGGGTTTTCAACATAATGGAACATATTATATTTCACCATGTTATTCCAACAATATGACTTTTTTAATTAGAGTTCATGAATTTTTTGAAGTTACATTTATCCATGGGCTTTTATCACAAGGTTATTCCAGTTTATGCTAAGAATCTTAGTAAGATGAGCAATCACACAGCCTCTAGAGAATCCAGAATTTTATAATACACACTTTTTGGGCAATAAATTGGTTTAATATGTTCATTGATTGTTTATTGTAGCAGCTAGAAAACTTATATAACACCATGATTTCAAGTGTACATTTGTTAGAGATTCACAATTCCACCTCTACTGACTAGCATCCGGCCCCATCATCCCATAATTGTTAAATAATGGGATCTAAGCACATCTGGAATCTTCTATAGATTCAACAATCTTTGGTCAAATGCAAACGTTGAAATGTAGTACTACTTTTTTCAAGGCCTGACTTCGTCGCTAACATGCTAAATATAAGAGTTAGCTGACGTTTGGGAGTCTGACTTACCTTCTAAAGTTAGAACCCGAATCTTAATGAAACCATATCACCTTTGTTCCGTCAACCATGGAGCATTTGCCACAACATCCAAGAGGTAAATCATGGACCGAGAAAATGAATGATTTCCTTGTAAGTTCCGGAAGTTTCAATACGAAAAATTACCGAACATATGTGAAAACCGAATATTTGTTCGTTGTTTTCACGATTTACAGGTTCGTTTGTTCTTCAATGTTTTGGTCTAAATTATAAAGCATCACCAACAGGTCTTACTCTATTAATCGACTAATACAGCAGACGGCTCATATTTCTACGTAGCATTTCATTCAGACCAATAGTGGGAGTGTAGATCACGCAGTTTCGTTCGTTGCATACTTCACTTGAAATTGGTAATTTTAAATATTGACTACTTCACGTAGCTTGGCGGATGTAGAACATTGCTTAATATTCTTTTAATTTTCACACCAGACATGCTTGGTTGACACGTCAACAAAGTAAAGTTCAAGGGTCAATGCGTTATTTCGTGATAACTACAACGCCTTCCCGGAGGTCAACATTGATGAAAAATGAAAAAGTCGGAAAAGCAGTTACACTAATTTCTATCAAATGCTATGTTTATGCATCATCATCGACGCAACAAAGGTGATATGGTTTCATTAAGATTCGGGTTCTAACCTTTAGAAGGTAAGTCAGACTCCCAAACGTCAGCTAACTCTTATATTTAGCATGTTAGCAACGAAGTCAGGCCTTGAAAAAAGTAGTAGTAGGGGTCTTTGGCATGTGCAGTCCCCCTGTGCTCAGTTCTTGTATGTAAAAGATTATGTATAGATAAGTCAGCCAGAGTACTCCTCTGATATGAAACTGTAGCGAAGACTTCAAGATCATCCTCCGAACGCAGGGTTCCAGACATCATCCACAAAGTTCCTTCCTTCTTCCAGAAGAAGGAGGTACGAGTTCTGGAGGCCTGTGTTCGGAGGGTGCTTCAAGATATAATATAGGGGTTTCACTAGAATTTCTCACAATAGGCTAAATGAATGAAAACAACAGGCAAAGCTAATGGAAATCATAAATTTAAAGGGGCAATAAGAACTGTAGAGAAAGTAGGAAAGTTTTTTCATTTTTTCTGAGCTATCAAGGCAACATTTGGTTTAACATCTTCTTTGACATACCTCTTTTCTTAAAATGTATGGATAAATTATCAATTTCAGCATTAAGAAGTGTAAATTCAGTTCAAAGCTTCAAAAAGGGGACTTCCACTTTTATATTTTTAAGATCCACCATGTTTCAAGAGGAATATCAGCTAAAATGATGTTTATCTATGGGGTTTCTTTGTAGATAATAAAAATAGATCTTAGTCTTGATGAAATATCCAAACTTAAATATATTTTGACACTGGTCCATGATCGTTGAATGACCCCTCTGCACTAATTATTGCACCTTTAACATGGAAAAGTCCCTAAAAATAACAGGTGATTTTGTGAAAACAACGGGTGAAAATCGCCTGTTTCCTACTGCTAATGAAACCCCTGTAATATGAAAAGAACAGAGATAATATCGTTAAAAACTTGAACTGGGGGAATAGGTGTTCAAGAAACCTTTCATTTAGTATAACAAAGATATGAAGTTTTCTGGATAAATTTTTGCAAGTCTTAGTACCAAGGGATAGATATAACTTGTAATGCAGATATTAATGTCAACTAAACAAGAAAATCTCATATATCATTTGAATAATAATCCAAGCAATAGGGCTACATATTTTGAGAAGACATATCATATACTAAAGCCAAAGAGTAGAATTACCTCTGAGGTTTGTTTTGCCATTGAATTTATACAATAAATAAGGAACTCCAAGTTGACTATATTGTTGATGTAACTTATTTAACTTGTATGTTCAAGAGATCACAGCTTAGCAAAAGTTTCAAACTGTTTAGCTTCAAGTCCCATTGTTTGATTACAGCTTCAAAGCATTAACCAAACGTACTTGTTAAGTCAGTTAATAAGAAGTTGTATTGATGCTTAATAGCCTTATTTAACAATCATTATATTTAGCTATGCAGCATCATGTACTATGTGCCCTCCAGTATCATCTTGAGATTTAGAACTGAGGCTCGTATAAATTAGTCCATAATACGGTTCAGTTTGATTTGTCTTCTGGGCTGGGATTTGTGTCTTTATTTGAAGTATGGACTTCAGTGTAGGTTTTTTAACACTAAACTGATGCTATAAAGAAGAACATGTTTAAAATAGATGATAATGTAAATGTTTCTTGATATTTGCTGACCAGCATATAAATGCAGACATATTAATGAGAATGAAATCTTAATTTAGCTAATCAAGCATATAGGATGTTTTCATAATATCCTACGTATGTCAGTCATTTGATCACAAATTGAATATAAATACATAGACATATTTAGTTTAGGGTTTAAAGCTTTGATCCCTCTTAAAGGATGAGCTTGCTCTCCATTAAGCTTAAAGAATTATACATCAAAATTGCCATTCACATGATTCCAGGCCAGGGCTAGGTAAGTCATTTCAAGTGGATGTGTAAGCATATGTGCAATAAGGGTAAAGACCAAAAAGTATTTATGAAACACCAGTATACTGGTCAGTATCAAGCAAAGGTAATGCCCGCTACCTTCGCATTTAAGATAGTAGACAGAAAGTGTCGCTTTCAATATTCTAAGTTTTCATCAAATTAAACTACTTTATAGTTCAAATTATGGTTTGATATTTGAACTAGATCAGGCTTTTATGACATGGAAACTCTGGAGTATGATGGTTTGTTCATATATACCATGACGTAGGCACCACACTCCCATGACACCTCCCACTGCTTAAGAGAATGTAACTGGGATTTTGGTTTAATGGATGGGCGCCTATGGATGATAATTTATCTGATATGTGGTGATGATGTAACGTTATGAGAGTTTGTAATGCATGGAGAGCTGGTCTGGTGGTACCCTGCGTGCAGAGTCTAGTTAAACTACACTCTGCCTAGTAGAGACCATATTACAGTTTAGTAGCCCCGCCCCCACGACGGTACCGGTGACAGTTTGGGTAAATCACTTTTGACCTACGCGCCAATCAGCGAGCTTGAAGAAACATACGCCAAATACGTTCTAATTAAATATGCGCATGCCATTGGTCAATTCCGGGCTCAACGATGACGTTAGAAGGAATGACCATATAAAGAACGTCGGTCAAATTTGGCCGACGAACACTGATTGGCGCGGTGAGTTCACAGGTTTATTTTAGATTGAAAGAGTGAAGACGAAGCTCTCTTTTAAGTAGTGAAGTCAAACGAATGCAAAGGGTAGTCTGGTGGTGATCATGAATGATCATACTTTTGATGAAAACTAAAAATATCTCAATTGACAATTATTGCCCACCATCTTAAATGCCAAGGTAATGGCTGTTACCTTGGCTTGATACTGACCAGTGTAATAGAAAAGAAACATCGAAGAAAACAACCGACTTGTCATTTGGAAACCCCCATGATGTTGATCTGATATACAAAGAAACAATATTGAACACTACCTTCCCTTCATTCAGAAACCATTAGTCACAGCTCAAAAATAAGACATGGAGTTATCTATCTTTCTTTCTCCAAAGTTATTAACTATTAAGTTCAAGAGCACAAATTGGGGGTCATTTACAGAAATTTGGTAATCTTAAGAAGTCTTGAATCAAATGTTGTAATATGGATTTAATGATGTTATTGTAAAAGAACAATAGACTTCTTGTTGTTTTTAACTTCAAATTTTTCTGTTAATGACCC